TGAAGACTAATAAATTAAGGACCACTCAATTCTTGTTCACTTGTTTTTAAGCTTTTGTGTGACTCCTTTAGGCCCCATACTTGACTGTCCAAAACCGACACTATTACAAAACACTTTTGCAAAAATAATGAACATTTCAGTGTTTTTATCCCAATCCAAATTTTTTTAGCAGCATTAATGCATAGCTCTTGGGACTTTGACCTCATAAGAAAAAGGTCAGAGTTTAAATTCCTGGCCCATAGTTTCTTCTGGAGGCTGTAGTTTCCCTGGTCCTGAAGGAGATCCATAGGCTCTGTGGCTGCACACTGCATTTACAGGTATAAGATATAAATTACAGATGAGAATTTTCTCCTTACAATAAATTAAGAATTTGATTAATTTACCACACTTTTCATTACATTATTTAGTCACTCCTGACATTCAGTCAAGTGAAGCTTCCTCTGTACTATAGCCAGAGCTGACTGACAAGTCAGTATGTTTCGAGGGTTCTGCTGCAGGGGCAGTGGACACCTGCGGACACATCTCCAATATCTTGATGCTAGGCTTGGTTAGGTCTACCTTTGCTGGAGGATTATACCTATTGATGCTGATGGGGCAAAGTGGGGAAGCCCAGAAGAGAAAACTGACTTGGACACTGGGAGAACATGTAAACTGTACACAGACAGGCCTGGAGGATCTGGGGATCAGACCCTGAGAGCTAACCACTCAGCCACTGTGACCGCTAGTCTGCAGCAACAGCATGTCTGACCACCAGTAGTCGCTCACACATAAAGATGAAGGTGAAAGTGTCTTGACCAAAGACACAACATCAGTATAGAAAGGCTGGTTTATAAGTTAGATACCATATATTAAAAATGCACCTACCATACCTTAGATGTGGGATATGTATCAAAAACTAATATCTCAATTGATGCTTGGGGCCAGAGAGACAAGCTGGTTCCTCCAACAGGCCAAATTACAGGTCATCTCTGTGGACAGGTGAGCACGGTAGAAACAAAAACACCTGTAATAGAATGCATGCAAACAGATAAGTTCATATCATACTGTGGAACAGTTCAGATGAACCCCCAACCACAAAAGTTACATAATACACCTTTCATGGCTGCCGTTTCCAGGACTATCTTTAACACCATTTTACAAGTCATTCTTATACAGTGCTACATTGAAGTGGCTGCCTCTTACACCCCACACAGAGCAGCATGGTGGTGGGCTCTGACTGTTGAACGTACTTGAGATCGGAGCAGCTCGTGACACATGGAGGTTCTGGAGCTGAAAGGCCCTGGAGGTGGGAGACACTTTAACAGGCTGCTCTGACTGACAGGTTAAACGCAGTCACTTCTCTGCGTGAGATCTGAGGGCGGAAAGACGCAAGTTTTAGTGCCATAGAATTAAAAAGTGAAGTGATTAAAAGAGTAGAGGGTCATTTGCAGCCTGCACATTCAAATGGAAACAGCAGAACAGAAGAAGTTAAAGGTGCTGCACTTGATTTTTACGGTTTTAAACGGGTTGCAGTGGTCCAGAGTTATTCCTTACTTACCTTAAAACAAATTAAAGGCACTGTACCTGACTCTGACAGTTTTAAAAATGTGAAAAACAGAGCTAGTTCATTTTAAACATTTTGCAATGGTCCAAAGTTCATCCTCACTTACTTTATGTATTCCTAATTATTCACAGAGTTTATAAGTAACAAAAAGCATGCTAACCACGCATATCCTGATCATAATAAATGCTCACAGTTTTCTATTGCGCTTTTCCACATTCAAGGCTCAAAATTCTTTACATCAAGGAACCATTCACCCACTCATACACTAGTGTACGCAGAGACTAGGGGTGAGGTGGGTTAAGTGTCTTGCCCACAATGACAGCATTCATCTGTGGGAGCTGAAATTGCACCGACAACCTGTGCGTAAGTGGATATGATTGCCCAGCCAATGATGTTTCTATTTAGAGCAGGATTTGAACCGCCAACCTTCACATTAGCGGACAGACACAACCAACTGAGCTGCTGTCACTATTATCTGACACTAAAAGGCTTTCCAATTGCACTGGACATATTCTGACCTGGAGAGCAGTTTATACAATAAATCTGTACTAGGGCAAGACACATTTTCTTCAAATACATAAGAAAAAAATCAAGTACAACGCCTTTAACAGATAAAAGTTGCATCAGGATTGCCTCAGCAGACCAGTCCTTCACTGCAGAGCTTTATGCCAGATGCCCTTCTTTCACAACAGCGCATTACTGTAACTAGAACGTGGATAGACACACAAATATTACGCAATAGATGAGGTTGAACCGGTTACTCTCTAGTTGATGGGCACAGGTTGCGCTCACCTTTGTACATACACTATATCAAGACTGGAACTAAATTAAGGGTGTGTGAAATGCTTTTCTCCATGGAGACGCTATTGCTTTGTCTGGAATGTTTTACAGTATGGCATTAAAGGCACAGTATGGAATTTTGGACATAGGACCTCATTTCCTAGTGAGCCAGAGTGTTGGAGACGTGTGGAGACACTTTTTAAGATATTCCATCCAGTCCTTGTATTTGCAGAGGTCACTGGTGCTAGGCTAGTGCATGTCAATGGCCATAGTTAGCCTGCCACTAAAAACACCACTTACCCACTCCACAAAACACCCGAAACAAATCTATTATCACACCAGACTGCTGATTTGAATGTCTGTGTCGATAGAATAATTTTAGAAGTAAAACCAAGCTTGCATTTGAAGGATTTATGTCTGAGCAGCAGCAGCAAGTCATACTTCCTGATAGAAAGCTTGACAGCGGCGGACTGATATATGAGAAAATAGTACCACAGATTGCGATGATTCATGCGATGCAAGGTTAGTTTTATTTCAAACATTATTTTTTCAGCACAGACATTTACACTGACAGTCTGGTGTAATACAGAAATTGCTTTGGGTGTTTTGTGGAGTGGGTAAGACTGTTTTTAGTGACAGGCCAACTATGGCCATTGACATGCACTAGCCTAGCACCAGCGAACCTCTGCAAATACAAGGACTGGATGGAATATTTTAAAAAGTGTCTCCACTCATCTCCAACACTCTAGGAAACACTAGGAAATGAGGCCCTATATCCAAAATTCCGAACTGTGCCTTTAAACCTTTCTATCTATATGGAGACCATATCAGCCCAAGTTACAGGTCAGATCTGTGGAGAGGTTTTTCTAGGTATTTTTGAACTAAACCACCTGTAATTTCATAAACGTAAGACAGAGCTGTTTAAAGTTATAGTGTGGAACATTCCCGGCAGAGAAATGACAAATCCATAAAAATAAGCAGGTAATAGACCCCCAACCAAAAAATTACATCGTGCACTTTTAAAACTAAACAGAGATCAAAACCAGGACTAGAACAGGACCACGCCAAATCTACCTGAGGACTAAACTGGGCTCAAACCAAAACCAGGACAAGTATGAACGCACCCTTAAGCAGAAAGTAGAGAAGAACTAGCTTACTCAGTCTAATGAAAAAGTAGTATGTTCTATTTATACATCATGGATTATACCTTACCATCTGTTAAGCAAATGAAAGGATAAAAACCACCACATGAGAACGCCATCTAATTTTCTACTAGCGACGTTGAGATTAGTCTGTTAATTGATAATCATGATTCGCTATTTAGGCAATGATTGAATTTTAGAATGAGGATTAAGTCATTTCGATCTATTCTCCCAAATTGTAAACCTGAAACGTTATTTATGTCATACTAACCTCAGGGTGGGCGATGTAGCTTCGGTGGTCAAGAATATGTCACTGTATTGGTATAGAATGTCCCACTGTATGGCATTAAATACCTATCTCCTATCTGGATCTGGAAAGCTTGAATAGCGTACGGGAGAGATTGCAAAATTACTCAAAAATGCAGGGATGACATCTGAAACCTTTTTAGGGAACAGGGGGAACAATGTTGTAACATAGAAAGATCGATTTAGCATGATAACCCCTCTTTAATATGCAATTTTATATAATTTACATATATTATATACCATATTTTTCAGACTATAAGTGGCACTTTTTTCATGGTTTTGGTGTTCCTGCGACTTATACTCCAGTGCGACTTATATATTAATATTTTCACAGTGACAGCCGCGAGAGGGTACTCTAGTCCCGCTGTCACTTCGCACCCTACTGCGCATGTCTACTGCAGAAAAAGCTATTGTCTTGCTGCAAGTAGTGAAAAATTCAGGCGAAAACGGTAATCAAGTAGCAAAAAGAAACTTTGGAGTGAACGAGAAACTTGTGAGGGACTGGCGGAAAGCGGGGATGGTGAACACAGCTTCACGGCAACCGGAGGTTGCACCATGCAACTTTCCTGGATGTCATTGAATGGATCGACAAACCGTGGACTTCAGTGACAACTGAAACCATCCTGTCAGGATTCAGAAAGGCTGGAATAATTCTAACTGAAACTGATGCTGAGTCTGACGACAGCTACACAGAAAAGGAAGCAGCGTTCTCTTAACCTCCGAAGGTTGCTCAGAAGTGACACTGAGGATGAAGAATTCAATGAATTTTGTGATTTGGAGAGCGATGGAGAGTTTGGTAAACTTGTTCTGTTCTGTTGTTTATGCTATAATTATCTGAAGAACTGTTCATATGTGACATTAACAGTCTGTTGTTCTCTGTTCTATTGTTATTAATATAACTTGCATTTCAAGATGAAATGTGGGTTCCTGGTCTCTGATTTTATAAAATAAATTTCCCCCAAAAAGTGCAACTTATAGTCCAGTGCAACTTATATTTGTTTTTTTCTTCTTCTTCATTAGGCATCTTTTGGCTGGTGCAACTTATACTCTGGAGCAACTTATAGTCCAAAAAATACGGTAACTCAAAAAATCTAGTGTTTTGTCACAGTATCAATACTTGTGTGATACGTGAATGATGATTAAAGTGTTAAGTTTCTTCACACAATCAAACCCACAAAAATGTAATATTGTGAAATCACTAACTAACAGATACAATTCCGACACCCAGGTTTTATAGCAAGAGATTGTTTTATTCTTCTTCACCATTTTACATAGAAAAGGTGTCTTTACAATCTAACCTGAGAAGAGCGAGGCTGCTACAAAGTGAAGAGGAGTCATTTGTTGTTTCACCACTTGAAGAAAAAAACAAAAAAACAAAAAAAATTAGCCACGAATGACCTATGTCTCAACATAAATCTTCTATATAGCAATGTTTTCTCACATTTTCACATTCAGAGTCTGTGCTTTTCTCTTAGCGAGGAGGGGAGAAAAAAAAACTGAAAAACACATCTATGGGTTGGAGTTTTGGCTAGCAGCCTCTTCTTGATAGATCAGACACGCGCACCCACAGTATCTCGCTTGAATCTCGCTGTAGTGGCAGAACAGCCGCTAGAAACATGAGCTGCTAACTTACAGATATTCAAATAGGATAGCTGTCTCCTCTTTTTTTTTTTGCTTTTTTGCCAAAGGGAGGTTGGTTTTGCCTGGATCCTGAGCTGTAGATACGGCGGTTAATAAGTTTGATATCTCTCTTCCACTGACGAGTTGCCGCAAGCAGGGTACAAAAACCACCACAAAACCACCTTGTGATATCATGTGATAATACAAGAAGTGCTCCACTGTGTTTTTAAACTTGATACACCTTCACCAGAATTATTTGGAACCATTTCATCCCTGGAAATACCAATCTACTGAACAATAGGTAAGAGGTAGCTGTTAATTTGAAAACTACTGCTTCATGACATCGCAAGAACGGAGGATTCAGAGCTTTGGAGATGTCAAGAGACTAATAATGCAGCATTGCTTAAACTTGTGTGATTGAAACAAAACGCAACAAGTTTAATATATCTCTTCTGCTGTCGCTTCGCCGCAAGCAGGGCACTACATCACGTTCATTCACAGAAATTGTACGCAAAGTTAATATAGCCTTTCTTGCAATGGGTTCACCAAGAAAAATAAGAAGTCATACTGCCAGTTTTAACTCCGCTACGCCACCTTTTTCATTCCAAGTCTCCTTGAGTTTCTCCGCAGGGTGCCTCCTCCTTTCCGTATGTTCTTGCTCCAATTGAAGTGACGCCACACCAAAATAGAACAGAGTGAATAACGATTTTTACACATTCTGAGACGTGGGTAAAATCAGAGCCTTTTGTAGTTTGGCATAAGTTACAATGTACCCCATTATTTTTTATTAAATAGTATTCTGCACTTTCTCCAGCTGGATCCTTCAAAGTGATTTTTGTTGATTCTTTTTCATCATCTCGGTTTGAACGAATGCCCCAAAATTCAAGTATACCACTCCTACATTGCACTCGCTTTTACTACAAAAAGTTACTGTTGACTTGAAGTGGTGCTGATTGGCCATGTATTTGTAAAACATGAAGAGTCATTTGCATAAATATTTGTCAAAGTAGACTTTAGCGTGGCTTTTTTTAGTCTTTGGGAGAAAACAGGGTGCGCTACATTATTAAGCCTTCTGTGAACCAAGCCGTACCCGGTCTCCATTAGAGCAAGCGGACTAATAAATTAAAGTGGTTAAATAATACTGAATTCAAAACACAAAATAAAGCCTGAACTAAGTCCAAATTAATTATGAGGGCGGGTACAGACGTAGGGAAAATGAAATGACAAAATTGTAGTCCATAAAAAGGCTACATAAATAAAGTGGAGTTGGTCAGAGTCACAGTCACAGAGCAGATCTCCTGCGGAGGGAGTGGGCAGTTTCTTGAAGCACTTGTCTGGTTGTAACGGGTGGTTATCTCAACAAGATTGAAGCAGTCAGGTGCAGCCGCAATGGGCCGCTGAAGGGTTCTCCGTGAACCCGAGGAAGGATGCGTTTAGTCCAAAGACAGGCATTCTTCAGAGAGTCCGATGACGCGCCGTCACCAGCGTGTTAAGTGTCCTTCTCTCTCACTCTCTCTCCCTCTCTCTCTTTGTTTCACTGAGGAGGCGTCTCTCCCACTAGCTCAATGCCGTGCTGCTGGAGCTGTGCGCGCAGCAAAGCGTTCTCGTTCTTCAGCTCCTCGATCTGGGGAACAAAAAGAAGAGGAAAAGAAGAGGAAAATGATCAACAACTGTGTCAGGCGGCTAAATATACCTCAAAGTGTACGGCACAAACTTTTTCCATTTGAAGAGTGGGAGTGCGGGCTGTGGGTAACGTACACACAGGACTTTGAAAAGTGCAGATTAAAGACAGACTGAGAGACACACACTCTGCTGTCCACCAGCAAGTGGATTATCAAATCTGGAGCTATGACATCTGTGCTACACTTCCCCTGGGTGAAAGCCAAACACAGCGGCTCCCCACTGCGCAGAGGAAGAGATGGGACGCTTTGAGCATCAGAACAGGAATATCTTTCTCCGAGCCTTACAGGCCTGGGATTCAAAGGGGAAGCTTCGCCTCAGAGCCTCAGGATTTGACAATAGTTTTCAGAGAATTAGCATGCACTTAGTTCTCTCATAACCCCTGTGTATAAGATTCCCACAGTCTGTCAGACAGACTGCAGGTAACACGTCTCATTATAGGAGTGCAAATGCTTTGATCCTCTGTCTGCCTGAGATGATCAGCTATAGAGCCTCCTGTCTCTGGAGGTTTGTCTCAGAAATGAGAATTCATACAGAGCAGTAGAGTTTGGGATGTTTCAACAATCTTAAACGCCCAAAACTCTTCTAAGAGGAAGCAATCTTCACAGGCACATATAGAGCTTCCTATGGCTGCCCACTTCAAGCTGTCTGCAATACCAACCAGCTCGTGGAACATTTGCACATATATTTCATTCATGAACATTATTGACATGGTAGTGAAGTAACACACACTCCATTTATGTCCATAGCTGTTTGTCACAGCAGTGGGTAGAGTCGTACCTGCTGTCTGCATAGCTCGTTGTCCACCTGTATCCTCTCTACCTCCTTCAGAGCCTCCTGCAGATGCTGGTTGCTCTGCCTCAGCTCTCGGATGTAGTCGCAGGCTTTGGACAGGATGCCCCCTTTGCTCTGGAGATATAACAAGAGGTCACATTTAGGATACAATATTAGATGCCCTCAGTCTTTCTGCATATTGCAACATTAAATTATAAACTATTTTAAAAGGGCCCATATCACACTATTTTCTGATCTATGTTATATTGTTGTTTCCTCAAAAACATACCTGGTTCATCCACACGTTTAACACATAAATCCTACATATTTAAGATGAATTATTCTCACTCTGTTCCACCTTGTGATGTTGTGATAATAGTTCCACTGTATATTTAAACTCCATACACCACTAGAATAATCTGGACGATTTCAGCCACAGAATTGCCAGTCTCTACTGAACAAAAGGTAAAAGGTAGCCGTTAACTACTACTTCATGACATCACAAGGTGGAACAAAGCATTTTGAGCTTTGCAGATGCAGAAGTAGAGAGACTAATAATTCAGCATTACTTAAACTTGTGTGAATGAAACTAAACACAACTCCAGGTATGTTTTTGATAAGGCAACAACAATACAATATTGTTTAAAGTTCAGAAGAGTCAACTGTGCATAATATAAGACCTTTAACTCTATAAGAAAACACGGTTGTCAAAAGTTACACACACACACACACACACACACTTACAGCTCCCGTCTTCGTGCTGTCCATGTTGCAGTCCGGGATGATCTTGGACAAAGTCACGATCCAGTTGTTAATTTTGTCTCTCCTCCGTCTTTCAACTTAACAATTTGGCATAAAAAGGCCAGAATTAGAATGACCTTGCAATAACATTATTTTAAAGCCAGCATTTCGTTTTTGTTCACCATCACTTAAGAGCTTGTTTATCCCACTCAAAAGGGCCCACTTGACACAGCCCAACACTGACCTCTAGTGGCCATTAGTGACACATGCTTTCACAGTGTCCAGTGCCTTGTCATTCCCTTTATATAAAACCCTCCATTGTCTTGTGTGAATCAAAAGACACAATCAGACATAATTACCCACCTTCATTATGTTGCGCTCTCCTCCTTTCATCTCGTGGCGTGCGGGGTCCGTCCATTTTCCTGCACAGAAAGGAAATAAAAGCATTCCTCACACTTGGGTGTATCTCTCCTGTGTTGAACTAGCATGCTCCCTGGCACCGGTCCAGTCCAATTGCTCAACTCAATCTATAATCCTTCGCCTTAGAAAACTTGTTATCTTCAAGTCTTTGTGGCGCCGCTCGGGCTCTGTGTGCATGCTAATTCCGCTGGTGAGGTGCTGTGGTCACGCTATCACAGTACTACAGAGATCCATCTAACCTTTTTGTTCTGGCCCGCTGTCCTTTTAACAAGATGTGGCCCGGAGGGATGGTCAGGCTTTATTACACTGTGAAAGGGGTCTGGGGTGTTGTTTCTCGACCAGTTATGGTTTTAATCACATGAAACGTATGTTAAGATAAATGGGATAAAATGTGCGAAATAAAATAATCTGGTTTGTTCTGTAATGTGTCACAAATGATGATGAGGTATTACTGAATATAGGGGTGGGTGAGTTGACCTAAATAATAACAATTAATAAGTGCAGTAGATGCATTTATTAAGTTAAATGCTCTTTACATCATGCATTGTATAGAAAAATATGCTAAATTAGAAAAAAAAAAAAAAATAGACTATAGATATAACGTGTTCATTTTATATACCACCTTCTCAGGTAATAACTAACAACCAAGCTCCTGACAGGGTCACCTTTTTTCATCCAATCAGGCACACAGACAGCTGGTGTCCCATAATTCTTATTAACGGACTCCCGGATACTCGATTTTCTGTCATGGTGCAATTTCAAGAGCAACAATAAAGTAAATAATAGGCCGAGATTAGGAAAGTGTAAGGAAACAACTGCATGACACTATCGCAGACAGTTGTTTCAGGGTCCTGGTGCAATATCACAGTGGCACGAAAGACTAAGTGAGCTAAATGTTCAAACTAAACAAGGTTCCCAAGTCGGACACTTTAAAAATGCGTCGTTGGGCTGTGGTGTGTGAACAGAAAAATGAGAAAATACTGCATAAAAGCTAAATATGATGTTATTGGTGTAACCTATAGGTCTCATAAGTGGAAAATATTAAAGAGTAACAACTATCAAGACTGTGACATTACAGATTTTTAGATAGTTGTCTCTTGTAACCTGTTAATAAATATTCTGCTAATTTAGAACAATCTCTAATGCAGGAGTCTCCAACCAGTAGCTCCGAAGCAACCAGTAGCTCTCCACTACCTTCAAAGTAGCTCGCCAAGAGATTTCTGAATGACACCTATTGTCCTGAATAAGTAAAATTTTATTCCTTAAATGCCTTTTACAATTGTACCTGTATCATTATGATGCCTAACTTTGCATAATGCTTTATGTTTTGTAAGCATCTAACTGTTCCTCATCTAAGGCCGTGGCTCTTATACTTTTGACTGCTAAAACTAATAGCTCTCTTGCATTTTTGTTTTGAAAAAGTAGCTCACCAGAAGAAAAAGGATGGAGACTCGTGCTCTAATGCTGTCTTATTCATTATTATTTATTCATTATTATTTATTCTGCCATCTTGCCCATATTCATAACCAATACACTGACATTAAACGCCTATAATTGGTTAGTTGGTTACTGGTCAAACTTCAGTACACATTAAAGATTAAAAAAAAGCTTTGAGTGTTTCACAGTATGACAATGACACATCTACCTTACATGTATTCAAGTACAGGTGGTGTTATAGCTCCAAAATACCTAGAAAAACAAGCATTCTGACTGTGAGTGGGTTGCCTTTCCAAAGATCTGACCTGTAGCTTGGCCTGTTTTGATCTCCATAATGATAGAAAGGTTTAATCTCATACTGTGAAACATTTCAGACAAAGCAAGGAGAGAAAAGAAAAGAAGCACCCTCCACCTGAAATGTTACACAATGCACCTTTCTTACAAACAGAGATCCATTAGCATTGCGGCCGTGACGCAGCATTATTTGACCACCTTTTACATGAAGCATAAAACACAAACTCACAAATAGTACAAAATTAACCTAAAGTAAAATTGCTCCTTGTTAATAATTCTTGTAAAGTCTTGTTCTGGCCCCTGAGCACCTGAAGTCTTTATTCTGGGCTGGTGAATTTGTGGCTAATCAACCCAACTCCACAGCCGATAGTCTATCTCCAGCCCAGATAGGAAACCAAGCCTGGCTGCAGTCTCACTTGTATCTCAACACATCTTAATGGGATTTGGGCTGCATAATGGATTCAGCGGGCCCAGGCTTACTGTATACTGCAATAAGGAAAATGTGGAATGAATAAGTAAGATGCAGAACAGCAGGAATGTCTTTGGTATAACCTATGAGTTGGAAGAATCAGAGAGAATTGGCAGAGACGGACTGCATCTCAAAAAACCTAAATTAAATAAGAGTCTTAAATAAGACTAAACTGATCAAAATGTGTTATGTAGCTGTTATTTATCTCTCAACTATCTAAAGCTTTGTATAAATAAAAATTCAAACATTCTGAGACTTTCTGGGCCAACTATGACCCGTATATAATGTTAGTGTCATCCGTTTATATGTCCAAACCAGGATATTGACTCAACCAGCAAATTTTCAGTAGCACCGTCGATATCTGATACCAATATCACATTGGTGCATGCCTATTTCTATTGTCTATTGACTGGCATCCAAAGCTGTGTGGATCTATATTTTTAAAATATGATGTCATTTTTTAATGTCTCTGTTTTCGTTATATAAACTATTTTATTGTCAACTAGTCAGCTAAGAGTAGGTCTTTCCATTTGGTGGTTTTGGCTAAGATAAAGAAAAAATTATTTAATAGAGCTGTACAGTTAATAAATTTACAATAACCCATGGTAAACATGATGTAGTCAAAGAAACCAAATCTGATCTAAAAAATAATAAGAGTCTCTTCTCTGATCTATCGGTTAACTTTTGACAGTTCATTAAAGATGATCTCCAAACATTGTGATTTGAATAATGACATAAATAATTGTTATTGTGATTATGACTTGTAAGCAATCTGGCAAATTATCAAAAACTGAATGGGACTTGACAGAACATAACATCAAATTCAACAACATTGTTTAGTGAGAAAACAATATATTGAAATTAAAGATGCTTAGTGAAATTGTGTTGGGATATAGTGTCACATTACTGAAATTCAGCAAATTTTATACTAAAAAAAGGCTTGACACTCGATAGTGATGTTGATACCACGGTGAAAATAAAAAACTGTTTTAGCATCAATTAGAATCTGGGTATTGATTCACTTACTCAATCAAGTCAAGTCAATCCATATGTAATGCATAGGAGCCATACCAAGGTAATTATACAGTAGCACCTGCAGCTACTATCACCCAAGAAAGTTAAAATTTCAGCCAGACCTTGACCCAAAACCAAAATCATGCCACCTTCAAAAATGAGATGCATGAAAAACTATGAATGACTAAATTTGTAAAAGTAACCTAGAAACGTAGAAAAGTAGGCTAAACGTGAGGAGGGAGTGAAGACGGCCGATCCCACTTTGAACAGGACTCTAAAATAACAGCGCGAGAAGACCATTTGTTTCCAAGTGAGGAACAATGACCTCATTTTCAGAGTCCTAATGGAAATACATTTGCTCACAACAAAGGATTGGGGTCATCTGTGAAGAATAGAACGTGGGTGGGAGTGAAGGGGGTCCGGGGCAATGGAGGTGTGTTTTCTACGATTACTTGTTCATATGCTCAAAAAAAATGTAAAAACATAAAATAGGAGGAAGAGAGAGAGAGAGGGAGAGAGAGATGTCCTCACAAGCTCTAACCTTCGAGCTGTAGCGTCTCAGTCACCTTATCTGGCTTTTGCAGAGATGAAACCGTTTTTCACTCATTTTGCTCGAGCTTCAAAAATGTCACTTTTGCAGATTTAAATGCTTAGGATTTAAAATGCATGGATAATTTGTGCATAGTTTTGACAAAAATAAACCCCAAAAAATAAGGGCACTAAAAATTTGATGAAGTGCAAGTGCAGAGTATTATGTATTAAAAACAAAAAAGCTTTATATGAACTTTAAAACAACAGAAATTTGTGACAGTTGCAGTTAGTTCTTAACCTTGCACAGCAAAATGGATTCTCAAAATATTTGTGAGTTCACAAACTCACAAGAATCCATCTTGGCGTTCCCCCGTGATAGGGTCTGACAGGTGGTTGGTGCACCAATCAGAGAGCAGCACTGAGGTTTGTGCAGAAGTCAAAGGTGAAGAGCTCAAGAGAACAAAAACAAACATGGTGACTATTTTAGCATCAATACTGACAATTAAATTTGTGGAAAAACATACAGAAGGTAAGAGCTGTATGCTTTTGTGGACAGGGAAAATGACTGGGCCTTTTTCTCAACTGGATTTAACTAAAGTTTAGATTTTTCAGCCTGGTCCACTGTCGTGACACATTCAACAAATCAGATTCAAGTCCTCATGATGTTCTGTGTTTTTAGATCTCTTTCGGCGAGAGCCTTCCCGGATTGATAATGTGTAGAACTCAATCTAGAGTGACACACAGCCTGTCGTGAGCAGGTTTGTTATTTCTGTGTCATTTGGGAAGGCCTGTATTTAAAAGCTAATTAGGTAATGGAACATGTTGCCAAAAGAAATGTTTTAGTCCCAAAGGTAATGTTGAAATGTGTTTACACAGGTTAGAAATATTAATGTAATATTCTGGTTGAAATGCCTGACATGTAACAGATGTGTCGCTGTAAATACCTTCAAGTGTTCACAATTTATTTATTTTCAATTAGTTGCACCAAGTTTTTAGCAACTGCATTAGCATATCGTTCGCCTCATTTTTTCACTGAGGGCCACTTAATGAAACACATCCTAGTGACTGACACAGCAAGTCTTACTGATGCCTGTTACATAGTCTGCCCCCCCGGCCACAGTTTGGACACCACGGGCCTATGTCAAAACCACAAACTGCCCCATCATATAAGATGAAGACATCCATTGACACTACAGATGCAGCAGGGTGATTTGGTGAAGAGAATGACTTGGGCAGTGAGGTTACGAGGCGGGCGATACAGGCAGTCTACGTGAAGCACGGACCACACTGCAATTCCACAAAAGCTCCTTCTTCACTGTAGAAGGGAGCGCGGCGCTGCTGTGTGCAATAAACATCAAATCATTTCTGCGCGCGTGGAGCTGCTGCCAAACCCAGCGTGAATCTATAGCTGCCCACAACAAAAGCAGCTTAATTCTCCGCGATGTGGAGAACTTTCGAACCCACAGAGGAGCCGATGGTCCAATCCACTCAATCCTAAAACTGGCAAGCGATGAAAAGGAAGCCGTGATAACATTGTAGTGTGTGTCTTTGGCGAGTTACTTATAAAAATAAAAGAGTCATTATTTAAGGAGCTAAATGGGGGCCTGTGTTGCAGAGGCATAGTCCGTTATCTAACTCCGAGTGGAACGAAAGACTGCAATCATTTCACAAGTAGAGGGAGGAGGAGGGGGGGTCGAGTCCAAGAATGGGAAGATTCACAGAAAAGACGGATAATTTTATTTGAAGAAGTCATGTGTTCACCGTGGAGGGCTTAACTGTTAAATGGCAGTGCTTTACGGGCCATAAAAAGTAATTACAGACGGATGGTGAGCTATATGCCTATTAGAAACTGTTACTTTCTCTTTTTAGCAAATCCATCTCTTTTACAGGACAATGCAAAATGTTCAGTGGCATAGCATCAGGATCATATTATTCATGATATTCTACAATATGAGAAAAACATGAAATATGCGATACAGATGTTATATTTTAAGCACTATAAGTTCAATTAAATAAAAAAGTTAAACCGTGTTAAAATAAAAACTTAACTAAACTATGACAACAGGGCAGAATTTATTTGGATATTTGGTCTATTTTATTGTACATTTCTGTAAAATGGAACACTGTGGATCAGGAATTCAAAACATAAATGTGCAATTTTCTTTCCCCCCGAAATTGTTCAATCGTTTGACTCATAAGTTGCAATCTGAAATCCACTCACAGCTGTGGTGGAAAGAGAACCGGAAATTTACAAGATGAAAAATACTACTCAAAATACTAGCTGCTTTTTAAAATGATTTTTTTAAATTCAAAACTTGATTAATTAAACAGTTTAGCCGCATGAGCTCTGGCCAATCAGAGCCGGCGCTGCAGTCCTGTATGCATGTGTGTGTTGTGAGCTGTGCAGCCCTTAGTAGCTTTTAAATGTTTAATTACACGCTCTCACAAGGTCAAAATTAGACAAAAATTACAAGAACAGGTTTAAAACGCTCCTCAAAAAAGGTCTGTCATGATAAATACTACATTGACTTATGATTCAGTATATGAAAGTTGAAGCAATATATTGTTTATGGCTCAATATTTACCATGTGTATAATTTCTTTGTAAAAGTTGGGAGATTTTTTGAGCAATAAAACACCCGTAATTTAACAAATGCCGTATATTTAACTATAATGCCACACTGTCAAACCTGCCAGGCAAAGCAATGACATCCCCATGGAGACACCTTTAATTTCAACTCCTGATTTAAAGTGGAAACGAGTACCAACACAGAACATTAAATTACCAGATGAGCTAAATTAACTACTTTTTTAAACAGATATTCTCAGGCGTGTGCAATTCTAATAGTCAAGGAGAAACTCAAGGTCATTAAACAAAATCAAGTTCATCAGGTAGCATTGAAGCTGCTCTATTACTTTACTATTGTTAAAGCATTAATTAAAAGAAGATGAAAAAAAAAAACATTTGTCTCTGCTGAGGTGAGCCTGCTGTTAAGCTTAATAACCGCAATCAGCCGTGTGAAGCCCGCAGTGGGAAAGAGCGCAATGGGAGCCGTGTGATGGGTGATTAAAATGGTTGCAGGTAGTAAATATGGGGATAAACAGCACCTAAGAGGATTAAAAATAAGAGAAGAATAGGCAAAGAGGACACAAACAATAATGACCTCTGAAGCGACGCAAATCCTTAGTGTAAGAGGCTTTAGTACTGTAGTAACACATAGGCAACACTTCACACAAGAGCCAAGTAATACCCATACACAGAGCATGGGAGGTCCACAGCCACTGCATGTGATCCACGCTAATGTCGTTAAGAGTAGATAAATACAACCGCTTTTTCCACTTTCCACAGCATTAACTCAACTTAATGTTCAATGCCAAGTCATGGAGCGGGTGAAACGAGACTAGTATCCACAAAACGAGACGAAACACAAAAAGATTGGGTCAACAAAAATGAGAAAAGATGAGATTTTGATATTTTTGACAATTGACAATTTATAATACATAAATTGTGTGGTTCAGTTCACAGTTTTGGTCTTACCATTTTTGACTTTTATTAGTCATTTTTACTTTTATTAAATATTTTTGGAGAACTGCTTTTTCAGAACTACGGCTTTGCAAGAAATGAAACTAGCCCCCTTTTTTTGTCCAATCTAAATGTAAACACAGAAAAAAATCTCAGGGTAATTTTTTTTTGTTTTTATGTGCAAATATTTTTTGTCTTATGAGATCTTGTCGCATCCCTACTTGAGTACATTTGTTTAAATTATATTAATCTGAGAATCCTGTCTAAAATCCTTCAACTCAAACTCACAACCAAGCCTTTGAAAATAACAAAAACACATTTACACAGCAAGCATAATAATTCTTTCTATAATTTAACTTGTGTACAAGGTCTAGATTTAACAAGTGTTTCAAATGGAAAAGATGAAAAGAAACAAACACAACAAATATTTGCAAAACATTTGCAGGACCCCTTAATCATTCACTCTTGTATTTCCTTCCTCATAATAACAGCTCAACAGAAGTACGGATGTTGCTGAACTGAATATTACTGTACGAATTGCATTGTGCACAAACCCATTCCCCACATTAACTGAATGAACAGTCTCAGGTAGTTTGGTACTTACGCAGGAAATGGCTGTGTCCGGGGAGCGAGGCTTCGTTGTGCACCTGCCTGTATGATGTCAGGGGGGGTCATCATAACATAGAACTGCCCTGGAGAAAGAAAACAGCAAGATTCCATTCAGTCTAGAAGAGAGCAATATTGACAGAAATTTTGACATCTAAATATAGACAGACACCAAGGCAGGGGACAAACCAGGGACGTCAAAATCACACAAACAACACATATGATACACAGGGCAACATATAAAAAACAACTACAGAGGAAAAACGCAACTACACTTATACAAAATAAAATAAAAATGCAGGTGAAAATAATACTGTTAAATTATAGAGCGGGGACTCCAACCTTTTTCCTTCTGTGAGCTACTCTTTGTAAAACCAAAATGCCAGAGAGCTAATAATTTTAACGGTCACAAGAAATTTAGTAAATATAAGAGCCATGGTAAGCCCAAGATGAGGTACAGTTAGATGTCAATCAAACATAACCCATTATCCAGTTATCAGTGCACAAAATTGGGCATAAAATTTATACATTTACAAAGGAAATATGCATTTAATCAATCAAATCTGAGTTATTCAGAACAATACGTATAATTCAGAATTACCTTGGCGAGCTACTTTTAAGGGGGTGGAGAGATACTGGTAGCTCCCGAGCTACAGGTTGGAGACCCCTGTTATAGATATTTCCTGCATATATATTCCATGTTTTAATAGCTTTTTTTTGTTTTTAGTAATTTTTATTGTCTCGAAATATTGGTGTATTTCGTTCTTATGGTGATGATGACCATTTGGTTTATATTGGAGTCCATTTTATGTCTATGAAAATTGTGTTAAAGTGTGTCTAACCACAAAAGTGCAGAAATATTTTGTTGCTGGTTCTTTGATTCAACAATGTGGTGACACCATTCTCTCAGAAGGGGGAAGAGCCAATTCTCTCTATTAATTACATATTCATAAGAAATATCTAAAAAGTAAATTCACAAATGCTGAACCTGATCATTTCTATTAGTGACCAGACCCAAGATCTCACTGTATTATAACAAAAATGGATTAGAATGAATTCATTTTAGCTGCACTCCATCTGTATTAAAAGGTGCATTGCGCATTGAAACATTCCAGACAAAGCAATAACATTTCCATGGAGAAATGCATTTGATGGGTGCTCCACCAGAAAAGTTACACATTGCATCTTTAAATATTGTAGGCCTAGAGAATGTTGTGATGTTATATGAAACCCAGCTAGATGATTTGTCAAATTCCTTTGCTATTTTCTTTCTATTACTATCTACTTTTTTTGCAGACAATTTCACACACCCCTTCACACACAATCATACACCAGTGTGGCCAGACACTGGGGGCAAGGTGGGTTAAGTGTCTTGCCCAAGGACACAACAACAGCATTATAAACACACTTTAAAACTGTGTCGATCTGGCCGCTCAACCAGTAGTGTTTTTAAGTCGAGAGCAGGACTCGAACCAACAACCCTTGGATCGGTGGACAAACACTCTACCAACTGAGTTACTACACTTAGTTACCTGTATATTATAATGTCGCCTATCTCAAAAACAGCAACTGCAATAGAAGCCATTTTTCTATGTATCTCCCAGCTCTGACTCAGCCCTAGATTTTGCTCTACTTTTGTTTCTGCATTCTGTTGACATGTGTTGCGATTCCCATTCACATCACTTGGCCTCGCTACAGTGCAGTTCGGTGGCACTAACAAGCAGAGCAGCTCACTTCAGAGGAGAAGGGAGCGTGGAAGGAGCCCTGACTATATCCAGCGGCGCGGAGCAGTCGGAGTGTCATGGCTGCCTAAACTGCTTTAAGCTCTTGGGAAGAAAAGCACTTATTCACACTAAAAACACAGGGCCAGGGCTGATACACAGTCATGAAGTCAAGGCTCCGAGCTGTGAGCTGTGTGGTTGGTGCCCTCTAGTGGCTTCATCAGTGCATATCTGAGCTAATCAGTGGAAATGAGTCCCACATGATTGCATACTAGTGAAGGTGAAAAAAAACCTGAGGATTTTAATAGTCTGGCTCAAGTGCTGGTTGTTTCTATTCTGGTGTTTTTGAATAGCAAATAAAGGCTCAAAAATCGTCAGATAAAGAAAAAGAGGTAGAGTGCTTCACTGGGTCATAAAAAAATATTAAAAATAGCAGAACAGGTGCTCTACGAGGGTTAAAACAGTAGTCTTTAAACAGAAACTTCGACTTTGCCTTGACGAAGACCATCTTGCTGGTCGAAACGCGTTGGTGTCCCTTAATGAAATAAAGGACTTTTAATATATTCAGTCGGAGTGCCTTGGGTTTGTACCTTGCCCACTTTTACATTTTCCAGTAAAGGTAACTTTCTGTTAAAAGGCTCAAAAATGTTAGCTGTCATGAATGTGTGAAATGAAAACTAATTGAAATTTTCCCTGTTTATTCCTATAATGATCCTTGTTTATTTTTAAAAAGACCCAATGATAACATGCAACCACACTCTAATATGTAATTTTGTGGTTGGGATGAGTGGGAACAGTAGCATAGTTTTCATATTCTAGAAAGTGAGATATCATACTATGAACCTTTTTTTCACTATTGATTAAAAAACTAGACATACTTAAAACTCCTATATTATGCAAAATTGACTCTTCTGAGCTTTAAGCCATGTTAGAATGCTGTTACCGCACCAAAACATTCCTGGAGTTTTGTTTTGTTTCATTTACACATGTTTGAGTAATCCTTTATTATGAGTCTATCTATATCTCCAAAGCTCAAAATGCTCTGTTCTACCTTGTCATGTCATAAAGCGGTAGTTTTCAAGTTAATGGTTAAAAAAGGGAAATACTAGAGATGTCAAAAGTGATTACTAGACCCTTGAGCAAGCTATACAACAGATACCTGCATATGACTTAGGGCTGTGCAGTTATGAGATAGAGATTCAGTCATTTCTAGTCATCATTAATAAGCCTGGACCTTTTTAACCGAGAGGTCTACAGCCCATCTGTCAGTAAAAGCAGGCGGTTTGGAGCAGATTTCACACTTTGGCAGAATAAATTTGATAATTTTTGTATTAAATGGGAAATGATTAAAAAGTATGCCTCGTTTTCAGGTTCAGGACATTAATACTGAAAGCCATTAATTTGTTTTTCGTAGAACGCAATAAAATGTAATAAAAAAAATTCTTGATAGATAATATGAGAAAATAATCCTGACAATAGGCTCTATTCACGCTTACGTTACAAACTAGGAAGATGTTTGGAAACATGCGATTACAACATCCCAGGCCAAGTTTTCTTCATCTAAATGTCATTGTAGCATTCCGTTATGTTCACCTAATGAACAATTACAACCATACTTCAGTTTTCATAATTTCACCACTGACACACAACTCTGATCTCACTGGGTACATGCAAATAGAAGAGATGAGGCACCAAATTCAAGACTATTCCAAACAGCACATACGTATGCAGTCTATATTTTACCACTGATCACATTTATTGCAATGGGTTTTGATCACAGTCGGTTTTAGTAGATCCATGTTAGGTGAGCCCACTGTGGGTAACTACACCACAAGTTGTAATCGCATCTTTCCAAACGTTTTCCTAGTTTGTGATGTAAGAATAGCCCCTATATTTCATAGTCCAGCCAAAATTTGATGAATAGTAAGTACCATGCCTCTCCATTAAATTACAGAACTACAGAAAGCTTGTTATGATGTCATCTGAAAACATGGCTCGGCGATATTGCAATAAAAATCTAATCCTGATCTGGTCCCTGTGTTGATACACTATTTTGCTGAAACTGTAATACTGAAATTCACAAATCTTCTGTTTAATGCAGCTCTGTTCTCAAACAATTTCTCCTCACCCATTATTAGTCAGCCTTTGTCATGCTCTGAGTGAGTGGCAGTTGGATTTAACCAATTACAGTGACGTGTGAACATTTGGAAAAAGCACATGACTTTATTTGCTACTTGAAGGCAATATATAAAGCCTTTTTCTCTACTGTGGTAAGATTTGAGCTGTAAAAGTTTGAATAAATAACTCGACTATGACTTCTTAAGTATTTCATTGACATATTGTACATATAGAATAGTTTTTCTGGGCTGCTTTAGGATGTCAGAATGTTAGGTGGCATAATGGCACTCAGCATGATCGTTTATTGTGTATATTTCTTTCAGCAATATATTGTACTTGAAAATGTGTTATCATGACAGGCTTAGCAATATAAAAATCACAAAAAACACACATAAAAAGTTATAACATTGAAAAAGTGAATAGTCTCCCAAAAAACTAGCTTTTCATTTTTTGGCATATCTCACCCTATCTAAAACCCAGCCATAGACCAAGATACTTTTCCCAGCTTGCATCAGTGGGTCTCTTTATGGTTGAGAAAGACATTGATTCCTGTCTCCGGCTAACAGTCTAGTGCACAGTGTAGCGCTTGATCCCACAGAGAGCAGAGAGGAGCAAACTCACCCCCTGCCTGTGTGAGTGTGGGGTCTGAGGCCGCCTGCACAGACACCGTCCCGTCACTCACTGCCGTCGCGGGGAAGTAAGCGAAGCGCGTCTCCCCTCCTCCCACTGCCTCCCCCGCCGGGCTGCCTCCATTACTAAAAGGGTTCTGGATCACAGCCTGCGACAGATGTGTGAGAGAGTCGAGAGAGAGTGAGAGGGAGCTTAAATACACCTCGCTCTGTGTCAGACCGCAGACTCTGTCCCCACTGCACAGGCCTGTCTGACAGCTGGGACAAACGAATGAACAAGAAATGTAGGGAACTGGGATGCTGCAAGTGGGGTTAGCAGGCCAGTCAGGAAATGTAAATACAGACAAAATAAATGTTCTCGAATAAGGACTGCTCTCCTTTTATGCATATAGATCATTCTTGAGAAACAAGTAACAAATAATAATGTATTTATTCTTTAGCCCAAATAGACAGTACTTTTTCAATACAAATCATTGTAACCTCAACAGCATCGTATTAAATTGTTGAAGTAAAACACATACTTGTATTATAGTGAGACCTAAAATGAGTGTGCCAAGACTTTTTAAAAGTACAGTGGCTCTGTCAAACCTGTGTAAACAGCATCTATCCAAAAGACCTGCTGTATTGTTCACTGGCTTGAACTCCTAAGCAACAAATGTTTTTATATGTGGCCCTCAGTGAAAAAAGTTAAGACAACCCTGTTCAAAATAGTTAAAAGCTCGGTAGCTTGTTATTATTAAACATAAAACGGAAATCATAATACTTATAATAACTATAATGCGTTCAATAAAATAATGCAATTACATATTTTTCTCAAATCAATCAGCCCTCTCTTCATCTTGTAATTTGGGATAAATAAAACACACTCAACACTTTACTCTTTTCAGTTTTGCATAACATAATTTACAAGTTTTCAAGTTGAAGTAATAATTGTTGTTTTTCCCAACTCTACAAAAAGCAGTAGAAATAACAATAATAATTAATAATGAACAAAACTTAATTGGACCAACTGCATTTAAAGGAACAAAATAATTATGTCCATTAAAAAGATTAGCTGCTTCATCAAAAATGTCAACAAACAATTGTTTTACTCATAGACAATAACAAAGACAAAGGGAAAACTACTTTTACTTGAGGCATCTACGGCCCAAGGGATTGCATTCAGTTTTGTCCTTTTCAGATGTTAGGCATTGTGTAACTGAATAGATTGCCAACAAAAGGTACACTTTATAATACCTGAGCAACTGCCTGAGGAGTTCCAGAGAAAGCCGCTGTAGACACCACGCTCACTGCTCCTCCTCCCTCATCTCTGCCCTCGAGGTGCTGATCTGTCACTTGGACAACGCGGTAAGTTACCTACAACATGCACGCCAAAAGTTTACATTTGACAGCAAAAGAGAGAACAAATCAGTCACTAGGCCTGTCATGATATCAAATTTTGAAATGTGATATATTGATGAACTAAATATAGACAATAATAACAATAATATGGAAACTAACTGATGCCACTGACACAATAACACAAGAGCACATTTAAAAACCTACCCATCACCCCAATCACAAAATCACAAAAACGGTTATACATCTACAATATTGTTAAAACAATCATCAGCTGTAATAAATAAACTGCAGAATGAAATACTTTAGTACTTGCATCTGTAATGAGCCACAGAAGTTATTGATTCAACCTTTTACGCTTAAATTTATACAGACACAAAAATAACCCTAATTTCCCCAGTAGTCCAACGAAAAGGTACACACAATAAATACTGACCCCCAAAAATATTGTTCCAGCTTTCATATATTGATCTATGAGTTGCTATAGCAATTATGGTGACAGGCCTTCCAATTACAAATCATTTTAGCATCTGCATCTCACCTGGCTAGTTGATTTGTTTATCATTTCCAGTCCGCAACCAAGCTAGTACTAAAACACAACTTCTGGTCTTAGCACTGTTATCGTCTAACCATCCGACTCGAAGTGCTTACTCTTTAGAATGTGCCTTATTTAATTTGGGTGAAATAAGTGGTTGAAAATGAGCTTGTTTGTCCCAAGAATCAGTATTTGTATATTCCCATCATGTGACTCTCCTCCTGACTGACATGTGACAGGGGCCTCATGCCAATCATAGACCAGACTGCAATCACATGATCTCTCACACTTGCCTTGTTTACAGCTCAAATAAGACACGTGTATAACTGGTTTAATTTTCTTGAGTAAAGATTGCAAAATTTGGGTGTGTCAAGTTTTATGATATTTGCACTGTTGCACTGTTCTATCGTGTATAATATATAGTGTATGAGGAGTATGGTTTTATGTAGTCAGTACAGAAACAATTAGGGAACAGGAGACACTCTGGACAATGTCACCGGTCAATCATGAGACCAGAAAAACACACACACCTTAAGGCAATTTCAAGACCGCTAACCTCCTGACTTGTGTGGCTTTGTAGCGGGAGCACGTGGCTAAAAGTATTACAGACACCTTCACACAAACAACTCTCAAGCTGCAGGCAAAGTTCCCTCTCTTGTTCATTATCGGATGTATTATCATCCAGTAACACTGGAGATTTGTTTGAGGAGATGGAATCACAATTCAATTAAAACTAGTAAAACAGATACATACCTGCGCACCTTCAGTACGAAACTGATATTGTAGGTTCTGGTCACCAAAAGCAGCACCCTGTGGAGCACTGGCTATTGTTACACCAGAAGACTCGTCTCTTGTTCCCTCTGAGAAAGAAGACAAGAAAATACAGTGGTAGAATATGAATTAGAAAAAGTTCCAAAAACATTGTCTTGTCATATCAGTCTAATTAAAACAATTGATACATACAATTATTATAATAATATAATTACTTTCTCACCTTCAGCCTGGACAATCTCTTCTTCGTGTTTATTTTGCCTGAAAATAAGATAAAAGCTCAGAATTACAGTAATAAGTTACTTCTGATGTTTTTAAAAGGAAATTAAACAACGTGCATTTATCAGTTTATTGTAAATACATTCACGCAATCATGCATCAATATGATGAATGCACTTCACTTAACCGATGTTAGATCATATGTGATTTATTCAAAATCATTCTGTGCTAACTCATGTTTAGCTGGGATTTCTGTATTCCATTTGAAATGACACATTGGTGCAAATGTATGACCAGTTCTGATTGCGTGCAAAGGTATGATGAAGGTTTTAGAAAGTTGGTAAAACTTACTTTTTGACTGTTTATCTTAGGCCTTTGATCTTCGTAAAGTAGCTCTCACATTAGCATAATGGCTACAAGCTAACTGGAGTTTACGTCAGCCGCTTGACCGACGTGCTGTTACCTTGTGTTGTCCAGACTCTGTTCGAGCATATCCATCAGGGTGAGAATAAAAAGTGATCTTCGGTGACACAGACGGAGATGGAGGCGCTGATCACGGGAACAAACACTCGGGTCATGTGAGAGAGACAGCCCAGGACACGTGAGGACGGCTCGGGATCAGGCAAAATGGAGGCCGCTGGCTGCGCAGGGTGCTGGGTCAGGGGAAGTAGGTGAACCAAGGGTGAACCAGGGATGAACTCGAGTCATCGGCTTCACTTCACACTGGAGGGTTTGTGGAACTGCACTTCAGAGGCGTTTCCTCCCATTTAACACAGTACAGCCCCTCTAATCTTATGTCTAATTTCGGTGAATCTCTTGCACAGTGAACACAGATAATAAATATTTCCACTTTGGATTTCTAACAAGGAACTGTCCAATGAGTTTCAAGGACCTTTTACACAATGACGAGTGTCCCATTGATATTATTAAATAGTAAGTCAATTATAGCAAACTTTGGAGAAAAAAAATAAAGTAATTAAAATATGACTTTTAATGTTAAGGAATATGCTATGTCAGGTTTGACTCTGAAGGAAAAAAGGCTAATTATAAAGCGGGATCAAACTCATCCCTTTAATCCACGCGAACTTTGCCCTACACTCAGCGGAACCTTTCACAAGTTACGTTATTGTTTATGATCCATATACATGAAACACATTCTGTTACGAAAAGCATGGCTATATTTAAACCAATATACGGACATCATACTAAATGACACGATAGAAATAAACAGCTTTGATTTTATTCAGACAATTTTATATTATTTTGTGATGTTTATAATGCATAGTTTCATTCAGGAGAACAGGTTCCGTTATGATTGACAAGTACTTAGCCAATCAGAAAGTTGAGCGTGCTTTCATACTTATCGCTGATTGGCTGAAACTGTGGGCGGTCCCTGTAGAGCCCTCACCTGTGTAACTGTGAAAACCGTCCGTCTCGTCCTCCTTGGGTGAAGGTTTCATTGCGGTGACTGTAACGTTGGCTGCTGCAACACTTGCAGGATGTCTGGCCGTGTTCTTGTCGGGGTCAAGCGTGTGATTGATTATGCAGTTAAGGTATAGCTGTTTAACTTATTAATCGTGTGTTTTATTATGATTTGACATGTGATTGTTCAATGAATTGACCTCACTTCTCGAGTAATGCTAGCAGACGCTAACCGGCTAAACGCCACTTTTCAATTCGCCTTTTTGACATGTTTACTTTTCACTCAGAACAGAATGCATTACTTCTTCTAATCATCAGTGATTGCAGCGGTTTAGTTACATATTCTTTGCATTCTATCAAAATCAGTCCAAGCAGAAAACCACAACTCCAGAGATCATGCCATACAATGGAAACAATACAGCAGATCTTTACAGTCTGACATTTGTGTGTTCTTGTAAAGCGTCTTAGTTTTTACCTGTTTCCATCTCGATCCCTCCTGCTCCAGCTGCCCACAGCAGGATTTGGACAGGGTTGCCTTTGTCAACACCTGACTTGAACTCTGAATACTGATAGGCTGTTGGCTACTACTCTACTCTTTCGTATATTCAGCTAAATGTATAATGACTATTACAATAATTTATTTAATACTTAAAAAACATAATGGATCTACTGATAATATATATATATATATATATATATATATATATATATATATATATATATATATATATATATATATATATATATATATATATATATATATAAGCTCTTGTGTCAGTGAGGGCTTTACATGCATGAAAACATGTCATGGTATTTACAAGCATATCTCAAAACCAGTTGAAACATGTAGGTCTATCTTTTATATGATAAACAGAACATATTTACTTACTACTTATATTATGCGTCACAGAGCCCAGCAAATAACAGACTCCTTTTCCCCCAGTGTCTGTACATGTAACATGAAAACTACACAAAGACATTTCCTGTTCTGTTTTTTGTATATTATAATGATACTTAACATATTTTGATATGTGAGATATTGCTGTAGAGAATATAGAAGATAAACAATAATATTGTGACTAATTTATGCTACTGACACAATAACTCTTAACACCCAAACAAACTATTGTAAATGTGAAATATTGTGTAAAAAACAAAAACAAAACTTGAGGTACAATAAATAAGTAGCAGCAGAGTGAAACACTTTAGCAGTTAGTTTGATTGATTTATAATGTCATAAATGTAATTTAATCAACTCTCTACACCTCAAATCTATCATAGTGCTGAAAAATAACACAGATACCCCACAACTACAAAGAAAATGACCCCTGATAAATATTGACCCCCAAAAGTTACTGCATAATATTATCTGTAGTGTATTGAATGATAATTTTCATGACTGGCCTAATGATTTATTTTTACTCCCCTTAGATCCGAGTGAAGCCCGACAAAAGTGGTGTAGTCACGGATGGCGTTAAGCATTCGATGAACCCCTTTTGTGAGATCGCTGTGGAGGAGGCGGTCAAACTCAAGGAGAAGAAGCTCATTAAAGAAGTGGTGGCTGTCAGCTGTGGGCCCCAGCAGGCACAGGTGGGCACTTCTCATTTTGGATCACTTTTATCTTTGTCACTTTTGGTTATTTTTGTAGATACCGATAAGGTCAGGACCAATTATGAAGTCCCTTGAGTATGAAAAATGTGACTGCAGGGGAAAATGATCAGCTAATGAACTGCAAAGTCCCATCTGTTTTATTGATCAATTATATTAGATAGAGCCCCTGAGCGATGTTAAAATGACACTTTTATCATAATATAAGAAACCTGTCTTACCAACTTTTAATAAAATATGTACAGCATATCGCCTCCTAGCATAGGAACTGCAAAATTGAGTTTTCTTACTCTCCAGACTAGTGCTGTCACAATGATAAAGCCTCAAACTCTTCAATACTAAGGAGTAGACTCGATACTGAATACCAATAACACGATGATAGTGAAAAACATTCTTGATTTAGATGATAGAATTTTCATTTTCAACATTAAATCATAGTGCTATACGTATCCATGTCGTCCAGGTAGGTTCCATAGTGGTCCATGGGTGCATACTAGTCTATGTGGTCGTAAACTTGTTCTGATACAGCTCAAGTTCATTCTAAAGCTATTTAGATAAGGTTAGTTTCTGTCTTGTGATAGTGGCTTTTTTAATATTGATACCTGCTGAAATTAATCTAGTTTCAGTATTATCTGATTTTCAATATTTTTGACAACCCTACTCCAGATCCTGCTGCATATGTAGGTGGTCCTTCCTTGGCCAATAATAATTAAAAAAAAACAAAACTACACAACCCGCCCCAGTCATCTTTCTGATATCCGGCAGTTTTGAAGCAGTGCCTAGTGCAATTATCGTATGAGACTAACAATATTGTACTTTGGGTGACCTCTTACATCAGATCTTATCAGTTATCAGTATTTTAATACACAAACCATACACAAGAGCTGAACTAAAATGTATTTGTTTTTCATTTTATAGATTGGTCAAATGAAAAAAGCAAAAAATAAATTGATGTGAGTTGATATTTCCCTTTGGCATCCCTATTATACCAGCAATGATTCTACTGTATGTTTTGTGGTCCCGTTCAGGAGACCATCCGTACAGCTCTGGCCATGGGCGCAGACAGAGGGATCCATGTAGAAGTCACTGGAAAAGACTACGAAAACCTCGGACCTCTGCAGGTGTCAAAGATCTTCGCCGCTCTTGCCAAAAAGGAGGAGGCTCAGCTCGTCATTCTCGGAAAACAGGTGAAGAGTTATTCAGATTCAGTCTGTGTCCTAATATGGCAAAGTACATATTTAACAGATATTTTAAATATTTTTTTTCTATCTTAGGCAATTGACGATGACTGTAACCAGACAGGTCAGATGACAGCAGCTCTTTTGGACTGGCCTCAGGTAATAAATTCCTATTGTTATTTTAATTACAAAGTTATAATTTATGCATCATTTATATTTAAAGAACAGTTCTCATAGTGGGTGCTTTACTATGCAAAGAGACATGCTACAAAGTTTTAGTAAAGGTAATTCCAGATGGTTCTCCTGACATTTGATAATTCAGTAAATAAGTAACATCTGGCAAATATGTCCTCCCTTTTGATATCAAGGAAACTGCAAAATAACTTGGCAGTTTAAGTGTTTGCTCCTCCTGTGAAATGTCAGACTATTGCTTTTACTTTAGACCTGTGGTAAACTGAATATGAAAGACTAGAGGGGGTCAGTTTAGGCCAGCCAGAGTTGGATAAAACTCCTGCATTGTGGGTCAAAGGTCACCTGAAGTAATGGATTCCAAGCAGCATTACAATAAAAAAATTAAAATAAATAAACATAAATAAATACGTAAATCTCACTGTTGCAGTTATAATTATGAGTTTCAAATTGTGTTGTTTTGAATAGAATAGGATTATTTTTACTTTAGTTTTTTAGGGTAGTTGTGCAATGTTTTTTTCTGTAGTACTCTTTTTAGCCAGTAGATGGTGGTAAATGACCACTAACCTTTTAACGGCTAACACTGTTTACCTTTTTTTTTTTTTTTTTTTTTTTTTAACCAAAATACTGTCAACAAAGATCAATTAAAGCGCTGTATTCAATATTTAATTCTGTCAATCAAAGTTAATATTTGTCTTTGTGGTGACTGAATTGATTTGCTTAAAATGTTCCACAATAAATGGTCAGCAGGTAAAACCACCAGGCAGCGCTATAGGTCACAGGCCACATTCTATGGAGTGTTTTTGTTTCAATCACAGTGAGAGTGCATGTTTTTTTATGTATTTTTGAGTAATAAAAATGCATATAATTCAAGAAATGAAAGATGGATACGTTTAATGCCATACTGTGGAACAAAAACATCAACATCTCCATGGAGACAAGCACCAAAAAAGGTTACATAGTGATGTTTTTAGACACTAAATCGTTTTTCAAATGTCCGTTACAGGGAACATTTGCATCAGAGGTGACACTGGAAGGAGACAAAATGAAGGTGGTGAGAGAAATTGATGGTGGCCTGGAAACTATTAAAATCAACACACCTGCAGTGGTGACAGCCGATCTCCGACTCAACACGCCCAGATACGCAACTCTGCCCAACATCATGGTAAGTAAAGCTTTTTAGTGTAAAATATGACACAGTAATTTATTCCAATACTTGTAATATCAAAGGCACTGTGTAACTTTTTCTGATGGAGCATGAGTCAGATGCTTTTCTCTATGTAAATATTATTATTTTGTCTGGAATGTTTCACAGTATGGTGTGAAACCTTTCTTTCATGAGACCAAACCAAAACAAGTTATTTGTCAGATCTATGGAGAGGCAAACCCAGTTACAGTCACAATGTCTGTTTTTCTAGGTATTTGTGAGCTATAAAACCACCTGTAATTGAATAAATGTAAAGTAGAGCTGTTTAATGTCATACTGTGGAACATTTCAGGCAGAGCAATGACATCTCCATGGAAACAAGCAGGTGACGGACCCCCAACCAAAAAGTTACATACTGTATCTTTTTAAAAAACATTTTCTTTCCATTTTATTTTCAGAAAGCCAAGAAAAAGAAGATCGCCAATGTGAAGCCAGCAGACCTCGGGGTGGATGTGGCCCCACGGTTGGAGGTGCTCAAAGTGGAAGAGCCTCCGCAGAGAGAGGCTGGAGTGAAGGTGGAGACCGTGGAAGACCTGGTGGCCAGACTCAAGGACACAGGGAGGATATAGACTGAAGAAACACAGACAGCAGAGCCATGAAACTCAAGGGTGAGGACTTTGGGAGATTTTACAACATTATTAGACATTTTAATAGAGATTTTATCTTCAGTTCTGAATGGCTAACATAATCCTTTCACTAGCCCATTTACAACCTAGTAATAATTTTGCATGTTAATTGTTATTAGGTCCTTTTATTTCAAACTGTATAGAATAAGACCTGAATTCCAATTTATTGAACATTTCCATTTTCTTAATTTATTTTTTTTACCCCATTGTCAGACGTTACTTTTCAATAGCATAATATGTTTGTAAATTAAAAACTAAATTCTATTAAATTAAACTGCATAAGTCACATATGCTGGATTCCATTTTAATTCTGTAGATATGGCATTGTGCTGAAATCAAGTGTAATAATATTTTTTAATAAAATGTCATTTGTTTTAGAAGTATCAGTCTCTGTAGTAATCTCCAATATTTTCAATAATAATTTATACTAAGCAAAAATGGATACCTAAAGAAGTCAAACTGGGCCTGCAGACTTGAGTACATTATTTAATAATATTTCTTTGTGGAACTACAGTTTTGTCTCCGGGCAAGGCAAACCAATTACCCTCTTTAATTGCAGTGTTCTTTCTCATCTTTGTTCTCTTATCTCATTGTTCCACTACTTTATGAATTAATGTTTTATACGTGTCTGTAATCGTAGCCTGAGGACTAACTTGTATTTGTGTGTCCATTTCAGAGCCTGATTCCTGAGGTGATGAAGAGGAGTACTGAGAAACACTGCCCAGCAGCAGATCCAGACAGTCTCAAGAGGGCCATCATGTTGTTGTAGATTGCAATTACATCTGTAGCATTGATGTATGGATGGCTTAAGTGGATTCTAACAATCTATAGGCAATAACTCTAACCAGAAATGTCTTTTACCTGTATATCTGTAGTACATGTAAAGAGGTACTTTGTATGTGCATGCCTTTTGTAAATATAAACTGGAATCCAAAAAAAATTAAATTAAATTAAACGGTAGTGTGTCTCAGTACAAAAACAGGAAAGGTTTTACCATAAGCGCCTCAAATCTTTGTTGATTGTACAGTGTATTACCATAATAAATAAATACAGTTTTTCATATCCATATTGAGATTGTTGTGGTTTTCTTTGTATTTTGTAATACTTGTGACACAGAAGGCTGCACTAAGTAACTTTAGTGATTTAGCATAACTGCAACGAATTTGTTTGACTTGGCCTTATTCCGTGGAAATTGATAAATTTAATGCCATACTGTGGAACATTCCGGGCAAAACAACAATAGCTCCATGGAGACGAACTGGTGGCGGATCCTTCTCAAGAAAGTTACCAAGTGCATCTTCAAGGAAGCCTCATATTTAGTATTATGGATATTAAAAGTGAAGAATTTGACGATTTTGTTACTCCTGCGCTGAAGTTATTGGGGCGGGGTCTACGTTACGCACGTAGCTCGAGTGCCCGTAGGTTCCACCTGTTCACCCTGTGCGCCTGCTGCTGTCTGGAGAAAAACGACAAGACGCACCTTACGAGTGCCGATTTGGAATATTGACCTCTGTAGCACTTCACGTGTCGTGTCGCGCTCCAGGCACGTTTACACTTAATTGGCTAATGTTCCTGTATCTGTTATAATGACACTGCAGAATGACGGACTTTATGGTGTTTTGGTTTGCGTTTTACTTACTCTTCAGCCTCAAGGTAACTTCCAAACTTATTTTATTTTTGTGCGTAAACCCCGCATGGAGTCATTACGAATATAAATTAGAGAAAACTGTAGAGCCAATTTGTCGTTTCTTTTTAATACGTTTTGGAAGACTTAAAATCTTCAAATAAACGGTTTACTGGCAATACTAGAATTGCTGTAGGATCCCGTCTTGGTAAAACAAACCCACTATGATGGGAAAAGCTTTAATGACGTCAAAGGAATTGGCTACAGCATAGGTTGGGAGGTTGGGATCTTTACATTAGCTGTCTTTTTTAAAATAGATATAACCTACATTTTATCACAATACCAAAATACCAACGTGTTTTTATTTGTAGTTGTAGATTACGCTGGTTTTCAGACTAAGTCATGTGAAGTAATATATAACAAACATATAACATATATTACCTCTGCAGGCTGCCTCTGTGTGCTGGAGCTAAGTGCGGCTGGACCTACACAGAACAGTGCTTTAGTGGGGGACACTGTGACTCTGGCTGTGTCCTACAGTGGAGCCTCTAACCCAGCTGTCATCTGGAAGAAAGACCTTCACCCTGTGGTCACCTGGATTATAAACTCCATTACTCCTCCAGACATAGACCCCAGCATGTCCAACGTGCTAGATGTCAACAGCAATGGTTCCCTTGTGTTTGTGAACGTGACTCTGGACTACACAGACCGCTACAATGTGGAGATGACCAAGGCTGGACAGACCACGGTCACACTAAGCTTCAATCTCACTGTCTATGGTCTGTATTAGGTTTACATATTTCCCCAGTGTATAAACTATTCATATTCATCTCTATTGACAGAAAACTAATGTAATATTGTGTTTTAGACTGAATCATTTAAGATTACTAGTTACACGAGAGAAAATAAAACAAACACACACCCACTCCTGAAGCTTTAAACTCAAAGCTCAGTGGTTTATACTGGCTATATACAGTAGATGTAGTATTTGCCTTCAGTATCTTACCTCTGTGCAGCAGATCTGAGGGCTCTGATGAACTGAACTCCTGTTTACACACTCAAAAAGTCAATGCTGCAGGAAACAGAAGAACTCTGAGCATACCTGTTTATTCACTATTTGGACATGATAATGAGGCAGAGAAGGGACCAATGTAACAATTGTAACGTTGAAATGCGACTTAATTTGCACTTCACCAATTACTTTATATAATTTAGAGTTGGGAAGTAACTAAAAACATCTACTGAGAATACATATTCAGAATACACATTTTGAGTAACTATTCAGGTACAGTTACTGTTTTATATAATTTAAATGCAACTCAGTGTAAAAGTATTCTGTATGCAGAATATAGTACTGTGATTGGACGATGTAAAGGAAGGCGCTACACAATACATTTTAATTCAGTATTCTGTAACTAAATACATATTGTATACAATAAATACTGAAGTATTCTTCCCATCACTGCATATATTTTACATGTGTATTCAGTGTTGGTTCTAGGAAATTGAAATATCATGAGTAAGACTTTGAGTAAACAGACCTGCAGTTATGTTTGTATTCTGTTTACTGTCACGGCCATAACATTTACAGAACATGTAATAAAGATGTTCCCTTATCTAAAAATGCATGAAGAGGTTTATGTCATCCATGCATGTTTGAGTATAATCTAGCGACCTCTCCCTCTACCTCGAACCCTCCTTACAGTTAAAAGTATGATTCTGTCCAATGCTCAGCCCACAAGCCTACGTCACCTATGTCCAGTCCACGCGCTGCAATTTTCCATAAATAAACAAAAGCAGGATACAAAACTACACTACAACTCCACAAACCTGATGTGATGTTGAGTAGTTTTATTAGCGGAATGCATGCCAATAATAATGTGGCACTCTAAAGGGGGTGTATGAAGGAGCAGGGCCTTAGAACTTGTAAAATGCATTGATTTTAGGTGGATATATAATTTTCAAATCAGTAAAAGGTCATCTAAATATATAATATGTTATGAGTTCATACCCCATATACTATTATTTTTAAAAATATTAACATTTAAAACATATTAACCTATTCATTGACATTTAAGCTTTGATGGAATGATTGTTGTAAAGTTTAATTTAAGTTATAGAAGTGCAATAATCTTTCCTGTATTACGCATAAGTGACTTTTGTGAGCTTTAAGTCATATTAGAATGTTGTTACCTCATCAGAAACATACCTGGAGTTGTTTGTTTCATTCAAACATGTTCAAGTAATCCTTTATTAATAGTCTGTCTACATCCCCAAAGCACAAAATACTCTGTTCCTATTTATAATGTCATGAAGCGGTAGTTTTACTTTTGATTCAATAGAAATGGCCAATTCAAGGGATCAAAAACAACCATTCTAGAGAGTCTAAAGAAGGTGTATGGAGTTTAAAAACACAGTGGAGCACTTCCTGTATTACCACATGACATCACAAGTGTTTTCTGTTTGAGAGAAGAACTCAGCCTAAATATCTACTATCTATCTAAATGTCTTGCTTGTTGATTGTTGGATTATAGTGTCTTTGTCGCTGTAATTTGACACATTTTCTACCCTGTGTTTTTATCAACAGAGAAGTTTGAGAATGTGACTCTGAGCTTGGAGCCAGATTTGGTGGTGGAAGGAAATGAACGCTTCACCCTGCGGTACACCATGACCAGGGGCGTTGTCAATGAGACCGTGTGGATGTTTAAAGGCGTGGAGATCCAGTCTAACTCCCATTATTCTGTGGAGCAAGAAAGCCTGGTGATCCACGCTCCCAAAAGAACAGACACGGGGCTCTACACACTCACACTGGTCAACCCCTACAGCAGTGTGACATTGCACAGAAACGTCACTATTTTGTGTAAGATTTATTTATTTATTTTATATTTTTTTATTCTGGTAATTGCCATGCTCGCTGCCATCTTCATTCAGTTTTTTTTTTTATTTTGTACGGGGCTGCTGATCTTAACTGCAAAATCAAAGTTCAATACAGACTATAAAGCCATTTTAAAGCCCATAGAATCAGCCCAGTGTTGACTTGAAACGTGAAAATTGCACTTGATATCACACACAAACGAATCTACTTTATGTCATATTTTAGCGCCAAAACTTTTCTCAAGTTCTCACTGAGACAAAAGTGGGTGGGGCCAAATACGGTGCATACTCTTACGGGTCATTACATTTTTAGATGGAGGAGGAGGGGTTTATAAATTCTTCTTAATGGTAAGCCTGTCACGATAACAAATTTTTAAGTTTGATATATTGTTGAAGTAAATACAGACGAAAAACGATAATATGAAAACTAATTCATGCCACTGACACAAAACCCAAGAGCAAATTTCAACCACAAAAACTATTCTAAATCTACGATATTGTTAAAAAATCATGAGTTGCAATAAATAAACAGCAGAATGAAACTATTAGTACTTTATTAGCCTCTGTAAGGAGTTATAGAAGTTATTAATTCCACCTTTTACGACTTAAATGTTATTGTATCGCCAAAATGCTGTAGCCAGGCTGGCGTACCTACCTAGTGCCTCCGCTTAATTTCATTTCTCTCCAGCGACTAGGTCAGGAATCAGAATACACTAGATAGCTGGCAAGAACCCTGGAAGTGCGAGTCCGTGCACCAGCCAATCAGCGAAGAGCCATATATTCTGTGTTGGCAACGATTCACGAGATCGAGGATTTAAAGCCGGAACAAAGAGAATGTTTGGTGAATTTTATCAAGGGGAAAGATGTTATTGCCCTTCTTCCTAAGGGATTTGGGAAAAGTTTAATACTCTAGTTAGCCCTGTTAGCAGCACATTACATACATCACGACCAAATAGCAGCGATAGGTTAAATTAAAAAAAAGTACCCACCTACCGTCGCGCGAACAAATCTTAAAGCTGCGAGGTCAGAATCAGGCTAAAAATACTGTTGTAGCTTCATACAAATGTGCACACAGACACTGAGGGTTAAGGTTCTTGCACAAGATCTGTTTTATCACCGCCAACCTGTGGGCCAGTAGATCTGACAGCTTTCCTTTTTATTAACTTTTTTCATTTATTCTCACAGTGAAGAAAAAATGAAAACTAGCATTTATGTTTTAACTGAATGAGGATGGCCCTTGAAACAAAAAATAATCAACATTCATTAAATTTTGTTAGTGGTATTTCTTCTATGATAATTTTGTACCTTCTTTATGTCTTTTTTACACAGATGGACCAGATGAGCCTGTAGTTACGGTGACCCCAGCCCAGCAGTTTTATGTGTCCGGTACTTCACTTCATCTCTCCTGTAAAGCTGAAGGATTCCCACCTCCCACTGTTCAATGGATGTTTGCTGATGTAATATTAAATGACACTAACGAAGGAATTCTGAATCTGACTGATGTACAGACAAGTCAAAGTGGAGACTATACCTGTGTGGTGGTGAATGCACAAACAAATGCAGAACAAAATAAGAGCGTGACAGTAAAAGTTTATGGTAAGAAAGATTGACACTTCTATTTTATACATTTACATGCTTCAGGGATAACTAATAACTATTAATAATGTATTTTAACATTTCCAAAATCATGTATAGGTTGAGTGATACACAATCTAAAAGGTACTTGTGTTTGCCTGCGTCTACCATGAGTGCGCATTAAAAAAAAAAAAAACTATAATTACAGTATCCGTATTTTTATCCAAATTACATAACTATGTCAAGAGTTACTGTCATTGCGCTGGATTTACACTATTTGCAGGGTTTTAATTGCAAGTTTGGCATGTATTTTGAGTGGACTCTTTGCAGATAGCAGATGGGGCAACAGTAACAGTTGGTATTGTTTTGGTCCACTGATCCAAAGGTTTGAGGTTCAAATCGTATTCTCAACATAAAAATCGTTGGGTGCTCATATCCACTGACCACAGGTTGACAGAGCAATTCTAGCTCTCACAGATGGATACTGTTGTGGGTAAGATGCTTAACCCAGCTTGCGTACACTGGTGCATGAGTGTGTGTGTGAATGGGTGAGTGGTTCCTTGATGAAAAGCTTTTGAGTGCCTTGAAGGTGTCCACGCCTCACCCAGTCCCGCTCCTGCACTCTGTCAAGGTCAGTCAGGACCCGGCATAACACTATAGTGGACTGTAAAGAACAGAAATGGGGTCAGAAATTTGGCTTGTGGAAGTCCCGTACTGTTAATTTATATCCAATATAGCAAATACTGTTAGCCTGATTCATCAGCCGGTTTCACTTCGTAGAACCGTCTGACCTCGCAGTATTAGAATTCATCCGCTCAGTGGTAGGCAGGTACTTTTTTCATTTAACCAGTTGCTGCTATTTGGTTGTGATGTATGTAATGTGCCTCTAACGGGGCTAACTGGTATTTAAGCTTTTCCCAAATCCCATAGGAAGGGCAATAACGTCTTTCCCTTTGATGAAATTCACTAAACATTCTCTTTGTTCCGACTTTAAATCGTCAATCTCGGGAATCGTTGCCAACACAGAATGTATGGCACTTCGTTGATTGACTGGTGCACGGACTTGCACTTCCGGGGTTCTTGCCAGTCATCGTGTTTTCCGATTCCTAACCTGGTCGCTGGAGACAAATGAAATTGAGCGGAGGCAGTAGGTGGTGCCAGCCTGGCTAAAATACTGTAGCTATGGCATCAAATTTATCATGAGACTGTGTAGGTTAAAAACACCTGTAGTACATCAGGCTCATTGGTGGTTAAACTAGATGCAGCAACATTGGCTATGTTTACATGCACAACAAAAATCTAATCATCTGATTTCTGAGTCATCAGATTGTTGAAGTGTCATGTGAACAGTTACATCTGTTGTGAGTAATGTGATGCAGGTTTTGATAAGGAAAATTATGCAAAAAGTGCAAACTACAAAACTACAAAATATCGGCCTGCTTTAGAGATTTAAGGCAGACAGATGCTCCACTAAAAAGTGCAAATATCAGGCAATCACGTATTTGCCAACCAATAAATCTCTAGTCTTCAGATGGTTTTGATGATCAAATGTTTTTTGTACGTGTGAACAGACACCAAAATTAGTATCTGTTTTTTTTGTTTTTTTTGTTTTTTGTTTTTTTTTCTGGAAATGTAAATGTACTCAATGAGTGAAGACTTAGACAAATATAATTTATCCACAGGGGAAATTATTTGGACACAGTAGCTCACACATCACAAAATAATATAATAACAAAGAGTAAAAATGTAAATGGTAAAAATAAATTCAAACTAAGTAGCAAAAATAGCAAGAGACTGGTGTCAAATAAGGCATAATTATATAAATCTATATGTACAATTAAAAATAAAATATAGAAATATAGTAATACAAATATGTCTCAGTTTAATACAAGAGGTCATAAAGAGAAACTATGCAACAATAGACTTCAAGGATGACTGGCGAGTAACTACAGAATGCCCTTTTCTCCAAAACATGATCAGTAATCTTATAACTCATTACATTTCCTCTCTTCCCTGTGTCTAGAAAAACCAAAGGGCAGTCCAGTGTGCTCGGTGAGGTCTTTGTCTGGTGTAGATCTGCAGTATGAGTGTGCGTGGGCTGGAGGAACCCCAGAGGCTGTAGTGTCTTTCCCTGGACTGAACAGCGGCAGTGCCCCAGGACTCCTCAGTCTGAACATGAACGCCACAGAGAGTCTCAATGGAACCCTGATCTCTTGTACGGCATCCCACCCAGTGCAAGAGGGTGTGTGCAACATCACTGCAAGTAAGTGAGGTTTAGTCTTCAAGAGATACAGAAGAGAGAGGGATTGGTTATCAAATTAACTTCAATGTAAAAAGTTTCTCAGCATAGTAAAAAATCACATTCTCTGTGCCATAATTGAGATGTCCCACTAGATAAAAAAAAATCTCAGTTGATTTAAAAAAAAAAAAAGCTTTTGGACAGAATATAGTGCAGATGTTTCCAAAGTCTTAATGCCAATTTAAATTCTGTAAATGAAGCAAAAAAAAATTATGTAAAGTTAAGATTAAGGGACACATATTAATAGCTAATTAATAGTAAAATGCAAAATAAGTGTTTAATTACATCTTTATTAGTGTTTATAAAGTACTCTCAATGCATTTTTGTCTAAGACTGTATTTTAAGAGTACTAACCCATTAACTATTTTCTGCCCATTAAAGTAGTGGAGATTACGATAGATGTTTTTGTGCATACACTGAAATTTTAATAAGCCATAATAAGTAGAAAAAACTGAGGCACTCAAAAAGTACAAAATAATTAAATTCCTTTAATACCGCATGGCAGATAAAGTTAAAATCACGCCAACACATTTCGGCCCTTCATCAGGGCAAATTCCGAGTTTGCCCTGATTTAAAAAAAAATTCTACTTTGTATTTGAGACTGGTCCCTTTGTGCAGAATTGTCCTTGTGTGTACAAGGACAAGGACAATTCTGCATAATTTTTTTTATATCCAAGTAGCACTCCTGCCCCCAAAGTTTTGCAAAGCATTAATAAGTGTTTGATTAATACCAACTAATAGTTAAGTAACAGCTAATTAGCAAACCAATTACCACTTAGTTATCTATTAATATGCGGTCCCTAAACCAAAGTGTTACCTTAATTTCAAACTCAATTTTTTTTTATGCTTGTTGTGTTGACAACAGTTGGCCTTTCATTTATTTTATTGTTTAATTAATTTACTTTTTGTTATTCATTTTTTAAGAGATTTTGTAAAGGGACAATAGTTTTAATTTGCTTTTTTCTTCCTTTAATTTACTTACTTGCTGATTGTCAACTGGTACTCAGCCCCCCCGGTGCCCTTCTTACCCTCTCTGAAATTTGGAGTGAACTCGGACGGTAAGATCAGGGTCACCATCAGCTGTCTGAGCGCTGCGATGCCGGTTTCCGTGGTGTCCTGGCTCAGAGGCACAGAGGCAGTGAGGAATGGGTCATTGCACAGCATCGGCCCCGCACAGCTCACCATCCAGGACTACAACATCGACACCTTCCTCCTTCAGAACTACACCTGCTCCTGCCGCAACCCTCTGGGGGTACAGCGACGCCAAATACAGCTACTGGGTATGGATACATCTTCTGTTTGTATTTTTCACACACACAGATAATCTTGTTAATATCATATTGCAAAATAAAATGTAATTCTGTCACCAGTCAAAGATTTTATAGAGTGAATATGTTTTGCCACAATCCTAATACCTTATTAATTTCTGACCATAGACTATATATAAATTGCTGTGTTCCAAATAGGAAGTGACCACTAGGGCGCTTCTGACTCCAATGGCTCTGGCTCTGGCACTTTGTACTGAAAAATAGTTTCTGTCTGTAACTGCTGCAGTGAGCCTTGTCATTTTGGTCTTAAAATGTTCGTATTAACCCACTCGACAAGATCTTGATGTTTTTATTTAGCTGTTTTGTGTGTAAATAAATTCCTATTCCTAACATAGAATTGGCTCCAGATTCACCCATAACTGCCAGCCCCTGTGAGCTTCATTTGACTGGAGAATGTCACACTCATTTACTCTTTATACAGTCTATGGTTCTGACAGGGTTCTACTTAGTCACTGCCTTATAGCTAAGTAGACTTGAAGAATAGGCTCTTTTCTTCTTCTTCTTCTTCTCATTGTTGTTGTTGTTGTTCTTCTTCTTGTTCTTGTTCTTCTTTTGTTGAGTTATTTCTCTTTTAGTTTAAAGCAACACTGTGCAACTTTCTGGAATTAGCATGTCACCTGTATGATCGCTTGGAATTTTTTGTAAGTTAAGAAGCCTTCCTCCAGGCCATGAGTCAGGTTTGTGGAGATGAAAGCCTGAGTACGGACACGTTTTCCTTGCTTTACAGTGCAATAAAAACATAAACATTTTAAATACATGCTTTTATTTTAGCCTATTTTGTCTACGATGGGGCTTTAACTTGAATTCATCACTCTCCTAATGCACAGCCCATCTCTTTTTAGGTCTCATGTTGCTTGGCACTTGTAATTTAAAAGACTGGCGTCGCTGGTCACATAGAAACAATGGGGCCGTTGACTGGGGCCTAAGTAATACCTGAGATTTCTCTTTCCCTTTATACAAAGCGCTACAGTCTTTGCTCTGACTCTCCCCTCTGTCTGCAGCACCCGCCATCTCCAATTCCAGGCTGCTCACCAACCAGGAGGGCACGGTCGCCACTCTGACCTGGGAAGTCCCGCCCACTTCTGTTGTTACAGGTGAGGGGTCCCTAAGCTCCTGGAAGGTAAAGTTGTGGATAGTTAAAAGTGCATTACGCAGCTTCTCTGGTGGAGGGTCCGTCACCTGCTTGTCACCATGGAGATGTTATTACTTTGGCAGGAATGTTCGATGGTATGACATTAAACACAAGTATCTAGTATTTATTCATCATGGCTATTTCTATTGCTCATACAATATTAGATACAATGATTCTCTCTGTGAATAGGGTTGCCTGCCTGACCTGTAATGCAGCCTATTGTTGAATCCCTCAACATAAATAGGTTTAATTTCTACTGTGGAACATTCTAGACAAAGCAATAACATCTCACTGAAGACAAGTAGGTGGCGCACCCTAATTTAGAAAAGTTACGCAGTGCACCTTTAAGCTGACTCATGGGTACAGGCTTATCTACTGAGAAGTCTGGTTCTAAATCTGTGCCCATCAGCACAAGTGAGGAGGGCTGTTGAAACTGGAAACATCCTGGGAATATGGGGGTGTAAACAAAACAGAGAGTCACGTTTGGAAAACAGAGCCAGTAGTGTGGAGGACAAATGTCAGATATCATTTGTCATGTCTCATTAAAGGAGCTGTATGTAAGATTTTCATTTTCTAAACATGCGCTAAGTATGTCCCCAGATATGAGGTAAACATGTTCAAATCATATTGAAGTTTTACCTGTAACAATTGTAATTCTGATCACAAAAACACTGATCATGTTATCCATATATTTGGTGTTTTGGGTCTTAAAACGATGATCCAAACAGAAAGCAGAATGAGCTTCACATGAATCTCTCATTTGGGTTGTCAGTTTCAATGCTGAAATCCAGTTGGTTTAAACCTGGTTTATACCAGTATGGCATTTAGATGATCTATTATCTAGCATTTAAATTATCTATCTTTGTTAGTATATCGGTTCAGTGAGGAGGAGAACCCACACAGTCTGAATGCATGTTTTTCAGAGTATGAGAAAACACATGTGATTGAAAATGTAAGATGAACATCTGGAATGCCATACTGTGGAACATGCTGCAATCACATCACCATGAGACAAGCATGTGTTTTTCTCCATTTATCAAAAACACATCTGGGTCACATAAACACACAGAGGCAGTTATTTTTCCCCATCTTATTGCAGTCTGTATACTGAAAAGGCTCTGTTTATTTATTTATTTGATTGGGACAGTGCATGTTAAAGGACAGACATGAACACAGACACACAGGATTATAGCTAAAGGTTCATTTCAACCCGTTGTTTAACAACAACAGATTTGACTCCCTCTTCTGGCCATTGTATGCTCTACCAATGATGAAAAACTTTTCTTTTTTAAAATTTTTTTCATGTTTTTATTAGTTATTTGCATAGTCCCTTAAACCTAGATATAGAGGGCACATACAGTTTTTTCTCATTGTCAGTATAAAAACAGGCCATGCCTCATGTGAAAGCTCAGAACAGTAAAGGCTCAGAGTTGTTATCAATACAGGCTATATTTGAATGAACATGTTAACCTCGTACCTTTGGACACAGAAAGGTAATGTTCATGAAATTTAAAATCAAAATCCAACATACAGTTCTTTTAACAACAACCACTCCAGAAAATCTACCCACTGTATTTCTCCCAACATCTAATCCAGCATTAACCGTAACATTGTGTTTTTCTCACAGGGTTCGACATTCAAATGCAGGGGCCAGATCTCATACATTCAAACGATAATGTCTCCAGGGGCACTGGTCGCTCAAATTCATTCCGCACCATTCAGCAGAAGAATGGCTCTGCTCGGTCAGCGGACGTCCTCACCCTAGACCCTGAGGAGAGGTACAAGTTTAGAATCATCCCCAAAGCTCGCTTCACAGCAGGAGAACCATCCAACGAACTGCGAATCGGACCAGGTATGAAAATGGTCAGGAGAAGTTAGGGCTAACTCTTATTTTTCTTAACAAAAATTGAGATCATGTTTAGTCAACATGCTGTTCCACCTTGTGATGTCACAAGGCAGTAGTTTTAAAATTAACAGTAACCTTTTACATTTGTTTAGTAGAGATTGGCAATTCCAGGGCTGAAATTATCCCAATGATTGTAGTGAAAGTGTATGGAGTTTCAAAACATGGTAGAGCACTTCCTGTATCACCACATGACATCACAAGTTGGAACAGAGTGTTTTTAGCTTGAGAGAAAAGCTCAGCTTAAACATGCAGGATTTGTGTGTTAAACATGTGAATGAAACAAAACACAACTCCAGGTATATTTTTGATGAAGAAACGTTACAACACTGATCAGAAAATAGCATAATATGGGCCCTAAAGAGAAGATTTCAAAACTACTTTTAAGAATCCCATGCATTTCAAAATGTTTGTAGAGATCTACAGAATTAGCAGCTTTATGACAAATAAATCATTTCTATGGTTTGCAGAGAACTTCAATTGCTGCAGTTTTTGCCATTTGCTAATTGTAACCATTCAAATTGTGATTTTAATTTAATTGTGATAAATTTTACAAACTTTATTGAGATATATGCATGCTTTTATTTTATATTCATGGTGAAAATGTACTTATTTTAATTTTCATCTGATTATTTTTGTGGTTCTCAGGTGAAGGGTTGAGTGGGTCGGCCATCGCTGGGATTGCAGCTGGGATTCCAGCGGGCTTCTTTCTGCTGCTGATACTGATTGGGATCATCTGTTACCTGATCTACAGAAACAATGACCGTAAGTACAAACTGAAAGACCATTTTAAGTGAGCAGAATGTTTGAAATATCTGCTTAAAGAGACCCATATTACTCTATTTGCTGATCTGTTATAATGTTTTTTTCTCATTAAAAACAAACCCTGCATATTTAGGCTTGAGTTTTTCTCTCAAACAGAAAACACACTGTTCCTCCTTGTGATGTCACGTGGTAATGCATTAAGTGCTCCACTGTGTTTTTAAACGCTTTAAAACTTCACTAGAATCATTTGGATGATTTCAGCCCTGGAATTGTTGATCTCTACTGAACAAGAGGTAAAATGTAGCTGTTGAAAACTATCTCTTCATGACATCATAAAGTGGAATAGAGCATTTTGAGCTAAAGGGTTACTATAAAGAGGTATGTTTTTGAGGAGGTAACAACTTTCCAACTTGACTTAAAGCTCATGAAAATCAATTTTTGTTTTAATGTAACTTTCCTTTTTTCAGGTGAGCAGGCCAGGTATCCAGTATCAACAGACAAGGTGAGATATGTTAACATTATCAAGGATTAAATTTATGCCAGTTTCATAGATAATATTTTATCATTAATTAATTTGAGTAAAATTTGTGCAAGGCTTTATTACTATTTATGTATTATTACAATATGTGTAAAGTCATATAGAGGATTATTCCCAGCCAAGCAACATCATCTTCATGGAGACAAACTTTCAGTTGGTTATATCAACAATTTTGCTTTGCCCTGTGAAGTGACTGCTGTTGTGATTGTGAGGAATACAAAATAAATTGAAAACAGAATTATATATTAGTAATTCAATGTTACAGAATTGAAATTCAGTTAAACTTTTATGATATTTTTTTCTTTTCCTTCTTTTTAAAGGGTGTGAAGACCAAAGCAGAACTGGCCTCTAATAACATCCGAATGGCTGGAGGTCTAAATCATTATAATCCAGATTACAACCGTTTACAAGAGGTACCACACTACTAAAGGAAACTTACATTATTCTGTTCATTATCTGCATTCTAAGTTGTTGTATTTGTTATAGGCCTCTTCTGAGCGCTCCATGGATCTGCCTGCGTTTGTGCCACCTCCTCCAGTCAGAGTTGCTACCACTGTATAAAGCAATATTGTATGTCTTATTCTAAGTTAACTTTTTGTATTTATTGTATGTTTTATTGTTTACTGTATTGCAAATAATTTAATGAGAACTGAATTATTATACTGTCAAAGGGAATTGTCATTATTTAACAAACACCTTAAAATAGATCTTACTTTTCAATTGTCTGTTATTTCTCAAGATAACTTCCTTCTCTTTCAATATGTAATATACTTTTGTCGATATGATGTGCATTTCTTAGGCTTGAGTATTTCATCTGTAGCCAGATTGTGAGCTTTGTTTCTATCAACCTGTTGTTGAATTTGCTTCATGCTGCAGTTCTAGAGGGTAGCCAGCAGAGGGAGCTGTTGTCGTTGAACTGAAAAGCTTCTGAAAACACCAGCCACGTTTAAATTTAAGCTCTTTTTGGGGTTCAGATGACATCGCAACATTTAGATCAATAATATTTAATACAGATGAAGACAACTATAATGGGTATTGTTAAAAAACACTTGTGTACTCTTTATTCCAACATACATAAAGATAATGTATGGTCTGTGTGGACACTGAACACAATATACAATATTTAATAGCTGGAATATTTGTAACTATATAAAAACATGCATCACACACAAAAAAAAATTTAGGCAGGCCTGGGAGATCCAAGTAACAAAAAACAAAAAAAAAACATTCCTTGCATAACTTTGAGGTCGCTCCACATACCACTGGTGTAGTTAGTAATAGAAAGTACTTTTTTTTTTTTTTTTTTAATTCCCTGAGACACTACAATGTAATCATTTGCAATGTAGAGTGTAATCTGTCTCTTGCCCCCCATCAAGAAGAATTAGTTCATCTTAGACTTACACAAAGTTTATTAAGCAACGGAAATTATTCTAGAATCTTTGTATGACACTATTTAGTTTTTTGTTTTTTCATGGATTATAGCTTGTAGACTTCAGCATCAGTATAAAGTTAGAACATATCATCCATGCAGATAGTCATATGTAGGCTATATGGTTTAATCTTTACAGATAATGTTACAGCAACATATTCCAAGTATTTAAGAGTGAGTTTTTAGTATTGTACGTGATTACTGCAGGTGATATGACATGTAATTACAATGTAGTCTGCTTTCTGTGATCTTCATTTGACCAAACCTCACTGCTTTAATATACTGGCCTGTGTGCATTAGACCTGTGCTCAGAAACCTGCCTGAGTCCTACTGACCACACTGAATCAAAGTGCAGCCTCAGCTCTTCCATTGACTGGAGCAGGACTGCAAGCCTCTGCACATCCACAGCTTCCAGAATGCCTCATAGAACAACAGAGTGCCGGACAGTGGAGCAGGCCCTGGGTTGCCAGATTTTCAGAGAGCAAAAAGCGACTCCAGCCATACAAGCCCCAAAGAAGCCCCAAACAGATGCAAGTTGTGTGTCACAGCTGAGCGAGAGCTAATAAGACATGCATATTTTTATTAGAATATTTAACATCAATAACATCATTTAACAGCTTGTATTTCAGTCATTTCTATAGACTGTGTATGGCCATTACTGAGTCTATTAATAGAACTGAAGAAGGTTAAAAGTCATCTTTTTTATGATGTAAAAGTGTCACTCATCAGCAAGCCCAAAAACGCAACTTTCAATTTGCAAGCAAGAATTTGTATGAATCTTCTACTGTTTCCTTATTGTATTGCCTCAAAGCATCCAAAAAAAGTGCTATATAAGTTTGATGTATTATTATAATAAAGCAGCTTTCCAAAAAACAAGCCCAAAGTCGATATGAAGACAGAGACTTGGAGCAGTCCACGTCCAGGACCTGTACCTCCAACCAAAAAACTGAACCAACCCCACAACCAAGAGGCAGAAAGTAACTACTTGTGAATACTCATGTTACTGTTATTGTATAGATTTTTTGTGGTAATTGTACTTTTTTAGTAGGTTTTTAAACTTGAACTTGTAACTGAGCATACATCTAACCATGCAATTGTAATTAGTTACATTTTGAAGGTGACACTTCAAGTGAAGAGGGACAACATTTACAGATATCAACTTCTTCTTCAGGAACTTTAGATTTAAATTTCTTGCTTAATTTAGTTTACATATTAGATACAAAAACGTTTCTTTGTCTTATATTTATTACTTGAGTAAATCAGGGCTTACTGAAATTTGACCCATTTTGCCTCTTTTTTAAAATTAAAACTTTAATAAACCAGACTTGGACTTAGATATCAACAAATCCATCTGAATGATCCATTAAAAAACGTAATTTTTCTATAAAATACAGATCTAAAAAAACTGCTAAAAATAATAAATAATAAGGCTAAAATTGTGATAAAAAGTAACTTTAATGTGTACACTGAGTAGTGTTTTTCATGTATACTTTTATTTATTTTTTTTTTTACATTTTTGCTTTTAAAATACAATAGTAATGTTATGTATGAGAGGAACACACAAAGTACAATTTTGGCAGCAGTACTTGAGTTAATTTTTAGCCATGTAACTGTACTATACAAGGCCTGTCACGAAAACAAACTTTGAAACATGATATATTGCTACAGATATATAGCAATAAGCAGTAGTATTGAAACTACTTTATTCCTTTGACACAATTAAAAATAAAGCAGGATAATTACAGGAAACAATTTAAAATACAGAATCATTGCAAAACATGAGCTACACAAAGAACCATCAAATAGTCCTGGACGTTCCTTTTTCATGCTTTACAGCTCAAATCTTACCATATTACATAAATAAATTGCAGAAACCTCCCCACTATTGCAACAAAATATACACATGATAAATACTGAGCCCAAAAATACATTGTTCTCGCTTTTATAATGGTGGTTTTCAGATTCCACAATGTGATGATGTCTACTCCCAGAGCCAGATTTCCCTGTTCATTACATTGTACATTACCATGAAATATTGAAAAAGTAAAGCCACAAATATTGAACCTGATCATTTCTAGAACTGTCTCGACACGTAAACTCACTCATTACAACAATAATCTGCATTTTAACTATATTCATTTTGGTGGAGGGTCTGTTGTCCCGGGGCCCAGGGTTTTAGGGACCCAGAACTGGATCCTTAGCCTGTTAATTTATTCATTTTAATATGGGGGCCCATGCAAGCTGTCTTGCCCCGGGCCCCCAAATTTCTGTTGACGGGCCTGGATATATAAAAAATTACATGTTATCTTAAATTATCAATCTGAATCTGTTAGGCCCCCTTTTATTTGTGTATGTAGGCCTATTTATTTTTTTCCCCCATTCTAAATAAACACTTTAAGTCACTACGTTACGTCACTAATATTATTTTTTTCCATCTTCTTTTCACTGTGGCTTAAGGTAATTTTTCCCATTCCCTTTCTTTTCTTTTGTTTAACCAATTATTAATCTATTTATTATCTTCAATTTTTTCCTCATTATTCTTTTCACCACTGCCACAGCCCACCCACCGGGCCCCACGCCGCACCCCCATGTGTTCCGCTGGTCAATGGGTCACGTGACCCCGGGCCCTCCAGCTCAAGTGCGTGGGGTTTTAAAGGATTTTGCCTCCATCGACAGAAAGTGGAGGGGATAACTTTTTGGAATTCAGCCTAGAACGCTCTCTTTGACACTGGGCGCACTCGAAGCCTGCACCCGGTTCACGCTTTCCTTAAGAGGGTTTGGTAATCCTCGCCACTTCAGGTAAGATGATTCAGATTTCTAAAGATGGCTACCATTAAAAAAAAAAAATAAAATAAAAAAAAGTTGATTTTGTTTATTCTTTATCTATGTAGATTCATTAATCTCACAAAAGGAAAAAAAAATATTTGTACAAGTTTTACCTGCTGCTACTTAAAGGTGCATTGTGTAACTTTAATGGTGGAGCGCCCCTTAAATGGTTTTCTTCATGGAGATGTTATTGCTTTGGCTGGAATGTTTCACAGTATGGCATTAAACCTTTCTATCTTCATGGAGACCAAACCAGACCAAGTTACAGGTCAGATCTGTGGAGAGGCTACCCTACTCACTGTCAGAAATGAATGTTTCTGTAGGTATTTTTGAGCTCTAAAACCACCTGGATTTGAATACATGTAAGGCAGAGTTGTTTAATGTCATACTGTGGAACATTCTAAGCCGAGCATGACATATCTAAAGAAACAAACAGGTGACGAACCCCCAACCAGAAAGTTACACAATGGACCTTTATCTCTGCAGTCCTTGGGCAGGTGAATGCACACAAAAAAAAAACAAAAAAAACCCACATTGCATTACATTACAGTACATTATTAAAACTAACTTCATCATTAACATTAACAGTATAATACTATAAAATGTTGCCATATCTAATACATTATGTTTCGTATAGTCCATACAAGTGTATATACATATATATGTGTGCGTGTGTGTGTGTGTGTGTGTGTGTGTGGTATAAAGATGATTATATTGTCATGAAGGTGGTCAGACAACAACTACTGCAGTTATGGATTTATTAATATTTATATAATTTAAAGAATGCTATGTTGTCTTTATACATAGATAAATATATGGGGCAATATAAACAAGATGTAGTGGTAATGTTTGCTGATGTGTATGTTAACTATTTGGGCTATTTGTCACCAATAATCTCTATCTGATTGGCAGTTTAACTCTTAACTTGAATCATCATAATAAACTATTTGTTCATGATGAAATTAAGCCTTCATTCATATTGAATAAGGCTTATTAAGATTTTTGTCATTAAGTATAACCATTTCAGTGTTATTTCTTAACAGAATGTGTGTTCAGATAATGCATTAAATAAAAGAGAGAATCGTGGTGCTTTCAACAGCCTTTGCATATTGTATAAACAGAACATTTTAACAGTGCAATGCAAATGATACTTTGCACGCGCTAACTTTAGGCACTTCTTTGTCTAAATCTCTGTTAGTCAAGTTAGACTTTAATCTGAGTTTTATTATAACAGAGAAAGAACTCACTTTTTAAACAAGTCTCTCAGACATTAAATTACTGTCACAAGTTTGTCAGCATTAGCCAGCAGTTAGTGTCTCTCACTTTTTTGTTGAAAATCAAACGTCTAAACAGTACCACAGACGCTGATAACAGGCTCTTGAGAATGTGTTACATATTTTTCTTGAATTTTCAGACAATCTTAACACTTTTTTGTCTGTGTTTGTTAATGTTTGTGTTGTGTCACAGTGATATCTAACATGCCGCCAATAGAGATAAACGTAGAACACCCCCAGCATGATGTTCTAAGTATCAATAGTAACCCTTTCAATCCTAATCCTATTTTAAGTCTCATCTTAAGACCCACTTTTATTCTCTGGCTTTTAACACTGCTTGAGTTGTGTGATTTATTTTTATTTATTTTACTTATTTGTGTTTTGCTGTTATTTCATTTTATACTCTATTGTTTTAGGATTGGTTTTAGGACACAGGTTTTAGCAATTATTGGTGGTTTTCAGATTCAAGAATGTGAGGTCTTACTCTCAGATGTGGGCAAGAGACAGATTTTTCTATTGATTACATTGCACTTTGCCATGAAATATTCAAAAGGTAAATACACAAATATTGAACCTGATCATTGAACTTGACATCATCTGAAACCCAGCAATACCTTTTATTGTTTTCTTGTGCTGTTTGTTGTGCTATATGAATAAAATGTGTTTGGATATGTTTTTCGTCTTTGCAGTGCGTCGCATCTTGGCAGTCATCACGTCACTCATGATGTACAGCTTCATGGGAGGGGGCCTGTTCTGTGCCATAGTGGGGAACATCCTGCTGGTAGTCTCCACAGCCACAGATTACTGGATGCAGTACAGGCTCTCGGGCAGCTTCGCTCACCAGGGCCTGTGGAGGTACTGCATGTCCGGCAAGTGCTACATGCAGACTGACAGCATTGGTAAGTGTAATAAAGCCATACTGCGGGACATCACAGCAGAGGTAGGTAGAGTAGCCAAACGTTGTAGTCAAAGTGCACTATGTAAATTTTTTGGTTGGGGGTCTGTCATCTGCTTGTCTCTTGTCGTTGCTCTGTCTGGAATGTTCCACAGTGTGACATTAAACAGCTCTACCTTACATGTTTTCAAGGATTTATAGCTTAAAGGTAATTACAAAAAGAGGCATTCTGACCATAGCCTGTATATATAAATGGACATATAAAGTACTAGTCGCTGCCTGTTTTCCAAACTGGTAGTTCGCATTCCGGCTCCTTCTGACCCTGACTCCCGTGGACTTACATTAGAATATTGTGACCCCTCTCTGTAACTGCTGCTGTGAGCCTCGTCATTTTGGCCTTTAAGTGTTCATATTAACCCACTGCATGATCCTGTTTTGTTTTTTTGTTTTTTTACCGCTATCTCGGCCATTTAAAAAATCCTATCCGTAATTTAGATCCTGGTTCCAAATTCCCTCCTATAACTGCTAGTATCGTGAGCTTCATTTGACTGGAGCTGAACGCTATGAGTGACGTCACGCTCGCTTAGTCCACTTCTTTATACAGTCTATGATTCTGACTGTGTGCAGGCTTGTGACCCCACAGATATGACCTGTAACTTGGTCTGGTTTAGTCTCCATGAAGATAGAAAGGTTTAATATCATATTGGGATCCATTCCAGACAAAGCCATAAAATCTCTATGGGAAAAGTATTTAATGGATCCTTCAGCAGAAAAGTTACACAATGCACGGTAGTACCCCAAAGTAGTACCCCAAGAAGTTACTCAAGTTAGGGTAATAATTTATGTAGGAAAACTACTGCTCAAGTAAGAGTACTTTAAATAGTAAATGCTGTGACGTAACATCTGATTTATAATTTGAAGTTAAAGTCAGTGGAAGGATAATGCACAGAATCTGGTATTTTCAAATTATAGACACAGTAAATGAAAAAAAAAAAAAAAAAAAAAAAACCATTACATGTAGTAGGAGTGGTGCAAAAAACTCAAATGTTCAAATAATTTCATTTTATTTTAATGACATTTTCCCTCGTAAGAAGCCATGGTTGATACAGACGGACCTTGCATGTCTCTGATTGGCTAAAACACCTGTCAATCAAAGCCCAATATTTACAAATGTATCCATTCCATTTAAAGCCCGCCACACACTACAGGATTTGTCAGTCTTAAACGATTTTTTAAAGATGCATCAAAAAGCGCACATTACAGACACGAGGATGAAACCATACACAACAGCTAGTGACTGTCTGCAGTTAAGCAACTCACTTTGAGACCCTAAACTGTTCAAAATATCTGAGTATAGCACTTTAAATTTAGATGCAAATCAAAATGGTTTTATTATTATTTGTGAAATGTGATGCAACAGTTCAGATAAATGCTTTTGATGCACAGAAGACTGGATGTAGAGTCACTGTAGCAGCTTCACTCAGATCTGTGCTGAGTAGATTTATGTAAACAGACACACTTGAGGATCTGCTTTTGCCTTTTTACTTTTTAAAGAACACTTCGAACTGGATTAATAGTGCTGTTTTGTGGGCTGGGTGTCATTATTTGCAGAGGAGAAATTCTGATAGGGATGAAATGCTACAGTTTAACTTTACATGAGGTGAGTAATATAGTCGCAATATTATTTTCACTATTTCCTGGGTTTTTTTATTGGCTGGTGCAGTAGCTGTGGTTTTATGGTTACGATATGAAAGAGCAGCTTTAACACCGCACACATGAGAAGAGCAGAGAATTAAAAATCACAAACTTGTTGAGAAATGTAATCAGGGTTTAAATAGGACAAATTATCCTGTAGTGTCTGGTGGGCTTTAGTTCCTTAATCAAAACCTTGTACAGCAAAGAAGTCTCGTTACTTATTGGTAAACTTAGACTTAAACTTGGACAAACTTTATTGACCCACAAAGGAAATTATTTAAGTTTCAGTTTTCAGATTCTAGAACATGATGTTGACATAGTTCCAAATAGGGACAATAGACAGTTTTTCCTATTTTTACTTTAACTTTATTTGCCATGTGGTAATAATAATAATAATTATTATTATTATTATTATTTACTTTTTGAGTGCCTCTGCTTTTTCTACTTTGTCTTTGACTGGTCCCTATACTGACAATTTTTCCACAATCACAATCTCTTCACATCCAAGTAGCACTTCTGCCCCCTAAAGTTTTGCAGTTTTATCTATTTTTTTAAATTGTTCTTTGCCATGAAATATCTTAAGATGACTATTCAATAATGGGGAAACTTACTATTTCGATTAGTGATTAGAGCAAACAATAACAATATATATTTTACCTACCAGTTCAGAATTTTGGATATAGGACCTCATTTCCTAGTGAGCCAGAGTGTTGGGAGACCTGTGGAGACACTTTTTGAAATAATCCATCGAGTTCTTGTATTTGCAGAGGTCGCTGGTGCTAGGCTAGTGCATGTCAATGGCCATAGTTAGCCTGTCATTAAAAACAGTCTTACCCACTCCACAAAACACCCCAAAAAAATCTATTATTACGCCAGACTGTCTGTAAATGTCTGTGTCGATAGAATAATTTTAGAAGTAAAACCAACGTTGCATTTGAAGGATTTATGTCTGAACAGTAGCAGAGAGTTGTACTTTGTGATAGAAAACTTGGCAGCGGCGGACTGATATCACCTGGCACCTGTCTTATCGGCTCTGTAATAGTTTGTTTACCTGCAGCTGCCATAGTGACACATAGAGCATACGAAGAAGCCTGATCCAGATATGGCTACGTTCATATCATCACAACTAACTCGAGCAGAGTAAAATGCCGCTGATGCTGAGAAAATAGTCCCTAAACATGTGACAATTCATGTGACACAAGGTTAGTTTTACTTCTAAAATTATTCCATTGACACAGACATTTACATCGACAGTCTGGTGTAATAATAGATTTGCTTTGGGTGCTTTGTGGAGTGGGTAAGACTGTTTTTAGTAGCAGGCTAACTATGGCCATTGACATGCACTAGCCTAGCACCAGTGACCTCTGCAAATACAAGGACTCGATGGATTATTTCAAAAAGTGTCTCCACACATCTACAGCACTCTGGCTCACTAGGAAATGAGACCCTGTGCCCAAAATTTCAAACTGTCCCTTTAAATATTATTGGCCTATAGCAGGGGTGTCAAACTCATTTTGGTCCAGGGGCCGTGTCCAACCTACTCTAATCCCAAAGGGGCCGGATCAGAAAACTAATGGTATATATACCCCAAAAATAACAATAAGTTCAAATATTTGTGCAGAGAAACACAAATCTATTACAGAAATCTGTTTTAATTGATGAACTCTTTCTTTTACAAAATATTATAATATTATAAACAACCTGAAACTTTAAGAAAAATGTAATTTCAACACAATGTTTTAACATTAACTTGTATGTAAATAGGAATAAGTCCATTTTTGTTGGAAAATCCTGCACTCTGCTCCACTTTTCTCGTGTTGGACATTTTGTTGATGAGGGTGTCACGGTCAACAGTCAAAACGATCGTCGTTTAAGAGAGTTTGGAAAGAGACAAGTCTTCATTTGTGCTGCTCTGGTGGGAGGGGCCACGTACAGAGACGCTGGAGACGCTGCTCTGCTCAGCACCGCAGAAAATTACCAATAATAGTATAACTACAATAATAATAGTTAATAATAGTTTAATAATTGAAATATTTTTGTAGAAAATCAGCCGAGGGCCAGATTAAAGATCTTGGAGGGCCGGATCTGGCCCCCGGGCCGTATGTTTGACACCTGTGGCCTATAGAATGGTGTAATGTCATCTGAAACCCAGCAATTGTTTACATTGTCATAAAATATCAGAAAGGTAAATTCCCAAATATGGAACCTGATCATTTCTGTTACTGACTAGCCATATGTTTGTTAAAAGAAAAGCCAAAAATCAAAGAGACAAATCAATTGCGTTCAACTGTCAAAAACAATTCCACTTGTAATATTTTATCTGAATATTAGCCCATGCTATATTGCAACAAAGAACTGCATTTTATCGATATTCATTTTACCTAACCCGCATCTGTATTAAATATTATTGGCCTGAAGATGTGTTACAATGTTATATGAAACCTGTATGTATTTGTGTGCAGCGTATTGGAATGCAACACGTGCCTTCATGATCCTGTCTGCCATGTCATGCTTTGCGGGCATCATCGCGGGCATCCTCTCCTTTGCCCACTTCTCTGCCTTCGAGAGATTCAACCGCTCATTCGCCGCTGGGATCATGTTCTTTGTTTCCAGTGAGTATTCCAATCCAGCACATCCTGGAGCATTACATGGAGTCCACTGTGCCCTTTGTTATCACTTATAGCTGATTTTACTGTCTTAAAGAACACATATTATTCGAAATAGACTTAACCATATTATAACATTGTTCCCTCATTAAAAACATACCTGAAGTTCATCATTCATGCTGGTTTTCAGGGAAGTCTTAGAATTGTTATGTCATAGATAAAGACTTTGTGCAGGGTATGCAAGGACATGTTTAATAGCCAATAACAATGTAAATAATGCATGATATTTGTTCTTTAAAACAAACACTAGAATGCTAAACGTACAATTCCTGATTCTCAGACAAGAAAATGCTCAAATACATGGAAAATTGGGTAGAGGCCCCTTAATAGCAGTCCATTTTTAATTCTGTTGATATGTCTTTATTTGCAGCCCTCTTTGTTTTGCTTGCAATGGCCATTTACACCGGAGTGACGGTGAACTTCCTGGGCAAGCGCTTTGGGGACTGGCGTTTCTCCTGGTCTTACATACTAGGCTGGGTGGCTCTGCTCATGACATTCTTTGCAGGTTAGTTCAAAATGTAAAAATGCTCGTATATTGTATTACCTAATAACCAGATCATTTACAGAAATATTTGTATAGCTATCAGTGGCATTCAGAATACATTTACTTTACTAAATTAAAAAGAATACAAGGGCAGTACTTCATCATGTAATTCTGGCTTTGAACTGCATAGTATTAGTTTAAAAAAACTGAAACATAGCTCTTGCAGTGAGTGCATATGTGTGTTTTTTTTTGTTTGTTTGTTTGTTTTTTTTGCATATTTTCAGACATAAATTAATGCATGCAACAAAAACAAAAAAGTTTTTTGTAATTATATGACACGTTTTCTCACTATAATATAATACAAATCAACATAAAAGTATTCCAAATATTCAGAATACAGAGCTCTGATTGGTCCATGTATCAGAGTACATTACAAAATATATTTAAATTCATTCTGTAACTAAATAAATTTTCCCATCACTGACTGAAGAACGGCCAAAACATTGCATTAGTTCAATAACTGCACTATGAGGGGCAGCAGAGACTGTTATTACAGTGTCCAGTCTTGACTCAAATATCAACCTGTGCATGCTGTTATGGTTGTTCTTGGGAAACACAATTTATGGGTGTGGATTTGGTGTGTGACTGAATGGTGAGCCTGATGGTGCACACAAAGACTGTGAGATATGACTGTGAAAAAGTTGGCCAGCTTGTGAAGCACAGTGCAATTAAAGTGTTATTATTCATAAACCCCAACACTCGTAAGATCAGTTGATAGCCAGGGGTGAGACAAGAGCTTGTGCCACAAGATCTCACAGGACAAAACTGCCATAAGCTTTTACATGTGTTTATATCTGGATGGGGTAAAAGGATAAACTTTGCAGAGAACTGAATAGATATGCTAAAATCTTGTCTCGGTCTCATGGACCTAATCTCATGTCTCATCTCATGAAAACATTCCACCCCCTATTAACAGCTACCCACAGGTGTCAAAAACACTGGCTGAACTTGAATGCTTTTTCACAGGTATCTTCTACATGTGCGCCTACAGAATGCATGAGTGCCGGAGGGTGGCTGGCCCGCGGTGAATGACCAGGAGGTCACATGTAAAGCAAAGGATGCTGTCAAATAATAAAACTGGGAGTTTTGCATACGTATCACTGCGTTGTGGTGGTTCGACTTGTCATTTGTGTGTAGATTTACATGTACTTGCTGTAAAATAAGTCCTGTAGGAAAATAACACACCAAAACAAAACCCATAACTTCAATTCAGACTTATTAATTCCTAATTAATAGCTATTCACTTTTTTAAATTTTGTTTTATTAACAATGTTTTTCTATGTGCCACAATAATTTACATTGAGGTAGTAGTGCCCCTTTCATGGACAGAAATTCATGTTTTCACACTTAGAGGGAATACATTCTAATTTGCCCATGTCCTTATATGTACTTTTTTCAACCAAAATGCTTCAGTTTTTAAACATCACAGTCCATACAAAATACTGTCCCATCACTATAGATAGACAGATGAGCATTTGCAGACAGCAAAGCCATAATCTTTTGCATAAATGTAATACCACAACATGACTGCATGTTTATCTATTTGTTTAAGATTCCCTGAAATATTAGTAAATGCTGTGAAAGACAGGTACAGTGTAGAGATTTTAAAATACATTTATCGTCACGCAGTGAGTTGGTAAGTATAAAATGTACTCATATTGTTTCAACAACCCAGCTTTATATGATGTGCCATGGAGCACGTCTTCAAAGGTGGGTGGAGTTTTGACTCAGCATGACAATAGTGATAGCTTTCCCCTATTTTCATCTCAAAAAGTGTCAGAGAAAAGTAAAAAATAAAACAACAACAACTGGCAAGCAATACGAGTGGCAACACCTATATTCAGATTGCCAGATTTATATATGTATTCATCTTTATTTAACCAGGTGAAAAACAAAACAAAACATTAATCAAAATCTCTTTAAGGGTGACCTGGGCCAAAGTGGAACTGCAGCACACATGTTGAAAAAAACATTTACACATTTGAACTAAAATAGAAACAGTATAAATTATTTTAAAAGGACTGCATTTTAGAACAATGACAATGTTCATAGGATTCTTGCTCTTTGTCTTGTGCTAGTAGATCATGTCTGCAGAGAACTGGGTTCTCCCTCTGTAAAGGGCTTTAAGAAGCTGAGGCATTACGTGGGTTCTCTATGACAGAAATGTGCAGCTCATTTTTCCGGAACAACACAGACTTCTTGATCCTGCTTCGGAAGGCTGAGGACGAGAAGTAGAAAATGATTGGATCCAGACAGGTGTTAAGGGTGGACAGGAGCAGTGTGTAATACCTCCATACCGGGCTCTGGCCCTTGATGTATCCCAGGAGGTGAGTGATGTTATAGGGCAGCATGCACACCAGGAACACGGCCAGAGTCCCCAGAGCCATGCCGATGGCCTTGTGCTTCTGCTGGGGGGACATCCGGGGCAGGCTGTACAGCAGGTAGATGCAGCGCAGGTAACAGAACACACAGATGAGCAGAGGAATCAAGCACAGGACAAAGAACATCTCCAGGCGCACTGGCAACAGGATCTGAGGAGATTTGGAAATACATTACTTTTTTTATTAAAACAATTGAAAATTATCATTATCATTTTGCACTCTTCCACCTCTACACATCCCTACATATTTTAGTACATTTGACAGACTACAAGACCCTGGAATCCAGAATACACACTTTTACAATACTTGAGAAGATGTGAGTCTGAGCACCAGAAAATCTCCCTGAGTTCAGATGAGCGTGACAGGTGGGTTATGCAATTAGAGACACACATGATCAGTCCAAAACATATATGGCTTCTTAAAAGGAAACTATAAGACTGAAAAACATTGTGGATTTCTGGGGAATAAATGAGTGATGCACTAAATTCTGTTAAACTGGTGACATATTTTTGAATTTGCCTAAAATGAAGGATGACTTGTGACCTCATCTGATTGGATGGTATAAACTGAATCTGATTCAAGGACTGGTTACCAGACTGATATCATAATTAAATTGCCATGTACTTATTTAAATCTATTAAATGGCAGTAAAATAGCCTACTTTAAGTGTTGTATGAAGTTTGGGCGTTTTTTATTGAATTAAATGAGCTTCAGTTTCTTCGTCTGTCCATGTTGTGTTTGCTGAAAAATAGTACGATCACTGGGAATGATAGACTGGACTTAAATATTAACACAGTGGTTTCTAATGGAGTAGTGTAGCGAATTTTGAAAAGACTCTTGTTTTAGCGATAGATGATTAATGTCACAGTTATTTGTGGCACTAATCACCTATCTGTGGCAGAGCAGGGGGCGCTGTTGAGCCCTGTCAATATAATGGTAGGGGAGACCTTGCTCTGTAGAGAAAAACAGAGAGACATTATTCTGGATTTGCCAGGCAAACAAGATCTATACTACTCAGCACAGGCAAAACAAAAATAATTGTATGTACCTGCAGCTGCTTGGGTGAGAAGGCTTCATAGCACATGGAGGAGTTCTGGGACAGAGACGGGTGGTGTTGGGCAATAAAGACGATGCTACAATGAGCCGCTGAAATGATCCAGATAAGCACACCGCACAAGATGGCGTAAAGAGGCCGATGCAGTCTGCGGTAGGCAACAGGCAATGCCACAGCCACGTATCTCACCAGGCTGATGGCCGTGAGCAGGAGCGAGCTGGTGTAGATGGTGCAGAAGAAAATGAAGGAAGTCAAGGAGCAGAGTACAACCGGCAGGGTCCAGGTCATCCCAGAAGCCGCCTCGTGCATCTTCAGCGGGAGCACGCAGAGGAAGAGCAGGTCGGATACTGTCAAGTGCAGCAGCAGGATGTCCATGGGCAGAGGCCGGCTCTGGATCTTGGCACTGAAAGCATACAGGGCTAACAGGTTTGCTGGAAGTCCCATCAGGAAGGTGAGGATGTAGACTGACAGGATGACTTCAGACTTGACCTCCTCCATTTTCAATCTGCACGAGAGGAAATACAGCAGGTTTTTAGTGCTGGTTTTTTGACAGTAAATATCCATTAGACCAACTCAAAAGGAGAATAGACCTGTTGAGTTATGAACTGATTTTAAAATGTAATATAATATAACAAGATTTGATAAAAAAGTGTAATGCTAATACCTAGGCTTTGAAGTCGGCTCTGATTTCTAAAGTACATTTTTCATTCATTCTTTCTGTAGATTTCTATGAAATTCTAATGTTAAGAGAAAGCACAGGTGAAGTTTGACTTTTGTGTTGGGGGAGGCAAACTTTTTATCCACTGTGCTCATAGACTGTATATAATTGTGCCAGTAACAAATCTACACACTTAAAGTAAATTAATTGATTGGATATTTATGGACTTCAGTGTGTTGTGTCTTAAATCTCCCTCTGACAGCTCAGACTGTGGGTGTCTCACCTGTTCATGGTGAGGAGGTGCTCTGAGTGCAGAACGGGTGCTTTATGAAAAACATTTGAATAAAGAGTTTCAGGAGAAGACAGACAGGAAAGTGCGCGTTAACTCACAAACACAGGGAAATGAAAATATTAGCCTTTATATTACCATGACTGAGACAGAAGCGGAGACAGACGCTACAAACTTTAAGCTTACTCTGCACAGTGCAGCATCTCCTAAGCATACTCGACTCGTTTTCTCCTCACAAAACAAGCACATTTCAAACTAAACCCTGCTATAGCCAAAGAGCAAAAGCTCGAAGCTTCCCACTGCACAAGTTCATAAGTGCACCAGGGACCAGGATTTGTCCCATTCCAAGTAGAGGGAGATGCTGCATTGTGCCTCAGGCGCTTTTATGAGGATCGAGGCTTACGGCTTAGCTGGAGTTTTTCCTCTGAAAAAAAAAAAGTTTCCAAAACTGCTCAGTGTGTGCGCCAGGTAGTCACAAGTGCAAAAGCAGCCAACCACTGGGAATTAAGCAGGGCCACATCAAGGCTTATGGTGATCCATTTTGTTGGAGTCTCACCAAACGGCACATTTAAACACCACTAGATCCAATCCAGTAAAAAACAAAAAAAAAAACAAAAAAAAACATAAATCAAAGGAACCTTCGAGATAACATAAGAGGGAAAAAATATATATACAATTCAAAATTATCTTGTGGCCATGAGATATTATCTTGAGCCAGTGAGATCGTCTTGACTTAAAGATGGTTCTGCATTAAAAATATTGGCCAAACAGGCCAAGGGAAGGACTGATGTCACAGGCTTTCTTGTATCCTACTTAAACTAACTATTCACATTCATCACAAAGTAAAAAATAAACTTACCTTATCTTATAAAATGTGACAGGGTTCAAAATGACAGCATTGGCCTTGTACGCTCTGCTTTCAGCTCCATCACAGTGACTCACTTTGACAAGTCATATTTGTGACAGAAGGATGTGGAAACTGAAGTCTGAGTCAGACTCTAGCCTCCCACCACACCTCTGCACAGGACTCGCATGCAAATAACAACAAAGGTCATACTGAGGCAAGTGTTTTACTACATGTGTCAGTGGTGCAGCCAGTTAATGATTCCAAAGACTATGCAAACTGAGTAAACAGACAAAGACATGGGGGAAAAAAGTCACGCCCCGTGTGTCATGGTGCAATATGACTGGACTATAGGAATGCTTCTGTTATCAGACATTAAAATGTGGTGACTAATAGGTTATTTGTGGAAATTATTTACATTGACAATTATGCATATGTGGCAACCGAAGGGTTCAACACTCCGGAAAATGTTAAGTTTTATAATAAGTTGCTGCAACAACGCCACCCCAAATCTAGTTTGGGCAAATAAAGTCTAAATGTAAGGCACACAGGTAAGCATATCATCGAGGGAGAGGGAGCCAGGTTCCATCTTTTACAAAATCTTTATTTCTTTCTATTTTAAAAGACAGATTTAAGTTGTTTAAAAGTAGCTACATCCATAAAAATAGGCAAACAGTAAAACACTACAGTGGGAGAACAAGTACACAATATTGAAAATACAAAACAAAACCCCAAAACCCGAAGAAAAACTAAAGTAAAAACAGCAGTGAAACAAAACAAACAAAACAATGAAGCAAAACTAAAGCAAAACAAAATAAAGCAAAACAAAACAGCTAAACAAACGTAAAACAAAACAGAACACAGCAAAACAGCAAACAAACGTAAAGCAAAGATAAAACAAAACAGCAGAGGCGGTGTGCTCACGCCGCTGCAGGCCCCCGCTGACACCTAGAAAATTAAATTCTGGCATTAAATTCTGAGCCTGCAGTGCAAGGATCTGGGCTAAACACATACCGTGGTTGGAAGTGACAGTGCGCAATCCCCAAACTGAATCAAAGGCAACTCTACACAGAAGAGAGTGGTTTGGCACAGGTAGCACGTGATAGTAGGGTTTTGGTTACCTGCCGCCGCGGTTTAAGGGACACGGCGGCGCACAGCCGAGCGCAATGGCGAGGGACTCACTCGGCTCACCCGGCTCACCCGTGGAGCTAAAGGGAGACACCGGTAAGAGTATGGGCATGGATGAATGAGTGGAGGAGTATCGGGCGTGCATTACCTTATCAGCGGAGATGAGAACGCACCCTAGGTGCTCCGTGATTCGGAGGAGCGAGGGACTGATGTGGTGAGAAGCACCGGCCAAACAGCGGCCAAACAGCAGCCAAGCAGCGGCACTAAAAGGAAACGTGATCGGAAATTTGGATGTAACGGGCATGGAATTTATGAAGTGGAAGTTACCTGAGCTGGAGGACAGAGCGGCCACAAGGAGAGGCCCGGAAGAGCGTGTGAGCCAAAAGGGGGAACGACTGAGAAGGGAGCGCTTAAACAGCCCACCAGCGCAGCGCCACGGAACGCCAGGTAAGAGCACCCGCAGCCTAGACCCTCAAAGCCGGTCTTGCCACACATAAGTAAAGCTGCACCAGGTGGGTTTTCTTTTAAACTGTAACGCCTCTCTTTCCCATGTTATAATGAACAATCACAATAGGCCCTATGCCATTCTTGGCGCTCAGGCCTAATTACATGAATTTCACTAAGCGTCAGTCAGCATTGCCGAAAAGTAAAAAAAAAAAAAAAAAAAACAAAAACTGAGCGTTGTGTCAAGAGAGGTAACCAATTAGAAAAAGTGGGTTGACAGAAAAAAAAAGTTTGAGAACCGCTGGGCAATCGATGTCTTCAGCATAGAGCACTGTTGCTGTTGTGCCTTGTCTCTGCCCATGGGTGAAAACATTCTGCTTCATTCAATGGCAGTAGATACAAATTGTCAGTGATCTTCTGAGCTAATTGATCTTCTCTTCATATTCATAAAATATCAAGAACCAGCCATCAGAACTACTGGAAAACACCTTCTCAGGGACATCTGAAATCACTACCAAACTGCTACCACGGATAAATGGGATGTTTTAGAGAAAATAATAGCTCATTAACACTAGTTTCCCTCTGCCCTAGTGAATGGTTCCACACTGAACGTCTTAAAGAATACAAACTCAGTTTCTTCTTAACCAATAAACGATGTAAACATGTGACTATGTGTTTGATTATTGGATTGATGTTCACAGACATTAGAAACTAGCCCAAGTGAACTGTAGCTTATGATAAACAAACTCACAGAAATGCACATAATGTTGTTTAAACCACTAAACTGTACAATGTAGACTGCAAATATTTCATTTAACTATATGAACTCCAACTAAATAAATAATGGAGCTATCCTTACATCCACAAATAACACGAAGTAGAAATCGGCTGCCTGTTTATTAGAGCACATTGCACACTTAAGAACACACGAGTCACACAGTGTTTTCATATTTTACTTATTTATATTTAGATCATCAGGTTATTTATCATAAAACATGAGGATTAACAGGTGTTTGATATGAAAATACATGCATCCTACATGATTAGCACTGGGGTCTGGTCGGTCCTTTAAAAACAGTTATTCAGTTATATATCTGTGACTTGTCTGAAGCCAAACCAGAGGTCCATTATGTCAGTTCTGTTGTTAAAGTGCATACAACAGATTTTTATGATTCTCTAAATTTGACTTAATTTGGTGGGATTATAACTATTGTAAATATAAATGATAGTTTTACTACAGTTGAAAAATATGTTGAAAATTAGAGGAAGTAGAGAATTCCACTATTCGAGAAACACACTTTTTTCAGATACTTTAAATATTAATTCAACAGAAAATAAAGGTGTTTTCTTATATTTTTAAGTGGTCAGATAATAATTTCTGTGTAGATGAAAGAAGTTTTTCTAGGGAACAGTTATGAATTCCCTAGTGTAATGTCACAATTTCTCACATTAAGAATTCATGTTTTTCAAGGTCATTTTGAGAAAAAAACTCCTTTGTATGTAAGATAGATACATTTTATGCCACACTGAAACAGTTGTTGTAAAGCAATAATATATCCATGGCAAAAAGCCAGTAGCCCCCATTAGAAAAGTTACATAGTACTATAACTATAACAATACTACTAACTTCTATTTGCCTTTTTATTAGTATTTTAAAGTAGTACGCTGTGCAGCATCTTTGAGCGTATAGAAAAGTGCAATGCAAATAAAACAGATTATTATTATGATTACTTTTTAGAGATAGGTTACTGACCACATGAAAAAACCAAGCTACTCTACGCTACCACGGATCTCATTCATTCATTTTTTCTCTTGGTCCTCTGGTGACTGTTGTTTGGTCTCTGGAGAAGATAGACGACTCTTATTATGCCGAACAATCAGGATTCTGAAAACACAAAATTTACATGAACACAATAAACAACAATTGTTGAAATTCTTCAGGGATGTAGATGTAATTCCCTGTAGCCAGGAACCGTTTAAATGTGTCATGGCCATGGATCTCTCGGTTTATACCAACGTCCATCACATCACGTTTGTGACAGAACTGAATTTGATTTGAATATGGTTGATCGGAGCCATACTTTTTCTACAGAAGGTGGTGTGTGTTTAGTCTCTCTACTTTGCTTTTTATACAAGCAAAAATAGTTTGCAAATGTTGAGTGAAATACATAGTTGTTTTTTTTTTGTCAAATAATGTCATGCAGGACAGTCAGTGTAGATATGGAGGCTCTGAACAGCTTTTCCATGACAGAGGTATGACGGACAGAGACTGTTATCAATCTAAACAGGAAGCTACTAGAAGCTCAAAATAACTCAAAAACTGAATTGTTATTTAGTCAAACACTGATACCTACTGATACCATGCACAAGGAAAGTTTCAGTCACTCTGAACAGCTTTTCCATGACAGACGTATGACGGACAGAGACTGTTATCAATCTAAACAGGAAGCTACTAGAAGCTCAAAATAACTCAAAAACTGAATTCTTATTTAATCGAGCACTGATACCCACTGATACCATGCACAAGGAAAGTTTCAGACACTTACCAGACATCTTTCAGGTGTTAGATTTCTTAAAGTCCATTATATTGGACTTGTATGCTAATCGCAAATGCTAAAGACTTGTTAGCATTTAATGAGTATCTCGCTGCAAAGAAGCCAAATTTGCATTTTTAAATGCAGCAGTACTTTGGTATGATGGAATTTGTTATTCTACAAAGACTTGCACCACAGCTGACAGTAAAAATTGGGACAGCACAGATATTTGAGCAGTTTATGCATATTTTATTTGGAGTTGACATTTGACATTTGGAGTAGAACCAGTAAGGCTGACGGTGGCATATAGGTCACATGTCTAAAATCTTGTTAGGGTATTGCTATTTGAAGCAATCTTATGAGTTGGCCAGTTTTTGATGCAACAGCAATAAATTCTCTGCAGCCCAAAAACATTTTCCCCATGGAATGCAGTGTATACACAGAAATAAAATGGAAAAACTGAGATGCTAATCCATAACAACTGTGAGTGGTAAGAAGTACCTGATCATACAGAGAAGCACCAACACCAGCACCATCAGAATGACAGTTGATGCGATTAACAATGGAGTGACCACATCTTCTTGTCCTAAAAGTCATTAGAAAAACAAAACTAAGTTAGGACATAAGGAATGTTTGGAGCACAAAAACATTTTATATTTATAGATACTGAACCTGATTTATTTTATCAGTTATATGTTATATTATGACACCACAAGAAAAACTACCATCACCAGAAACAACTAACCATTCTGCTTTTCAGGAGAGTTATGCACAATTTCAAAGGTCTGTGTGTCAGATCCCACAGAGTTGTTGCTGTGACAGACCAAAGTGACTGGATCTCTCCACTGAGGTTTAATAACAGTGAGGACACTTCTTAGAGTTTTGTCACTCAGAGGCTCACTGCTGATGAAGTGGTTGGAGGATGTTTGAGGGAAACTCCACTGTATCAGGGGAATGGGGTTCCCCTCAGTCTCACACACACAGCTTATCTTGACTGAGTCTCCAGAGCAGTTTGAAGAGCTCACGATCTGTGGAGGGACTGTAGATGACAGAATAAATAATAATTAATTTGACCATATAACAGGGGTGTCAAACTCATTTTGGTCCGGGGGCCGTATCCAACCTACTTTGATTCCAAAGGGGCCGGATCAGAAAACTCATGACATATATACCCCAAAAACAGTAATAAATTAAAATATTTGTAATATATTAAATGCAAATCTATTACAGAAATCTTTTTTAATTGATTAATTCTTTCTTTTACAAAATATTATTATATTTTGAACAACCTGAAACTTTAAGAAAAATGCAATTTCAACACAACATTTTAACATGAACTTGTATGCAAATAGAAATAAGTAAATTTTTCTTGGAAAATCCTGCACTCGGCTCCACTTTTGTCATTTTTGTTATTTTGCTGATGAGAGTGTCATGGTCAACAGTCAAAACGATCGTTCCTTTAAGAGCGTTTGGAAAGAAGCAAGTCTTCAGTTGTGCTGCTCTGGTGGGAGGCGGCCACGCACAGACACGCTGGAGACACTGCTATGCTAAGCAACGCAGAAAATTACCAATATTTTAATATAAAATATAATTAAAATATTTTAGTAAAAAATCAGACAAGGGCCAGATTAAAGGTCTTGAAGGGCCGGATCCGGCCCTTGGGCCTTATGTTTGACACCCCTGCCATATATAAAATAAGTTTGAAACATACACTGTACATCCAGCTGTTTTACAACAGAATGATCAGTTCCCAGATGATTTTGAACTTGACAGAAAATAGCAGTAGTATCTCTGGAGGCTTTTATGTTTAAAACAGATGAGTTTCCGATCAGAGTGTGAGTTCCTCCATCAGTTTTATACCAGAGGAAGACACTTGGGTTGGCGTCACTGCTGCAGTTTAACATAATATAACTGTGTTCTGTCACTGGACCAGAGGGGGTGACTGTCATTTTAGTGTTTCCAGGTGGATCTGCAACAATAAAATAAATTAAACACACACATTATACAACATGTGAACTTTTAAAATAAAAACATATGAAGAAATGCATACAGTGGATGTGTAAATGAGTGACAGTAGAGTTCTCAGTCCCAAGTTCATTCTGAGCCACACAGAAAATAGCAGTAGTATCTCTGGAGGCTTTCATGTTTAAAACAGATGAGTTTCCGATCAGAGTGTGAGTTCCTCCATCAGTTTTATACCAGTGGTAGTGCTGTACAGCTGGGTTGGCATCACTGCTGCAGTTTAATATAATATTACTGTGTTCTGTCACTGGACCAGAGGGACTCACTGTCACTCTGGTGTTTCTTGATGGATCTGTGAAAGATATAAATAGAGAAGGTGTGATATTCTTCCCATTTGTATTTGCTCCATCAATTATGTTCAAACTAAATGTTGATGTTATAAATCCAGAGTCGCAAGAACTTAACAATGTCTATGTTAATCACAATACATTTCATAGAATTATCACTTTTCAAATTTTCTGCTGTTCAAAGATACACATAATCTTCATTTTAACATGAAAAAATGGCATATGTCTTATAAAATGGCTTAAAAATATATATTTAAGACAACTCACATGTAATATCAACCGTGATCTGTGCACTAGAAGACAACACATGTGTGCCATTTTCCCTGCTGTGGACTGCAGAGCATGTTAAATTTGTATTTGGCTCAGAAGCAGTGAAGTTGAGAGTGGACACTTTGACATAGGTCTTGTCCGGTTGCTCCTGCAGAGTCTCCTGAATGTCCCCCAGGACAGGGCTCCATGTCAGAGTGGGAGGGAGAGACAGACACGGGACAGGAGCAGAGCACTGCACACTCACTGACTGCCCCTCACTCACACTCACAGAGGGCGGAGTCAGGGTAGGGGTGGATGGGATTTCTGAAACACAATCAAAATCAACAAAATACTTTTGCAAATAATAGTAGATATTGTAAAATATATTAGTAGATAGGATTTTATGTGATCAAAGCCATACCTAGGACTTGTATATTCACCCCTGCCTCGTTAAATGTATACTCCAGTAGATTGTTACATTCCACTCTGAGAAAATGTTTTTGATTGTGTTGAGGACCAATGCCATGAAAGGTTGTGGTGCAGTTTTGCTGGGTTAAATCTCCTGTTTCTTGTGTTGGATCCAAAAGTGTACTGCTACTATTATCTATCCATACAGCTTTACATCCACTGTGGAGATAGGTTTTATATTCCTCCTTTACTTGAAATGAACAGGGTATTGTCACGCATGATCCCTGCAGAGCTTTTATGCTTTGTGGCAGAAACATATAAAATGTATCACACTGGGTACCTGCACACACAGAAGACAAAGATAGTTAAGTGCATTTTTTACATTGCTGGAAAAAAGACAAACAAAACATATAGCCATTAGACAAAAGTATAAAAACAAATATTTAGGACAAACTCACATGTGATCTGAGCTGTTGCAACAGCACTTGAAACAGTAGTCCCATCTTCCCTGTTGTAGACTGCTGAACATGATAAGTTGGCTTTTGGGTCAGAAGCAGTGAAGGTTGAGAGTGGACACTTTGACATATGTCTTGTCCGGTTGCTCCTGCAGAGTCTCCTGAATGTCCCCCAGGACAGGGCTCCATGTCAGAGTGGGAGGGAGAGAGACAGACACGGGACAGGAACAGAGCACTGCACACTCACTGACTGCCCCTCACTCACACTCACAGAGGACGGAGTCAGTGTAGGTGCAGGTGGAACTTCTGGAAGAAAAAAATAGCAATCAATAATCTCGATTAAACAGTTTTTACTTTTGTTGTCTAATAAAATGTGGGAGAGACCATTCACAACAATCTTCAGTTTTTTATCTGCATAGTTGTATTTTACATTGACACAGTTCAGTCTGAAGTAAACTTGAAGCCCCTGCTCCTTAGTGATGTTATGCACTGTTGTGGTGCAGTTATTCTTGGTTAAGTCTCCTGTTGTTGGTCTTGTGAATTGTACACTTAGTAAACTGATGGCATTTTTGCCACAGAGCTTTGCATTCACTGTTCACACTTGAATTATACGTATCTGATACTGTAAAGGAGCAGGGCATTCTCAAACAGGATCCACGCACAGTCTCCACTTGTTGTGGCACAGAGTTACTAAAGCCAAGACAATGGGAACCTATATAAAAAGGTATAAAGGCATAGTTTCAAATGAATTTTACAAATTGCATTTATTAATAATCAAGCTGTTCTTAGCAACCACTCACTGTGCAGCAGGAAGCCCACAAGGAGAACATTTGTCAGAGCAGACATCTGATTTAACAGAAGTAAAATATAATCAACATCTATTCAATGTACAATGCATGTACAGTTAAATGCACATTATTCTATGGTAATGTCAGGTAAGTTCTATCTTGTATCTGATGTTGAAAATGGAGGAATTCAATTTTACCATGTAATGTTGTCTCCACTCTACATTTATTTTGTTACATCTATATAGTAATTGTGTTCAGATTAAATAATATTTTATAATAAAATGTCTGGATACTTACAGTGGTCCAGAACTCTCTCCAAAATGTTTTTAAGCAAAGCTGGACATTGATATTGGGGAAATTCTGATGGCGTCCCTAGCTTGCCAAATCCAGAGTGATGGCTCGCCGTGTTATTTATACAGAGGGACATCAGTCCAGTCTGGTCACCACACCCTTTGTTGCATCTCGAGTCAGAGCCAAACACGATCCTGCATCCTTAGTTTAGTGCTTCGCTAATTGATTCTACAGAAATCTGTGATGGTGTCAGTCCCCTGTGATATTTTCCCTTTTTTATTTTGCTCCTAAGCAGCCATACACACTTAGACACGCTCATACACCTGTCAATCAAGATTCACTGGTGACCAAACTCACGTCCTCATAAAGTGTTGAAAAAATGTGTATTTTGGATCCCAGGCAATAGGGTGTCGTGTCATAACTTTCAACTTTATTATTAACAATTATTTAGTGCAACCACATTAAGGACAACATAGAGCTCCTTTGTCTAGCAGATTTTTGTCTTTTGCTCCAGTGGATTAAAACCAGACTTAAAGTAAACTTTTAAACATAATGTAACTCAGTGCCACGGCAATGTACTTCATATATTGATCCTGGAATACAGACAGGTCCTTGCAGAACTTTCTCTGACAGAAGATCTGGTCTAGTTGGGTCGCGTATCATCTGGTCATCCATCATTTAGACAAAAAATAAAACTTCAATCATCAAATTTCTTACCAACAGAAGTTTTTAACACTGCCTGTCCACAATCATTAGAATTTGGTAGCAAGTGGCTCTAGTCTATAAATTCCAAGGCTTGGCTCCTGATTTTCATACCAAGGAAGGAGGAAGAAGGTATTTAAATATATAATTTATTTATGTAAATCTGTCTATCTTGTCCATATCTCTCACAAACCCTTTAGCACATTGTTAATATTCACATGCATTCATATTCAGGTGTGTGCACATCTTTAGAACAGCTTTCTTCATATGGAAAAGTGAAACTTGGGTGGACCAGCCGAGTGTGGATAACTTACTGGTTTACTTCAGAGTTTCATGTGAAATAAAAATAGTTAATTATTATTAGCTCACAAAATGATTTTTCATTCGTTCACAAGATACTCTATGGGGGAAAGCACAACATTTACTCATTAACAAAAAAAATGTCCGCTTTATAATGCAAACATTATCCTTACAAAGACAGTAGTTACCTTTGCATTGGCTTGTGGTGTAAAAATTATTGTATTAATATTATTATATACAATTTTTTTATTTTAATCTAATGCATGATCCTTCCAGTAACACTAAATAATGCAATGTGGTTTGAAGGTTAAGGTAAGTGAAATGGAGTCAGTGGCCCAGTTATTTAGATTCCTATAAAGTTAAAATGAACTAGAGATGACAACTGAATAATGAATCGATTGAACTGATAATGAATGATAAGGGTAGGTGTATTTTGGAGTGACATTTGATGAAAAAGCTTAACAGTCATGAAATTATGATATAATGGCCTGGTAAAAATAAGCATGTGCCTTTTTCAGAGGGATTTAATCACTGTTAAATTAAAGGCCTGTCTCACATTTTCAAGAAGGCTGCTTTTAGCTGCATTAGTTCTGACTTGTCAGAGATGTACTTTGGTGTTCGGCCATGGAGAGATTTGTAAAAAAGCAGAGCTACTTTAAAGTCTATTCTCTGAGCCACAGAAAGCCAGTGCAGAGACCTGAGCACATTACAGGACGTATGTGCTAGTACTTCCTGTAAAGGACCCAAGCAGCAGCACTACAGCTACAATTAGAATATATACAATTTATACCTTTGTACTGTATTTCCTTACCCAACCTCTTGTTCATAGCCTAAATTCATTTTATATTTACTGTATTTTAAAATTTCATATGTAAATCTGTATTTGTGTAATTTGACAACAAAAGTCTTGTTTTTTTAGAATGCATGGGGAACATATATTAACATTTTTATCCTTTATCTTGAAAATATCCATGTTTTTGTGAATGTAAATTGCCAGTTATGCTTCATGGTCAAGAGGAAGAAGCATTATACAACAGTCAGAAGAACAAACAGCTTAAGAGCTCCTTACTTACTTACTTAATAGAAACTTAAGGGCTGATTATTATGCACTCAAAGAAGAGGGCAACTGACTGAAATACTGTTACTTCTTGATAACATGACAATAACAACTGATAACAACAACTGATAATATCAACAACATGATAATATCAACAACTGTTATGTGTGGTTCGTACTAATCTTTGTAGATCTGCTGCCTCCAACAACTCTGTCCAAAGTGTGTTAAATAAACTGATTATATTCCTGTGTGTGCATACAAATGTAGCCAGAATTACAATGCCTTTTTCAACAAACTTTTCTGCCCTAACTGTTGTCACTCTATTGTCTATTTGATTATTATTTGAACAATACAGAAATTTGATGAGTTAAAAATGCAGTAAGGTGTTTCCATTTCACTTGTACATTGTGCACTTGACATTTACAATGAATGTCGGCCTACACTTATTTGTTTTACTAAATACACAAGGCTTATCAGATCATTGCTTCTCAGTTCTCTCAGTCAGTTTGTTTGACCATTTCTTAGGGAAGTTATGGTTATACATAGTTATGGTTATTAGACATCCACTGAGCTGTGTCTGTCGCTTTACTTGTCTAAACACTTGGTCATTGGATCATCCACAGCTTTGTTAGGTCTCCATGCTGTTCCCGAGTGGGGTCCGCTGGCCTGCCTCCACTGGCATTTACCAAAGTAGCTGTATTGCCCCCACAGATTCTGTGATTGTACAGACCGACAGTTCCGAGATTGACTTCAGCTGAACCTGTCATTTCTTCTGCATTCTCCATGTTTACAAACCAAAAGATCCCTCCTAAAACATGCTAGTTTACGCTTGTTAGCACTTAGTTTCCCTCCCCACAATGTAGGGATAATGTTTGTGCAATGAAGCCCTTTTCCTAACAGTATAAACATTCATTTAACAAATTAAAGGGGTTATCATCTATTTTTCTTAGTCAACTCATTACAAATTGCAATTAAGCAATACAAGCACAATACAAATAAAATGTTATTCATGTAAGCCCCAGAGCTCCTCATAAAATCAGTGAATAGCTAACCACAGGCTGAACTTGAATGCTTTTTTTAAGGTATCTTCTACATGTGCACCTTCAGTATGCTGCTTGAGTGCTGGAGGCCTGCAGTGGGTGACCGGAGGTCAGTGCATAATAAAAGTGTGAGTTTTACATATTTATCACTGCATTGTGGTAGTTAAATTTGTCATTTGTGTGTAGATTTACATGTACTTGCTGTAAAAATAGTCTTGTAGGAAAATAACACACCAAAACAAAACACATATAACTTCAATTCAAACACTATTATTAATTTATAGTAAATAAATATGAATGATTTATTTTGACAGAACAATGTGAACTATATTCTAATGTACATCATAGTTTAAAGTTCCCTTTATTTTTTTATTGTTCTTCTCTTAGTGGAGCTGTTAAAACCAAAATAGTTCTCTTTTATGGTACAAGCATGAAACTTTGCCAGATTACTAACACCAACAGGGCTAATATTTCTGGATACGGAACAAAGTCTAATTTAACACTGGAGCTGAGAACTGCACATAGGCTGGCATAAAAAATACTGCATAATCCCTTTCTTAAAGTCTAATTTGCTTAATTATAAATTTTGTAATGTTTAACAACAATTTTTTCTAAACTCCAAAGCATCACATGACTGTTTTACTCCAGAATATTAGGGTTCTGTGTGTTCTCTGTGGTTGAGTTAATCAGATATTTAATCTTTTAGTGCCATATTTACTGGGTTTTTGATAAATACCAGGACAGCACATATGCAAGGGATGCTGTCAAGTAATAAAACTAGGAATTTTGCATGTTGTGGTGGTAAATTTTGTCATTTGTATGTGGATTTACATGTACTTGCATGTAGGAAAATAGGAGGAAAATAACATCAAAACAAAACACAAACACTTCAGTTCAAACACTATTATTAATTCATATTTAATAACAATTAATTATTAATTTTGACAGAAGAACATGCACTATATTTTAATGCTCCTTTGTGCCATGCCACTGGATAGTGTCTGATGGCGCAGGAGGAGCTCTAACAGAGCATGCACAGAGACCAGAAGTGAAAGGTCCCTATTTAAAACCAAATGAACTATTTGTTCAAAAGCAGGAGTGCAAATCACTACTGCTCTTTGGCTCATGAGGATCATAATGCATTAAGGTGTTGTGTGAATGAATGATTTTACATCACTATGTTTCAGTAAAGTCAACAGTCTACTGATCCCAACTATCAAAGCAACAACAGTAAAAACATCTATAATCAGTAATCTGGTGAAAATAAAGTTTGTGTGAGTCTATGTACTTCAAAACTCCAGATGTAATTCATGTTCTCTTTCCTGTTTGGAGCATTCCAGGCTGTAGAGATTGTTAAGGCCAGACACTGCCACAGAAGAAACTAGACTTGGCCTGTAAATTTTTTGGAGGAGGGTGGAGCTCCGGTGCAGTACATACGCGGGATGTGGAATGGCTTCATTTGCTACATGTGCATGATTACACATCTGCATGTGTGGCGCAGTACAGCGGAGATGCATGATGCGGAATCAGCTCGTTAGTCCTAACACAAACTATGCATTTTGCCCATTTGAAAGTCTTTAACTGTAATTATTTGTTCAAATAACACAATCCAATATGCTGATTGAATTCCAGTAGCCTATACAAAGTTTTTAACAATCTCACTTCATCTCCATCATGGAGAGGCGTCTTTTCAGCACTATGGCCCTCGTCTATGGAACTGCCTGCCGGAGGAGCTCAGGGCTGCAGAGAACGTTCATGTTTTTAAGAGTAGGCTCAAGACCCACCTTTTTAGCTTAGCTTTTGATTGAAATCTTATACTTTTACTTGTTTTTATTGTACACATTTTACTATATTTATTTATCTTAGGCATATTTTTTAGGATTTCCAGTGTCTCCTCTGTAGGAGCCTCTGCATCGGGAGTGGAGGTCAGCTGTGGCTGCTGGGTCTGTCATGTGGGCTCCTGGTGGAGGGATGGTGCTTGGGCCTCAGGTGCCCGGGCTTCATCTCTCCCCTGGACCCTGTGGTGGTTCCTGGTGGTGGTGGACGTCTCTCTGCTCCCGGTGCAGACGGCTCCTCTGATGGTGCTTTCTCAACTGGTTCGCCTGTATTCAGCCTCACATTTTATTGTGTCCGGTTATGTATTTTAGCGTGTGAGTGTGAGTGTGTGTGTGTGTGTGTGCATGCTTGTGTGTATGTGAGTGTGTGTTTGGGTTGTTTGACTATGTGGGGTTGGGGGTGCGGGGGTTGGGTTGGTGGGTGGGTGGTTGGGTGGTTGGAAATGCGGGACTGTTTTTAATCACTGTAAAGCACTTTGTGTTGCATTTTGTATGAAAAGTGCTTTATAAATAAAGTTTGATTTGATTTGATTTGATCCTCTAAAGCAGTTTGTGACATCAAAAGCAGCTTCTAGCAGCTTCTGACTGCTCAGTGCGGTTTAGGAGAGGTGCTTTTGGACTACTTTCTTTTGTTTCTGGAGTAGGTCAGATGTGGAACACAGTACCTGTTCATATACAAGAGCTGTCAACACTGGCACCATTTTCTAGAACAGGCATGTCAAACTCAGGACCGGGGGCCAAATTTGGCCCGCGATATAATTATATTTGGCCACGAGATCATCTCAAATATGTATTAGAGCTGGTCTGCCGGCTACAGATAGGCTATAGAGACTTTATTTTTTTTATTTAAAATTGTGTTTTTATTTTATGTTATACTTGTTCTAGATTCAATGTTAAAGCAAAACTCTTATTATACATTTATTTTAATAAGAAAAGGTTTAACATTACATATCTCGAAAGAGAAAAATAGAGAGACATGCAGATGTTGTTGAAATTTTTCAATAAATATTTAGTTTGGTCCATGACTTAGTCACAGTTTTTAATTTTGGCCCTCTGAGAATTTGAATTTGACAGCCCTGTTCAAGAGCTTTAAAACAGTGGCTGTTGAAGGCTCAAATATGCCTACATGCATAACAGATGAGATTTGATTGTTGGTTTAACTTTTAACTTCAAATTAACTGTTCTTATAACTATCCATCCATCCATTCATTTTCTTCCGCTTATCTTGGGCCTAAGTCTAAGCAGGGACTCCCAGACTTCCTTCACCCCAGACACGTCCTCCAGCTCTTCCAGGGGGACCCCGAGTGTCTCCAGCATGTCATGGGTTTTCCCCGGGGCCTCCTTCCTGTGGGACATGCCCAGAACACCTCCCGAGGTGTTCTGGGCAATTTTTTAGGTATTTGTTCTGGCAGTATAAGAATTGAGTCATAGAAGGTTGAATTTAGAATTCTAAAGACTCATTACAGACAAAAACTAATTACTTAACTGTTGAATTCTTTTATTTATTGCAGCACATGTTTTTTTTTTGTTTTTTTTACAATAACATTAATATAACGTTAATCAATTAGTTTGGGATTCAGGAGCTAATGGTGAACCTGGTTTGGAACTCAAAAGTTTAGACACTTGTTTAATGTAATTTTATCAGTTCTGCTGATATCTTGAATATTGTATTAGCACAAAAAAAGAGTATTTTAAAAGTGCTATGAATGGGTGAGTATTTGACTCAGTAAAAGTAAAATCAGTTAAATAAATGATGGTTTATGTAACCATTTTTGTCTTTCATCTCTTTTTATCCTGATTCGGCCACACATTATATACATAATGAATGTTTTTTTGTGTCATTTTGACACTCAAATGAAGAGATATACTGTTTTCAATATGCAATACCGAGACCAACACTCCAAGAACCCCTTCACTTAAGTAGGAAAATAAATCTCTTTACTATATTGTCATTTAGGCCAATTCATATTTTTGTATCTGTGATACCGATGTCCAGAATCCTCACGAGGTTACGGGGTGTACCTGTCACAGCAGATGAAGGCGCGCGATGACGCACGCTTTGCTCAAGGCGCAAAGCTCGCAGTCAGACAGAAGATCAACTAAAAACCTAAAAGGATCAATAATGATTTAGGAGTTTGGTTATTTTCATGAATAAGGGCTAAAGGATTGGAATTATACCTGGTCATGGAGGATAGAGCGGCTTACACAGGGACCCAGAAATGCGTGGGTCCCTTATAAACTCTACAGGCTAATAAGTGGATAACAACAGAGCTGTGTACTATACAGTTATGGTGAGTTCAACTTCAAGTCAAAGTGCGTCCGAGGAACAGTTTTTAGGGAGTAATATGTCTTCTCTTCAGCAGGACCCTTGTTCCAAGCAAGTAATGAAGCATGAAGCTGAAGTGAGTGCATCTATCTGCGGTGAAATTCTGTGGCTCTTGTGTTGAGCCTTTTCACTGTATTTGTTTTTTCTTCCAATCTTCGAATCCTGTGTGGTTTGTTATATGTTGTTCTGAGCGGTCCGTCCTCCGCGCACATTCTTCTCAGGCCAAAACATCTAACATCATCATACCCTGAGCATAGGAGCTCATCCCAGAAGTTTACAGGCATTATTGTTCCTGCCTAAACCTCCCTAGATCAGCCGTGGCCTGTAACACAGACTGAGTAAATGGATCAATCATCATTTCATCAGCATCAAAGCTTTGTAGATTTCCACCAGACTTAGACTGATGTCACAATATAGAAAATGATAATATTTATAAAAATGTATTGTTAAAGCATTTATTATATGGATTATTATACAATACATCTGCAACACTGAGTCATCATTACACACACACATAATATAATTATTGTCAACATTTGATACCTGCATATTTCAGCACATTAGCAACATTAATGAACATATTATGTCATTTAAAAGATATACTATGAGACTTTTCTGGTGGAGAGTCCATCATCAGCTTGGAGATGTCACTTTGCTGAATGTTCCATAGTACCTGATTCTCCGCATAGACACAAGCAGATGTTGCCACCAGTTACAGGTCAAATCTACGGTGAGGCAAGCCCCTCACAATAAGAACGCACATTTTTCAAGATAATTTTGGGTAATAAAACTACTGTAATTAAATAAATGCAAGACAGACAAGTTTTATGCCACACTGAAATATTTCTGGCAAAGCTGTAATATCTCCATGGAAACAAGCAGGTAACATACCCACCACCAGAAAAGTTACATAGTGCACTTTTAAAGAAGTACAATTGCTCTATAACTGTAATAACAAAGCTACTCTTCACTGATCTCACTTATTAAGGTACATCTAAAAGTTTTAAGCAATATGGTTCTGTGTGATCAAGATGTTTTTTGTACAAAATAACCTTATTTTATTATTTGACCACAAGCACTTTTCCTGTTTTACTTTATTATATTGTCCTCTACTGGTTAGTATGTGTTTTGGGTTTAAATTTAACTTGAGCATATACACATTCTGCTTCCTTGTTGATAATGATTTGTCTGTTTTCTCCCCCAATATTCCTCTGCTCTTTCAGGTAGGAGCTGCCTGAGGGATCTGCATCACTTCTGGCCTCTTGCTCCGTCCTCTTGATGCTTTTTTTCATCCTGTTCACAGAGTAAACCCCACTGTCTTGGTTCTCTGGCAACTGCTCTGTGGTCTCTGGAGAAGACTGGCGCTTATTATGCCGGACAATCAGGGTTCTGAAAGCACCAAAATAGAGATTAAAGGTCCTGTATTACACAGAATTGAACCTTGAGAGCTTTTAGCCACGTTATAATGTTGTTACCTCATCAAAAATACACCTAGAGTTGTGTTGTTTCATTCACACACGTTTGAGTAATTCTTTATTAGTAGTCTCTTTACTTCAAAGCTCAAAAATGCTCTGTTCCACCTTGTTATATCACGTAATGGTAGTTTTCATGTCATCAGCTCCTTTTACCTTTAGTTCAATCGAGACTGGCAATTCCAGAGATGAAATGATGCCAAATGATTCTAGTGAAGATGTATGGATTTTAAAAAACACAGTGGAGCAAAGTGGAGTTAGCACATGAGATCACAAGGTGGAACAGAGTGTTTTCAGTTTGAGAGAAGAACTCAGTCTAAATGTATGTTAAACATGTGTGAAAGAAACAAAACACAACTCCAGGTATGTTTGTGATGAGGAAACATAACAGAAAATTGAGTAATATAGGCCCTTTAACGCATGTACAACAATGCTTCTAAGGGACTGCATACATTTTTGATTGTAGTTTTGAAATACATCCAGGACAAAACAAGTGATTTCCTCTTCTGGCGTCAGGTTGTAGCACCAGATTTTTGCTCTGCTTTTAGCTTGGTTATCTGTTTAACACATGAGCAAACGCTTACGATAAATGAGACCCTGTGTTTCGTTGGTGTTACTGCTTGTGGTTTTTGTTGCAATGTTTGTTGTTTTAAATGTGCTATATAAACAAATTTGCCTGGGCAAAATTTGACTATGTGTGCTAAATGGAAAAAAGCCACACCCTCAGTACCTGATCACACAGAAAAGCACCAACACCAGCACCATCAGAATGAACGTTGACGCGATTAACAATGGAGTGACCACATCTTCTTGTCCTAAAAGTCATTAGAAAAACAAAACTAAGTTAGGACATAAGGAATGTTTGGGGAAAACAAGCATTTATATTTATAGGTTAACATTATTTTACAAACAAAAAGCATGTACTGCAAGATGAAAACAACCAAATATGTCAGCCTGTTGATACCAGAAAAAAATCAAATACCCTTTTGCTTTTCAGGAGATTTAAGCGCATGTTCAAATCTTTGTCTGTCAGATCCCAGAGAGTTTCTGCTGTGAAAAACCAAAGTGACTGGATCTCTCCACTGTGGGTTAATAACAGTGAGGACGCTTCTTATAGCTTTGTCACTCAGAGGCTCACTGATGATGGAGATGTTTGGAGAGAGTCCTGGGAAACTCCACTGTATCAGGGGAATGGGGTTCCCCTCAGTCTCACACACACACCTCATCTTGACTGAGTCTATAGTGCAGTTTGAAGAGCTCACAATCTGTGGAGGGACTATAAGTGATGAAATAAATATTCATGGAAATGAATGGAATGTAAAAATACAATGCATGTAATGTATTAAATGACTGAAAACACATACAGAGTACATTCAGCTCAGCTACAGTAGAGTTCTCAGTCCCAAGTTCATTCTGAGCCTGACAGAAAATAGCAGTAGTATTCTCTGGAGGCTTTCATGTTTAAAACAGATGAGTTTCCGATCAGAGTGTGAGTTCCTCCATCAGTTTTATACCAGTGGTAGTGCTGTACAGCTGGGTTGGCATCACTGCTGCAGCTCACTGACAGATTACTGTGTTCTGTCAGTGGACCAGAGGGACTCACTGTCACTCTGGTGTTTCTGGGTTGATCTGAGTAGGATGATAGAAAAAAATCAGGCATAATCCATATTTCTTTCTCAGTTTTTCACAACCATAGCTTATATTCACTTTAACATAAACAAATATCATATTACATTTTGTATTAGCAGCACTGATATTGCTCAGAAAAAAATTAAATTGCCTTTTAAAATGATTTTAATTGTAAATACTTGACAACAGGTAACATACATGTAATATCAACAGTGATTTGTGCACTAGGAGACAACACATGTGTGTCATTTTCCCTGCTGTAGACTGCAGAGCATGATAGATTTGTCTTATAGTCAGAAGCAGTGAAGGTGAGAGTGGACACTTTGACAAAGGTCTTGTCCAGTTGCTCCTGCAGAGTCTCCTGAATGTCCCCCAGGACAGGGCTCCATGTCAGAGTGGGAGGGAGAGACAGACACGGGACAGGAACAGAGCACTGCACACTCACTGACTGCCCCTCACTCACACTCACAGAGGGCGGAGTCAGTGTAGGGGTGGGCGGAGCTTCTGGAAGAAAAAACTTAGTAAGGTAAAATAATTACATACCTAATATTGTAAAATAATGAATGCTGCAGAGACCATTCACTTTAATATTCATTGTTTTATCTTTAAATGTCCATATTAGAGGTTTGCCACAGTCCAGTCTAAAGTTAGCTTCTTTCCCCTGGTCCTCAGTGATGTTATACACTGTTGTGGTGCAGTTCTTCTGGGTTAAGTCTCCTGTTGTTGGTCTTGTGAATTGTATTTTGTCTGTTCATTGCTGACATCTCTCCATTCTGATCTACATTTATTGTTCAGGTTTGTAATATACTCATCCCTGATTGTAAAGGAGCAGGGTATTCTCAAACAGGATCCACGCACAGCCTCCACTCGTTTTGGCAGAGTGACACTAAAGACATTACAATGGGCACCTATACAAACAAGTCATAAAGATAGCACAAGCTGAAATGAAATAATTTGATCAAACTATTGCACATATTGTATTGCTTTAATAATCAAGCTGTTCTTAGCAACCACTCACTGTGCAGCAGGAAGCCCACAAGGAGAACATTTGTCAGAGCAGACATCTGATTTAACAGAAACAAAATATAATCAACATCTATTCAGTGGTGCATGTACAGTTAAATACAGATACACATTTTTTTTTTTAACCTACTTAACTGTGAGCCCCATTGAGGCTCAGAATCCCAAAGAATAGCCAAATGTTGAACCAATTGAGATTTTATTATATTAAATACTGAACAGCTATATTCTGACACTGTTGTCTCTCTTGCTCTACATTTATCATGTCTAGCCACAAGCAGAGTTTTTGGTACTCCACCCTGAGCTCTGTTGGCCTTAGCTGGGTGGCAGTGTGAAATTCTTTTATTAGATTTTCTAATATTATTTTCTTATTGGAGTCATGAAGGGATTTTCTTCAATTTAAAGGACCTATATTATGCCATTTCCTGATGTATGTTACAATGTTGTTTCCTCATCAAAAACATACCTCAAGTTATGTTTTATTTCAGTCACACATGTTTAACTCACAAACCCTGCATATTTAGGCTGAGATCTTTTCTCAAATGGAAAACACTCTGCTCCACCTTGTGATATCATTCATCCATTTTCTCCAGCTTTATCTGGGGCCGGGTCACAGAGGCAGCAGTCTGAGAAGGAAGGCCCAGACTTCCCTTTCCACTCACAGTTCTTCCAGTTTTTCAGGGGGAACCCAGAAGCCTTCCCAGGTCAGCTCAGAGACATAGTCCCTCCAGTGTGTCCTGGGTTCCTGTGGCCTCCTTCCAGTGGGGCGTGCCCGTCCCCAGGGAGGCATCCAAGAGGCATCCCGAAAAGATGCCCAGGCCACTTCGACTGGCTCCTCTAGACATGTAGGGGCAGCGGCTCTACTCTAGGCTCCTCCCGTATGACTGCGCTCCTCACTCTATTTCTAAGGGAACACCCAGCCACCCTGTGGAGGAAACTAATTTCTTGTATCCGCAATCTTGTCCTATCTGTCATTACCCAAAGCCCATGACTGTAGGTGAGGGGAGGGATGTAGATTGACAGGTAAATTGAGAGCTTTGCCTTTCAGCTCAGCTCCCTCCTCACCACAATGGTCCGATACAGTGACCGCATCATTGGAGACACTGTACCAGATACTTGAACTCCTCAGACACCCTCCGGCCCCTGACTGCGCCTACAAATTCTGTCCATATAAACACAATGAACAAAACCGGTGACAAAGGGAAGCCCGGCAGAGTCCAACATGCACTGGGAACAGGTCTGACTTACTGACGGCAATGCGAACACAACTCCTGCATCAGTCATACAGGGACCGGACAGCACTTAGCAAAGGGCCCCGGACCCCATACTAGCAGAGCACCCCCCACAGGGCACCACGACGGACATGGTCGCATGCCTTTTCCAGATCCACAAAGCACATGTGGACTGGTTGGGCAAATTCCCATGAACCTTTAAGCACCCGATGCAGAGTGTAGAGCTGGTCCAGTGTTCCACAACTGGGACGAAAACCACACTGCTCCTCCCCCACCACGGTAAGGTGGCAGTTCAAGGGGGAACTTGTGGTATCATGTCATGTGATAACCACTGTTGGGCAAGTTACTTTAAAACTATAATGTGTTATTTATTACTTATTACTGTCATTTCAAAGTAATTCGTTACATTACAATATTACTGTATTTAAAATGTAAGGCATTACATTACTATTGCATTACTTTAAGTTACTCTCACCAAAATAACTGCGAAAAAGCTGAACTTTTGAGCCGTATATGGACTGAACCAGGACTAAACAAGGTCTAAACCAGGACTAAACCAGAGCTGAACCAGGACTAAACCAGGACTATAACAGGACTAACCTCAGACTGATTCCAGGACTGAAGAGGAGGACTAAACCAGAACTGAACTAGGACTAAAACAGGACTCACTGTCAGGACGGGCTCGAAGGAGACCGCAGGAGAAAGGACTGGCTTTGCTCCGCACCTCATGGAGGTAAGAGCGGCAGTCGCCCGATCGCGCTTTACAGACCCTCTGATGCGGGGGCTCGCGGTCCTGATTTCAGCAACTATTTGCGGGTACAAGACCCGGTGCAAAACTCTGCTACAGCACGTAACTTCTACCTTCCTTCAACGTGTCCAGAAGTCCAACTTTTTGTGCGATGGTTTGCATCGTCCTCTGTCTTTTGGGTGTGAGCGCAGGAGCCTTTGTCAGTGCAAGAACGTTTCGTATTTTCAAAAAAATAAATAAAAAATCAGCGAAACAGTGAGACCGCAAAAAGTGAACCGTGTTAGAGCGAGGGACAACTGTAAACCAGGTCTAAACCAGAAGTGACCCAGGTCTAAACCAGGTCTAAACAGCGTAGAGTTCTGGAAAACCCACCACTTCAATCCAGGTTAAAAAAGCATTGTAACGCGCGTTATTCACATTTGTACCGAGTAAAATATTAAAATTTTTTCCCCTGTAATGCCTTACATTACTGCGTTACAGCAAAAATCAACGCATTACTGTAATACATTACTTTTATAATGCGTTACTCCCAACACTGGTGATAACACAGGATGTGCTCCACTGTGTTTTTAAACTCTACACATCTTTACTCATCTTCCATCATCCAGAATTTCAGATCTGGAATTACCAGTCTCTACAAAACAAAAGTTCAAAGTAGAAAACTATCACTACATCACATAACAAGCACTTCGATATAGATGTAGACAAACTAATAATAAATGGTTATGCAACTGTGTGTGAATGATACAAAACACAACTCCAAGCATGTTTTTTTATATATAAATTAACAACACTCTAACGTCGCTAAAAGCTCACTGTGGCCAGAATCTTTTAAAATGATATATTAATTGCATGACAATTGTTTTTTCCCTCATTAATTAAATTTACTGCAGAGACAGTGAAAGTAATATCATTTTCTGCTCATGCTGTAAAAAATATTCCTGGAGCAATCTAAAATTCTATAAAACATTTGAATTTTTAATCAAACTAATTCAGTGAGTCAGATGCCCAAATTTACTTTAACCCGGCAATTGAACAACTCTTTGTATAGTAGACATTTCAGAAGGCAGACATTAAAATAACTGCAACCTACCATTTATATAGGATTTGTATAGTAATAATATTAGAATGAGAATTAGAATTAGAATCATATTTTATAATAAATGTCTGGGTACTTACAGTGGTCTCTCCAGAACTCTCTTTAAGGCAAATGTTGACATAGAAACTGGGGAAGTTCTGATATCACCCCACCTGGGCCACTGGGCAAGGTGCAATGTCTGTTTCTGGTAAACTGTTATTTTTCTCACCATTTACAGAACTGAGAAGCTATTTTGCATGTATCATATCCTGTGATAATTCAGCTCTTTACTTTAGCTCCAGTGGACCAAAACCAAACTTAAAGGTACACTGTGTTACTTTTTGGTTGGAGGTCCATCACCTTGTTTCTGTGGTTATGTCATTGCTCTTACCTGTATGACACAGTACGATATTAAACAGCTCTTCCTCAAATTTATTCAATTATGGGTGGTTTTATGACCTACAAAAGCCAGCATTTTGATTGTAAGTCGGATCTCCTCTCCACAGATCTGATCTGTAACTTGATCTGTGCAATACCATAGTGTGAGACAATGTAATACCATACTGTGAGGCATTTCAGACAAAGCAATAACATCTATATAGACTATCATTAGATACAATCCAGTAATCAAAAACTAAACTTTAAATACAAGCAAAACAATGAGGCACCAGCTGGAGGTCACTCTAGTCATTACACAGGAGTGGGCGGGACTAAATCAATGTACAAGCACTGGTTTCTGCCTGTCAGTCAAATGCTAGGAGATAATCTGATTGGTTAGGGTTATGCTGATGATAGGGCCCTCTGCTTGCTGTCTGAAAGCCAAGTAAATGAGTGAGCTGTTTTGAACGTGTTACCCCAAAGCGACACCAAATCAAACCAAATTGGACACTGTAGTTTTCTGAACACAGGACATTGATTTTCTTATTTATGAAAAGTTTGATAAGCACTATATAAGTGCTGAAATATTTTTGCCTTCTGTGAAGGCCTAGAAGTCCCTGACAGTTTCCCTCTGTGACTTTTACACCAGAGGAAGGAAGTATATTTATAAATGTGATCTTGCTCGTATAGCTCTCACGATGTTAGAGTTTGATGCCTTTTGCTTGTTCCTGCTCCCCTTATGTGTTTTCTCTGTAGAGCTGGTGTGTGATGGGAGCGTGGAGCTTCCTGCAGCCGAGTGGTACACCTACAGCTCATTCAGGATCAGATGGAGAAGACCCCACTTTGCCTTCTCTTCACTGCCAAATAATTCCATCTCTCTGCAGTAGTGCTCCGCTCTCCCAAGTCCAGTGTTAATATGTACCAGTGCATTTTACTCACCTGCAAATCTGTCTTTAGGTCATCTTGCTATAGGCCACTGCTGCAGTTCTTGGACCAGACTGCCTCCAGCCTGCCTCTGTCACCACAGCCTGCAAAAATCCTGTACATAAACTGTTAAAACTTACCAGTCTTCATCTCTGCCTTGGGGTTCTCATTTCTCAGAACATAACACACAAATCCTTTGTTTGCACAATGTGAATAGACTTTAGAACTGCTTTTTTCAGAGGGAGAAGTGAAACACGAATGACCAAGAGTGACCTTTCAGAATGCTGAAATGCTTTACTATTATTAGTTACAAATAGCATACAGGGGTCTCATTGTCACCAAGCGCTCATTTTACAATATAGTTTATGTGGGAAATCACAAAACGTATTTATTTTCAAAAAGCAAATGTCAGCATTATGACAAAAATGATTCCCCTTTTTCAAGAAGACAGAAGTACCCTTTGTATTTGTAATTACCATGGAGATGGTTAAATTATTGTAATTTTAGCTGTACTATCAATATTGTAAGGAAAACACTCTTAGTCCATGAGCCTGCTACCAACGCCAAATAATGTAATGTGGTTTGAAGTAATGGTAAGTGAACTGGAGTCAGTGGACATTTAGATACCTAGAAAGTTCAAATGAAATAGAGATAGCACTTTAATGTACCAATAATAAATGATAAGAGTAGGTGTGCAAATCATTTATTATTTTTATTTTAGTAAAATGGTGATAAAACCACAATTACACTGTTACTACAAATAATGATAGTATGTGTAATAATGCAATAGATATTTAATACATATATTTTAGAGGGAAGATCTATTGCATGACAGGTTAGACTAGTAAGATATAGTTCACTATATCATATCACTATCATTATATTTTCGATTTTACAAAATTATAAAATTCTGTGAATTTTATAATTTTACTTCCTGGTTGGACATGAGCAGCAAATATAACAAACAAAGAGGTAATCTCATGTTATTTATTTATGATTAGAATAACAAAAATAAATGACAACACCTTTATTTGATTAAATGAACAGTTTAACTGTCAGGAAAAAAGCCTTCCTTGCTCAAAAAATACTTCTGTATTTTGAATGGAATTTTCAGTGTTGATGACATTTTAGAACTCACTGCTACTGCTCTATTTCTTTTTTGCCATTTAACTAATATAAAAAATATAGTACACATTTACCACAAGTACTGTTCCCACCAAAACAAGTAATAATGAGAAAAGTATGAAACCCTGTCATTAACTTTAACTTGGGCTTATTCACATTCTGCCAGCTTTTCAGAAACACTAAATCTGCCTCTATCTCCCATCTTTCTCCAGCTGGGGGAGATGCATGGTGGATGTGTGTCAGCTGCAGCCACTTGCACCTTCTTCTTGGTTTGACCTTCCAGTTCACAGTGAAGTAAAGGGTCAAGCCATCCCTTCATTACTGTTTGGTGCATTGCTCTGACTGCTCTTCTGCTCTCACCTCATTTGCATTGACATTCTCAGACAACACCTGAAATTTAGACAAATAAAAAAACAAATAAACATAAATATCTCAAAACATCTACTTTTCCATTATAGTGCATCATTCACAAGTACCTCCTTTGACTGTGGTATCGGGTCCAAAGCCACATCAGGAGACTGATGCTTATTAAGACGGACTTTTTGAGTTCTACAAAATATAACACAATATTGTTCATTCAACATTGTTTAATCCCTGGCTTATTTGGTTCTACTACAGTAACTACAGAGTGTGATGACTGCAGCCTTAGAGCTTTGTGGGTGCATGTTTATGCATTGTGCTGCTGGCCCTCTCGCCTCCCTTACAGGGTCCAAAGAGTGGGAGTGACTGACCAATTAGCAGTACCTAGATGTGTCTTTAAAACTGACTGCTGGAGACCTCCTCCCTCTTCTCTCCACATTGTAGTCACAAATTTTGCTTTAGACCTTGTTTTGAATAAATATATATGTTTGTGCCCTTTTTAAACACATGTGGACTCCATCATGTCTGAAACTTCAGTCAGTGTGTGACAATGAGCCAGAGACATGGTAGCCCAGCAAACAGATCAGGTTATAAAATCAACATATTCTCACTTCAGTCTTCTATTATTTTGTTGAAATAAACATTTTCGTAAATATTCTAATGACAACTAGCCTATACAATATATTTATCTGTTCACATTATCTTGCTATCTTAGTGTTGTTTAGACTGATGTTACAGAAAGAAATATATTAAGATGAATCACTTTTACAATTAAAGCTTAAAAATAAAAAATTACAATCTTATATATAACCACATGTACTTACCTAATAACGTACAGCAACGCACCTATCAAAGCCAGAAGAATTATAATAATGGTCACGAGAAGTGGATTTGTCACTGCCTTTCCAGCTCCTACACATGAACAATGAATATAATATGTAAAAAAGTAAATAGAAAATTTGAAATCAAGAAATCAATCTACTGGTGTATTGTTTAATGCCATACTGTGGAACACTTTAAATTCCCCTAGAGCTTTGCCTAAATAAATCAGTATCATGTTAATATATTTAGTATAATCAAATGTGATAGAACAACTAACCTGCTCCTTGAAACGCTTGTTTAAATGAGTGGCCATAAAGTTGCTGTGTGTCAGATCCAAGCGAGTTGCTGCTGCGACAGACCAAAGTGACTAGATCTTTCCACTGAGGTTTAATAACAGTGAGGACACTTCTTAGAGCTCTGTCACTCAGAGGCTCACTGATGATGGAGATGTTTGGAGAGACTCCTGGAAAACTCCACTGTATCAGGGGAATGGGGTTCCCCTCAGTCTCACACACACACCTCATCTGGGCCGAGTCTATAGTGCAGTTTGAAGAGCTCACGATCTGTGGAGGGACTGTAGATGATACAATAAACAGTCATGTCATGGACAATATCAATACATGTAGCATATTTTAAATGAGGGAAAACACATACACTGTACATCCAACTCAGTGACAGTAGAGTTCTCAGTCCCAAGTTCATTCTGAGCCTGACAGAAAATAGCAGTAGTATCTCTGGAGGCTTTCATGTTTAAAACAGATGAGTTTCCGATCAGAGTGTGATTTCGTCCATCAGTTTTATACCAGTGGTAGTGCTGTACAGCTGGGTTGGCATCACTGCTGCAGTTTAATATAATATTACTGTGTTCTGTCACTGGACCAGCGGGGTTCACTGTCACTCTGGTGTCTGAAGGTTTGTCTTTGGGAAAGGAAATTAACGATTTAGACATTGACTAGATTTAGTTCTGGTCTCAATTTAGTTTAAAAATAGAAATTGAAAAATACGTACACTTAACAGGTAGTTGAGTGAGTGAAGAGCGATCAGTTCCAAGATCATTCAGAGTTTCACAGAAAACTCTAGTTGTATCTTTAGAGACTTTAATGTTCAACACCGCTGAGTGTCCAATCAGAGTGTGAGTTCCATTATCATCTTTATACCAGTGGTAATGTTTTACAGACGGGTTGGCTTCACTGTGGCAGGTTAAAGTCACATTGTTATATTCTTCCACTGGACCACTAGGCTGCACTGTGACTGTGGTGTTTTGGGGTGGATCTGTGAAAGATGAACACAATGAACTGAGAGAGACTAATATAACTAATAATAATTAGTGCTGTCATGCGATTAAAAAAATTGAGAGATTAATTAATTATGATCTGTAATTAATTAATCTAATTAATCTCATTTTAATCTCACCTAAAAATTGCTGAGAAAAGCCTTCAATTTGAGGTATTTTCATTTAAATTCATTATTACATTATTGTGGCAGATCAAAAGACTGATATAGAACAAAAAAAAGTGACTTTATAAAGTCATTTATTGTTTAACAAATCTCTTCCAATTTGGCTGTTGAGCCCAAGTCTCCATGAATAAGAAACTGTTTGCTGTAAAGTAGCAAAGACGAGGAAATCTGAACATAATAACTTTTGTCTACTTAAAGACAATAAAAAGTCCAGTCTTTCCTTAACCATGTTAAAAATATTATTGATAGAGAAATGCTTTATATATGAGATCACTGGTTTTAGTCCTGGTTTAGACCTGCTTTAGTCCTACTTTAGTCCTAGTTTAGTCCTGGAATGGATTAATCCTGGTTTTAGTCCTGGTGTTAGTTCTGGTTTGGTCCTTGTTTAGTCCTGGTTTAGACCTGGTTTTAGTTCTGGCTTTAGTTCTGGTTTAGTCCTGGTTTAGTCCTGGTTTTAGTTCTGGTTTTAGTTCTGGTTTTAGTTCTGGTTTAGTCCTGGTTTAGACCTAGTTTTAGTTCTGGTTTTAGTTCTGGTTTAGTCCTGGTTTAGTTCTGGTTTAGTCCTGGACTGGATTAGTCCCGGTTTTAGTCTTGGTGTTAGTTCTGGTTTAGAGGCGCACAGGAGGAAGCGCGGTTTACGCCGCGTACGCGAGAAAACACGATCCACACGCGGCTCACGGGAGCACGTCGGTGTCCGCGCAGTAACTACGGAAGGAAACGTGGTCCGCGCGTTCTCAGGTTAATGACGATGATGAAGGTGTGTGTGTGTTTGTGTGTGTTTGTGTGTGTTTGTGTGCGTGTCCCCTCATGTGGCAGGTCACTATAGGACAGTAGTGCAGACATCATGAGCCTATGCAGGTTGTTTTCACCAGTGACATTTAAGTTGTAGGCAATATTATAATAGTTATTTTCTTTTATATTTCACGTCGGGAGAATAATTTCCAGGACACAAATGTGTTTTTACCTGTGCACTGCTGCCTCTGTTCTACTGGCTCTTTGACCTCGTCCATTGTGCCTGACGCCGCCAACTTTAACATGACGTTTACATCGCTGTTACTGCGCGCGTTTTGTGTGGGTTTCCGGCAATGAGTGGAATTACCGAAAAAAAAAAAATTTATAAATGTGTTTTTTTGTGTGTGTGTTATTGTCCCAACAACACATAAAAACAGGTTTTATAATAAAGCAACTCGCATACAGAAACACTAAAGTTAGAGATTAAAAATTAGATTAACGCAATTAAAAAAACATAACGCGCTAAATATGACTGTAATTAATTAATCGCAATTAACGCGATAATTTGACACCCTAATAATAATAACAACTCTTGATTTCAAACAATTTAGATAAAACATGCTTACAGAGTGGTTGGCTGCATTTGTGGCTACCTGGTTCACACACTGAACACTTATTGAAAGTTTTTGTTTTGTTGAGGTCAGTTTTTAACATCATATCATGGGATTTTGACCAACTAAGAAGTGTAACACGTGCGGTTCAAAGGACACAAGGGACTGTTGGGTTATGTAAAATCTGTTTGTTTTTCCCTTATCCATGGACGTGGTGCAAGAAGGACATAAGTAAGGAGTTAAGGATGTTTGAGATGCTACAGGCTTTTTACACCAAATGTGGCAGAAGGCCTTCCAGAAGAAATACTGCAAGATCTTCCAGAGGAACTAACCAACCACCAGAGTGGAGTAAGAATGAGGCCTTTTCCTGTTGTGTTCCCCTGGCTCCTCCTGGCCTCTGCTGCAGGACACAGAGGAGGGACACTTTCAGCTCTTTCTCTCCTCAAACTGCCCTTTCACAGATCTGCTCACCCTACCTGACCAGTCCTCCTCTTAAACTGCACTGAGACCTTTGACTGAGATACAAAGGCCACTGAGAAATACAGTGTAAACGTTGCTGCAGGAAAGCTTGAATTTCCCTTGGGATCAATAATGTATCTCCAATGTATCTCCCTCTTTCTCTGTTAAATACTCGAAAGAATTAATCATATTGTAGCAGAGGGGCCTAATTGTAAATGTAGTTCAAGGTAGTAAAGTTGCCAACAACGCCACCTGGTAACACCAGGACACAATGTTTTCCCCCACCCACTATGGACACACAGGTTCGTTGACGGAATATGGCATGAGACTTGAATATACTTTACATTGAATTTATTATCCATTTTTGCAAAGGGTTAATCACATACATCCTCGACCAGTCCTGTGCGTTCATTGTCCACTGGGTCGCATGGCCTCGTTGCTTGGAATGACCTTAGGACCATTATCACAGTCAATATCGCGCCTCGCAATAGCGCTTCCCACAAGACGAAGACTTCAGAAAGCGAGTCCTTTCACCAAGGGCCACGACCACCGAACAGACCAGGTACACGGAGAAATAAAAAGAGAAAAGGGGAGGCTTCCCGCCAGCAGGAGCCGAGTAGAATTCACCGCGGCACGCCACCCAAACACGCAAAGGACCGCCCAGCGCCGAGACACAAACGCCCCACGATGCCCGCACACTCTCCGCAATTACTGCGCTGAACACCTTGCAACAGTAAACTTAGTGCGCCTAAACGTGGTCCACTCGGGGCCTCGCGTCTTGCGGCCATGACAGCTTGGCTCCGCCAGCGTGCGACGTCAGCGGTCGGAGTTCAGGAGGGAGGGCGAGCGTAGTGCATAGCGCCCCTTTTATAGGCGGGTTTGTGACCCATAAACCCGATACTATCACAATATTAAGAATTAATATGATGAACTGAGAGTCAGGAGCTGGACCACACTTCAAATTCCTCTCCAGTTAACCACGGCTTATCTCAACCACACCTTCAATTACCCAGATGCCCCATTTATACGGCCTATCCCAGCAACACCGTCTGTCAGCTCTCTCGACCCCCTCCCTCCCCCCTGTGTGTTTTGCCCATTCTTCAGCCCGAAAACGTCATCTTTAAGGAGGGGGGGTTCTGATTCAGCTGGGTCACCATTTTGGATTGGAGACGGAGCCCCCACCCTGAGTCTCCCCCAAGCCATCACATCTATCCACCATCAATACATATCTTATCGTATTCCACTGTCAAGGCGTGGTCCTTGCTAGTGAAACGGACGGCGAACAAAAGCACTCTGCACTGCTAATCAGCGGTGAGAATAGTTTGCTCTGAATAACGCAAAGATTTTTGAGAATATTTTTCTGCATGACACGTTATTATTATTGATTATTCCAGAAGGGAGCAGTGTTCTGAAGAAACAAGAAAACATCTTAATTTGCTTTTTACTGTAAAACTCAGTTTTGTATATTTTCTATTTTTGTATATAAAAATACTCCCAGCATTGCATTATTTGACTAAAAGACATTATAATGCAGGAATAGAATTTGCAAATATACATACACTGTACATCCAGCTCATAGATGGTGGAGTGATCAGTCCCAACGCCATTCTGAGCTTCACAAAAAATAGCTGTAGTGTCTCTTGAAGCTTTCATGTTTAAGACAGATGAGTTTCCGATCAGAGTGTGAGTTCCTCCATCAGTTTTGTACCAGTGGTAGTGTTGTACAGCTGGGTTGGCGTCACTGCTGCAGCTCAGTGACAGATTACTGTGTTCTGTCACTGGACCAAAGGGACTCACTGTCACTCTGGTGTTTGAAGGTTGATCTGTGAATTATAAAAATAAAACTGTATGAAATTATAGGCAGTTGAAAAATGCAGCAAGGAGACCAACAAAAATACATACAGTGCACATCTATCTGAGTAACAGTTGAGAGATCAGACCCAAGTTCATTCTGAGCCTGACAGAAAATAGCAGTAGTATCTCTTGCAGCTTTCATGTTTAAAACAGATGAGTTTCCTATCAGAGTGTGAGTTCCTCCATCAGTTTTATACCAGTGGTAGTGCTGTACAGCTGGGTTGGCGTCACTGCTGCAGCTCACTGACATATTATGACTCTCTTGTATTGGTTTGAAATAATGTACTGAAACTGTGGTGTTTCTCGGTGAATCTAAAAATATAGAGGAAAAAAATTAAACCATACAATAAAACAAGGTTAGGAATTTTTAAATGCTACAGGGTGCCAGCTACATTTAAAGTGCATTGAACAAGCTCGACTACACTTTTGATTTACACATATTAAGCAAAATGATATTCAGTTTGCGTAGTTTTCCCCATTTAATCTATTTTGGTGAAGTTGATAATTTGCCTGGTAATTACATAAATGTTATCTCACACAGTCGACAAGGGCCAAAGCTTGTCTAATGTACACAATTTTTATTATATAACTATACCTCTGTTGTTTAGAATGGATGTTTAAACCGTAAGCAAAATGAGTTCCTTGCATGTAAACTGTCTCAGCATTTTCTAGAGAATTGTGTGTAGTGATGACATAGAGGGCTTCCGTTTTAAAACTCCCTGCTACTTCCTTTATTTTAAAACTTTCTTCACTGCCACTTCACTGATGTAAAACGGTGATAGACGAAACTAAACTACTTCTAAACATAGTAGCTGTTGGTAGGGGGATAGAGGTTGCGCACTCCAATGTTAAAATGCTATAAATACTCTGTTGTGTGAGCACCCACATGGAAGACCTGAGCAACCCTTAACCTATACCCATCAAGAAAAAACTGGACATTTTTGTGTAGTAGCTACCTCTAAATTCTGCTGTTCATGTTAATCCTCAAATGATAAAAAGATGAAGCTCAAGTAAAATAATAATAAAAAAAAATACATACACTGTACATCCAGTTGAGTGACAGCAGAGTTCTCAGTCCCAAGTTCATTCTGAGCCTGACAGAAAATAGCAGTAGTATCTCTGGAGGCTTTCATGTTTAAAACAGATGAGTTTCCAATCAGAGTGTGAGTTCCTCCATCAGTTTTATACCAGTGGTAGTGCTGTACAGCTGGGTTGGCATCACTGCTGCAGCTCACTGATATTTTACTGTGTTCTGTCACTGGACCAGATGGACTCACTGTCACTCTGGTGTTTGAAGGTTTGTCTTTAGGGGAAAAAACGTTTTAACTTTTACAATGACTGGATGTAGTTTTGACCTCACATGATCTTAAAATATAAATTGAGAAAACATACACTTAACAGGCAGTTGAGTGAGAGGAGAGCAATCACTTCCAAGATCATTCAGAGTTTCACAAAAAATTTTAGTGATATCCTTAGAAGCTTTAATGTTTAACACCGCTGAGTGTCCAATCAGAGTGTGAGTTCCATTATCATCTTTATACCAATGGTAATGTTTTACAGATGGGTTGGCTTCACTGTGGCAGGTTAAAGTCACAGTTCTTATGTTCTTCCACTGGACCACTAGGGTGCACTGTGACTGCCATGTTTTGGGGTGGATCTGTGACAAAATACAATAAACAGAGAGGTTATTTTGTAACACTCCAATCCCGCTTGGTTGGTCTTAAACAATTTCAATATAACATGTTAAATGCTTGAACATTTTCTAAAGTTTAGAACTTTAAAATGGCCAATAAATTTACCACAAAATAAACAGGTGATGAACAAAAGCATTGAGCACTGTTAATCAGGGGTGAGAATAGTTTGCTCTAAATAATATAAAGATTTTTGAGAAAAGATATGCATGACACATGATAATTATTGGTTATTCTCGAAGGGAGCAGCGATCTGAAGAAACCAGACAGCCCTTCTTTTGGAGAAGAGAGGATGGGCTGGCTCACCAGGCAGGAACATTTGTTTTCTGAATCTAAGACCATTTTAGACTTTAAGACTTTTAACAGTTTTCTATATTTTAGATTTTAGATTTTTTTTTTTTTTTGGTCAAAAAAAATAAATACATAACTAAAATCATCAGATTGCATCCTTTGGCTAAAAGATCAGTATAGACAGGATAATGCAGCAGAAGAATTTGCAAATTTACGTACACTGTACATCCAGCTCATAAATGGTGGAATGATCAGTTCCAAGTTCATTCTGAGCCTGACAGAAAATAGCAGTAGTATCTCTGGAGGCTTTCATGTTTAAAACAGATGAGTTTCCAATTAGAGTGTGAGTTCCTCCATCAGTTTTATACCAGTGGTAGTGCTGTACAGCTGGGTTGGCATCACTGCTGCAGCTCACTGACATATTACTGTGTTCTGTCACTGGACCAGAGGGGCTCACTGTCACTCTGGTGTTTGAAGGTTTGTCTTTAGGGACAAAAATTAACAGTTTAGACATTGACAATATTTAGATCTGGCCCCAAACTATTTTAAAAATATACATTGAAAAAACATACATTTCACAGGCAGTTGAGTGAGAGAAGAGCGATTAGTTCCAAGATCATTCAGAGTTTCACAATAAATTGTAGTGATATCCTTAGAAGCTTTAATGTTTAACACCGCTGAGTGTCCAATCAGAGTGTGAGTTCCATTATCATCTTTATACCAGTGGTAATGTTTTACAGACGGGTTGGCTTCACTGTGGCAGGTTAAAGTCACATTGTTATATTCTTCCACTGCACTAGGCTGCACTGTGACTGTGATGTTTTGGGGTGGATCTATGAAAGATGAACACAATGTCAGTGTCTCATTCCTCTTTCCTTGCTTCCTTCTCCTTGAGCCTTGCTCATGTTTATTCCTTCATTTTGTGTTGTTTTTTTTGGGGGGGGACACCACTTAATATGTCACATTTGACTGACAGCTGAAAAATTTAGGATTGAGGAGACGAATCAAGGTGAAGAAAGTGAGGAAAGAGAATAGAGACGTGACCTATGAACAGAGAAGCTGAAATATCACACCATGATCATGCAGAAGTGTAACTACCTAAAGAGTTAACAATTTGGGAAGACATTAGGAAATGATATGAATTTTAGAAAATTATACATTTTCTAATATTCCCTTCTAACTGAAATAGAAGAGTAGTACACATGGTCATATTTTTTTTATCACGCTTTTCCACAGTCAAGCGCTTAAAGTGTTTTACATCAAGAAAACACTCACCCATTCACACACACCAGTGTACACAGACACTGGGTGTGAGGCGGGTTAAGTATCTTGCCCAAGGACACAATGACAGCATTCATCTGTGGGAGCTGGAATCACACCACCAGCCTGTGAGTTAGTGGATCTGACTGCTCAACCAATGATGTTTATTATGTTATTATGTTAGGATTCAAAGTGCCAACCTTGGGATCAGTGGACAAACATTCTACCAGCTGAGCTACTGTTGCCCCATGTGGATGTATTTTAAACACAAGGAATATAAAAATAATAACATAATTCTTCTATCCATCCATTTTCTTCTGCTTGTTCAGGGCTGGGTCGTGGGGGCAGAAGTCTAAGATGTGACTCCCACTTTCCTCATCCCAGACTCCTGGAAGCTCCAGCTACTCTGAGTGGGACCCCAAGGTGTTCCCAGGCCAGCTGAGAGAGATAGTTTCTCCAGTGACCTGGGTCTTCCCCGGGGGCTCCTCCCGGTGGGACATGCCCAGAACACCTCCCCAGGGAGGTGTCCAGGAGGCAAGTGGAGAGGTACAGCATTAAAACTCTCTTTTAGAACACAATTAAACTCAGACTTTCTTAATTTAAACAAAATTAAGAGCAGAAATGAATGGTATAGGTGGCCACCATATTGACTTTTTGAATAAGGGATTTTGGCAAATGAGATTGAGACACTCGCACAAAACCATGTAATGTTCATATATGTGCCACAGCAAATAAAAATAATAGTACAGATTTTAATTTTATTTTTTTATTATTTGGTGGTGAACTGTTTGTCCATAGAATATATAGAAAATTGATCTTTGGTATATTTTCTAATAAACCTATTTCTATAATCTATTGTGGGTTGTGAGACTATAATACCCCTTTAAACAGGTTGGTGCAGAAAAAAATAAATATGAAAATGTATACATACACTGTACATCCAGGTCAGTGACAGAGGAGTGATCAGTCCCAAGTTCATTCTGAGCCTGACAGAAAATAGCAGTAGTATCTCTTGCAGCTTTCATGTTTAAAACAGATGAGTTTCCAATCAGAGTGTGAGTTCGTCCATCAGTTTTATACCAGTGGTAGTGCTGTACAGCTGGGTTGGCATCACTGCTGCAGCTCACTGACATATTACTGTGTTCTGTCACTGGACCAGAGGGACTCACTGTCACTCTGGTGTTTCCTGGTTTGTCTTTAAGAAAGAAAATTAATTGACTTTGACAGTAGTTAGATTTCAAAATCTGGCCCCAAATGAGAGCAAAAAATACATACATGTGACCAGTAGCTGAGTGGTAATTGAGCGATCAGTTCCAAGATCATTCAGAGTTTCACAGAAAACTCTAGTTGTATCTTTAGAGGCTTTAATGTTTAACACCGCTGAGTGTCCAATCAGAGTGTGAGTTCCATTATCATCTTTATACCAGTGGTAATGTTTTACAGACGGGTTGGCTTCACTGTGGCAGGTTAAAGTCACATCCATATATTCTTCCACTGGACCACTAGGCTGCACTGTGACTGTGGTGTTTTGGGGTGGATCTGTGTAAATTAAATACAATAGAATGTGTGAATAACATAATAATATGTGGATAACTGGACCCCTTGCCCACAGGATGAGGAGTCCTCTCAACTTTCAAGGACCTGGGCTAGTGTCCCGAAGAAGTTGTATTGCAGATCACGCTATTCCCCTACCAATGCAGGTAGGAGAATTGCACCTAAATCTGTGTAAATCAGTTGCAGTACACATCACATCACATGCAGAAGACATCCAAAACATGTCAAGGTATGTGTAAAGAACATACTGGTCTGTTAAAAACATAAAAACACTGGAAGACCGAAACAAACCTCTTTGAAGCAAACTGATATCCCTCTGTATAAATAATACAGACATCATTTTGGATTCGCCAAGAAAAGCTACACTGTTGTTCGTGTGTGGCAAATAATTAGGTTTACCATGTTAACTACTCATCATACATACTGCATACCACATCTTGGCAGTGCTGGCAGGACTGACGAAATTTTGGTGGTGACTGGGGTCATACAGTTGTTTAAGTAAGACCTTGATGTTGTTTATTATAATGCATATGTTGTAGTTGTCGTGTGCATGTTTTTATTAATTTACACGTAAATAGTACATGTCTGTCCATATTCATACTACTACAACCAGATGAAAGTAGTGCTGCAGCCAAGTATTTGTAACTAAAATGCTAACACAGGCCTGATATTGGTCTATTTTTTGCGTAGTACTAGTAATAATGGTAGGTAAAGTTTATTGTAAAAAGGAGGATCCTTTGGAAGGTTGGACTTCGAGGTGGAACATTCAGGTGGTTGTGATGGTCATTACTGAGTGACTGTAAATGGAAGTTTGAAGTCTGGGCTTAATTGCAGTGTATTTGTATTGCTGTCACAATTGTATTGCTGTCACAATCTCTATGATATGCAGCCCCTGACGTTCCAAAAAAATAATAAATGATCTTGTTTGAACAAGATATCTTGTTTGCTCAAGAGAAGTAGCAAGGAGGACATTTGCTTGTGATTTGTGTGGAGATCCTCCAGTGGCCAACTGAACTGTTTAACTGCTGCTCTGTGGTAGTTTAAATTATGAGATGTGAGTGAATTAATGCAAAAGTGACATCCACCAACTCTAACTTTTAGACTACTAGCCTTGCCAGCAAGATGAATTCTCGGGATTGAATTTATTTTGTTCACCTTCAGCTGAAGCGTTTGCATGTGATAGATCCTGAAGAGTCACAAATGAACCAAAAGAAACATGACAAACACTACTATATAATGCAAACAAGATAAGGCAGTACATACATATAATGAAGAAAAATACATACAGTGTACATCCAGGTCAGTGGTGGAAGAGTTGCCAGTCCCAAGTTCATTCTGAGCCTGACAGAAAATAGCAGTAGTATCTCTGGAGGCTTTCATGTTTAAAACAGATGAGTTTCCGATCAGAGTGTGAGTTCGTCCATCAGTTTTATACCAGTGGTAGTGCTGTACAGCTGGGTTGGCATCACTGCTGCAGCTCAGTGACAAATTACTCTGTTCTGTCACTGGACCACAGGGGCTCACTGTTACTCTGATATTTTGGGGCCGATCTGTAAAAGACCAACACAGCAGAAGAAATAAAATGTTTTTTGATGTAACTCTTTTTACAACCAACTTGATCCACCACTGTAAACATTTTCTTGCCTCTGCATTCTTTAAAATTCTGCTCAAGGTAAGGTAAAGCACACGTTATTGCCCCTTAGGGAAATTTGTCCTCTGCATTTGACCCATCCTTCAATGCCGCTGAGACACTTCATCAGGACCAGTGCTGCAGTGCTGCACCCAAGGACTACCTTGGCTAAAAGGCTGTACCTATAGTGCATGTTTTGGATTGATAGGGGAAACCAGAGTGCCCAGAGGAAACTCACCCAGACTCAAGGAGAACATGCAAACTCCACACATATGGCCCAGGCAACCCAGAAATTAAACCTTAACATTAAACATTAGCCACTCAGCCATCGTGCCACCATTGTTTGTGTTAGCAAGAGTCTGTTAACCCAACCAAATTGAAATATTAAAAACAAGAACACATTAACCTTGCCAGTGGAGTGCAAGAGCTCTAAAACTCTGTGTGTCAGATCCCAGAGAGTTGCTGCTGTGACAGACCAAAGTGACTGAATCTCTCCACTGGGGTTTAATAACAGTGAGGACACTTCTTAGAGCTTTGTCACTCAGAGGCTCACTGATGATGGAGATGTTTGGGGAGACTCCTGGAAAACTCCACTGTATCAGGGGAATGGGGTTCCCCTCAGTCTCACACACACACTTCATCTGGGCTGAGTCTCCAGAGCACTCTGAAGGGCCCACGATCTGTGGAGGGACTGTAGATGACAGAAAAAATTGTCATGCATTTCACCATATAACAAACTATGTTAAGGACATTTGAAGGGGAAAAAGACATACACTGTACATCCAGCTGTTTTACAAAAGAATTATCCATTCCCAGATGATTTTGGACCTCACAGAAAATAGCAGTAGTATCTCTAGAGGCTTTCATGTTTAAAGCAGATGAGTTTCCGATCAGAGTGTGAGTTCCTCCATCAGTTTTATACCAGTGGAAGACACTTGGGTTGGCGTCACTGCTGCAGCTCAGTGACATATCACTGTGTTCTGTCACAGGGCCAGAGGGGGTGACTGTCATAGTTGTATTTCTAGGTGGATCTGCAATAAACATAATACATGTATAGTCATACAGGTTCTCGTATCTTAAATGCTGAACAATATGTTGATTTAAATATATCATGATCAAACAGAAACTACATACACTGGATGTCTAAATGAGTGACAGTAGAGTTCTCAGTCCCAAGTTCATTCTTAACCTCACAGAAAATAGCAGTAGTATCTCTGGAGGCTTTCATGTTTAAAACAGATGAGTTTCCGATCAGAGTGTGAGTTCCTCCATCAGTTTTATACCAGTGGTAGTGCTGTACAGCTGGGTTGGCATCACTGCTGCAACTCAGTGACATATTACTGTGTTCTGTCACTGGATTAGAAGAAAGTATGGTGGTGTTTCTTGGTTGATCTACAAAGACAATGAGAGGTTTCACATGCATCCGGCATGAATACATGAATGAAAACATGCAGGTTTTGAGCGCCAGAGTTGAAAATCCTAAACTTTTGGAGAAATTAGCTGAACGTCATTGAGTTTCAAGCATCTGCCACAAATGGCAAAACATTGACAAGGTGGTCAGAACTCAGCAAAATAGTGACTCACATGTGACAAAAGACGTAATCTGCACACTCGTATGGGACAGAGATCTGTCTTCTTTGCTGTAGTCTGCAGAGCATGTTATGATTTTCTTATGATGGAGGTGAGAAGCAGTGAAGGTGAGAGTGGACACTTTGACATAGGTCTTGTCCAGTTGCTCCTGCAGAGTCTCCTGAATGTCCCCCAGGACAGGGCTCCATGTCAGAGTGGGAGGGAGAGACAGACACGGGACAGGAGCAGAGCACTGCACACTCACTGACTGCCCCTCACTCACACTCACAGAGGATGGAGTCAGTGTAAGTATGGGTGGGGCTTCTGAAACAATTGAAATCAACCAAACTTTTACAAAAAGCATTTTTGGATATGATTTTAAATGTGATCAAAGACATACCTATGGCTTGTATGGTCACTCCTGTCTCAACAAATGTGTATTTCAGTGGATTGTTACATTCCACTCTGAAGAAATATTTCTGGTTGTGTTGGGGACCAATGTCATGAAAGGTTGTGGTGCAGTTTTTATGTGTTAAATTTCCTGTTTGCTCTGTGTTTAAAAGTGTCTTTCCACTGATATCCTTCCACAATGGGTTACATGCACTATCCAAGCTGGGTTTATATTTGTTCTCGATTTGAAATGAACAGGGTATTGTCACACAGGCTCCTTGCAGAGCCTTTATGTTCTGTGGTAGAGAGACACCAAATTTAGGACACTGGTCACCTAAAAAGAACAAGAAAGTTGTCAAAATGGAGATAAAAACGTGATGGCACTGTTACAGTTATCTCCACGCATGCCCACAACCTGCATATAAAACAAAGCATGTACGCTGATTAAGCAAAAAGAAGGAAAAAAATAACCCACACATAATCTGAGCTGTTGCAACACCACTTGACACAGTAGTCCCATCTTCCCTGTTGTAGTGTGCAAAGCATGATAGCGTTATCTTTGGCTCAGATGCATTGAAGTTGAGAGTGGACACTTTGACATAGGTCTTGTCCGGTTGCTCCTGCAGAGTCTCCTGAATGTCCCCCAGGACAGGGCTCCATGTCAGAGTGGGAGGGAGAGACAGACACGGGACAGGAACAGAGCACTGCACACTCACTGACTGCCCCTCACTCACACTCACAGAGGACGGAGTCAGTGTAGGGGTGGGCGGGGCTTCTAAAAGGAAGAAATAAAACTTTCATCAATATACTTGTAACACACTTAGATTATTAGCTTGCAGAACAATGAAAACCAGAGACCATTCATTTTAATATGCAGGCTTTTATCTGTGAATAGCCACTTTAGAGCATTTTCACATTCCACTCGGAAGTAAACTTCTCGCTCTTGCTGCCCAGTGATGTCATGCACTGTTGTGGTGCAGTTCTTCTGGGTTAAGTCTCCTGTTGTTGCTCGTGTAAATTCTACTGTCTCCTTACTTGTTTTATCTTTCCATACTGCTCTACATTCACTGTTTAAGTTTATTTCATAAGCATCTCGTACTGTGAAGGAGCAAGGTATTGTCAAACAGGATCCACGCAGAGCCTCCATTTGCTCTGGCAGAGAGACACTAAAGTCATCACAAATTGCACCTATACAAACAAGACATGAAGGTATTGAAATGATAATGAATTATATGAGAAAGCCACTTAACAATCACAGTCAGCAACCACTCACCATGCAGCAGGAAGCCCATGAGCAGAACATTTATGAGGGCAGACATCTAATTGCATTGAAAAACAAATAACAAGTATATTATGAATGATGCACATATACCTACACAATCATAAGTATAATTGAATAACAACTGGTGTAAAACTTGTGCAGGAAAGATCTTGTCTCCATTAAAATTACATTGTTAAGAACTACTCCTATAATATATTTATACTAGACAATTCAGAGCACAAACCTCAACAAAGCATACACAGTAATAATGATGTCCCATTTGTAGTTATGCTATTTTGCTTTAGTGAATGTGCTAGGAGTACTTACACTGCCTGCAGTCAATCCAGAGGTTCCTTAAAATAAAGCTGGACACATAAATGCTTAAGTAATTATATTTAAACTGAGGAAGTCTTGATTACACAATATCGACACATGGGCTTTTCACATGAATTGAAACTTTAAGGTTATTTATATGTGACGTAATGTATTTTTCTAACTTTCATAGAATTTAAACTGTTCTGTTACACATAAAGTAACAAATCTTTAGAAAGTGGAGATTACAGATGCCACTGATTTCATGTGTATTTCTCAAGTTTGTAGGGACTCTTCAGTTAGAACTTTATTTAACACATCTTAACGTTAAAGGAACTTTATTGTCCCTGTAAAGAAATTTGTCATTGCATTTGACTCATCCTTCTGTTCTGTTGCACAACCTGTCAGGTCCGGGTTGCGTATTTTTATTTGTTCTCCCAGCAACAAAAGAATGCCCAATGTTTTAAGTAATTTAAACTAAAAACAAGTATTTTTTATTACGGATTAGTAAGAATATACTTTATTTTGCTGAATAAACTGTTTATTTTAACAGAAACATTTCTGAGTGCAAATGGAGTCATTGCTTTCACTGAGGCCTTCCCACCAAAATTTAATTTTGAAATCTTACATTTTCTGTGATACAAAATATGATTAGAGATTGCATGTGAATCAGTTTCAAAAAGTTTATTATATATATTTCACACTGAATAACACTCTATAACACATTTTGGGCAGCACAGAAAAAACAGACAAAAGAAAATACAAAGATCAGATCACATTTTATAATAAAGCAAGTTTTAGAACAAGACATTATAAAAACTTGTCATTTTGTTCAGTATTTGAAAAAAAAAAAAAAGTAAATAACAAAATGAGAAGAAAGGTCATTCAATTAAGGCAAAATGTTCACACACATTTCATAACATTACATTACATTGCATTACATAAAGCCATTTATGACATGATGACTGTTTCATATTATACACTTTTACACAATCCCCAACAACTTCTTCCTTCGATGGTGATATACGATGTAAAAATAAATCATTGCATATGTTTCATGGAGCAAGACTATTGCACTGGATTCTTGGGTTTAAATTTAACTTGGGCATATTCACATTCTGCCAGCTTCTCAGAGACACTAAATCCACCTCTGTCTCCCACAATGCTCCTCTGCTCCTCCAGGTAGGAGCTACATGGTGGATGTATGTCAGCTTCAGCCTCTTTCACCTTCTTCTTGTTTTTGGCCTTCCAGTTCACAGTGGAGTAAAGGGCATTGTCTTGGGCACTGGTAGAGGCTTGATCATTTCCTTCATTACTGTTTGGTGCGCTGCTCTTCTCCTGCACTTTTGCTCTCACCTCACTTGCATTGGCATATATGTCTGACTCATCCACGGGCGGCCCCTGAAAAATATGACAACAAAATAACAACCAAATAGTAATAATATTAACAGAAACGCATTGTTGTACATGCATATTAGTAGGTCCAAATTAGATGACTAATGGCATTTTTAAAAATCACTGAAAGCATTATGATGACTTTGGCGATATTAAAAATTAAAAAAATATATGTTTGTGGAATCCCCCATTCATCCAGGAGTGGTTGGTAGTTATCTGGGCAATGTATAAATAGCAATAATTTGAAGAAAATGTGATTCTGCAGCACATCCATGAGACCAAAAAAAAAAAAAAGTTCCTACCTCATTTGTATTGGCATATACGTTCATCTGTGTCTCCACCTGTAACAGAATTAAAGTAAAAGAGTTAGAATTGTGCAAATGATTTAAAAAAAAAAATTAAGTTCATTCATCATTATTGACATTGTAAGTACCTCATTTGACTGTGGTATTGGGTTCAAAGTCACATCCTCAAGCTGACGCTTATTAAGATGAATGTTTTGAGTTCTAAAAAAAATATAGATAATTATTATTTCAACATGATTCCAACTTCTCGTAACTGCTCCTTTGAGGGGTCACAATTATTGATGTCTACAGTAAGAAACCAGTATATGTTCTGACTTAAAACTTTAGTTTTCACTTTTAAAAGGCCCATATTACTGCATTTTCTGATCTATGTTATGTTTCCTCATCAGAAAACATACTGTACCTGGAGTTGTGTTTTGTTTATCACACAAATCACAAAATATAGCTTCATGACATCACAAGGTGGAATAGAGCATGTGGGAGCCTGAACCCAGTTTTGTGATTTTTTCATTACTGAGATAATTATTCTTATTTTGTTTGATTTCATATTTACTTAAAATGCATGATTTTTAGTCATTTGGGTAATTCTTTATAATTAACATGATTATTTGTTAATTATTTGCTAAAAAATAAAAAATAAAAAATCGATCTATTTACATTTTTTCTTTCAATTAATTTTTGCTAATGTTAATCATAAGTTAACTTAAGTAATGTTTATTTTTTGTATTATTTTGTGGTCTATGGCTCCTTATTTAAGGCGAGTGCAGGTACACCATGGGAGTAGAGTGGAGCCAAACAGTTTTTTGACCTCCTGTCACCTGAATGTTGAAAAGTTCCCCTTTTTGTATATTTGTATGTCCCAATTTTGTGAATACTCAGTAAAGAGTTTTAAACTGCACTTGGATCGCTCTCCATGGATTCTTTCACTTTTGAGGCATTTTAAAAGGTGGAACAATGTGTGCAAAGCGTCATCTACGGCTTCACAAATGTTTGGACCTTACAGAGCATTTTGAGCTTTGGAGACGTAGACAGACTAATAATAAAGGGTTGAGAAGCAGGTAACAACATTCTTCCAACATGGCTTAAAGCTCACAAGAGTCTATTTTGTGTAATATAGAACCTTTAAATGTTATTCTTTATCTTTATCTTCACACTTGCAAGCTGTTGTTTATTGTAAGTATCAGGAGTTCATTTGTTCACTGTGGGATTTATAACATTTGTTTTTCAGTTTGGCCCAGGTTTAGTTTGCAGAGAGGTGGTACTGATAGGCAAATCAATAATGATCTACTGATGGTGGAGCAGATTAGGTCTCCAAACAACAAGAATTGTTCAGTTAGTGGTACAAGCATCAAATTTCTCATATATTTAGGTAACATCATGCTCTTTTAGAAAAGCCCAAAAGCCACCTGAAATATTCTACATGATGGCCATTTTTCAAGATGGCTGACCAAACAACTGATTTCACATGTATGAGTTAAAAGACAATAAGTCATTATGTTCTTAATCAAAATTAATGGAATAAATCACACATTTACAAATATATACATATACAGTAATGCAATGTCAGGTATTCAACAAATTTTACACCAAAATATATTTAATTTTGCACAAAATTCATTAAATTTTCTTGCAATTTGAAACCAAAAGTATCCCAATAACCATTTGGGAAGTAGAAATAAAAACATGAGCAACATTAAAATAAAATGCAACATACTGACAGGTTAATTTCAGAAATAGAGCCATTAAAATAGAACAATTCATAGTGCTGTTTGTGCTTAAGAACTATCGAAAAAAGTTTGCCATCATTAAGATTTTTGGCACATTCTTTCAGCCTATCATTTAACTACATTGTTGATGCTTGTCTTAGTTCAGAAGCTGATTCTATGTTATCACATAAAAAAACATTGCTGGGGCTTCTGCACAGTTCTTCTAATTTTTGAATGTCCTTTGTCTGAGTCCACTGTATCACAAGCTGCTCTTTTGTTTGCCCGTTCAAGTTTACTGTTACTGAACAATAATCTGCAGCTTTGGTGATTTAACTTTTTATTAGCGTTTCTTCAATTCCACTACCATCATTCAGTCAATTCAGGTACAGCTATCTAACTTTAATACTACTAATACTACTATAATAGTATAACTAATACTTAAACTACTAGCTGGTGTATTTACAGGGCTAATTAGATAGCATTTGGGACACTACATCATGCTACATTAACTACATTAAATATTAGAATGTGAGTAACACTACATAGCCCACACTGAACCCCATGCTGAGTTTCACAGCAGCGGAGTCACCAGTATGCCCTGGTTGTGCTACAACCCCACCCATTTCTAGAATAAACACATATATATTCTAACAAAAACATATTTTAGCACATTGGTACTACATATATTTGATATTTCTTCAGGTAGGTTTCAATAAGATTTGTCCATGAGATTTCTTTCTACTGTGTTTTATTATTTAATGACATTTATTTGTAGATATTATAAATATAATGAAAGGTGATAAATAATATATCAAAAATGATTTGATGAATAATTTCACTCAAAATAGGAATTTTTAATTAAATAACAAAACTATGCTTCGACATTTATACATATATAGTTATATGTAGTTATTATCTTATTATCTTATATCTTGGATATTTTTGGTGGCTAACGGGCTTTTCATAAAGACCATGTTATTATCTATCTCCACTCCAAATTTGATGCTTGTACCACAAACTGAACGATTATTTCAACTACCAGCTCCACTATGATACTAACAGAAGCATCAAAAGTTAAGTTTATCTGCACATGTATAATTTGTCTTAGATATAAACTAAAGTAAAGATTGTGACACCAAAGTAAAATTCTTTGAGGAGTTTCAATGCATTTTAATACATAACTCACTTGTGATACTTGCTATAGAATTGCTTGGGATTGGATTGGATTGAATCACTGGTAAAAGTGTGCACAAACATAAATGCCTCTCATACCTGATCACAAACAGCAAAACACCCATCAGGACCAGCAGAATAACAATGATGGTTATGAGGAGCACACTTGTCACTTCAACTTCAGCTCCTAATAATACAAAAATGTAACAAACAGAAATGCACAAACAAACATGAACTCCACTCTAAGTTGCTCCCCGTTCAAAGCGCTACCACAACACCATGAGAATCTACCCTGCTAAAAAAACTACTGCGCATCGAATTAGGTTGAAGTTATTGTTGTGTACACTTTTGTATCATGCCTTTAGCTTTATGGAGAATTGTTGTGTGTCGTAGGCTTGTGGGCTGAGTGTTGCACAAAATCTGTTGATAAGGAGGGTTTGAATAAGGCCCAGAAGAGATTGCTAAATTGCGGAAGAAAACACGGTAGAGAGAAGTCATCACGGTTGACGCTACAGGAAATAACATAACATCTGATATACCAACACCAGTGACAGTGCTGAATGTCACTTGCAGCTGACACCTCACACTGCCTTGTCCTAAAAAATAATTAATAGTCAAATATTACGTTTATGGAACAGATAAATCATGCTCAGATATTTTGACAGTTTATACAATATTTGAAGGTATGCAACAATTACTCATACTGAGATTTGAGTGTCAAATAGGTAACTAACTAGAATTAGAATAAAATAGAACAATGTAGTCAAAATAGTCAAAAATAAATACCTTGTTGTTGAAATACTAGTGTAGAAAGTTGCTGTTTCTGAAATCCCACAGAGTTGTTGCTGTGACAGACCAAAGTGACTGGATCTCTCCACTGAGGTTTAATAACAGTGAGGACACTTCTTAGAGCTTTATCACTCAGAGGCTCACTGATGATGGAGTGGTTGGAGGATATTTCAGGCAAACTCCACCGTATCAGGGGAATGGGGTTCCCCTCAGTCTCACACACACAGCTCATCTGGGCTGAGTCTCCAGAGCAGTTTGAAGGGCCCATGATCTGTGGAGGGACTGTAGATGACAGAATAAAATGAGTACTATAATACTCATAGCAGAGTCTACCTGATACAAGTACAATATTACAGCCACTTACACTGCACATCTAACAGCATGACAAAGGAATTATTAGTTCCAAGTTCATTTTTAGCCTGACAGAAAATAGCAGTAGTATCTCTGGAGGCTTTCATGTTTAAAACAGATGAGTTTCCAATCAGAGTGTGAGTTCCTCCATCAGTTTTATACCAGTGGTAGTGCTGTACAGCTGGGTTGGCATCACTGCTGCAGCTTAATATAATATTACTGTGTTCTGTCACTGGACCAGAGGGGCTCACTGTCACTCTGGTGTTTGAAGGTTTGTCTTTAGGGATGAAGATTAACAGTTTAGACATTGACCAGATTTAGATCTGGCCTCAAACTAGTTGAAAAATATGAACTGATAAATCATACATGTCACAGGTAGTTGAGTGAGTGAAGAGCGATCAGTTCCAAGATCATTCAGAGTTTCACAGAAAACTCTAGTTGTATCTTTAGAGACTTTAATGTTCAACACCGCTGAGTGTCCAATCAGAGTGTGAGTTCCATTTATCATCTTTATACCAGTGGTAATGTTTTACAGACGGGTTGGCTTCACTGTGACAGGTTAAAGTCACATTGTTATATTCTTTTACTGGACCACTAGGCTGCACTGTGACTGTGGTGTTTTGGGGTGGATCTGTGAAAGATGAACACAATGAACTGAGATGTTGATGTATAACTCGATGATCTCACTGAAGATGTGCAATATGATGAAAATGTGTTTCTGGTTTCTAGAGTGATGCTGCATCCAGCAAAGCACTGAACACTTAATCAGAGGTGAGAGGTTTTTTTTTTTTTTTTTTTGTCTTGTTTTGTTTTTGTTTTTTGATTAGCTTTTCCTTTTTTAATGAAAATAGAAATATATCTTTTTTACTACTTTCTTATTTCTTCTCATTCTTAAATACAGACAGAAAAACACATGTAAAACCGAATACATACACTGTACATCCAGTTGAGTGACAGTAGAGTTCTCAGTCCCAAGTTCATTCTGAGCCTGACAGAAAATAGCAGTAGTATCTCTGGAGGCTTTCATGTTTAAAACAGATGACTTTCCGATCAGAGTGTGAGTTCCTCCATCAGTTTTATACCAGTGGTAGTGCTGTACAGCTGGGTTGGCATCACTGCTGCAGTTTAATATAATATTACTGTGTTCTGTCACTGGACCAGAGGGACTCACTCTCACTCTGGTGTTTGAAGGTTTGACTTTAAGAAAGGAAAATTGATCTCAGCTTTTACAATGACTGGTAAACTAGTCCTCAAACCAGTTTAAAAATATCAATTGAAAACACATACATTTCACAGGTAGTTGAGTGAGTGAAGAGCGATCAGTTCCAAGATCATTCAGAGTTTCACAGAAAACTCTAGTTGTATCTTTAGAGGCTTTAATGTTTAACACCGCTGAGTGTCCAATCAGAGTGTGAGTTCCATTATCATCTTTATACCAGTGGTAATGTTTTACAGACGGGTTGGCTTCACTGTGACAGGTTAAAGTCACATTGTTATATTCTTCCACTGGACCACTAGGCTGCACTGTGACTGTGGTGTTTTGGGGTGGATCTGTGAAAGATGAACACAATGAACTGAGATGTTGATGTATAACTCGATGATCTCACTGAAGATGTGCAATATGATGAAAATGTGTTTCTGGTTTCTAGAGTGATGCTGCATCCAGCAAAGCACTGAACACTTAATCAGAGGTGAGAGTTTTTTTTTTTTTTTTTTTGTCTTGTTTTGTTTTTGTTTTTTGATTAGCTTTTCCTTTTTTAATGAAAATAGAAATATATATCTTTTTTACTACCTTCTTATTTCTTCTCATTCTTAAATACAGACAGAAAAACACATGTAAAACCGAATACATACACTGTACATCCAGTTGAGTGACAGTAGAGTTCTCAGTCCCAAGTTCATTCTGAGCCTGACAGAAAATAGCAGTAGTATCTCTGGAGGCTTTCATGTTTAAAACAGATGAGTTTCCGATCAGAGTGTGAGTTCCTCCATCAGTTTTATACCAGTGGTAGTGCTGTACAGCTGGGTTGGCATCACTGCTGCAGTTCAATATAATATTACTGTGTTCTGTCACTGGACCAGAGGGACTCACTCTCACTCTGGTGTTTGAAGGTTTGTCTTTAAGAAAGGTAAATTGATCTCAACTTTTACAATGACTGGTAAACTAGTCCTCAAACCAGTTAAAAAATATCAATTGAAAACACATACATTTCACAGGCAGTTGAGTGAGTGAAGAGCGATCAGTTCCAAGATCATTCAGAGTTTCACAGAAAACTCTAGTTGTATCTTTAGAGGCTTTAATGTTCAACACCGCTGAGTGTCCAATCAGAGTGTGAGTTCCATTATCATCTTTATACCAGTGGTAATGTTTTACAGACGGGTTGGCTTCACTGTGACAGGTTAAAGTCACATTGTTATATTCTTCCACTGGACCACTAGGCTGCACTGTGACTGTGGTGTTTTGGGGTGGATCTGTGAAAGATGAACACAATGAACTGAAAACTTGATGTATAACTCTGATCTCACTGAAGATGTGAAATACAATGAAAATGCCACCAAAATATCTGTCTTGTGTCCAGAGTGATGGCTCTGTTGAGAAAAATCTACAGTGGCACATAGAGCACTGAACACTTAATCAGAGGTCAGAGTCATTTTTGTCTTGAATGATGGAGTCCAGATACAGTCATGTATGAAAGTCATGAATAATTTCAAAAACCTAAGAGAGCATTGAGTTAGTCTGCAGAAGGGACTGTCATTCTGTGGAGAAAGGACCACGGTCTGACTCACCATCCAAAACATATCTGATTAGCTTTTTCTTTTTTAATTAAATTTATAATCTCTTAAATAACAGGATATCTTTTGTAAAACTGTGTCATCAAGCTAAATTCTTATTTTTTCCTTTTATTATATATAGACAGGAAAACGCATGGAAAACTGAATACATACACTGTACATCCAGTTGAGTCACAGTAGAGGTATCAGTCCCAATGTCATTCTGAGATTGACACAAAATAGCAGTATCTCTGGAGGCTTTCATTTTTAAAACAGATGAGTTTCCGATCAGAGTGTGAGTTCCATTATCATCTTTATACCAGTGGTAATGTTTTACAGACGGGTTGGCTTCACTGTGGCAGGTTAAAGTCACAGTGTTATATTCTTCCACTGGACCACTAGGCTGCACTGTGACTGTGGTGTTTTTGGGTGGATCTGTGAAAAATGAACACAATGAACTGAGGCTGAAGTATCATAGTTGCACTAGATATCATTGGGGCATCATTTGGCTCTTTCCATGATGTTAAATGCTTAAGCTTTTCACAATGGAGCAGAGGTGAGTTCAGAGCCACAGATGTGCATAACGGCAAATACATTTATTCAGAAGAGTAGACGTAAGCTTTAAGAAATGAAAAAGAAAATGACAAGATCAAATATGCTGTCATTGGCACTGGAAAAGCTGAACACAGTGGAGAATTCTAGTCCACAAGCAACATCCTGATGTGTCTGCTGGGAGTTTCCAGGTGCATGAAGGTAGTGTGCAGCACAGTGCAGATGGTATTGTCTGTGGATTTATTGGTCCTGTATATTTATAGCCTGTCATGATCCTGATACCTCTCCACATTGCACACAGGTTGTTATTAATAAAGTTATCCTCAGTGCAGATGGTCTTTTCAACAAATGTAATTCTCCTGTGCACATTGGCCTTCGTCCTCGAAAACTTCTCATTTTCCAGCACTAAGTCTAATGCCAAATTGATATGTTTAGCACTCTGAATTGAGTTCTACGCATCAGTCTGGAATGGCCCTCACTGAAAGCATGCAGGAACAATGGAACATCATGATGAAGATTTGAGTTGATTGGGTGATGTGTTACAACAGTGGAACAAGCTGAAAATTCAACGTGTTAAATTCAGTTGAGAGAAAAGTACGGACATCTTTCCTGTGCATGAGTTAATTTGAGTTTGTGAACTCACAAATATCACAATAATTAATTTCACTGGCCAAGTTAGCATCCTGGGCTCTGAACAGCTCATGCATTCTGCTGGTGAATAATGCAGGGCTCCTGGTTGGAAAATACTTTGATCTGCTTTATTAACAGATACAGTGTCTGTGCAGTTTAGACAGCACGGTATTGCTGTGGTGTTCAAGTGTGGGTGTTCAAAGGTGTTTCATTTGGTGTCCTAAAACAGTCCCTCAGACAGAGATAGTCTTCTTAGTTTAGATCTGCACAGATGTGTGATTTTGTCCTACTAAGAAATAAAAGAAATAAAAAGAGGAGTTTCAGAAGCTCCAAAGACACCAATAAACCTGCTGTAATATTTTGTTCTTTCGTACTTTAATGTCCACCTTCTGGCAGTCTTGAGGTTTAGGGTTTTAAAGTCTACTGTGACAATGAGTAAGTTCTCTGGGTCCATATTTTACTGCATACTGATGGCATTGTGTAGCTTCTTCATAGCTATAGTAGTATAAGTCTGAGTATGGACATACACAGCAGTAATAACAGCTGTGAGTTCTCTTAGCAGATAAAAGGCCATCAGGTTTCCATTATCTTAATGCAGCTACTCAGGCAGTTGCTAGTGATCCGCATTGTCTCACCGCAGAATTTGTTTCCCCGGGGACCCCGGAGAGCATTGGCAAAACAGACCTCTATGTGGCCATTTGTAGTCTGGCACAAAAGTCAAGTCACTTGATTTGTTTCCGTCTCACATGTCTCATTTCTTGGAGTTCTGAAGAGTTTGTTGGTGAAAGTAAATGAAGATGCAAATGATGCAAATGATTCCCTCTATAAGATATCTTATTCTGCTGTAAAAACATATAACCAGTATATGTTGCCAAAATTTCTAAATCCTATTTAATCTTTAAATTTCTCAAAATGTCTTTAAAGCTTGTGCTGCCCTATTTAACTCTATAAACATTTCACTTAACTCTTTTAACTTTTGCTATTGCACACTGAAGACAAGAGGTTCTGTTTAGAATATGCCTTTAACAGCTTCAGGTTTTATTATGAGCATGCCATGTTCTTCACAACTGAAATGAGTTTCTTATTGGTGAGCAGAGAGATCAATTTGAAGCAAAAGCTCCAATCCAGGATCTTCTTTAAGCGGTAGTAACTTTGAAATCTGGGCTGAGGTCGCTGATTCAGGTCTTGATTCTTCTACTTTGAAATTGTCACTATGCACAATCACTCAGTGTTTTCAGCTATTACACTGTATATAATTATTTTTTAATATTTTTATAATTTTTGCTCTATTTCACTTACTTATTTTGTAAGTAATGAAATCTCTTTTTTGAGACTGTCAAAGAAGTCCAATGTGCTACACTGCATTGACACATATGGAACATATATGGAACACCACACAAAACAGTTTTAACCTAATGAGGCAATTTAAATAGGTGTTTTATCTGTATATACAAAGACACATAGTGCAATCTGTGAGAGGAAAAGACAGACAATGATTAATAATGAGTTTAGCAAAGCTTTTCTTTGAACAGAGAGAAGCAGGAGAGATGGTTCCCCTGTGGCTCTAGGGCCTCTCCTCAAAGTCAAAGTGCCTCATTGTGCATTGGCTTATTCCCATATAGACAGTTGAAAAAAACAAACAAGAAATGTACTTACACTGTACATCCAGCTTAAAGATGGTGGAGTTATCAGTCCCAAGATAATTTTCAGCCTGACAGAAAATAGCAGTAGTATCTCTTGAAGCTTTCATGTTTAAAACAGATGAGTTTCCGATCAGAGTGTGAGTTCCTCCATCAGTTTTATACCAGTGGTAGTGCTGTACAGCTGGGTTGGCATCACTGCTGCAGCTCACTGACATATTATTGTGTTCTGTCACTGGACCAGAGGGACTCACTGTCACTCTGGTGTTAAAGGGCTGATCTATAAATGATAAATACAACAGATTGTCATGTTAATGCCCAGTGGTGTTTCTATTACACTTAATTATTGAACAAATTAAAATTAAAATGCATATAGACCTATTGATGGTGGACAAATGAAGGTGTGCAATTTAAAATAGCTGTTTTGAAGATATCAAAAATCATTGTCAGTCATGACTGACTGACTAAAATATTTTATAAGCAACAAATGAACACATCGTATCTAATATTTATTGGAGTTCAGTCTCCTGATATATGAGAGGGTGAATTTTGTGTAACATTCAGTGTAGAGACATTTTCCACAATGATCATCTGGACAATGCTTTTGCAATGAAAATGTTTCTGTTCAGAAGACATTTTCAATTAATATAACTGGTCTGAATCACTGGGACTCTATCCTACTTTATTATGTAGGACAGCAGTTTAATAGGTGAGGTGCAGCTCCCCAGGAAGATGCCAAAGAGCCACTGGGGAGACGCGACACAGGCGGACTAAACCAGGACTGATCCCGGGACTGAACCAGGACTGAACTAGGACTAAAACAGGACTAAACCAGGACTAAACCAGAACTGACTGTCGAGAGGGGCTTGGAGGTGCACCCACATAGACTGTCAGGGGACCTCGGGCAAATGGACCAGTGCAGAGCTCCGCGCCTCACGGAGCAAAGCGCAGTTGTTGCCTGACCGCACTTTGCGCACACCCTGCTCCGCATGCTCCGGGAAGATGGCTCGGCTGTATTTACCTACTCTAAGGGGAAGCTCCCATTCACCCAATTTGAAAGTCCCCGGTGTAGGATAAAGGCCAAATGTTTTAGACCAGTTCTAAAATATTGTCCAGATGACCATCGTTGAAACTGTCTCTTCATTCATGTTATATGGTGCTATTTTAAGGACGGCTGACAACAGGCAGAAATGACTTGACATCAAATGACATCATTGGGTGTACTTTTTTTTCTCAAATAATATTGTTTGAGTAATTTCATTTTTAGGCCTAAAATTCATCAATATAAAAAATAACTTACAGTGGAGTCCATGAGCTTTGAAAGTCTGTGTGTCAGATCCCACAGAGTTTCTGCTGTGACAGACCAAAGTGACTGGATCTCTCCACTGAGGTTTAATAACAGTGAGGACACTTCTTAGAGCTTTGTCACTCAGAGGCTCACTGATGATGGAGATGTTTGGAGAGAATCCTGGAAAACTCCACTGTATCAGGGGAATGGGGTTCCCCTCAGTCTCACACACACACTTCATTTGGTCTGAGTCTATAGTGCAGTTTGAAGAGCTCAAGATCTGTGGAGGGACTGTAGATGACAGAATAAACAATCATGTCATGGACAAAAAAATAAATAAATGTAACCTATATTAAATGAGGGAAAACACACACACTGTACAAAAACACATACACTGTACATCCAGCTCAGTGACAGTAGAGTTCTCAGTCCCAAGTTCATTTTTAGCCTGACAGAAAATAGCAGTAGTTTCTCTGGAGGCTTTCATGTTTAAAATAGATGAGTTTCCGATCAGAGTGTGAGTTTCTCCATCAGTTTTATACCAGAGGAAGACACTTGGGTTGGCGTCACTGCTGCAGTTTAACACAATATTACTGTGTTCTGTCACAGGACCAGAAGGGGTGACTGTCATTTTAGTATTTTCAGGTGGATCTGTGAAAACAAATTAAGTAAACACATTCTGAAGAACAAGACTTTTAAAACTGTAAGTATGAAACAACAACTAAATGAGGGAAAAGTGCTTACACTGTATATCCATCTTAAAGATGATGGAATTCTCAATCCCAAGTTCATTCTGAGCCTGACAGAAAATAGCAGTAGTATCTCTGGAAGGCTTTCATGTTTAAAACAGATGAGTTTCCGATCAGAGTGTGAGTTCCTCCATCAGTTTTATACCAGTGGTAGTGCTGTACAGCTGGGTTGGCATCACTGCTGCAGCTCACTGACAAATTACTCTGTTCTGTCACTGGACCAGAGGGACTCACTGTCACTCTGGTGTTTCTTGGTTTATCTACAAAGACATATCAAAGCAGTGAGTATGTCATTTAAAACAGACCGATGATGCAAAATTGACTTTTCAGAGCTTTTAACCAAGTTATAATTTCCCTTTCACATTTACCCTCTCAAAGTTGTATTTGGAGTCATGTGTGGATGTTTGAGCAATATTTTATTGGTTATTTTCAATATTGCTCATGTTGCCAATCAGCCCCCGTTTTTGCCGTTGCTGGTATATTTCCATTTCTCTGTATTTTTCCAATTTTATGTTCTTAATAGGTGAACAAATAACATTCACCAGTGTCGCATGGTCATTTTGGTACAAATGAAAAAAAATTGCTGCCCGCTAATATAATCTGCAGCTACCCATCGGGAGGTGACGACTCTTTGTGGCGATGACATTTACAGCAATGTCGGCTCACATTTATTTATTTGTTTTAGATGAATATTTCGTTTAAAATTTCCAAACTATATCCAAATTATAACAGTGATCTATGGGTGTTCTAGATTATAACTATACATAATATGTTTTCTTTAAATCAATAATACTGCGATATTATTATTATTATTTTATTATTATCTGAAATTGCAATCTTCCAGTGTCTTTCTAAATCTTGAGGTCCCATTTGGACTTTGAGACACTGATTTAATGGTCACCATGATTTAAAATGGCTTTCAAAAGATATTTTGTGGCATGGTCAATTAAATAATAAAAAAAGGGACAATTTGCTTTTTAAAACATCTATAAGGTAGAGATGTTTAATATCTTTAAAATTCGCAGAGCAGTGAAATAAATCTATGGCATCTTAGACAATTTAATTTAATCCAAGCTGTAAAAAACTTCATTCTTTGATTCAATGTTTACACTTCAACGAGCACTAAAACATTTGTCTATATGCCTATGCATTTTCAAGTACACAATCTGGAATTTACTTATTTTTAGAATTATTTATTTATGTAATTATTTAACTGCTGTCCTTGCACATTAAGGAAATTGTTCAATGCTAGAGATTATTTTTCATTGATGTGCAAAAGTTTTATGATGTTTTAGTGACTCACATGTGACAAAAGGAATCATCTGCACTGTCGTCTGTGACAGAGAGCTGTCTTCTTTGCTGTAGTCTGCAGAGCATGTTATGTTTTTCTTATGGTGGAGGTGAGAAGCAGTGAAGGTGAGAGTGGACACTTTGACATAGGTCTTGTCTGTTTGCTCCTGCAGAGTCTCCTGAATGTCCCCCAGGACAGGGCTCCATGTCAGAGTGGGAGGGAGAGACAGACACAGGACAGGAGCAGAGCACTGCACACTCACTGACTGCCCCTCACTCACACTCACAGAGGGCGGAGTCAGTGTAGGGGTGGGCGGAGCTTCTGAAATCAACAAACCTTTTACACATACAAAGATTTTGGATATAATTTTAAATGTGATGAAATACATACCTATGACTTGTATCGTCACTCCTGCCTGTTTAAATGTATATCTCAGTGGATTTTCACATTCCACTTTGAAGAAATGTGTTTTATTGTGTTGTGGACCAATGTTATTAAATGTTGTGGTGCAGTTTTTCTGAGTTAAATCTCCAGTTTCCTGTCTTGTATTTGGAAGTGCATTGTGATTGGTATCTTGCCATAAAGCTCTACATCCACTGTTCAAATTGGTTTCATGTTTGTTCTGGATTTGAAATGAACAGGGAATTGTCACACAGGATCCTCGCAGAGCCTTTATGTTTTGTGGCAGAAAAACCTTGAACTTAGGACAGAGGTCACCTAAAAATCACACGAAAGTTGTCAAAATGGAGACATAAATGTGTTAATGCTGTGTCACAGTTAACACTATTTATAGATAAAGTACACAAGACTGACATTTAAAACAGCTGAACATTCAAGCAGATGAAGAAAAATAAACTCACATGTGATCTGAGCTGTTGCACTAGAACTTGAAACAGTCCCATCTCCCCTGCTGTAGACTGCAGAGCATGACAGGCTTGTCTTATAGTCAGAAGGAGTGAAGGTGAGAGTGGACACTTTGACATATGTCTTGTCCAGTTGCTCCTGCAGAGTCTCCTGAATGTCCCCCAGGACAGGGCTCCATGTCAGAGTGGGAGGGAGAGACAGACACGGGACAGGAACAGAGCACTGCACACTCACTGACTGCCCCTCACTCACACTCACAGAGGACGGAGTCAGTGTAGGGGTGGGCGGGGCTTCTGGAAGAAAAAACTTAGTAAGGTCAAATAATTACATACCTAATATTGTAAAATAATGAATGCTGCAGAGACCATTCACTTTAATATTCATTGTTTTATCTTTAAATGTCCATATTAGAGGATTGGCACAGTCCAGTCTAAAGTTAGCTTCTTTCCCCTGGTCCTCAGTGATGTTATACACTGTTGTGGTGCAGTTCTTCTGGGTTAAGTCTCCTGTTGTTGGTCTTGTGAATTGTATTTTTGTCTGTTCATTGCTGACATCTCTCCATTCTGATCTACATCCACTGTTCAGGTTTGTAATATACTCATCCCTGATTGTAAAGGAGCAGGGTATTGTCAAACAGGATCCACGCACAGCCTCCAGTTGTTGTGGCAGAGAGACACTAAAGCCATTACAGTGGACACCTAAACACACAGTAACATGTAGAATTGACATTAAATCATTCTATCAAACTATTTTAAAAGGTAAATTTTACATTGCTTCATAATCAACCACTCACTGTGAAGCAGGAAGCCCACAAGGAGAACGTTCATAACGGCAGACATCTAATTTCATAGAAACAAAATACAATCAACAATCAATGTATTTTTTTAAAAGTTGCACACGCAGTTACATTAAAATAATTGTGTTTTTAAAAATTATGCATTTACTTAACAGTTAAATAACTTTTGCAACAAAAAGCTGTGAAAACTGCACTGTTTACTATACTGCTACAAATAAGACAATCTCATAATTGAAAAAGTACACTTTATTTCTAAGTTCTTTTCACCAGCATTGTAAGTACAGATGTTTTAAACTCCTCCTATGTGATATTACATTTATATAAGACATTTCAGAACACAGACCTCTACAATGCAACTTGTACACAGTATTAATGATCTGACATGTAAAGTTAACAACTATTCATTTATATTTAGCAGAAATATTCTTGATTTACATAGTTTATTTCATAGTTTGTTTCAGGAGTACTCACTCTGTCTGCCGTACCTCCAGACGATTCTTCTGTAAAGTTTTTTAAATTGAGGAAGTCCTGCATACAAAGGCGACTCAATGAAGTCACACAAGTAGTAGAAACTGTTAAAGTCAAATGTGACAAGTTGTTTGGGTGTATTTCTCACATTATCTTTACTGGAACTGAGAAACTTTTTTACGTTTATGTGGAAGATTTAGCCTCAGCAACTGCAGTTTATTATTAACAAACTATTTAATGCAACCATGTTTTTAACCTAAAGGGATTTCAACAATATTGTGTTTTGAAAAATAAGTATTAACATCAAAATCTTCACATGTTGTTTGGGTGGATCAACACTGGAATTTAAGCTCGACCTTTTAATCCACAAGGGAAATTATCTGGACACAGCAGCTCACGCATCACAATATATTATTATAACAAAGAACTAAAATATAAATGGTAATAACACATTGTAAATAACTAGCAAAAATAGCAAGAGACTGCTGTCAAATAAGGCATAATTACATAAATGTGTATACACAGGCAAAAATAAAACATAGAAATGCAGTAGTACAAATATATCTCAACTATATACAAGAGGTCACAAGGAAAACAGTGCAAAGATGACAGGATGATTGACAGGACATAAGGCTATCTGTTCCAAAAACGTGAGTTGTTGTACAGTTGTAGGGAGTATTATCTGTTCCATAAGGGTGAGTTGTTGTACAGTTGTAGGGAGTATTATCTGTTGCTCCATAGTCTGGTGCAGTGGGTGAGCAGGAGTGTCCATGTCCTCACTGTGACAAATGTCTCCAGCAAAGACACGTGTTATGAGTTTTTGGCTTTTGAAAATGAATTCTATAATTTGAGTAAATCATAATATATACTTTGATTCTTTGTGTGGTTTCCTCAAAATATTCTGTTGAAAATGTATCCATAAAAATGCATCATAGATCGGTTCTATTGTGAATGTCTTGTCTGTAAATGCCCCATTTAGTTTACATTTTAGTATGTATAATATACTATATGTGTCGAATGTGAGAAGAGCCCTTGTTTTTTTTTTTTTAACTCTGTATGTATTTTATTTGCTACGACGGAGTATAAGGGTCAGAAAAAAAAAAAAAAAGATGCTGGCTCTATGAGAATAAAGTCATAACATTTCGACATTAAAGTCGTAATATTATGAGAATAAAGAATAAAAAGTCGAATTAAAGCGACGTAAAAAAAGTTATAATTATGAGAATAAAGTTTATAATATTACGAGAATGAAGTCGTAATAAAATCAAAGTCAAGGACTCAATCAGGACTCAATCAGGTCCGGAACCAAACCAGAAAGACCAGGATTGAGACCGGGACCAGACCAGGACTGAAAACGGTTTAGTCCTGGTTTAGTCCCGATTCAGTCCTGGTTCAGTCCGTATGCGGCGCAATAGTCCAGCATTGCATTTTAAAGTCACGGAAACGCCATTTCCCATTTCCGTGACTTAAACCAGGACTAAATTAGGACTAAACCGTTTTCAGTCCTGGTCTGGTCCCGGTCTCAATCCTGGTCTTTCTGGTTTGGTTCCGGACCTGATTGAGTCCTGATTCAGTCCTTGTTCAGTCGAATGAACGAATGATACACGGATTCTTCTCCTTTACAAAATTCTCCAAATTCTTCATTCTCCACTCGTTCATACTTTCCGAGCAGCCGATATTCTCCTAATATTACGACTTTATTTTGACTACGACTTTATTCTCATAATATTACAACTTTAATGTCGAAATGTTACGACTTTATTCTCGTAGCGCCAGCATTTTTTAAATTTTATTTTTATTTTTATTTTATATGCAGTGATTTTTTGTTATACTGGAGTGAAGGGCTGGGTGGACTGAACTAATTGAACATTCCAGCTGGACCAGGCAGAGGGACGCGCCAACAAGGACAGATACAACTCCTGAAAAGAGCTAAGTAGAGGGATGTATCTGGGGGACCTTGTGGGCATGCGGGAGTGCAGTGACCGCAGCACCAGACTCATTTTTTAATTCTGATTTTAGCCGAACCAGATTTTTAATATTATTTTTTTATTATGTCATTTTTTAGGATTCTTTTATCCATTTTATACCCATTTTAATTCTTATTTTAAATGTTGTACTTCACCGAATAAACTGTTAACTGACTGCATATCTGCTCATGTTTTTTCCAAACAGTTTGGTAGGACTAAAGAATCTGACATATGCATAAAAAATATAAATGACGGTTAAGGTTTATGGTATCATGAGTTTTTGGTTGCTGTATAGACGTGAGGACCACAGGAGTGTTTTCTGAAGCCTACATGCAACAACTCTCAGAACAGACAGTTTTTATACACTGGTGGTGGACAACAGGTGTGAGGCTCATGTCAAACAGAGTGACCAATACACAGTCAGGCAACAACTGTATCAGTAAAAGTGACTGTGACAATTTAACTTTAGCAACAACAAATGGTCTAACATTTCTTAACGTCATTTTAGGAAATAACAGACTTATTCTCATACTCCTTACATGAAGCTTGTTTGTCCTTCAACTAATATAAAAAAAAAAAATGCCATCACTTTACAAATTAGTCTTCATGCCTACAACAAGTGTCTCTGTCTTAACTTTTTTGAATCAAATAATGACATAAGATGACACAGAAAAGACACTTAGACACTTTGATTATCATGAGGACCAAGCAAGCAACAAACTACATTTGTATTTGGATGAAATGTTTTTCATTTTACTAGCTCATTATTCATTTACACACTACCAGACTTGTGAAATTCAAGACAGGTTGCAATGGGCTCTATTCACACTTACGCCACAAAACTGGTAAACATTTGGGAACATGCAGACGATGACTTCCTTTGGGCTCTGTTCGTGATAGTAACTCTAACAAAATCTGCAGAAAAACGAGAAAATGGCACAGTTTTCTACATCTAGATGTCATTGTATTCTTTCTATTTTCCTTCTATAAATTTCCCATTGCTTTGTGTATAATAATTGTTCTAACTTAATTAAAACAACAAAACAAAAACTGTTACAACCAGCTGCCTGTGAGGATGCCATTACACTTACATCTCCCATGGAAAGCTCTGGCAGGTTGTGAAGACCGCAGCTGCTGAATCCATGGTTTTATCACATGCTCAGTGTCAGTAACTACACCGGAAGTCATCATCTGCATGTTTCCAAACGTCTTCCAGGTAAGTGTGAATAGAACATATTGGAGGATCAAAATGAATTGTCCCTGGTTACAGCTATAATTAGTCGAATGAACCTAAAATATCTCACAGAAATTATCTCCAACAAAGGTTTCTTTTTGTCTCTACACGTTTTTATTTGGGAGAGTCTATTTTGATATTCATCTTGCATGCAGATTTTGGTGTATCTGAACTACATTGTCCTCTCAGCATGGAAAAAATGAATTATAAATGTCTATGGAAGATTATTATGTCATGATCATAATATTCTGTCCTAATAAGTGAAATAAATCATTTGACATTCTTCTATGAGAGGATAAATACTGGACCCACTTCTATTTTATGGCATTTAACACCTCATGAGTTTTGTGTCTCTGTGTCTTTTATTCATTTGATTGTATTAATTATTTTATCTTCTATTATTTAATTTTATTTTTTTGTTTTTGTTTTATTATTCTGATAAATTGTATTAGTTAATTTGTGTGAAATGCATCTCTGCTGACATTTAGATGAAAATGTTTTCTATTGTTATTATACTTGGCACTTAGGAAACTATCTTGTTCATAAAATGTGCTCTATAAATACTTGTACTGTATCTGAAATATAAAAGAGTAAATATGGCAACCGGATGTACAAACGTTTCACACAATTATAATATAACATGTTTAAGTTGTAACAAAGGTACAGTTGCCCTAAAGTTTTGACAGACAGAATGTAAAGAGCATTCCAAATGTTAAGCACAACATTTGCATTCACTTGGCTTCTTCTAGTCACACAGCAGCCCTCCTGTTTATAAAAAAATACATCTCTGTCCTATTAGTTTAAAGCAATATGATGAATCTGCCTATTACGTCCACTTTTTCTCCATCTTAGTTTGTTGTGCTTGTGTAAACCTCATCCAAAGTCAACTGCCTGCACCTGAAAAACAAACAAAAAAGCTTATTATACATTATTTCTATTGCCTGTATGTGGACATTATTGCATTTCATTATTTTCTCAGCTAAATCAGTGAATATCTGCTGCAGTAGTAAAGTACATGTACCTCCATTCTCTCAGTGAATCCCAACAGTTGTACCTCATTTGACACTGGTAGTTGCTCCATCATCACCATGTCTGTCGGCTGGAAATGATCATGAGGAGTGTGGAGACTCTTGAAATACACATTCAAATACATGTGTTGACTGTTAATGAATATTTTAAATGAATGATGGTGTAGAAGATGTGGTTGTAATTACAAATATGTTTCCTACCTCATAATGGACAAGAATGCACATGGGAACACCAGCAGGCTCACAACTCTGATAGCAATGAAGACTAGAATCAACACGTCCTCTAAACAACAACAAATAAGGAAAAGTATTTGAACATATAATAAAAATATGTCAATTGTACTAGATAATAGCATTACCCAGTGTCTAGTAGTAAAGCTGGATACATCGAATGCTTTAGTAATGATATTTAAACTAAATTAAACTGACTAAAACATACACTCAAATGTAGAAGTTGATGTTTAGGTTTACTTCCTTTACTTTATGGGCTTTTTGCATTTGATAAGATAATTATGGTTCATTTAAGGAAGCTGTCTCTAACCAAAAGGCAGCACAAAATTCTGTTTATATTTTAAGGGTGCTTCTCATATTTATATTTTTGACACAGCAGTATAAGTAAGCAGAGGAAAGTTCTCATGTGAACTTTTAATTTTTGTGATTCAACTTTTTGTAATTACTTACATGATATTCATTTATTATATAGATAATAATTCACTACAATAATAAACTGATACAATAAATAGCATTGGTTTGTGCAAAGATTATGCCTAGTGCACATGTCCTTGTATTCACACAAATACTTATTCATGACAGATGACTGTTTATTCCACCCTGGAATTCGCTCACTGGTTGTGAGTAAAATGTTTATTTAATTCTATAAATAATACATTTTCTTCAAGGGAATCATTTGGGCTATTCACTTTAAGACTTGTGTCAATGTAAATACCTGAAGTTCCTGTAAAACAAGAGTATTAATAATAAAAATAAATAAATAAATAAATATCTGATTTTATTAGTAATTTTTTCCATCATCTTGTTTCTATGGACATGTCATTGGTCTGCCTAGAATGTTCTACAGTGTTTATTTATTTATTTATTTGAAATAGGGACATTAATGAACATATACATGATATGTAAATATGTTATCAGATTGTAGTCCAAGGCTCATTTCCATCTGCTGTCCCTAGACTGGTTGATGTTATCATACACAAAGTAGAAACAATACACCCAGAAAGACAATACAATAATACAAATAGACAAACATAAAGAGGTGGTTAGTCACAAGAACACAGACACAGGTCAACTAAAGGATGTTGAATTATTTGATCAATATTGCACGCTGCCCTGTTTAGTTAAAGTGCCAGTGTATAAATATTGCACACAGCCCATTGCTAAAATTGTGTGACATGAAACAGCTCTATTTTACATTTATTCAATTATTTGCAGTTTCATACTTATAAAAACAGGCATTCTGACTGTGAGTGGGGTTGCCTCTCTACAGATCCGACCTGTAGCTTGGTCTGGTTTGGTCTTCATGAAGACAGAAGGTTTAATGCCAAACTGTGGAACATTCCAGACAAAGCTCTAGAGAAAAGCATTTGACAGCCCCTCCACCAAAGAAGTTGCACAATGCACCTTTAAAAACAAGCAAAATGGCTTTTATATTTTATTAACATAAACTATTCAGACTTTGACTTTGCCATTTAACACAAACAGGGTTGTGCATGAACGAGTTCAAAAGAACGCGTTCATTGAACACGTTCATTTTTCAGTGAACTTTGAACTGAACGCAACACTTTTGTAAATCAAGAACTTGAACGTGAATTTGTTCAAATTATGTGTGATGAACGACGTACGTCACTGTTGGGGTTCAGAAACGTCGGAATTTAACGAGTGACGATCTGCTCTCACTTCACCTCGCGAAACCACAGCCGCGTGTCAACGTGAAGGCGACTCCACCGGCAGCTTTAGCGGAACGTACGGGCTCTTGTGTCTCTCAATGGGAAAGTCAATCAAACTTGACTGGGCGCGTTTAGCTGCTTGTATTTACCTTCTGTACAGACTGACCACGGCAAACGCAAGGATTTCAAAAGTAAATTTCAAAGCACTAATTAACAGTCTATGTGGATCTGGGCTCTTTCACATGATACACAACTGCCCAGGGAGCACAATGTGCTGATGGTAAATGCACAAATACAACAATAGATACATGCTCTCTGTGTATTTTGACGAGGATACGCGCCTAAGCTCGTGTAGAGCATCAAAAAATAGGATGGATCCTATTTTCTGAAATCTACACGCACAGGACGTGCTGCTCCGCGCGCGTATTATTTTACTTTTTTATTTATTTTACTTTTATTGTACTTTTATACAATGTAATTACTTGTACATATGCATTTATATAAAACTGTAAATATGACAAGCTGAAGCACACATGTTAACACACAAACTACATTAAGTCCATTACTGATTACATAAGTAGCAATGAAGGTACAGTGAATTAAGAATTGCAGAAACTGTATGAAAAGAGCAAATATATAAATATAAGTAAATATCCAGAAAGGCCATTAAAAGTCAGTACAAATATTAATCTGAGACTTAGACAACATAGTACATAAAGTATACAATTTAAAGATCTGTCTCATCTCAGTTAGTTTGCAATACAGTGGTTTTATTGGCCTATTATATCCACTTTTGCTCCATCCTAGTTTATATAATCCTCATCCAAGCCAAGTGTCTGCACCTGAAAAACAGATTAAAAGCTTATCATACTTTACATCTATTGCCTATTATTTATCAGATTACTTTCTCCTTATTTTCTCAACTAAATCAATAAATATCTGCTGTAGAAGTAAAGTACATGTACCTCCATTCTCTCAGTGAATATTAACAGTTGTACCTGATTTGACACTGGTAGTTGCTCCATCATCACCATGTCTGTCGGCTGGGGATGATCATGAGGAGTGTGGAGACTCCTGAAATACACATTCAAATACATATGTTGACTGTTAATGAATATTTTAAATGAATGATGGTGTAGAAGATGTGGTTGTAATTACAAATATGTTTTCTACCTCATAATAGACAAGAATGCACATGGGAACACCAGCAGGCTCACAACTCTGATAGCAATGAAGACTAGAATCAACACGTCCTCTAAACAACAACAAATAAGGAAAAGTATTTGAACATACAGCAAAAATAAAATATGTCATCTAAATTGTACAAGATAGTAGCATCAACTAGTGTCTAAATGTATAATAGTAGTAGTAACAGTAGTAAATAATAAAAGTCTAAAATAATATAGTTGGTTGAATATTGAATATTTGTGTTGTCACATTTAACTACAACTAACCTTGTTCTTGAATGATATTTTCATGTTTAAATGGAGGAACATTAAATCTTTGTCTGTGAAATCCCATAGAGTTGCTGCTGTGACAGATCAAAGTGACTGGATCTCTCCACTGAGGTTTAATAACAGTGAGGACACTTCTTAGAGCTTTGTCCCTAAGATGCTCACTGATGATGGAGATGTTTGGAGAGAGTCCTGGAAAACTCCACTGTATCAGGGGAATGGGGTTCCCCTCAGTCTCACACACACACCTCATTTGGTCTGAGTCTATAGTGCAGTTTGAAGAGCTCACAATCTGTGGAGGGACTGTAGATGACAGAATAAACAATCATGTCATGGACAAAAAAATAAATAAATGTAACCTATATTAAATGAGGGAAAACACACACACTGTACAAAAACACATACACTGTACATCCAGCTCAGTGACAGTAGAGTTCTCAGTCCCAAGTTCATTTTTAGCCTGACAGAAAATAGCAGTAGTTTCTCTGGAGGCTTTCATGTTTAAAATAGATGAGTTTCCGATCAGAGTGTGAGTTTCTTCCATCAGTTTTATACCAGAGGAAGACACTTGGGTTGGCGTCACTGCTGCAGTTTAACACAATATTACTGTGTTCTGTCACAGGACCAGAAGGGGTGACTGTCATTTTAGTATTTTCAGGTGGATCTGTGAAAACAAATTAAGTAAACACATTCTGAAGAACAAGACTTTTAAAACTGTAAGTATGAAACAACAACTAAATGAGGGAAAAGAAAAGTACTTACATTGTATATCCATCTTAAAGGTTGTGGAATTCTCAATCCCAAATTCATTCTGAGCCTGACAGAAAATAGCAGTAGTATCTCTGGAGGCTTTCATGTTTAAAACAGATGAGTTTCCGATCAGAGTGTGAGTTTCTCCATCAGTTTTATACCAGTGGTAGTGCTGTACAGCTGGGTTGGCATCACTGCTGCAGCTCACTGACAAATTACTGTGTTCTGTCATAGGACCAGAGGGACTCACTGTCACTCTGGTGTTTCTTGGTTTATCTACAGACATATCAAAGCAGTGAGTATGTCATTTAAATCAGACCGATGATGCAAAATTGACTTTTCAGAGCTTTTAACCAAGTTATAATTTCCCTTTCACATTTACCCTCTCAAAGTTGTATTTGGAGTCATGTGTGGATGTTTGAGCAATATTTTATTTATTGGTTATTTTCAATATTGCTCATGTTGCCAATCAGCCCCCGTTTTTGCCGTTGCTGGTATATTTCCATTTCTCAGTACTTTTCCAATTTTATTTTCTTAATAGGTGAACAAAAAAGATTCACCAGTGTCACATGGTCATTTCGGTACAAATGAAAAAAAAATTGCTGCCCACTAATATAATCTGCAGCTACCCATCGGGAGGTGACGACTCTTTGTAATGATGACATTTACAGAAATTTCTGCTCACATTTGTTTATTTATTTTGGATGAATATTTCGTTTAAAATTTTCAAACTATATCCAAATTATAACAATGATCTATGGGTGTTCTAGATTATAACTATACACAGTATGTTTTCTTTAAATCAATAATACATTTTCTCTGCGATATTATTATTATTATTATTTTATTATCTGAAATTGCAATCTTCCAGTGTCTTTCTAAATCTTGAGGTCCCATTTTGCCTCTGAGACAATGATTTAATGGTCACCATGATTTAAAATGGCTTTCAAAAGATATTTTGTGGCATGGTCAATTAAATAATAAAAAAAAGGGGAAACATTTGCTTTTTAAAACATCTATAAGGTAGAGATGTTTAATATCTTTAATATTCGCAGAGCAGTGAAATAAGTCTATGGCAGTTTAGACCATTTTATTTAATCCAAACTGTAAAAAGCTTAATTCTTTGATTCAATGTTTACACTTCAACTAGCACTAGAACATTTGTCTATATGCCTATGCATTTTCAAGTACACAATCTGGAATTTACTTATTTTTAGAATTATTTATTTATGTAATTATTTAACTGCTGTCCTTGCACATTAAGGAAATTGTTCAATGCTAGAGATTATTTTTCACGATGTGCAAAAGTTTTATGATGTTTTCGTGACTCACATGTGACAAAAGGAATCATCTGCACTGTCGTCTGTGACAGAGAGCTGTCTTCTTTGCTGTAGTCTGCAGAGCATGTTATGTTTTTCTTATGGTGGAGGTGAGAAGCAGTGAAGGTGAGAGTGGACACTTTGACATATGTCTTGTCCGGTTGCTCCTGCAGAGTCTCCTGAATGTCCCCCAGGACAGGGCTCCATGTCAGAGTGGGAGGGAGAGACAGACACAGGACAGGAACAGAGCACTGCACACTCACTGACTGCCCCTCACTCACACTCACAGAGGGCGGAGTCAGTGTAGGGGTGGGCGGGGCTTCTGAAATCAACAAACCTTTTACACATACAAAGATTTTGGATATAATTTTAAATGTGATGAAAATACATACCTATGACTTGTATGGTCACTCCTGCCTCTTTAAATGTATATTTCAGTGGATTTTCACATTCCACTCTGAAGAAATGTGTTTTACTGTGATGTGGACCAATGTTATTAAATGTTGTGGTGCAGTTTTTCTGAGTTAAATCTCCAGTTTCCTGTCTTGTATTTGGAAGTGCATTGCCATTGGTATCTTGCCATAAAGCTCTACATCCACTGTTCAAATTGGTTTCATGTTTGTTCTGGATTTGAAATGAACAGGGAATTGTCACACAGGATCCTCGCAGAGCCTTTATGTTTGTGGCAGAAAAACCTTGAACTTAGGACAGAGGTCACCTAAAAATCACACGAAAGTTGTCAAAATGGAGACATAAATGTGTTAATGCTGTGTCACAGTTAACACTATTTATAGATAAAGTACACAAGACTGACATTTAAAACAGCTGAACATTCAAGCAGATGAAGAAAAATAAACTCACATGTGATCTGAGCTGTTGCACTAGAACTTGAAACAGTCCCATCTCCCCTGCTGTAGACTGCAGAGCATGACAGGCTTGTCTTATAGTCAGAAGCAGTGAAGGTGAGAGTGGACACTTTGACATATGTCTTGTCCGGTTGCTCCTGCAGAGTCTCCTGAATGTCCCCCAGGACAGGGCTCCATGTCAGAGTGGGAGGGAGAGACAGACACGGGACAGGAACAGAGCACTGCACACTCACTGACTGCCCCTCACTCACACTCACAGAGGGCAGAGTCAGTGTAGGGGTGGGCGGAGCTTCTGGAAGAAAAAACTTAGTAAGGTCAAATAATTACATACCTAATATTGTAAAATAATGAATGCTGCAGAGACCATTCACTATAATATTAATTGTTTTATCTTTAAATGTCCATATTAGAGGTTTGCCACAGTCCAGTCTAAAGTAAACTTCTTTCCCCTGGTCCTCAGTGATGTTATACACTGTTGTGGTGCAGTTCTTCTGGGTTAAGTCTCCTGTTGTTGGTCTTTGTGAATTGTATTTTTGTCTGTTCATTGCTGACATCTCTCCATTCTGATCTACATCCACTGTTCAGGTTTGTACTATACGTATTGTCTATTGTAAAGGAGCAGGGTATTGTCAAACAGGATCCACGCACAGCCTCCAGTTGTTGTGGCAGAGAGACACTAAAGACATTACAGTGGACACCTAAACACACAGTAACATGTAGAATTGACATTAAATCATTCTATCAAACTATTTTAAAAGGTAAATTTTGCATTGCTTCATAATCAACCACTCACTGTGAAGCAGGAAGTACACAAGGAGAACGTTCATAACGGCAGACATCTAATTTCATGGAAACAAAATACAATCAACAATCAATGTAATTTTTTTAAAAGTTGCACACGCAGTTACATTAAAATAATTGTGTTTTTAAAAATTATGCATTTAATTAACAGTTAAATAACTTTTGCAACAAAAAGCTGTGAAAACTGCACTGTTTACTATACTGCTACAAATAAGACAATCTCATAATTGAAAAAGTACACTTTATTTCTAAGTTCTTTTCACCAGCATTGTAAGTACAGATGTTTTAAACTCCTCCTATGTGATATTACATTTATATAAGACATTTCAGAACACAGACCTCTACAATGCAACTTGTACACAGTATTAATGATCTGACATTTAAAGTTAACAACTATTCATTTATATTTAGCAGAAATATTCTTGATTTACATAGTTTATTTCATAGTTTGTTTCAGGAGTACTCACTCTGTCTGCCGTACCTCCAGACGATTCTTCTGTAAAGTTTTTTAAATTGAGGAAGTCCTGCATACAAAGGCGACTCAATGAAGTCACACAAGTAGTAGAAACTGTTAAAGTCAAATGTGACAAGTTGTTTGGGTGTATTTCTCACATTATCTTTACTGGAACTGAGAAACTTTTTTACGTTTATGTGGAAGATTTAGCCTCAGCAACTGCAGTTTATTATTAACAAACTATTTAATGCAACCATGTTTTTAACCTAAAGGGATTTCAACAATATTGTGTTTTGAAAAATAAGTATTAACATCAAAATCTTCACATGTTGTTTGGGTGGATCAACACTGGAATTTAAGCTCGACCTTTTAATCCACAAGGGAAATTATCTGGACACAGCAGCTCACGCATCACAATATATTATTATAACAAAGAACTAAAATATAAATGGTAATAACACATTGTAAATAACTAGCAAAAATTGCAAGAGACTGCTGTCAAATAAGGCATAATTACATAAATGTGTATACACAAGCAAAAATAAAACATAGAAATGCAGTAGCACAAATATATCTCAACTATATACAAGAGGTCACAAGGAAAACAGTGCAAAGATGACAGGATGATTGACAGGACATAAGGTTATCTGTTCCATAAGGGTGAGTTGTTGTACAGTTGTAGGGAGTATTATCTGTTCCATAAGGGTGAGTTGTTGTACAGTTGTAAGGAGTATTATCTGTTCCATAAGGGTGAGTTGTTGTGCAGTTGTAGGGAGTATTATCTGTTCCATAAACGTGAGTTGTTGTACAGGTGTAGGGAGTATTATCTGTTCCATAAGGGTGAGTTGTTGTGCAGTTGTAGGGAGTATTATCTGTTCCATAAGGGTGAGTTGTTGTGCAGTTGTAGGGAGTATTATCTGTCGCTCCATAGTCTGGTGCAGTGGGTGAGCAGGAGTGTCCATGTCCTCACTGTGACAAATGTCTCCAGTAAAGACACGTGTTATGAGTTTTTGGCTTTTGAAAATGAATTCTATAATTTGAGTAAATCATAATATATACTTTGATTCTTTGTGTGGTTTCCTCAAAATATTCTGTTGAAAATGTATCCATAAAAATGCATCATAGATCGGTTCTATTGTGAATGTCTTGTCTGTAAATGCCCCATTTAGTTTACATTTTAGTATGTATAATATACTGTATGTGTCAAATGTGAGAAGAGCCCTTGTTTTTGTTTTTTTTAACTCTGTATGTATTTTATTTGCTACGACGGAGTATAAGGGTCAGAAAAGAAAAAAAAAAAGATGCTGGCTCTATGAGAATAAAGTCATAACATTTCGACATTAAAGTCGTAATATTATGAGAATAAAGTCGAAGCCAGAAAAAGTCGTAATTTTACAAGAATAAAGTCGACGTTAAAATAAAGTCGTAATATTATGAGAATAAAGTTATAATATTACGAGAATGAAGTCATAATAAAATCAAAGTCAAGGACTCAATCAGGACTCAATCAGGTCCGGAACCAAACCAGAAAGACCAGGATTGAGACCGGGACCAGACCAGGACTGAAAACGGTTTAGTCCTAATTTAGTCCTGGTTTAAGTCACGGAAATGGGAAATGGCGTTTCCGTGACTTTAAAATGCGAATGCGGGACTATTGCGCCGCATACGGACTGAACCAGGACTGAACCAGGACTGAACCAGGACTGAACCAGGACTAAACCAGGACTAAACGAGGTCCGAGACCAGACCGGGACTGAGACCGGGATCAGACAAGAACTGAGACCAGGATTGAGACCGGGAACAGGACAAAGACTGGGACTGGGACTGAGACCGGGACCAGACAAGGACTGAAAACGGTTTAGTCCTGGTTTAGTCCTGATTCAGTCCTCGTAGCGCCAGCATTTTTTTAATTTTATTTTTATTTTTATTTTATATGCAGTGATTTTTTGTTATACTGGAGTGAAGGGCTGGGTGGACTGAACTAATTGAACATTCCGGCTGGACCAGGCAGAGGGACGGGCCAACAAGGACAGATACAACTCCTGAAAAGAGCTAAGTAGAGGGATGTATCTGGGGGACCTTGTGGGCATGCGGGAGTGCAGTGACCGCAGCACCAGACTCATTTTTTAATTCTGATTTTAGCCGAACCAGATTTTTAATATTATTTTTTATTATGTCATTTTTTAGGATTCTTTTATCCATTTTATACCCATTTTAATTCTTATTTTAAATGTTGTACTTCACCGAATAAACTGTTAACTGACTGCATATCTGTTCATGTTTTTTCCAAACAGTTTGGTAGGACTAAAGAATCTGACATATGCATAAAAAATATAAATGACGGTTAAGGTTTATGGTATCATGAGTTTTTGGTTGCTGTATAGACGTGAGGACCACAGGAGTGTTTTCTGAAGCCTACATGCAACAACTCTCAGAACAGACAGTTTTTATACACTGGTGGTGGACAACAGGTGTGAGGCTCATGTCAAACAGAGTGACCAATACACAGTCAGGCAACAACTGTATCGGTAAAAGTGACTGTGACAATTTAACTTTAGCAACAACAAATGGTCTAACATTTCTTAACGTCATTTTAGGAAATAACAGACTTATTCTCATACTCCTTACATGAAGCTTGTTTGTCCTTCAACTAATATAAAAAAAATGCCATCACTTTACAAATTAGTCTTCATGCCTACAACAAGTGTCTCTGTCTTAACTTTTTTGAATCAAATAATGACATAAGATGACACAGAAAAGACACTTAGACACTTTGATTATCATGAGGACCAAGCAAGCAACAAACTACATTTGTATTTGGATAAAATGTTTTTCATTTTACTAGCTCATTATTCATTTACACACTACCAGACTTGTGAAATTCAAGACAGGTTGCAATGGGCTCTATTCACGCTTACGCCACAAAACTGGTAAACATTTGGGAACATGCAGACGATGACTTCCTTTGGGCTCTGTTCGTGATAGTAACTAACAAAATCTGCAGAAAAACGAGAAAATGGCACAGTTTTCTACATCTGTTATTGTATTCTTTCTATTTTCCTTCTATAAATTGCCCATTGATTTGTGTATAATAATTTTTCTAACTTAATTAAAACAACAAAACAAAAACTGTTACAACCAGCTGCCTGTGAGGATGCCATTACACTTACATCTCCCATGGAAAGCTCTGGCAGGTTGTGAAGACCGCAGCTGCTGAATCCATGGTTTTATCACATGCTCAGTGTCAGTAACTACACCGGAAGTCATCATCTGCATGTTTCCAAACGTCTTCCGGTAAGTGTGAATAGAACATATTGGAGGATCAAAATGAATTGTCCCTGGTTACAGCTATAATTAGTCGAATGAACCTAAAATATCTCACAGAAATTATCTCCAACAAAGGTTTCTTTTTGTCTCTACACGTTTTTATTTGGGAGAGTCTATTTTGATATTCAACTTGCATGTAGATGTTGGTGTATCTGAACTACATTGTCCTCTCAGCATGGAAAAATGAATTATAAATGTCTATGGAAGATTATTATGTCATGATCATAATATTCTGTCCTAATAAGTGAAATAAATCATTTGACATTCTTCTATGAGAGGATAAATACTTGGACCCACTTCTATTTTATGGCATTTAACACCTCATGAGTTTTGTGTCTCTGTGTCTTTTATTCATTTGATTGTATTAATTATTTTATCTTCTATTATTAAATTTTATTTTTTTGTTTTTGTTTTATTATTCTGATAAATTGTATTAGTTAATTTGTGTGAAATGCATCTCTGCTGACATTTAGATGAACATGTTTTCTATTGTTATTATACTTGGCACTTAGGAAACTATCTTGTTCATAAAATGTGCTCTATAAATACTTGTACTGTATCTGAAATATAAAAGAGTAAATATGGCAACCGGATGTACAAACGTTTCACACAATTATAATATAACATGTTTAAGTTGTAACAAAGGTACAGTTGCCCTAAAGTTTTGACAGACAGAATGTAAAGAGCATTCCAAATGTTAAGCACAACATTTGCATTCACTTGGCTTCTTCTAGTCACACAGCAGCCCTCCTGTTTATAAAAAAAATACATCTCTGTCCTATTAGTTTAAAGCAATATGATGAATCTGTAGGCCTATTACGTCCACTTTTTCTCCATCTTAGTTTGTTGTGCTTGTGTAAACCTCATCCAAAGTCAACTGCCTGCACCTGAAAAACAAACAAAAAAGCTTATTATACATTATTTCTATTGCCTGTATGTGGACATTATTGCATTTCATTATTTTCTCTCAGCTAAATCAGTGAATATCTGCTGCAGTAGTAAAGTACATGTACCTCCATTCTCTCAGTGAATACCAACAGTTGTACCTCATTTGACACTGGTAGTTGCTCCATCATCACCATGTCTGTCGGCTGGGGATGATCATGAGGAGTGTGGAGACTCCTGAAATACACACTCAAATACATGCGTTGACTGTTGCTGAATATTTTAAATGAATGATGGTGTAGAAGATGTGGTTGTAATTACAAATATGTTTCCTACCTCATAATGGACAAGAATGCACATGGGAACACCAGCAGGCTCACAACTCTGATAGCAATGAAGACTAGAATCAACACGTCCTCTAAACAACAACAAATAAGGAAAAGTATTTGAACATATAATAAAAATATGTCAATTGTACTAGATAATAGCATTAGCCAGTGTCTAGTAGTAAAGCTGGATACATCGAATGCTTTAGTAATGATATTTAAACTAAATTAAACTGACTAAAACATACACTCAAATGTAGAAGTTGATGTTTAGGTTTACTTCTCACATGAACCTTTACATTATGGGCTTTTTGCATTTGATAAGATAATTATGGTTCATTTAAGGAAGCTGTCTCTAACCAAAAGGCAGCACAAAATTCTGTTTATATTTTAAGGGTGCTTCTCATATTTATATTTTTGACACAGCAGTATAAGTAAGCAGAGGAAAGTTCTCATGTGAACTTTTAATTTTTGTGATTCAACTTTTTGTAATTACTTACATGATATTAATTTATTATATAGATAATAATTCACTACAATAATAAACTGATACAATAAATAACATTGGTTTGTGCAAAGATTATGCCTAGTGCACATGTCCTTGTATTCACACAAATACTTATTCATGACAGATGACTGTTTATTCCACCCTGGAATTCGCTCACTGGTTGTGAGTAAAATGTTTATTTAATTCTATAAATAATACATTTTCTTCAAGGGAATCATTTGGGCTATTCACTTTAAGACTTGTGTCAATGTAAATACCTGAAGTTCCTGTAAAACAAGAGTATTAATAATAAAAAATAAATAAATAAATAAATATCTGATTTTATTTATTTTATTAGTAATTTTTCCATCATCTTGTTTCTATGGACATGTCATTGGTCTGCCTAGAATGTTCTACAGTGTTTATTTATTTATTTATTTGAAATAGGGACATTAATGAACATATACATGATATGTAAATATGTTATCAGATTGTAGTCCAAGGCTCATTTCCATCTGCTGTCCCTAGACTGGTTGATGTTATCATAAAACAAATACACACAGTAAAAACAATACACCCAGAAAGACAATACAATAATACAAATAGACAAACATAAAGAGCTGGTCAGTCACAAGAACACAGACACAGGTCAACTAAAGGATGTTGAATTATTTGATCAATATTGCACGCTGCCCTGTTTAGTTAAAGTGCCAGTGTATAAATATTGCACACAGCCCATTGCTAAAATTGTGTGACATGAAACAGCTCTATTTTACATTTATTCAATTATTTGCAGTTTCATACTTATAAAAACAGGCATTCTGACTGTGAGTGGGGTTGCCTCTCTACAGATCCGACCTGTAGCTTGGTCTGGTTTGGTCTTCATGAAGACAGAAGGTTTAATGCCAAACTGTGGAACATTCCAGACAAAGCTCTAGAGAAAAGCATTTGACAGCCCCTCCACCAAAGAAGTTGCACAATGCACCTTTAAAAACAAGCAAAATGGCTTTTATATTTTATTAACATAAACTATTCAGACTTTGACTTTGCCATTTAACACAAACCACATGACTTGATCCCCAGTAGTCTAAACTTTAACTGCTAACAGCTAAAACCACATGCTTTCAGGACAGAAGATTGACTGTGGACCTCTCAAATTAAAAAAATACCCATACCCCTGATAACTCAACATGACTCTGGTGCTGTGACAAGTAGCTGATATAGAAAACTGATACATTAATAATAGGAAACCGAAAGCACAGATCTAATTTATACTAATTTGCACAATTTACAATTTTTAGCATTTTGAGAACTGCACAATGTGACTACACTGTTCCCTTATAGGTTTGTGGTAAAAAGTGCTGTGGGTGAGTTTGCAGTAAATTTAAATTGCATCATTTGAGGAAAATAATCAACAGTGGCCCTATAGCAGATATCGGCTCAAAAAATATCGTCAGAGCTTATCTACTGTCGTTTGCTCTTGATTCTGAACAATCTGTATCAGCATCGGTTATGAAAACACCCACATCAGTGAATCTCTATAAAAAAGCCACATTCACAGGACAGAAATGAACCTTTCTGAATAGCTTTAGAATGGTCTAGAACTGAATGTGAACAAGTATAAAAGCACATAGACTAGTATATGCCCATGGACGCGACCTGGATTGAGGGATTACATACTGTGGAACATTCTATCTAGACAAAGCAATATTTCCATGGAGACAAGCAGTTGGCAGACCCTCCACTAAAAATGTTATATCGTGCACTTTTAATATATTAATATACATTTTCCCTATAAACTTACCTCCGTTGATTCTGGTGGTGTGGCAGATGTTGAGATGCCTGAAGAAACACACACACAGATACAGATACATATCCTAACTTTAAGTGTATTCCTTAAATGGAGAACCTGTCAGATACACTTTAGAGCTGCCAGTCAGGACCACTGCTGATACTGATCTCCACACAAACATCATTCTATTATTTTTATTGTATTGCTTGTTTTGTTTTTTTACTGTACAAGGTTTTACATTGAAATGAATACCAAAGAATGTCCACAAATGTTTTCAACGTTGAACAGTTAATAATCCAGTTTATATTGTATATTACATCTTTCTCATATCAAATTGAGTTACAGTAGATTATATTTTACCTCAAAACAAGCAGCAGTGCAACAGATTGTCAACTGAAACAACAACATTTCTATATAACTTCAAATGTTATATTTTTTTTTATCTGTGGCTCCATCTAGTGGTACATTACATCCACTGACCTTGTTTAAAATGCAGCTGTACTTTTATACAATGTAATTACTTGTACATATGCATTTATATAAAACTGTAAATATGACAAACTGAAGCACACATGTTAACACACAAACTACATTAAGTCCATTACTGATTACATAAGTAGCAATGAAGGTACAGTGAATTAAGAATTGCAGAAACTGTATAAAAAGAGCAAATATATAAATATAAGTAAATATCCAGAAAGGCCATTAAAAGTCAGTACAAATATTAATCTGAGACTTAGACAACATAGTACATAAAGTATACAATTTAAAGATCTGTCTCATCTCAGTTAGTTTGCAATACAGTGGTTTTATTGGCCTATTATATCCACTTTTGCTCCATCCTAGTTTATATAATCCTCATCCAAGCCAAGTGTCTGCACCTGAAAAACAGATTAAAAGCTTATCATACTTTACATCTATTGCCCATTATTTATCAGATTACTTTCTCCTTATTTTCTCAACTAAATCAATAAATATCTGCTGTAGTAGTAAAGTACATGTACCTCCATTCTCTCAGTGAATATTAACAGTTGTACCTGATTTGACACTGGTAGTTGCTCCATCATCACCATGTCTGTCGGCTGGGGATGATCATGAGGAGTGTGGAGACTCCTGAAATACACATTCAAATACATATGTTGACTGTTAATGAATATTTTAAATGAATGATGGTGTAGAAGATGTGGTTGTAATTACAAACATGTTTCCTACCTCATAATAGACAAGAATGCACATGGGAACACCAGCAGGCTCACAACTCTGATAGCAATGAAGACTAGAATCAACACGTCCTCTAAACAACAACAAATAAGGAAAAGTATTTGAACATACAGCAAAAATAAAATATGTCATCTAAATTGTACAAGATAGTAGCATCAACTAGTGTCTAAATGTAAAATAGTAGTAGTAACAGTAGTAAATAATAAAAGTCTAAAATAATATGGTTGGTTGAATATTGAATATTTGTGTTGTCACATTTAACTACAACTAACCTTGTTCTTGAATGATATTTTCATGTTTAAATGGAGGAACATTAAATCTTTGTCTGTCAGATCCCACAGAGTTCCTGCTGTGACAAACCAAAGTGACTGGATCTCTCCACTGAGGTTTAATAACAGTGAGGACACTTCTTAGAGTTTTGTCACTCAGAGGCTCACTGATGATGGAGATGTTTGGAGAGAGTCCTGGAAAACTCCACTGTATCAGGGGAATGGGGTTCCCCTCAGTCTCACACACACACCTCATCTGGTCTGAGTCTATAGTGCAGTTTGAAGAGCTCACAATCTGTGGAGGGACTGTAGATGACAGAATAAACAGTCATGTCATGGACAATAACAATAAATGTAACCTATATTCAATGAGGGAAAACACATGCACTGTACATTCAACTCAGTGACAGCAAAATTATTAGGCCCAAATTCATTTTTAGCCTGACAGAAAATAGCAGTAGTATCTCTGGAGGCTTTCATTTTCACAAAACAGATAAGTTTCTGATCAGAGTGGGAGTTCCTCCATCAGCTTTATACCAGATGAAGACACATTACTGTTTTCTGTCACAGGACCAGAGGGGCTGACTGTTATTTTAGTATTTCCAGGTGGATCTCCGAAAACAAATTACACAAAGTAACAAAGTACACACATTGTGATGAACAACATTTTTAAAACTAAAAGTATGAAACAACAACATACAATGGGTGATTAAATAATCGTACGACACGTAGGATTCGGTAGCATCGTGTTGTCATTTTGGTACAAATGAAAAAATAAATAAATCTGCAGCCCTCTACCGTGATCTGCAGCTATCCATCAGATGTGCCTACTCAACAATTTAAGTTGTTTTACATGAATATTGCATTTCAAATGCCCAAATTATATCCAAACTGTAACAATGCTCCATGGCAATCATAGCTTACAACTAAAGTATGTAGCAGACACAAACACAATATGTTTTCTTTAAATCAATAATACATATTCTTTATCACCTAAATTTGGAATCTTTCGGTGTTTTTCTAAATCTTGGGGTTCCATTTTGACTCTGACCAAATCTTTGATTCAGGCAACACCATTATTCAATTTGACTCAAGATATTCTAAAGAGAATAAGAAAATAAAGGGAAAAATTGCTATTTCACCTTATACCGTAAAATGCAGAAATGTTTAATATCTTTAAAATTCTCAGAGCAGTGAAAGAAGTCTATAGTAGTTTAAACAATTTGATTTAATCAATGCAATAAAAATCTTAATTCTTCTATTCAATGTTTACACTTCGACTTGCACACCCAAAGCCTTAAAATTAATCAAGAATGTTTGTGTGCATGCCTACGCATTTTTAAGTACCCAATCTTTAGCTCAATTTTGTATTTTTTATTAACGTATTTAGGTATTTAAACTGTTCAGTGTTAGAGATTATTTTTCATTGATATGGAAAAGCTTTATGATGTTTTAGTGACTCACATGTGACAAAAGGAATCATCTGCACTGTCGTCTGTGACAGAGAGCTGTCTTCTTTGCTGTAGTCTGCAGAGCATGTTATGTTTTTCTTATGGTGGAGGTGAGAAGCAGTGAAGGTGAGAGTGGACACTTTGACATAGGTCTTGTCCGTTTGCTCCTGCAGAGTCTCCTGAATGTCCCCAGGACAGGGCTCCATGTCAGAGTGGGAGGGAGAGACAGACACAGGACAGGAGCAGAGCACTGCACACTCACTGACTGCCCCTCACTCACACTCACAGAGGGCGGAGTCAGTGTAGGGGTGGGCGGGGCTTCTGAAATCAACAAACCTTTTACACATACAGACATTTTTGGATATGATTTGAAATGTGATGAAATACATACTTGTGACTTGTATCGTCACTCCTGCCTCTATAAATGTATATTTCAGTGGATTTTCACATTCCACTCTGAAGAAATGTTTTTTATTGTGTTGAGGACCAATGTTATTAAATGTTGTGGTGCAATTTTTCAGAGTTAAATCTCCAGTTTTCTGTCTTGTATTTGGAAGTGCATTGCCACAGGTATCTTCCCACAGAGCTCTGCATCCACTGTTCAAATTGGTTTCATGTTTGTTCTGGATTTGAAATGAACAGGGAATTGTCACACAGGATCCTCGCAGAGCCTTTATGTTTTGTGGCAGAAAAACATTGAACTTATCACAGTGGTCACCTATAAACCACAAGAAAGTTAGAAAGTGGTTAACACCATTTATAGTTAATATACACATAAGACTGACATTTAAACCAGTTGAACATGCAAGCAGATGAAGAAAAAAAAACAAAAAACTCACACATGATCTGAGCTGTTGCACTAGAACTTGAAACAGTCCCATCTCCCCTGCTGTAGACTGCAGAGCATGACAGGCTTGTCTTATAGTCAGAAGCAGTGAAGGTGAGAGTGGACACTTTGACATATGTCTTGTCCGGTTGCTCCTGCAGAGTCTCCTGAATGTCCCCCAGGACAGGGCTCCATGTCAGAGTGGGAGGGAGAGACAGACACAGGACAGGAACAGAGCACTGCACACTCACTGACTGCCCCTCACTCACACTCACAGAGGGCAGAGTCAGTGTAGGGGTTGGCGGGGCTTCTGGAAGAAAAAACTTAAATCAATAAATGAATAACACACTTAATCTTGTAAAGTAAATGAATGCTGCAGAGACCATTCACATTGATCTTCAGTTTTTTATCATTAAATCTCCATTTTAGAGGATTGCTCTCCTCACACTGCAGTCTAAAGTAAACTTCTTTCCCCTGGTCCTCAGTGATGTTATACACTGTTGTGGTGCAGTTCTTCTGGGTTAAGTCTCCTGTTGTTGGTCTTGTGAATTGTATTTTTGTCTGTTCATTGCTGGCATCTCTCCATTCTGATTTACATCCACTGTTCAGGTTTGTATTATACTTATCCTCTATTGTAAAGGAGCAGGGTATTGTCAAACAGGATCCACGCACAGCCTCCAGTTGTTGTGGCAGAGAGACACTAAAGCCATTACAGTGGACACCTAAACAAACAGTAACATGTAGAATTGACATTAAATCATTCTATCAAACTATTTTAAAAGTACGTTTTGCATTGCTTCATAATCAACCACTCACTGTGAAGCAGGAAGCCCACAAGCAGAACGTTCATAACAGCAGACATCTAATTTCATGGAAACAAAATACAATCAAAAATCAATGTATTTTTAAAGACGCACAGTTACATTCACATGATTGTTTTTTAAAAATTATGCATTTAGTTAACAGTTCAATAATTTTCACAACAAAAAGCTGTAAAAACTGCACTGTTTACTATACTGCTACAAATAAGACAATCTCATAATTGAAAAAGTACACTTTAAGTTCTTTTCACCAGCATTGTAAGTACAGATGTTTTAAACTCCTCCTATGTGATATTACATTTATACAAGACATTTCAGAACACAGACCTCTACAGTGCAACTTGTACACAGTATTAATGATCTGACATTTAAAGTTAACAACTATTCATTTATATTTAGCAGAAATGCTCTTGATTTACATAATCATAGTTTGTTTCAGGAGTGCTCACTCTGTCTGCCTTTCCTCCAGATGATTCTTCTGTAAAGTTTTTCAGTAAACATATTTAAATTGAGGAAGTCCTGTATACGAGGGCGACTAAATGAGGTTTGTCACATTGGTAGAAACTGTTAAACTCAAATGTGACAAGTTGTTTGGGTGTATTTCTCACATTATCTTTACTGGAACCGAGAAGTTTTCCTTTTATTAGCAAGATCTTGCCTCAGCAACTGCAGTTTATTATTAACAAACTATTTAATGCAACCATGTTTTTAACCTAAAGGGATTTCAACAATATTGTGCATTGAATAATAATAAGTATTAACATCACATAGTGGCGGGGGGCGCATAGGCCAAAATTATAAATTATAAATATATATTATAAATATATGTATTATATGTAGGCTATATAGTTTTTCTAAGATTTAAATTTTTCTAAGAAAAGAGATTTGTGTTTGAAGCATATATCTTTGTTATGCCATATATAATATTTTTGTGGTGTTGTACTTATATACTAAAGTCCAACATAACAGTAGCTGTTTGTGAAAGTTAGAAAGTTTAATTGGAATCTTATCAATGCTATAATTACACCTCAGAATAAAATTTAAACCTCCTAATGCATCAAATATATGTGTTGAAATGAAATTCCATAATGAATTTGGGTTCAATAAATATCTTTTAATCCACTTAATTTTGAAAGAGGAATGTAGAGTCTGAAAATCTAAAATGTTAAATCCACCATTACTTAAATTATTAATCATTACATTTTTTCTAATGAGGTGTGTTTTTTTTCTTCCAGATAAAGTCAAATAAGATTTTGTCTGCTTGTGCATTAATGTTTTTGGTACATCACAGGGGCAGAGCTGGCATAGACTAGACTACAGAGCCCTGCAGCTTTGGAGAGTAGGATTCTACCAGAGATTGATAAGTCCCTTTGAAGCTACATGTTAAATTTTGTTTGAATTCTATACACAAGAGAGTTAAAGATTTCACATTGTCTTTTTTCTTCTTCTTTTATGATAGTAATACCCAAGTATTTCACTTTTAGTTTCACCGGGATTCCTCATATATGTAAGACATTACAATATTTGATGGGAAGTAATTCACATTTGGAAAGGTTTAATTTGAGTCCTGAAGCTAAGGAAAATGTGGTTAATAAGATAGCATAGTTTACCTGAGAACAATCATTTAAAAAGAGAGTTGTGTCGTCAGCAAGCTGACTTAAACATATTTCTCTTCCGGATATTGCTTTAAGGTCACTATTCTTAATGTAACTGGCTAAAATTTGCATGGTTAACAAAAATAGAAAAGCAGAAATTGGGCAGCCCTGGCGTATTCCACGTCCTATATTAAATCTATGAGTTGTTCCATGGGGCAGTATATTCTCAGATGTATACAGGGTGCGAATGGATTTTTTAAAAAGCTCACCAAAGCCAAATAAATTCAAAGCTTTAAGCATAAACTGGTGTTCTAATGAGTCGAATGCTTTTTGGAAGTCCAAAAATAGAATGAAACTGTTTTCTGAAATAAGATCGGAATAATCTAAAATGTCAAGAATGAGTCTAATATTGTCAATGATATATCTACCATTCATAAAGCAGTTCTGTGAATACTCAATTATATCATTTAGTATTTTCTTTAACTTGGTGGCCAGGCAGATAGCTAGGATTTTGTAATCATTATTAAGTAGGGAAATGGGACGCCAATTATCTAAAATTAAGCTATCTTTTTGTGGTTTTGGAATTAAGGTGATTAGTCCTTGGCACATAGTATGAGGAAGCTGTTCTTTCTCGATACTCTCTAAGAAGACCTTTAATAAAAACGGAGCAAGCTCAGTGGAAAAAGTCCTATAAAATTCAGAGCTTAGCCCTTCAGTGCCAGGAGATTTGTTTAACATGTACAAGCTGATCCACCGCCCACAACCAACCCCAACAACGTCAGCTCACTGACACACTATATAACTATTAACACTATTGGGGCGGCAGTAGCTCAGTCGGTAGAACATTGATCTGAAGATTGGCGGTTCGATTCCAGCTCTTGACATAAACATCACAGGTTGAGCAGTCAGATCCACTGACCCACAGGTTGGCTGGTGTGATTCCAGCTCCCACAGATGAATGCTGCTGTTGTGTCCTTGGGCAAGACCCTAAACCCACCTTGCCCACAGTGTCTGCGTACACTGGTGTGTGAATGTGTGTGTGAATGTGTGTGTGAATGGGTGAGTGGTTGCTTGTTGTAAAGTGTTTTGAGTGCCTTGAAGGTGGAAAAGCGCTATAGAAAAATGTGACCATTTACCATTTACCATTGACCTGTGAGGCTCCGCCCGCAGTCAAGGCAAGTCTGTTTTCCAAAGTGTATCCTCTACCAACTGCCCTGTTGGTTCTGTCTTCAATTTGAAGAGATCAAACTGGTCCAAGTCCAGCCGAATGCACGAGCTGGTTGTAAACTTTTACAACCAATCTTAAACTCTCTTCCCACTTAAATGAGAACGTTACACCAATCCATATTAGCACTAGGGCACCAGGTAGACTTAAGGCCTATGCGCTACGCCCAGGTCAGAGTTTTACACAGAGAAACAAGCGGGCAGAGGAGCGAGCGACTGTCTCCGAGTCCCGGAGGGTCCCGGTGTCTTTAGGACTCTCCTCCCGCTCTCCTGTATGGAGCTTTAGGCGAAAGTAGCTAGCCGCCATTAGCCAGTGTGTGGATCAACACAAGAGCCGTAGGATTTCACCACAGATAGATGCACTCATTTCTGCTTAATGCTTCTTTACTTGCTTGGCACAAGGGTGCCGCTGAAGAGAAGACATATTACTCCCTAAAAACTGTTGTTCGGACGCACTTTGACTTGAAGTTGAACTTGTCATAGCTGTATTGTACACAGCACAGCTCCACTTATTGGCCTGTAGCAGTAACATGCTGCCAGTGGAGAGTTGGGGCTAGGCAGAAGTTTGTGATAATGTTTATAAAGACCAATCACGATTTCAGGTCACCCACACCCTACGCCCCCAATAAGTATTTTACGGCTGTAATGTAAAGTGCTGGGCAGAAGCAACGTAATGACGTCAAATTTTCGTCAAAACTTCAGGCTCTCCCATAGACTTCCATTAAGTCACTCCGACCCAGCGCACTCAAATGCCACATTTAACATGATAAAAATGTCTATCCAGATACGCGTTGAATTTTAAACAAAATATTAAACATATAGCTTAATACAAACTATCAACTTTATATATATTTTTTTCATCTAGGTCAACCTCTATTGACCAGCCGCCACTGACATTAAAATTTTCACATTGTTTGGGTGACACTGGACTTCAAGCTTGACACTTTAAACAGAATACAATTTAACTTAGACTTAGACACACTTTATTGATCCACAAGGGAGGTTATTTGGCCACAGCTCACACATCACAATATATTATAATAACAAAGAGTAAAAATAGAAATGGCAATAAATATTTAAAAAAAAAAAAAAAAACTAGCAACAATAGCAAGAGACAGCTGTGACATAACTATATAAATGTTTGCAGTAGTACAAATATACAGTATCTAAGCTATATACAAGAGGTTGTAAGGAAAAACAGTGCAAATATGAAATAGTAATTGACAGGACATAAGGTTATCTGTTACATAAAGGTGAGTTGTTGTACAGCTGTAGGGAGTATTATCATAAAATCATAATTCTGTCCTAATAAGTGAAATAAATAATTTGACACTCTTTCTGTGAGAGATTAAATACTGGACCCACTTGTATTGTCTGGCTTTTAAAACCTCGTGAGCTTTGTGGCCTTATGTGTCTTTTATTCATTTGATTTGATTTTTATTTTTTTTCTTGTATTTGTTTTATTATTTTGATTGATTTTATTTGTTCATTTGTCTGAAATGCATCTCTACTGACTTTTAGAGCAAAATGTTTTCTATTGTTATTATACATGGCACTTTGGAAACTATTTTGTTCATAAAATGTGCTCTACAAATAAATTTAACTTGTATCTGAAATATAAAGGAGTAAATATAGCAATAGGATGGACGTTTCACACAATTATGTTTAAGTTGAAACAAAGGTACAGTTGCCCTAAGAGTTTCGACAAACAGTATGTAAAGAGCTAAACAAGCATCCAGAAAATAGTTTAATGCAGTCCAAATGTTAAGCACAACATTTGCATTCACTTGGCTTCTTCTAGTCACACAGCAGCCCTCCTGTTTATAAAAAAAAATACATCTCTGTTCTATTAGTTTAAAGCAATATGATGAATCTGTAGGCCTATTACATCCACTTTTTCTCCATCTTAGTTTGCTGTGTTTACATAATCATCATCCAAGTCAACTGCCTGCACCTGAAAAACAAATAAAAAGGCTTATTATACATTATTTCTATTGCCTGTATGTGGACATTATTGCATTTCATTATTTTCTCAGCTAAATCAGTGAATATCTGCTGCAGTAGTACAGTCATGTACCTCCATTCTCTCAGTGAATCCCAACAGTTGTACCTCATTTGACACTGGTAGTTGCTCCATCATCACCATGTCTGTCGGCTGGGGATGATCATGAGGAGTGTGGAGACTCCTGAAATAGACATTCAAATACACGTGTTAACTGTTTATGAATATTTTAAATGAATGATGGTGTAGAAGATGTGGTTGTAATTACAAACATGTTTCCTACCTCGTAATGGACAATGAAGACTAGAATCAACACGCCCTCTAAACAACAGATAAGGAAAAGTATTTGAACATATTCACAAAAATATATAATAAAATTATTAATATTGAAACTACGCAAGATTATAACAACAGCCAGTGTCTAAATCTCTCCTCATGTGGCTGAATGAATATTGAACTAATGTTGGTACATTTAATGATAAATTCAATAGAGTCGTGCATCTGTTCCAAAACATAATTAATCAAAAGAAAAATAAATTAACCTTGTTCTTGAACGATATTTTCATATATAAACGGAGGGACATTAAATCTTTGTCTGTCAGTTCCCATAGAGTTGTTGCTGTGACAAACCAAAGTGACTGGATCTCTCCACTGAGGTTTAATATCAGTGAGGACACTTCTTAGAGCTTTGTCCCTAAGATGCTCACTGATGATGGAGATGTTTGGAGAGAATCCTGGGAAACTCCACTGTATCAGGGGAATGGGGTTCCCCTCAGTCTCACACACACAGCTCATCATGGACTTAGTCCATAGTGCAGTTTGAAAAGCTCACGTTCTGTAGAGGGACTGTGATGACAGAATAATCATGTCATAAACAAAAACAATAAATGTAGCCTATATTAAAAGAGGGAAAACACATACACTGTATATCTAACTCAGTGACAGTAGAGTGATCAGTCCTAAGTTCATTTTGAGCCTAACAGAAAATAGCAGTAGTATCTCTGAAGGCTTTCATGACACACTCACTGACTGCCCCTCACTCACACTCACAGAGGGCAGAGTCAGTGTAGGAGTGGGCGGAGCTTCTGGAAGAAAAACCTTAAATCAATAAATGAGTGACACACTTAATGTTGTAAAGTAATGAATACTGCAGAGACCATTCACATTGATCTTCAGTTTTGCATCTATAAATCTCCATTTTAGAGGATTGCTCTCCTCACACTGCAGTCTGAAGTAAACTTCTTTCCCTTGGTCCTCAGTGATGTTATACACTGTTGTGGAGCAGTTCTTCTGGGTTAAGTCTCCTGTTGTTGGTTCTATTGTTCTATTGTTTGTTCATTTCTGGCATCTCTCCATTCTGATCTACATCCACTGTTCAGGTTTCTATTATACTTATCCTTTATAGTAACAGAGCAGGATATTGTCAAACAGGATCAGATGGCAGACATCTAATTGAACGAAAACAAAAATACAATCATATATTCAATTACACACACAAAGTACATTCAGCAAGAGAAAATTGCATCTTCAAAGTACTTACTATCTGCATTCAATGAGTTTAAAGCATTTCTATGATAATACATTGATACTAAATGTTCCAAGAGACCCCAGCAAAGTTCAAGTGTTTATCGTTAGTAAACATTACTTTTTTTCCACACTGTGATTATATTATTGTATTTTTCTTAAGTGAAAGTATTACAAGTACTTACCCTGCTTCCAGTCCTACAGACAAGTCTTGTAGTGAAGCTGGATACATCCAATGCTTTAGTAATGATAATTAACCTAGAGAAGTTCTTAATGCACCATACGATGGCAAAAGAATGAAGGGTGAGACTAAAAACATACACTCAAATGAAGAAGTCGATGTTTAGGCTTACATCTCACATGAACTTCCACACTATGGGCTTTTTGCATTTTTTCAGCTAATTGTGGTTCAATTAAGGAAGGTGTCTCTAACCAAAAGGGTGGACTCTCAACACAATTTTCTGTTTATAGTTTGAGGGTACTTCTCACTTTCATCTTGTTAACACAGCAGGGTTCATAATAATAATGTGTAATAATGCGTGTAAGCAGTGAGTCCTCATGCAACAAAATCACAAACTTGTCCTCATTAGCCAGCTTCTTTCTGTGTGCTAATTAGCATGCTAGTGCTAATTAGCTTGCTACTGCTAAGAAATGACAGGTCTTGGTCTGCTGCTGCTATCATACAGTTCATACAATCAATCAATCAAACTTTATTTGTATAGCACTTTTCACGTGCAAATGAAAAAAAACAGAGGACTTTACAATAACAATTTACCAAATTAAAAGGACAGTAAGGAAAAAACAAACAAACAAAAAAACTTACAATCTGGTCTTCTCAGATTGCATGGATCTTCTCTGCTGTGTGCTGCATCTGCAAAGGTCGAGGTAGCGGAGCACGTAACTACAAGTGAGTACCTCAGTGTAGGGCTTTCATTTCCTTTGTGGGATCTGAATCTTTTGGACCAATAACTCTTTTACTTTTTATTTTTAAGGCAGAAGCTAATGTGAGAACTCATGTTTCTACAAACTTATCACTGAGAGAAACGGCTGAGAGAAATCCTCCATGTTTAAAAAAGTAAAAAAATCCCTCCTAAAACGTGCTAGTTTAGTTTGTTAGCAGCTCCTCTTTTCTCTGTTTTAGTCCAGCCCAGAGAAAATGGGACAATGTTTACAAACTCTGAATGTGTCTATTTTGGTTATTTAAAAAAAAAAAAATTGATCCACTTAATGAACGGAACACAGACCATGGGTGTGGGAAAGCCAGTCAGCATTTCTGTCATCGACTGAATATAACCATGGACCACAATAAGCACTGAAATGTATTAGTTAAATTATTATATTAATTATTTTAGTAAAATGTAGATGAAATAACAAAACATGTTTTTGTTTTACTATTTTGCAAACTGGTTTACACTCAGACTCAACACTAACACATTTTCAGATCAAGTTGATTGTTTCATTTTTTTATCACCCCTTTATGGTCTCCAGCAGCTGTGTGATCTTCATTTGAAGTTCTTTGGCCTTGTTTGCATTCTCTGCCTTGTGCACCTCTCCAGCCACCTGCAGTCCTCTGAGCACTGAGAGGAGGGCGTCTGCGTTCTTCACCGACTCCATCTGATCCCGATCAGCCTGGATCTCCTCCACCCAGTCCAGGTAGGCCTGCAGTAAGCCTATGTCATCCACAAAGTTGGCAATGATGCGGAGTTCTGGTCTGCACTGCTGGAGCTGCCGAAGCCTCCTCCTGCCTTCTTCTCCAATGTCATTCCCCACAATACTAGAAACCAGGAGAAGATACAGATTCATTAAAGGTTTTCTATGGAATTAAACTTTTCAGTCATGAAAAGTTTAATTTCATGACTCCGCCACCTCCTGGCTATTGATAAGTTTCAGATGACATCATTATCTATAGGGCAATGATGGGGGCAGATAAAATGAATATTGTTAAATGCAGGTTTTTGTTTTGTAGCTGTTCATGGTCTGGTCAATAAGAGAAATGATCAAGTTCAACATTTGTGAATTTACCTTCTAGATATTTCTAATGATAGTAACATGTAATGTTATCAATAAAGAAATCTGGCTCTTGCCTTACATCTGGCAGTATGTACATCACATGAACTGACTATTTGACTACAGAATTTTAAGAATATTTCACTTTCCTAACCTATCCACCAGAGGGCAGTGTTTGCCATGAGTAGTAGCTCATGTCTTACGTGAGGGTTTTCAAAGAGGTGTTTTTGCTGAGACAGTTCACTATGTTTTCTGTTCCTCTTTCAGTGATGCCGGTGATGTCCAGATACAGCTCTTCCACAGTGGTGTTGTGTTCCAAAGCGTTCCACAGCTCCAGCACTCCCTCAGGACCCAGGTTATTCCCACACATACTAAAAAAAACCAAACAAAAAACAACAACGTAGGACTGTTTCTTATGTAGTGAACTTTTAATACACTCATAATTATAAAACTAGGGAATGACTTACAATAGCTTCTTTACTTGGCATTCGTTTGACCTCAAAATAGATGATTCCAGAATCGCTGACTGTCTGTCTAAGCAGTTGTACCTCAAGCTGAAAGAGAGAGAAAACAGAAAATAAATCAGGTTAAATATCCCTCTCAATGCTGGTGAACCAAACCCCCTTCTCCTACTCAGTAAATAGCAGCTAATAAAAATGCAATATACTTATTAAACTAATATAAGATGTTTATGTCTACATGTTGATGCCAGTTATTTATAGACGCCTGTTTGGGAATAGTACAATGATTTTTTTTAAATCACTGTACTTTGTGTGTAGACTAATATTTGAAATATTTGGAACATTGCACTATACATTATTCCAAGTATTATTCTACACAAATATTACAAACATCATGCTCACACTGCCATAAAAAGTGTAGTAAATTTTATAACTTTAGAAGAATGTTTTTTGTATATTTAATGTTTATCAGTAGAACAAGAAAATATATTTACAATCTAATAATTGTCACTGTACAGATGATGGGGGTACTACGAGTCCAAGACAATTTAAGACTAAAAAGATTGTGAACCACTGCAAAAGCGGTTAGACTTGGTAAGGTAGTTATTATCCTGGAGACAATAGGGAAATATAAAAAAAATATCTTTGTTTAAATATATATGGTTACATTTTTTAAGTTAATTCAAGTGTAATGAATGTTCAGGTCAAATAATAAAATTGAAGCAAAAATCAAATGTTACCTTTATATTTATATTACTCACTAGAGAGACTCGCAGCGGTGAAGGATGGGCCCCAGCCGGCTCAGTCCCCTGTTGCCGATGTTGGAGTATCCCAGGTTGAGCTCCTGCAGCTTGTGTGGGGAGAATTGTAAGACATAATGCATGGCAGCACAGTCCACCACACTCAACTTCATTTTAAACAGGTTCAACTTCTTGATTTCAGGTGCTGTTATCCTAGTGGTGTCCTCCATATGGAACTCCATCAGACAGTGTAGAAAATTCAGAGCTTCCAGGTTCTTCAGATTTCTGCCTTTGAACTGATCTCGGAACCACACACCAAGCTTGGCAGGGATACCACTGGCTTGTTCCATTGGGCCACTGACAAGGCCATCCAAGAGTCCTGCAAGGCGCGCTCTTAGCATACCCATGAAGAAGCGCGTGAACATTTGCAGGCTCTCCAACTTGTCCATGTGGAGTTCTATGTTACAAAGAGGTGGAGCAGTAGAAGAAGGTGGTTTACCAAAACACCAGAAGTCCAGAGCTTGGAGTATGTCATCTTGGGTTGAAAGGTTGATCGCACAGTACAGCGCTGCTAGATGCTCTTGAACAGTTAAATGGAAGAAGGAATACATGTCCACAGTCTCCTCTTTGAGCAGCTGGAGAATGTGGCAAAGGAAGGTGCTTTGGATGTCAACAGGTGTAACTCCGTACTTCTCCAGGTCTTTTTTGTCGAACATGATCTTTTTCTGTAGAAGATTTTCATATGCTAGTTTGCCCAAGTTGGTCAGCTGCAGTTTGGCAAGACTCAAAACCTGCGCTCTGGAAGTGTCCCTGTCAGTGCTTCCCTTCAGCGCGTGGTGCTTGACGGCGGTGAAGAGGTAGCAGAAGTAAACCTCGCTCACAGTTTTAGGAGGATTAAGCTCCAAAGATTTCGAAGCATCGTCATCTTGAGTTTCAGAAGCAAAAAATTCTGCCATGGCCGTGCAGATGATGTAGCAGTAAAGTGGGATGAAGGACAAGACAAAAAGATTATCGTTGTTCAAAATGTAGTCGTAGACTTTGTCTGCTACTTCGATGTTTTTGTAGAACTTATAAGTGTAGTCCTTCACTTGCTCCTCCTCAAAGCCTAGGACTATGCAGCATCTTTGGAAGAACTGCTTTGGAGCTTCAGTGGAGGGTCTAGTCGTGATAATGACTGAGGATTCTGGGAGAAGGCTTCCTTTAATCAACGCAACCATTAACTCTGGCAATGGCACTTTTGATTCCATCCCAATGTCTTTTGCTGGATCATTCCATTTCAGAGGAAATTTAAACTCATCCAGACCATCCAAAATGAAGAGAAGCGAACTTGGAGACATGAATAGATCTTTAAAAACATCTTTAAGGTAGCGGAACCGATCACCTAGCAGCTCTGTCAAGCTCACAGGTTCGTTGATCAAATTGAGCTCGCGAAAACGCAGGTCAAAAACGCAGTCAAACTCTCGCATGTTCTTCCCAATGGCCCACTCATAAAGCAGCCTCTGAACCGCCACGCTCTTCCCAATACCGGCGATCCCTTTGACTTTGACTCTTTTGGGGGGCCTTGCCGAGCCATCCCGCGGTGTGAGCAGATGGTATGGCCGGATGCGTTGACAGGCTTGATGGACATAGATGCGGGCCCGTCTGCTCGCCAGGTCGAAGTACTCGTGGCGGCTGCTGTCCAAGAGATCATAGTCTTCAGTCACGAAAAGGTCAGTGTAGCGGATCTCGATGTGGGAAGCGGAGTTCGCAGAAATGGCGTCGCCTTCTGAGTAGCTCTTCAGTTGTTCGGTGCGCTTCAGGACGGTGGTTTTATGGGCAGATATAGCAACTGGAGGGGGGTGAAGGAAGCAGTTATAAAAATGTAAATATTTACTGCACATGGCCACAAAAAAATTAATAATCAGATATGCCAATAAATTTATGTGATTTTTTTTTTTAAGAATAAAAAATAAGAAAGCTGATCATCACAACATGGAAATTAGCCTTTTTGGTATAATCTGGCACATTTACTCTGTGATTACAGATGTTCGTTAATATGGACTGTCCCTATCAAATAAATAAATAAAACAAATAAAAACACCTGGCAACATGTATCAGTAATCAACTATTTTTACTGTTACTATATTTATAGACAAAGACAATAATTTTCGTTAATTTTTTTGACTTTTTCTCTTGTCATAACCTGCGTGCAACCTGTTTACATGAATATAAACATATTGAGTGACATAAAGCTGTTTAGTTTAGTTTAGTCTTTATTTGAAGGAACAATCGACAGACATTAAGTTCATAAAAATGTTCTCTGCTCCAGATTATAATTTATAAATAGCTAGTTTCCATCTGCAGTTACTGATTTGCATTATAACTTTCAAACTATGTTCCAATTATTGTTTAAAAATGTTTTCCCTTTTTCATCAAGTCCATATTTATCTTGCATTTAGTTAAACTTTGCCTATGAAAAATAATAATTTGTCTTTCAAATGTAAGTTATATAAATATCTTAATATCTAATTATGTGTTAGGATAATGGGGATGTCAGCAACTTTTTTACAGATCGTTTCAATCACTTTCAAAGAAGAAATTATTCTTTGCACTTACGTCGGACGTTTCCTGACTTCATACTTTTTCTTGCATTTATTTGATTTTTTCCTACAGCAGAAAGACAATTGTAAGACACAGCATTTCTTATATTATTTTAAATGCATGTTAGTATAGTATAGAAGTACCTTTTTCCTCTGCTGGCAGTGTGAAGCCCATGCTCTTGCCTTTGAAGAGTTTAGCCAAAGGACTCTTTGGCTTCTTCTCTGTGGATGATATTGCATTGCATTGATAGGCCCAAACATATAGGCGTCTTTGTAGATAATACTTTTGTTGACATCAATTTGTTTTTTTCATTTTTCCTGTTGTTAAACGTTATTGATTCAGTAATGTCAAATATCAACAACAGTTGGACTTATGAGAGACTTGCATTTTCCTAAAAGATAATTGAGAAGTTTTATTTCATCTATTTTATATAGATCATTCTATATATCTTTGTTATGTTATATATCTTTGTTGGTGCACTGTGTAAGTTTTCTGGAGAGGGTCCGGTTGGTTTGAATTGGCCACAGTATGGTATGAAACTAATCTGTCTTACATTTGTTCAACTACAGGTGTTATTTATTGCTCAAAAATATCTTAAAAACGTAATTTGTTACCGTGACTATGGTCGCCTCTCCACAAATCTAACCTGTAATTTGTTTTGCAAGTCTCCATGGAGATTCTTAAATTTATGGCCATACTGAGGAACATTCTTGACACATCTCTATGCAGAAAAGCAGGTGAAGGATAAGTTACCCAGTGCATTAAAATAATACAAATAGTCAGTACTTTGGGGAAAAAACTTTGTAGACTTTGTATCTTGTGTATGTAGAAGTTGTCCTTGAATCAATTAGAATGCATGTCTAATCCAGTTACATTCACTTTATGTCATTATGTGTCTGTTAACTCTGTATCTGGCAATAGTCCAAGATGAACTCTCCCGCGTAAATAAACTTGGACAGGTTCCAATGCTCACAGCCTCTAATGAGATTTGGAGGCACAGAAAATAATTAAACTGGGATTTGTGACTCTTACAAAGATGATATTATATTTGGGATTTGAGGTGTTTTTTTGATTGCTAACTGGTCAACTTAATATGGCAAAAGTATTGACAGAGTAGAATAGCATGCAAACTCATATCAAGAACAATTTATAGTATGCTAGAACAACAACAATCACTATAATAATAAATATTCTGTCTGTCTCTTTGGAATATTTGAGAAATTATCTATACTTGACACAACTACCATAGAGGTGACGGCATCTTATGTGGAGAGATGTTTATCCCCAAGGCTGATTACTAACGTCTCCTTGGGCAAGACACTTCTCTCGCGTTATTGATGTTATGTGTGTTTTTGACTGTGAATGATTTTATAATAAAAAGCTTTGTTTCTCCAGTTAGGGTAGATAATAGAACTGCAGCAAATATTGCAATCATATGAACATGGTGAAATGGTTACAAATAGCAAATTGCATAGACAGCACAATATCCTGTTTCTATGATATATGAAAGCTTTTTATTCTGCACACATCTCTCTCATTCAATGACGCTCTCAATTTTAATTGAGTAATTTTAATTTTATAATGGTTATTTATGCTTTGATTTGTTTGTATTGTAATTTGAATGTGTTAATTATTCTGTAAAGCACTTTGAATTACTTTGTGTACGAATTGTGCCATAGAAATAAATAAACTTGCCTTGCTTTGCCGTTAGCCTGTAGTTTAGATGTCTTCAGATATATTCCAAAGTGCAGTTGTTTTTATACAAGTTTAGCTGTTTTTTTCTTATTACCAGTACAATTCAGTACTTGTGGATGGGTTTGAAATGTGTGCTTTGAACAGAATGCTTACATATTTTAAACATGATCTAATAAGAATAGTGGTACTGGTTACAAAAATTGCTATTAGACATTTTTCAAAATTGTTCAGCACATCAACAACAACACAGGTACAGTCAAAACCATATTATCATTATTTTGAATTGACCCATCCAACTTGAATCACCTCACCTTGTTTGCTTCCAGGTGTCTCTTGGATCTTGGCAGCTTCATTCTTGCAGTGCTTCTCCACCCAAAGCTGCAGGTCCCGGCCGTAGTAGTCCTGCACCTCTGTGAGCACTTTGAGAAACTTGTGACTGCTTTCTTCTGAGGAGCTCACCAGTTCCAGAGCCTGGACCACCGCGTTGGAGGGCGAGGTTTCCAGGAGGGCCAGGTAACGAGCATGAGACAGAACCCCAGCATCACACAGCCAACGCAACAGGGGCGCGGGGTGCTCACGAGTCCAGGAGACGAGCTGGTCTCGCTGGGAGCGGAGGAGCTGCTGAGAGGATGTCATGGCTTCTAATAGCAATAGTGCTGGATGCCACACTTAAGCTAAGGTAAGCAAACCATAAAATCGCAGTGAAATGGATCCTGCATTCTTGCTCTAATCTCAGTGACCCAAATCTGGACTTTTATCGAGCAGTAACCACTAAAAGGGTGTGCTGGTCATAAAAAAAAAGTCTAAAGTCCCTCAGACATTATTCTTTGTTACTTCAAGATTGTAGTGTTTGAAATACTTGGCAGTGTGGCTAGTGCAAACAGTATCAGTGAAAATACTGGGATGAACACATACACTATTGAGGCAGTGGTAGATACAGAATTATATGGTGCAGATGAGTTTGTTTGTTGCATTTGAACTAATATTTACTACAAGAATACATTTAAAATCTACTATAAAAAATATACCTCAAATAAATAAACACTTTTTGTGGTGTCCTACTGTTGGACTACATCATCAGCTCAGTTTCTTGATTGAGTTCTCAAACTAAAAGTGAATAATTGGACATAGCACATTACTATTATTATCTACTGCTAAAATATTATGAATTTATAACCAATTTATAGTTATTTATAATACACATACACATAGGTCTAGCATTGTAATGCAAAAATTAAATAAATACAATATACAATGAAAAACTATATATCAGGTATTATTATTATTAAATTATTTGGAAAGTGCATGTTAATTGACATGATAAATATACAGGCTGACTCATACATCATTGTACATGAACACTGGACGTAAATTGGGAAAAATCTCACTCAAGGACACTATGACATTGTGTTTAATGCATTATAATTAATGCCAGACTATGGTATTCCCAGCAGTCTCCCATTCATGTACAAACCAGGCCCTGTTTAGCTTCTAAGATCTGACGAGATCGGCCAGTCTCATGGTGTTGTGACAGCTGCAATATATTTTAATAAGACATTTTGAATAAATATGCAGCATATTTGTAAGAAAGAAAGAAATACATACATTTTGTCATAACACAACATTATAAGAATATATTCCATTTTTATTCCAATAAAGAAATGTCTGTACAATAACAAGCACAGTCATTCACACTCAGCAACCCCTCACTGACTCATCCCATCCTGCATGTTTTTCATTTGAAGGAAGATGCTAATATCATGGGACACAGACTTCATGAGAAGAAGCAAAATATGAACCACAATATGATATGAAACCAAAAATGTTATGTTGAAAAATGATGTATGACATAATGCTAAAGGGCAAACTCTTCATCGACAGCTTATTCCTTAATCCCCCTTTCTTTTCATTGAGCTGCAGACAAGGCATTTAGATTAGAGGAACTGGCTCCCAACATGAGAGTGACTCATCCGTGATCATGTGTTGTCTCACAGAATGCTGAGCTTTTCTTTCCCTAACCAGATTTTGCTATTTTAATTGACATACACGTTAACTACCACCTTGGAGAAATACACTGTGAGTCAATTATAGTGGTAGCATTGATAGTGTATTAGGTTAATTAAAAACGCAATCAACAAACACACAATTTGTAGCATTTTGTTCGGGTCATGATACAGGATCCGTTACATATTCCATGATGGACACTGAAACTGTGCACTTCCCACTTTGCAGTGGTCAGTGTCCAGGCGAGCAGTGCACAGTGAGGCAGACAGGGGCAGACAGGGGCAGTCATGCATGTGGACTCTGGCTTTGTCATCTATGTGCTGATATTTGGTAAGTAATTCAAATTTCATTCATGATGATAGAAAATGTCACAAGATTTGGAGAAGCTTTACTTTTATGAAAATTGTAATATTTTAACATTTTGATAATCCTCACCTTGGGTCATGCTCATACAAGCACTGTATTTTACACTGGATTGTATTTGCAAATATATTGTTTCTTAATACACGCACAGGCCTTTTTTATTGTGCAATTTGTAATGACATTATTTATAAGAGTCTGCTTTCCATTTAAATCTGCAATAAATACTATTAAATCACTGTATAATAGACGTCTCACTTCCAGAGTCAGAAGTGCTTTGTCTTCCTCTTTTTAAAAATGACTTCATTGCGAAATGTCCTTTGTCTGAGGTACAGACAAAGCAAATTTACATAAAAGTTCACAAACATTCACAAACACTTTATTTACTTTTTCACTGTATTTGCTTGTGCCAAGTCCAGCCATGCATTTTAGTTTCCTTATCTCTCCTGGTTTGGGACAATTTTGAGTCCTTCTGTAGAATTGGTTTAGTCCCATTAAATCCTTGCATGTTCCAGGTTTAGTACATTTTTGTCTCAATGATGTAAATTTACGGCAATGTGGTAGTTTGATCCCATTTCAGGCCAGTGGATATTAAAAGTTTTATGCTTTGTCTCACACTAAAGAAGACATAATGTATTTGAGCCCGCTATATAATATAATTATAATCTGCACCCGTGGATCATTATATTGTAATGTAGTTTGCATATTTTAAATTGCAATGTTTATCTGAAACAACTTAATAAAAGAAACAAGTCCACTGGCTTCCGTATTAGAAAACTCTGTTCTACGATGGAAGCAGATGTCATGTTTTGTCATCATGACAAAGAATCAGCATGATGGATAGCTGCAGATCATGCTAACGAGAAGAGATTTTTCTTCATTTGTACAAACATGAATGAAAAAAATTGCTGATACACACAAATGTATGTATGCTGTGTGTATCACTGATTAACAATAAATAAAATAAATAAAAAATACATTTTGAGAACAAATTAAGTACAGATCAGGGGACTTATGTTGGTGGCGGTGAAAATGGGTCGATATGGCATCTTGTAAATATGCAATTAAAGATTGCTCAAACATGCATGAATCAAATACAACTTTGAGAATGTAAATAAGAAGCGGAAACAGCTATAACATGGTTAAAAGCTCTGAAAAGTCTGCTAATAGGTCTACTTTAATGAAAAATAAATGCTAATATTTTGTCCACTGCAGTAACTGAAGCATTATGGAGGGGCGTGCATGCAGTCTCCCCTGTCCCCTCAGTCCCACAGCGGGTCCCTGCCCTGGCCGGCTCTTGTGTGATCATCCCCTGCTCTTTTACCCCCTCTGCCCCTTCTCTGACCATGAGGAAGCAACGCATGGACGTCCGGATCCGCTTCAGAGGAGGAGGGCACCTTTTCCCCCTGCGCAGCACTGCCTTCAACAGTGAGGACAGGGACCAGGTGAGCAGGGACTTCCAGGGCCGCTCCTCCCTGGTGGGGCAGACCTCAGAGGGGGACTGCTCGGTGAGGATCAGCAGGGTGAACCAGGACGACTCGCGGGTGTTTGAAATCGCTCTAAAACGAGGAGGGGATCTGCTCTGGGGAAAGCCGAGCACTTTCAATCTGGACGTTACAGGTGAGTGATACAGACAGGTGGGTAGTAGGCCTATTCACTTATAAGATAAGCTTTTTTTTTGTGGCCATACCGACTTGTCAAAGCCCGATCCCATCAGATCTCAGAATATAAGCAGGGCCGGGCCTGGTCAGTACTTGGATGGGAGACCGCTGGGAAAATCTGGTGCCACAGTGGAGCGCCAGTTGCAAAAACTGTTGTTGTGTCTTAAGGCAAGGCACTTTACCCACATTGCCTAGTGGAGTGTGTGTGAGTGATGTTGGTGGTTGGATGGGCTGATGGCGCAGAATGGCAGCCACACTTCTATCAGTCTGCCCCAGGGCAGCTGTGGCTACAATGGTATCTTACCACCACTGGGTGTGAAGTGAATGAATAAAGCTCTGTAAAGTGTCTTTGAGTGTCTAGAAAAGCATTATATAAAAGTGAGGCATTATTATTTATTTATTTTTTTTCATGGCAGGTGCCAATACCAATTGTTTAGAATCCAGAGCAGCTGATTAGATTAGATTGTATTGCCATTGTACAGAATGAAATGAAACTTTGAAAGAGCAAAACTGCAGCAGTAAAAAATAATAAATATAAACACATTGTCACATCCATACCAATTAAAAACTCATTACGGTAATAAATGTCCCCAAATTATGTAATCTGATTTAAAACAAACTCCCCCACAGCCCCTTTTTTACCAGAAATCTCAGAGAGCAGTGTAGACATGTTTTGTGCAGCTGTCTCTTTGTAGTAGTTTTAAATAAAACTTTGTGTGTATTTGGAAGCAGCAAATTCACCTAATCAAAATATTGGCCTGTGCTGGTGATTTAAGGCCAATAGCCAAAATATGGGTCTATGTCTGCTTAGTTATATTTACTGAGTTACATTTACTTTTACTTTACTTTACTTTACTTTTTAGTGTAAGTCTAAAAGTTGTCATTAGTAAATGATTTGAACATTTATGTTTGCTGCACTGCTCCTTCAGATACGATTTAGCTTTTCTCATTTTTGTGTGTCTCCACTGGAAATAGCAGATTTTGTGCATTATTTAATGTTTTCTCCTTTTATTTGCATTAATACATCAATTCAAATTATAACTCAGATGTTGCATCCCTACAGTTACTCTTACTTGAGTAGCAGTTTTCCCAAATACTTTTTAAAACTTGAGTGCTAGTTTGTACTTCTACTTGAGTAATAGTTTGTTCTACTCACTTAAGTACAACTTTTGACTTTGTTACCCACCTCTGTTTACAGGGGTGTTTCAAAGTGAATTTAGATTTGATTTATGAAAGATTGATCTTCTGTTTGAGAGAAGAACTCAGCCATAATATGCAGGATTTGTGTGTGAATGAAACAAAACACATCCAGGTATTTGTAATGAGGAAACAACATTATAATATAGATCAGAAAATAGTGTAATAGGGGCCCTTTAAATAAATGTGTCTTGATTTTATGTTGAAAATTACACTCTATTGTAATGTTTTTAATCGTCATGGTGGTTTTGAAATGCGTATGTTGAAATAAGGTTTGAAATAGTACTACTCTGCGCTATACCGCTAAATCATTGTAGTGAACTATTAATACTGAAGATGACCCTTTTATCCAGCTGCATATGTCTGTTCAAAGAAACTGTCTATTTTTCCTTTCTCACATTAGCTTTGTGGCACTTCACAAGAAGTAAGTAATAAAAGCAAGAAGGTTATTCTGTATAGGTGAACTTGAAACTCAGATTTCTGTATTTTAAAAGAAATTTTTCTATTACCGAGATACTTTGAACTCAAGGGCGACTTTTATTACATTACATCATTCCTCATGGAGTGTTAAGAAAATTGTGTTCTTTTGCATTACGTCCTTGTTCAATGTGTGTATTGTTGTTTTTATTTTCACATAGGCCTGTCACAATAATAAATATATAGACTTATAGCTCAATACATGGAACTATTATGTTTGGGGTCAGTTTTTATCGTGGTTACTTTTTCTTTGTACTAGGGCAGAACTTTTGATTTGAAAGATTTGAGCTGTAGAGAAGTGGGTAAATAACTTTGCTTGATTAGTACTTGGATGGACTGTGGTTGTATCCTTCGGCAAGACACTTCACCCCCTTAGCCTAGCATAAATGTGTTGTGGTAGTCAGAGTGGCCGAAGGCACAGATTGACAGCATCGCTTCTGTCAGTCTGTTCCTGGGCAGCTGTGGCTATAATTAAAACTTACAGCTGATGTCATCAATATTTCCTGGGGGTGTGATGCTAACTGTAAGCACTGTTCTGTCTGAGGCTTTGTTACAACTTTAATCTGAGCATTTTTATTTATTTTAACACAATTTGAAGTGATAGAACTAGTGAACATACCGCCAATACACATGCATGTAGAACAGCCCAGCTTGATGTCATTGCAGCTTATCACCATCGAGTATGTGATTAATGTACAAAAACTTTGGAAAAGATTAATGCATTACTTTTATTAAAATTTGTTATCGTGACAGGCCTATTTTCACAGTGCCCTTTTTATATCTTGCCCTCCTTCATCTTTACAGATCAGCCTGCCTCCCCCATCATCAGTGGGATTTGGGCTTTCACAGAAGGACAGCTGGTGACTCTGAACTGCTCCGTGGAGTTCTCGTGCCCGTCCAAGCCTCCGTCTCTGATCTGGAGCTGGGACAGAGGGGCCCAGCTGAACAGCAGCGAACCCGGGGGACAGATCACTCACTTCCCCCAGCCACACTGCGCCCTGCTTGTGTCCACGCTGACTTTCACAGCCACGCACACGGTCCAGCCCCGAGTCCGCTGTGAGGCCAGATACCCGGGGGGAAAGAGCACATTAGCTCTCAAGGATCTGCATGTGACCTGTAGGTATTCTGTTAATGCAGCATGCACTTTAAGGTTCTATAGTACGCAAAATTGTGTTTTGTGAGCATTTAGCCAAGTTAGAATGTTCAAAATGCTCGTGAAGGTGTATAGAGTTTAATAACACAGTAGAGGACCTCCTGTATTGCTACATGACATCACAAGATGGAATTGAGTGTTTTCCGTTTGAGAGAAGAACTCAGCCTAAACACAGTATGCACGGTTTGCGAGTTAAACATGTTTATGATGAGGAAACAACATTATAACATAGATCAGAAAATAGTGTTAATAAAGTACATGACAGGTTAAAGTACTTTTTCACTAAAACATAGTCAACATAATTATATCTAAAATTGTAGTAAAAATGTACCCAGTTTGTCTAGCTTTTAAATTTTAATTTCCTGTCGATGAAATTCCAGTTCTGTTACATAGCAACCCGAATGTTAAAAAGAGCTAAATGCTTTTAGTTTGAATAGACCAGGGGGCTCTGAGATTCTAAGAAGAAGAATTTTGTATTGAAAAGACTGTCAGTAGATGGGAAAGAAGCCAGTCCTGTCTATTTCCTTATTAAAGTCAATTTAATCATACATTTCTTTGCAGAAGAACATTTTTATGTGCAAACAGTGATTAGGTTTGTTCCTAGACTGGCTAATATGCATTCACTTTGGCTCACTGAGAAAAAGACTGTGGCTACCTCTGGATTAGACAAAAAAAAAAAAAAAAACAGAACCCTTTATTTTTTTTAATCAGGTGTTAATCAGATGTTCCTTGATCATACATTGTCTCTGAAATTTTGTATCATGAGGAAAAGTGGAAAGTAAGGGAACTTAGGGAAGCATCAGAGGTTATAGGTACTGTAAGAAGCTCTACTTTATTCCATTAATTGATTGTAACTCCACAATAAGTTGCATACTTATTGTGTAGTTACAGTCATACACTATAAACAAAATTACATTGTTATATCAGACTTGGGGGGTGTATTTAGAAATAAAGATTCAGTGGAATATGTTGTTTGCAGGAACTTATGCAACAGATGACCGGTCCTTTACATGTTTTCCGTCCTAAGTACTTTATTAACTTTGCATGCAGACCTAGTGTTGGGTACTGTTTATAGGAACTAGTACAAAGCTGAAAAAAATGTATTATGCCTGATGGTTGCTGGTTGGTTGCTGTACTGGTAACCCCCCCCCCCCAAAATTTTTTAAAATACTCTACTCTGTGCAGGCCATATTCTAGAGCTGTTTGGTTTGCTTTCAGGACATGCAAATTTTTTCTGCTTTAGATAGTTGCAACATCCACATATTGGAAAAATAATTTATAATAATTTTACACTGCATCTTTTCAGTAGGTTTACTGTTTACTTCAGAGTCCTATCTCTCTCTCCTTTCTCACCCCAGTCTCCCCCAAAGACGTCCGGGTGCAGGTGCAGACGTTGTCAGTTCACGAGGGTGGCACTGCACTGGTGTCCTGCTCCTGTAAAGCTGACCCCCCTGCCTCAGAGTACCGCTGGTCCTACATCCAACATGGCCACCTGGTCCACCTGCTCCAGAGGACCCACACAGTCCGCCTGCACAACGTCACCCGGGACATGAGGGTCCACTGCTCTGCGCTCAACCTCATTGGAAGAGGAGAGTCTCTGCCTCTGCTGCTCAATGTACAATGTAAATATATTGTAATTTATTTCAGTCATTTTTTTTCATAGTCTAAAAGTAATAATGTTTTTGAAATATATTCTTTTTAAATACACATATATTGAAATTTTAAATTTCATGTTAAAACAATAGATTGTTTAGACTAGAGTATGGCCTCACCTGTAGTGTTTGGCTCCAGTCAAATGAAGCTCATTGGGCATTTATAGGGATGAAATTGGAGCTGAGTTTCTTATCTCAACGGCCACTATCATATCAAGCAAAGAGCCAATCCAAAGTGAGGCTTAGTAACGCTGTCAATCAAACCTGTTCCTAACGCTGACAGGAGTGACCTCGGAAAGAAGGGGCCTGATTTGTGTGATATTAATGCTCATATCTTAATTTATGGACAAAATAGCGAGATATGAACACCAGGATCATGTAGAGTGGGTTAATATGAACATTTTAAAACCAAAATGACAGCAGCAGTTACCGAGACGGGTGACACTTTAGTTTTTCAACGTAAATTGAATTGGAGCGAGAGTCAATGGAGCCGGAAGCTATGTCCATTTATATATATGGACTATGCTCAAAACATTAAACAGCAAAGACGTTCCATTCTATGCTGTTGTTGTCCTTGAGCAAAACACTTTACCTACCTACCCTGAAAAGATGTCATGTTAATTATGTTAATAAATGCATTTATTTGGAATAGTGATCACTCTAATACATACAGACATGACAAATCTAACTATTTGGGTTGTCAAAAGCAGAGGTGGAACCAAGTCATCGTCTTGCAAGTCTCAAGTGAGTCTCAAATCTTTGACCTCAAGTCCGAGTCAAGTCCCAAGTCAAATACAGCCAAGTCCAAGTCAAGTCTCGAGTCACTGGTATATAAATACAAGTCAAGTCCAAGTAGTCTGCTTCGAGCTTCAAGTTATTTCAAGTCTTTAAACCAAAGTACCAAATATAGCTTTGATTTTGACTTTTAAACTAAATTGTACTTATAGTAGAGTCATACAATATTTATATATGAATATTTATAGAGTTGTAGAAAGGCAATTTTTTCCTTTTTAAATGTCTTGACAAGATGTTAGTGACATTACAGTCAGAAAAAAACAAATTCAGATTTAAAAGTGCGTCTCAAGTCTTCTCAAGTCACAGTCCTCAAGTCCGAGTCAAGTCCCAAGTCACTGCCCTTCAAGTCCAAGTCGAGTCTCAAGTCTTAGTCCATTTTATCAAGTCAAGTCTCAAGCCCTTAAAATAGTGACTCAAATCTGACTCGAGTCCAAATCATGACTTGCAAGTCCTCACCTCTGGTCAAAAGAATTAAAAGTCAGATACTAATCGATACTAAAACAAGTATTGAAAATAGATACTAATTTGAGCCAATATTGATACTTTAAAAAGTCACATTTACAGGAAACAAATGAACCTTTCCTCAGTGTTTAGTGTTAGAATGACCTTGAGCTGTATCAGAACAAGTATAACACTATATAGACGAGCATACACCCATGGAGCACTGTGGAACCTACCTGGACCACTGAGGGATTCCACAGATATAAAACCACATGGTAATATAAAAGTACTACTATATAAAAGTACTATTATTTAATGCTGAAAATCACATCCTACTGTCTAGAGATTTTATTATTATTATTATTATTATCAACATTATGGTATCAGAATATGTGTACAGTCTATTCTCTAGTATCAAGTTGGAATTTTTAGTATCTTGACAACACTACTGACTGTTCCATTGTTTTATTTAATTTTATTGTTTTGAATTGCTTTAGACACAATAACCCCAATTATGTGTTGCTTACAGCGCTTCTTTCAATCAGTCGGCATTCTTAAAAGATAACATTTTATAGCACGCTTGTCTCTTGTTTTGTCACGTACTCCACTTTACTGTACAGTATGGAGAAGGAATTGCTGGAGGCTTTATCAAACCCTAGTACACAAAAACGTTCATTTTCTGTCCCATTTATCTGAGTTGAAATGACCAAAGTGAATAGAGAGACTTGAGAGCTACAATTGCACTTCATTGACTTTATATACTGTAGAAGAAGATATTAACTGCTCAGCTGCACAGACGGCACTTTGCGCAGCACAGCTATAAAAGTAGTTTTATTGACTGTGACTATAACCGTGAGGTCCAGAAGTTTTAACTATTGGAGAAAGGAGCTACTGCAGTTCAAATCCAAAGAGAACCATAGATGAACTTATAAATATAGAAGTAAATATGAAGTTTTGAAGTACTCAAGTTGGTAGTAACAGTAACAGTGCTTAAAGCAGTAGTAGCAGCAGCAGGGGCAAAAGTAGTAGTAGCAGTACGTACAGTAATAGTGGTAAGTAGTAGTAGTAGTAGTAGTAGTAGTAGTAGTAGATTCAGCTTAAGATCCACAAATGTTGAAACTCATCATTATCTGTTAGAGAGATTAACAAATTACACCATAGAATTCTGACCTGTCCTCTAGCTCACTTTTAAACTATTGATACATTGCAGCTGATGTCAGGATGCTAACTGTAGGCTCAGCTCTGTCTGAGGCTTTATTAGACTTGACTCTGTGATTTACACTCTCACCTTTTTGTTGAAAATCAAACTCCTAACCAGGACCATGTATGCTTCTGCTGATCACAGGTTCCTGAAAATCCATGTTGTATTTTTTCTTGAGTTTTTAAACAGTTTTAAAACTTTTTTGTATTTGCTAATGTGTGCATTGTGTCACCATGGTAACTCCTAAACATCCCACCATTAGTGATACGTGGAGAACACCCCCAGCATGATGTCGAAGTATCAACTGAAGTATTACATATTGTGAGTTAGTTCTATTAATTTCAACAGTCTCAAATGCTTGTCATATAGGCTAGGACTGTTAAAACTGATGGAGTTTCAGTCAAGTTAGATAAGATTAGGGCAGCTCTTCTTTTACCCTGCAGCCCAAGTAATTACATAATGTTGCTGACCACTGTTCTGTCTACAGATTAAACCCATCTCATCAGACAGTCTCACAAAGCTTGTAAATGTTTTTGTATATTTGAAAACAGCTGCCCTTTTTTCTGTTTCGCCCAAAGAATATTATCTTCCCCTAAAGAATGAGGTAGTTAACATTCTGTGATTCTCATTTGTATGCGTAATCATCCGCCATTGTGTTCCCGAGAGCGGTCCTTTCCATACACAAAAATTTGAACAAGTAAATAATGCGTATTATAAAGTTCAAGGACACAGGAGAGACCTGCTGTAATGTGGAGTTTGCAAGGCAGTGGTTTTGATTTGGATATTGTCTGCAAAATTTTATTTATTTAGTTTTTTTGTTTTTTTTTGTTTTAACCAGATCTGTATAAGTTATTCTGTGTTTACTTTGAGCTGTGAGATGAAATTTGAAGTTTTAAGGGAAAATTAATGCTTTCTCTTAGAATAGTTTGATTGTTATTCACAGCCAGACAGTTTAAACTTCCTTTTATTTCAAGTGGACAGAAATGCAGTAAATATAATGGTTATTAAAGGTCCTATATTACTGAGAATTGATCGTGCAAGCTTTTAGCCATGTTATAATCCTGTTACCTCCTCAAAAACATACCTACATTCACATGTTTGACTAATCCAGGATTATTAGGCTGTCTGCATGTTTATAGGTCAAAATGCTCAGTTCTATTTTTCAATATTTTGTTTTCTCTTTTATTCAGTTGAGAGTCTCCAATATCTACTTGTACAACGAGTGATGAAGTAGTTTAAACACCTTTGAAACTGTAACCTCAAAGATTGTCCAACAAAAAAAAGACTAGTGTTTATTTTAACAACACAGTAGAGCACTTACTGCATCACATGACATCACAAGGTGGAACACAGTTTACTGTGCAAAGAGACATCACAATTTTATGATTATTATGATTCATAATTACTAACACCATGACTAAACAGAAAAATGTATTCCCAGTCAATGTGACATAAACAGATAAAAAGCCCTTTATATTCAGATTACTATTGTGCAGTAACAGACTGAATTTTTTACTTGTGGTTGTTACCAGATTTATTTGTTTTGCTGATCAATAAACCAATAAATTGTAGTGATAATAACAATGATTGTGGTAAAAGCAGTAGTAGGAGTAGTAGGTGTATTGTAGTTATAGAAAAAAGTAAGCAGTAGTAGTATTATTGGTAGCAGTAGTACATGTTGTAGGTAGTTGTAGTTATAATTTATGCTAGCAGCTCAACTTTTTATTTTATGTATTTACAAAATAACTCTTCCATGAATACAAACTGATACAATCTTTTATTCATTCAATTTATAACTTCACAAGAAGATGTATTTTGCTTTGAACAAACTACTGAATACACAATAAAAGATTAAATTGTAAGAGAACTGGAGGCTTGTGACTGAAGCATTCACTTGGGGAATAAGTACATTTGTAACCTCCAGTTGATTTTGAAGGGTGAGTAGTAGTAGTAGTAGTAGTAGTAGTAGTAGTAGTAGTAGCAGTAGTAGTAGTAGTGGTGCGTGTTGTAGGTAGTTGTAGTAATAACTTATGCTAGCAGTTCTGAAGACATGACTTTTAATTTTACACATTTACAGCTTCATTTATTCATAAATACAAAACAATACAATCTTTTATTCATTCAGTTTATGACTTCACTTCAAGATCTATTTTGCTTTTTTTTTTAAAAACAACAACTACTGAATAGATAAAAATAAAGCCTCAAATTTTAACAGTTGCAGAAGGAATCAAAACTGTGACCGAAGCATTTGCCCAGGGAATATGTAAACGTGTAACCTCCTCTTGCTTTTAAAGGGGTAGTAGTAGTAGTAGTAGTAGTAGTAGTAGTAGTAGTAGTAGTAGTAGTAGTAGTAGTAGTAGTAGTAGTAGTAGTAGTAGTAGTAGTAGTAGTAGTAGTAGTAGTAGTAGTAGTAGTAGTAGTAGTAGTGCCTAGTAGTAGTAGTAGTAGTAGTAGTGCCTAGTAGTAGTAGTAGTGCCTAGTAGTAGTAGTAGTAGTAGTAGTAGTAGTAGTAGTAGTAGTAGTAGTAGTAGTAGTAGTAGTAGTAGTAGTAGTAGTAGTAGTAGTAGTAGTAGTAGTAGTAGTAGTAGTAGTAGTAGTAGTAGTAGTAGTAGTAGTAGTAGTGCCTAGTAGTAGTAGTAGTGCCTAGTAGTAGTAGTAGTAGTAGTAGTGCCTAGAAGTAGTAGTAATAGTAGTGCCTAGTAGTAGTAGTAGTAGTAGTAGTAGTAGTAGTGCCTAGTAGTAGTAGTGCCTAGTAGTAGTGCCTAGTAGTAGTAGTAGTAGTAGTAGTAGTAGTAGTAGTAGTAGTAGTAGTAGTAGTAGTAGTAATGCCTAGTAGTAGATGAGCCTAATAGTAGTAGTAGTAGTGCCTAGTAGTAGTAGTAGTAGTAGTAGTAGTAGTAGTAGTAGTAGTAGTAGTAGTAGTAGTAGCCTAGTAGTAGATGAGCCTAATAGTAGTAGTAGTAGTAGTACCTAGTAGTAGTAGTAGTAGTAGTAGTAGCAGTAGTAATGCCTAGTAGTAGACGAGCCTAATAGTAGTACATAGTGGTAGTGCTGTATTTATGGCTAAGTTATGTTTTAATGGTTTCTTCGACTCTTGTTTATATTATGTGATTTGTGTTTTAATATGTTTTAATTAATTTGTTCAGTTATTTTTGTGCCGTATTTTGCTTTGAATAAAGTTCTAAAAGCTGAAATTAAAACAGGACTGGGGCTTGCAGAATGAATCTAAACCATGACTGCATTCACCCAGAGAATATGTAAACCTGTAACCCCCACTTGCTTTTAAATTGCATCTGTGTCTTCCAGATAAGCCCGCCATCCTGGAGCAGTCTTCTTTTTGTGTTTGGGACGGCGTGGAGGTCAAATGTCACTGCACAGTCCAATCGAAGCCACCACCTTCCATCACCTGGAGCGTCAATGGGAGCGTGCCACCAGAGAATTACAACTTTTCATTCACAAGTCACTCCCACACTATAAAAGCCACTATGAGGGGACCCATGGACAGCAAGATAACAGTGGTCTGCTATGCCGTGAATGCGCTGGGAAATGACTCTGCACTGTTGCTGCAGGAAGGAGGTATGTTCAAGTACCATTAAAAAAGAAGGGAAAATAATGAAGGTTTGTTTTGTAAATGAGCATTAAACAAATATGTCTTGCATAGAGTTTTTATTTCTCAAAATTACCACAAAAATGTGCATTATTACTGTGAGCTGGGCCACTTCTTCACAGATCTGACCTGTAACTTGGGATGGTGATGTGGTTGCTTGTTTCCATGGAGATAAATTAAATGCCATACTGTACAGCATTCCAGGGAAAACAATAACATCTACATGGAGTAAAGCAGGTGGCAGACTCCTCTACCTGAAAATGTACTTTAATATGCACGGTTCCTATCAAATAAATAAATCAGTGAAACTAAATAATGTCAGTTTAGTCAAAGTTGTGATACGCAGTAGTTGAGTGGTTTGCTGTATTGAAATTATACAAGTTCATAGTTATTTTTTGAAGTTGCTCAGGATTTGCTGGTCAAACCTTGGATGAAATGAAAACATCTGGTGATATTTATTTTTCCTCAGAAAAGTAAATGGTATATGTCAATATAACACTGACAGAAAGTTACAGCAGTGCTTTCCCTCAGCCTCTAACTCACAAATCGACATAATGGAATCATGCACATCATATTAAACGTGCACTGCGTAACATTTCTAGTGGAGGGTCCACCACCCGATGTTCTTTCTTTGTCTAGAATGTTCTACAGTATTGATAGACCCTTATAGATACAGTATACAGTATAGATGAACCACAAGGGAGGTAAGGAGGTTACAGCACTATGGTACATTACAGTTCAGATCTGTGGAGACTCATCCCTATTCACAAACAGAATTATTGTATTTTTTAGCAATAGAAACAGCCATAATTAGTAAATGCTAAATGGATATGTTTCATGTCATACCATGGAACATTCAAGGCAAAGCAATAACATCTTCATGGAGAAGCAAGTGACAGACCCTCCATCGGAAAAGTTCTGCAGTGCACCTTTCATTGAAAAATCTACTCAAACATGCAGCAAATTAGTGTCAGGTTGTACCAAAGTTACTATCAGTTTTGTTTTCTTTATAATAAAGATATGGAAATCATTATGGCAAATAATAATAATCATTTACTTATACTTTTTTGTCTTTGCTCTGAATTTACCTATTGTATAATTTTACCTCACAAAAAGCTCATCTTAATTTCTTTACCAATCTTGTTTATTGTGTTGAGGCCCCACCTAATTAAGTTCTCAGCTTTAGTTTGCTTCATTGATTTTAATTATCAGCTCTCCTGAGGCCTGAGGATTTGGGATGAAATTAAGTGATATGCGAGGAATTTTGAGAAACCCTCTTGCTCTTTTTAACTTGCAAATAATGACATTTGAATGATCTATTGTGGTGACCTTTAAAAGGACCAGTACAGCCAAAGTGGATGTAACATTAATATTCAGTAGTGAAAGAAGAACTACATTTTATTTCTTTTTTGTTAGTTTTTGTGATCTACTAAAGCTTCAAATGTAAGGATTTGGATAAAGAATATTATTTAACGGAAACAATTTAATTAATATTTTTCAGCATATATTTTAGCATATTTTTGTTTGCTCAAACTACAGATGTGTGCAAAATAAACCCCTCAGGCTTTTCAGCAGGTCTCAAACAATAATAAAAAAAATACTTTAACGTTTCAGTCCTGTTCAAAAGTACAGATACATTCTCAAATTTTGTGAAGTTAAAGTAAAAACTATCCACTTAAAAATGCACTATGTAACTTCTTGGTTGAGGGTCCGTCACCTGTTTGTTTCTATGGATATATCATTGGTCTGCCTGGAATGTTCCACAGTATGACATTAAACTGCTTTGCCTTACATTTATTCAATTGCAGGTGGTTTTATAGCCCAAAAATACCTAGAAAAACAGGCATTCTGACTGAGCAGGATTTGCTCTCCACAGATCTGACCTGTAAATTGGTGTGGTTTGAGCTCCATGAGGAATAGAAATATTTAATACCATACTGTGAAACATTCCAGACAAAGCAATAACATCTCCATGGAGAAAAGGATTTGACAGACCCTCCACCAGAAAAGTTATACAATGCACCTTTAAGAACAGTACTTTACTACTTTTGCTTTGTTACATTCCACCATTATTAATATTATTTTTTTTCACATTTTCTCACAAACAGCAGACTTCCCTCTACTGTGGTTTATCCTCCCAGCTGTGGCAATCTTCCTCATGGTCCTCATCATTTCCATTGGCCTTTGTTTTTGTTGCTTCAGAAAAAGAACCAGAAAGTAGGTTAAATGATTCAGTTCCTCTATTTATTTTAACTCATCTAGCAAAGTTTGGTAATCTCTCTCTCTCTTATTTATTTTTTTTTTTCCAGACGTATGCTGCGCCACCATCTAGCTGCATATCCTGAAAACCTTGGCATTTATCAGGACAGGATGCCTCTCTATATTAACTGCACTGAAGTGACTCATATTTACACAAACGGCAGCTATCAAGTTGTGTACCAGAATTCCACACCTTGTTTTGTTCAAACTAAGCAGGTATAATATTATGGTGTTTTTTTGTATTATTGCTCGCATTCAGACATATGAATATATATTGACATTTTCAGGTTCGTCCAATGGGCAGACGAGGAGGGGAGAGACGCAGAGGAGCAGAGCGTGGAGTGAGAGAAAGACAATCCAATTTACAAACCAGACAGATAGTCCAGAATACTGCAGTGGCTGATGCTGATACTGCCATATACTTGGAGATACTCTGAACTGAACTATGGCTGAAGCTCATTTATAAATAGACTTTGGAACAGCTTAAAGGCTTGCCTGTCAGCATTTTTTCATGTTTATTTCATATCCCTTTTTCTGTATAATGCCAACATTGTTTTAATAAAATGATGAATGTAGGTTAATTAAAATCATATTACAAAAAACAGCAAATACTAATATTTCTAATAAATATAATTCTTGTTAAAAGGACTATTCATTTAAAGGAACCAAAACAGGCCTATTTTCCTCAACTTCAAATAATATTACTCAGTAGAAGCACACAGTGGAGGTTGCAGAATGACTTGGAGAAGCTATTTTTATTTTTTATTTTTTTTATAATAATGACACTATTTAATATATTTAAAAAAATAAAATACAGAATATTCTAGACAAAATATGTCAAATAACACAAAAAGCTACTCAAATAAACACAGTTAACCTTGATATAAAATGGTTTGCAACTTACCATGACAGATGTTCATTTCATTGTTTGCAGCAAAGATCTCAGGGAGGCTGCACGGTTATATTGGGGGTTCAAGTCTGAAAAGTTAATCCCTTCCCCTTCTTAACTGAAGTTGAAGAAAACTGTTTGGAGTTTGGACATAAAAGAGGGACTGGTGCAATATTGCATAAATTGTTTCCCCAATTAATAAACTGTAAATTAAAAAAAAAAATCTCATCATAAAGCGTGTTACTAAACACAAGAGCGCTGCACTGAGCTCATACACACAAATAATCATATGAATAGCAGCATAAAAACTGTTATTGAAAAGTTTATTGTGCATGTAACGGCTAGAGTAGACATTTAAAAAAATAATAATTTTAAACACGATAGATGCACGACCATTACAAAAAAAAAAAAATCTCCTCCAATCCTACAGGGAATGCTAACTATTCTGTGGGGCGCAGTTTTTAGACAACGAAGATGTCCTGCTCTTTGATTGGACAGAGACACTACGCCGCCGGAAGTGACGCAGCACGCAGACGTCAACCTTTTGGTGGGAAAATGAGTCCAGTGGTGTTTTATTTAGGTTTAAAATTACATTTATACAATTTCTGACGCGAATTTCAGTGCGAAACGAAGCGAGTGCATTATACCCCCATGTTACTTCTATAGGTTCATCTGTAGTAGCCATTTACGCGTAATAAAACCTTATGCTACAGTGTCCAAGCTAACACCGGCTAACACTGCCTATTCTGGCCATTGTTTGGTAGCATGTTAGCTTTTTAGCCACACGTTAGTTTGAATAATAAACGTGCATCTCGTTCATACTTTCTGTGTGCTATTTTTGTCCTTTTTCTTCGATAACAAGACGAGCATTTCTCATTTGATTCATCGGGAGTCACGTGTTGCATGTTAACAACAACAACATGCCTGAAATAAAATTGAAGCACGTTGTGTCCTGCAGTACAGAAGACACGGTAAGTTTCTTTTTAGTTTTGTGTTTAAACTGCAGTAAGATCGTGACGGAAAACAGCCTCTCGTTATTATGTAACTGTTTGTTGTGATGCAGACGCACAAGGCTGACAACCTGCTGAGTTCTGACACCTACAGAAAGTGGAAAGCAGCCAGACCAGGGGAAAAACAGACCTCCGTCATCATACAGGTAAAACAATATATTATTAAATATCCTAGACTGCACAAATCTTGAGAGCTTTAAGTCATGTTACTGAATCAATAACATACCTGGAGTTGTGTTTTGTTTCATTCACACATGTTTGCGCAACCTTTTATTTATTAGTCTTTCTACATCTGCTTTTAGATTTTGTTCTACAGAGATAGGCAAATCCACAGCAGAAATGATATTAATGATTCTAGTGAAGGTGTATGGAGTTTAAAAATACTTCCTGTATTGACCCTGACATCACGAGGTGAACAGAATGTTTTTCTGTTTGAGAGAATATCTCAGGCTAAATATACGGGGTTTGTGTGTTAAACATGTGTGAAAGTGCAAAAAAAACCAAAAAAAAAAACCCGCAGTATCATGTGACATCTTGCCTACCCATCAACATGCTCTTGCAAAGCAGATTTGCACTGTTGACCAAGTTATAACAAGTGTGAGCAAATAATATAATAATTAATTGGATTAATTCTCCTGTTTGAAAGACTAGCAGTCCCGTGCTCTGCTTCAATAAAAATTATAATCATCCAGCGTGTGCAAAAATTTTATTTCATTTGCTGGTTTCTGTGTGTTTGACTTTATTTTTGGACTTAAATGATGCAATTAACTTCATTTTATTTTTATTTTTTTACCACAGTTTGAAAAAGAGGAGCAGGTGCACAGCATTGACATTGGAAATGAAGGGTCGGCGTTCATTGAAGTTTTGGTGGGGAACTCTTCAGCTTCAAGAGACCAGGACTATGAGGTATTCACATAAAACATTCTATATGGTACATACATTTGTTGTTCTTTAAAGGCCCTCTGTTACACAAAATTGAATCTTATGAGCTTTAAGCCATGTTAGAATGTTGTTACCTCAAAAACATTTCTGGGGTTGTGTTTTGTTTCGCTCACATATATTAGAGTAACGCTGCATTATAAGGCTGTCTACATCTCCCAAGATGAAAATGCTCTGTTCCACCATGTATTGGTAGTTTTCAAGTTAGTTGTTACCTTTTACCTTTTGTTCACTAAAGAGTGGCAATTCCAGGGCTGAAATGATCCAAATGATTCTAGTGAAGGTGTGTGGAGTTTAAAACACACTGGAATTTCCTGTATTGACTGTTTGAGAGAAGAACACAGCCTAAATACACAGGGTTTGTGTGTTAAACATGAATGAAACAAAACACAACTATTGGTATGTTTGAGATGAGGAAACAACATTATAACATAGATCAAAAAACTGTGTAATGTCTAGCCTTTAATTGTATATTTGTTTTGTGTTTTTCCTTCTTAGGTCCTCTTGGTGACCTCTTCTTTTATGTCTCCGACTGAGAGCCGGAATGGCACTAACTTGAACAGAGTGCGCTTCTTCGGGCCTGCTCAGCTGCAGAAGAGCACAGCGCAGGAGAAGTGGGACAGAGTTAAGATTGTCTGTACCCAGCCGTATTCCAAGGTCAGTCTAGAGATGCTGAGCTACTTTGCTAATGCCACTGCCTTGTTAAAACATACTTTCTTTAAAAAAGGCCTATAATTATGGCTGCACGATTTGTAAAAATATATTTTTTCCACAAGCATTGTGATTATGTTTGTGTTTTAATAAAGGGATTCTGTTCAAAGTTCAGATTTTATACGTGTTCAAAAGAACTGACAGAGGTGGGAAGTACTTTTACATTTACTTGAGTATCTTTTTAAAGAAACTGTACTTTTCTAGCAACAGTACTCTTACTTGAGTAAAATTTTGTGATTACGCTTCCCACTGTGAATAAGTCTACAAGTGACGAAAGCTTTATGGATGGATACTAAATGATTTGAACATTTGTTTCTTGCATCGTTCCTTCAGATATGATTTAGTTTGTCTCATTTTTGTGTCTATCTTCTGAAAATTCCAGATTTTGTGCATTATTTAATAATGCACAAATATTTTGTCCTCCCAGTGACTGTTCTAGAGTAATATTTTGATGTAACATTACTCTTACTTGATTACAAGTTTGGGTTAGAGCAGGGTCTCCAACGGTTTTCCTCTGGTGAGCTACCCTTACAAAATGAAAATGCTGGAGAGCTACGCATTTAGAAATATTTAAAGAAATTTAGAGAAACTGAGTAAATATAAGAGCCTTAGATGGGGTACAGTTGCCTATAAAACATATACACATTTATTATATTTATTAGAGTACAAAGATAGCCATCAGAATGATACAATTACAGTATTAACATGCATTTAATCAAATCAAATTTTTGTTATTCAGTGGAATACACATGATTCAGAAATCTCTTGGCGAGCTACTTGGAGGGGGATGGAGAGCTATTTGTAGCTCCCAGGTTACAGGTTGAAGACCCCTGGGCTAGAGTGATCTAAACTACAGGGTTATCATTTTTTATGCAAAATAAGATCAGATATTTTGTTTGTGGTTTTGTTTATGGTTCTTCAAAAATTGCAACCTTTGCGATTTGCTAATTGCATCCATTTAAATTGTGATTTCAATTAAATTTCAATGAATCTTGCAGCCCTGCATTTTAATATTAGAGAGAGTTTGTTTTGTGGAAAGCCACGACTGCTGGATTTTTTTTAGGTTTGTACAGTTGATTTTGCTGCCCTTGTATAATTTTGTGGAAAGAAGCTAGCTTAATTGAACTGAAACAAAGCAAAATGTATACATAATTAAGTTTTATTAGTCAAGGTAAATTCTTACCTTGCCAGTTTGTAAGTTAAATATAAATGATGAGTTTCAGAGATGGATATTTTGAAAACCAATCTGCATAACAGGAACAGGAACAGTAATAGCTTGATAAGAAAAAGGAAAGAATGAGGCCCAGTCCAATTTCAGTGGATTTATCCGCAGTTATTTGTCCACATCAATATTTGAACACAAAAGACAAGAAATAATTTATTCAGTGAACAAGCATAGATTTTTTAGCTCTCATTGTGTTATTTGTGGAAACATAAAATAGGTCTTTTTATAGTTTTTTCAGGATTTATTTTTGCTTCTGGGTTTTGGTGTTTTGTGCTGTATTTTAGTGAAAGTTTATAAGGAAAATAAGCTAAGTTATCTCAGATCTACTCTATAAGACCGCTTGAAAACCTGACTGTATTTCCACAGTTATTTTATTTGTGTATTCACATTTTATTCCTTTTTACTGTGAAATTTTGGAAAACTCCTTGTTAGTACTTTTTAAAAGACCTAATTTTTATTTTTTTTATTAAAGTTGAGGAAAGTGTATATTTCTCTGCTTTTTGCTGCTATTTGTTATGGATGTATATATAAGGGGTTTGCCATTTACAGTATTGCATCATTATGGAAAAGTACTCCATAGTGTAAATGTACTCCATAGTGTAAATGTAGTCCAAAACAAATCAGGCGAGTAAAAATTACAGATACAGTAAGAAAACTTGCCAAAAAGTTGCCACATTTCATTTTTAGTTTCAAATGCTGTGTATATCTCTGTCTTGAACAGAACATAGCGTACGGTCTGGCCTTTGTCAAGTTCCACTCGCCTCCAGATAAGAATGACCCTCCAGCGACTACCCCTCCAGTAAGTAAAGCCAACCTTCTCCTTTAATTGTAATTTTTCACAGACCCATGAACCAGAAGTCAGTAATTTTCTGTGTGGAGTTTAAAGACAATCAATTTCCTCAACCAACCATTTTACTGAGATGCACCGGGCTATAAGTCATTTTGAAAAAAACATTGATTAAACCTGGCATTCTCCATAGCTCTATTTTGCTCTTTTGTGGATTGTACATTTATTTGATTCAAATGTAGTTCATTTTTCTGTGCGGTAAATTGTTTTCCATGAACATAAATCCTGAGCTATGCTTCATTTCCTTTTATTGAATGATCTGTCACACTCAAGCCTTGTTTAATGAAACAGCACTTCTGTCTGTTCGCACAGCACATTTGCCCATAACTCCACTCTATCTTGTGTCTGCTCTCAACAGAAACTGACGAAGCTGGGACAGTTCAGACTGAAAGATGAGTCTCCCTCAGCTGGGCCCAGCCTGCAGCCGGGCAGCCTCTTCAGTGCCGCCAAGTCCAGCGGTGAACTTAAAGGTATGTCTACAAGTCTTACTGTTTGGACATTAGTAAGTGTAGAAAACATAGTTTTGAGAGATAATATAATCTATAATGAAATATGTCTATTATTGTTTAAAGTTTAAATCTGGCATGGGATCCCTGTCCTGCCATTGTATTCTCAGATAACACTAGAAGCTTCCTACATTGACACATTGCCTGACAGCAGTAATAGAGTGGCAATGAAGCGCACACATTATTGTAACAGCTCCTGTCCATAACTGTGGGCTTGGGATTGATTGTGCTGGACATTATATACTAACTTTGATTCTTTTTTTTCTCCTGTCTCTTCAGCGTCTCCTCAGAAAGAGAAGTTGAGTTATGCAGCAGCTGCTCTGAAGACCAGTGGTAGTGCCCACTCAACGAGCCAGGCCTCTTCCTCCAGCTCTGCCTCTCCACAGGTACTAATCACTCAGCCTCTCATGTGGATGAAACCAGAATGCAATCAACGTCACTCCAACAGGTGCACGGGGCAGGAAAAAACTACACTTCTAATAGCTTTGAACATACCTATAATTGTCCAATCAAAAGGTAAGGTACTTTTTTTGCACAAAAAAGTACAACTGAATGAACATACATTTGACAAAGAACTACTTTTGTAAAAGGAAGGTCAGAAAGTCAGAAGTGCAGTGCTTATAGTAATGGTCTTTAAATGCACCATTCACAAATCTATATGTTCCCATTTGTTAAGTAATGGCAGGACACTCAGCACCTCTTTGTAATATGTCTGCTGTGACGTCTGACAGAAAATTACCTTTAATTGTGAGAACCTTTTAACCTTTTGTCACTGTCAACTTGAAGATAAAAGCCAGACTACCAGGGCAAGGACACATGTTCTTTGTGCCCCCTCCATGTAATAAAAGATCCTTTATTAGGCAAAGTCTTGACTCTTGTGAGCATTAAGTCATATTATAATGTTGTTACCTCCTCAAAAACATACCCGGAGTTGTATTGTGTCATTCAGTGTTTGAGTAACCCTAACGTAATATGCAGGGTTTTTGTGTTCAACATCAGTGAATTACATAAACAACTCCATGAGGAAACGACATTATAACATAGATCATAAAATAGTATAGTATGGGGTGTTAAAAAAAAATTGTTTTAATCAGGATGGATAGGATCTTTTTTTTTTTTTTTTTTTTTTTTTTTTTAACTGGACTAACATTTGGCTTAAACTGTGAATTATTGCTATCCAAATTAGAATAACAGTATGTGAGTGAACTGGCATTGACAAGTCCTTTCACCAAAATTTAATGTTTTCAATGTTTTTACTTTTTTTATATTTTTAGGCTCCTGTGAAAAGAAAATATGAGTTCAGCCAAGAGCGTCAGTCAGCGCCAGGCCCTCCACCTGCGAAGAAAGCGAGTCCTATGGGTTCACCTGAAAACAAAGCTGCTACACCCAAACACAAGGCCAGTCCCATCAGCACTCCCTCTGCAAAAGGTATGCTCTGCCCCCACTTAGGCAAATTTATTGGTACACAAGGGAAATTATATATCACTCAATCAAACATATTTATAGAGCCCTTTACAACACTCAAGGTGATCAAAGTGTATCACATTAGAATCAACACAATATAAAAACATGCCAGCATTAAACAATTAATGAAATAGTATGTAGTCACAATAGCTCACACATCACAGTATATTATAACTAACAGCAAAAATATAAATGGTAATAATAAATTCAAAATATGTAGCAAAAGTAGAAAGAGACTGGTGTCAAATAAGGCATAATTATGTAAATGTATACATATAACTAAAAATAAAATATAGAAATATAGTAATACATTACAGAGATTACATCTGTCTAAAACAAGATATAAACTAGATTCCAAAGATTAAGCAGCATGTGGAATGTAACAAATGAAGTAAAAGTAAAGAAGAAAAGTAGTGTGCTGTAGTATAAATTTTAGGTGTCTGTACAAGTACATTTTAAAGTGCTTTTACTTCACTACATTTGAGAGTAGGTATCTGTACTTTCTACTCCGATACCTTTTTTGCAAAGTAAAAGTATTTTTTATTATTGTTTGAAACTTGCTGGAAAGACTGAGGGATTTATTTTTAACACATTTATAATTTGAGCAAAGAAAAATATAAAAATAATAATAAAATAATATAAATAATAATAATAATATAAAACAATAAAAACATCTAGGAATTTTTTAAAAGTTCTATCTCTAGCTATGTACAAGGTCATAAAGAGGAACATCTTTTTTCTTTCTTATTCATCAATAACAAACCTTGCCTTGACTCCTGTCTCCCTCCCCAGCTTCACCAGCACCAAAAACATCTGAAAAGAAGAGGGAGAGCCTATCTAAACCAGACGCCAAGCCCAAACCGCAGAAAGCCAAAAGCCAGAGCAGCCAGCAGGTCCCATTCAACCGTCTTTTGGAGGGGGTGGTGTTTGTACTGAGCGGCTTTCAGAATCCTTTCAGAGGAGAGCTGAGGGAGAAGGCCCTGGAGATGGGAGCCAAGTACAGACCAGACTGGACCTCAGACTCCACTCACCTCATGTAAGTCACTGAGCAAGAAGATTTGTAGTGTGACTGCGCTTGCAGACAGTGGTTAGGTTAAGTTATTTGTAGTCGAAAACACATTGGAAAAACGTGTGCAAAAAGCTCCAAGTGCACTACAAGACATTATAAACAACCACATAAACAAATAATAAACTCTCATTAGACAACATGACACTGTGAAAGAAACAAGATTACAAAGATTAAGGAGCTTGTGGAACATAGCAATGTAAAAGTAGTAAAGTACTGTAGTTAAGTAAAAAAAAAAATAGGTAGCTGTTAAGTAATTACCTACAATAATACTGTCATAGTCTGAGTTTTGATAAAAAAAAAAAAAAAAAAAAAAGGAATTCAAGTGTTTCTATTGAACAAAATTCAGAACAAATCTTTATCAAAATCTGTACATTAAAAGTTTTATTAGATCACAAAATATGTGTAATTTTTTTTCTCTTAAGTAGATTTTTTTCATGTAATACTAAAGTACCAAAATTGAGTACTTCTTCCACCACTGCTTGCAGATAATCTTAATTTGTAGTCCATTAGTGGTTCTATAAAATGTCAAGCATAAAACACATTTAGCATTATTTTTTAGCTGACTGGCTCTAAAATTTAATGCATATTTAAGTGCATATGACAGGTTTAACTATGCATTTACTAAAACATAAGAAATGTTCCTGGGGGCGGTTCCGGCTCTTTCGACTTAGTGTCCAAAAATTGTCGCCTCTCTCTCTGTTGCTGTGAGCCTTGTCAGTTTGGTCGTATAATTTTCATATTAACCCGCTCTATGATCCCGATGTTTTTATTTAACAATTTTGTCCGTAAATAAATTCCTAGTCCTAAAATAAAACTCGGCTCCAAATTTGCCCCAGTAACTACCAGCCTCATGAGCTTCATTTGACTGGAGCCGAACGGTGTGGATGATGTCTCCTTTAGTCCACTTCTTGATGTTAAAACTAAAGACTAAAGTGCTACAGTAAGTTCTTTCTTTGTCGACTTTTTCTTTGTTTCTTTCTTTCAAAAAATTTAATTAGATAGGAAATGGAAAAATAAAAGGATGTAACAATTTAATTAGAATGGCATAGTTCCATCTAAATGTTATTCCTTTGTGTAAAGAGGAATAGCAACAGAAGAGATTGAAGCAATTGAATCAAGTGACTCTGAGATAATGTATTCTGTTGTTGGAAAAGTGTTTACATTGTCATATTCTCAATATGCACCATATTACACGGTTTAGATTATCCATTTTACTGAAAGGCTTTGAAGCTCTTATTTTATCTTGTCACATTTCACAGCCAAAACATCTGCTTTAATCTGATTTTCTGTCCTTGGCACCATATAAATACTTTGAACATTTTGAACCAAACTATTGTGAGTTTAGACCATTTGAAGAAATGCCACCAATGAGCTAGCGATAGAATGAGAGCGATTAAATAAAAGGGATGAATAGTTTATGCCAGGCATGTCCAAAGTGAGACCCACGGGCCAAACTTGGCCGTCTTGAGAGTCTAATTTGGCCCTCGACTCTACTGGGATTTTAAGAAGAATCTATTTTCATAAAATTTTATATTGAAAAGGCTGCTAGGGGTGGGTACTGTCTAGTTCCTTATATTTAAAGACCATTTAATCATAGACTTTTTTCAAATGAACATTTTTTATGTTCAAACTGTTATTATGTTTGGCCCACAATCCACTAATGCGTATACATTTTGGCAGAGGAAAAAAAAGTAGGCAATTAATAAAAGTTAAAACACAACTTTGACATAGACTCCTTCTACTATTTAGTGCAATTTATATTCCCCACTCTATATTGCTCCAAAAATATTATATATAAGAGCATATGAAAGGTTAGACTACTAATTTCACACAAAAAAAATGGTTTACTATAAACCTTGACTATTTTTTGTATTATAATTCTGGTGAATTTTCAGTGTTGGTGACATAGAGATATTCCATTTTAAAAGTCATGGCTACTTACTTTTGTTTCTCAACTTTTTCACACAAAAATGCCACTTGAATGATAAAACTATGATAATATTTACTATGATTACTAGCTCACCAAACCAAGTAATAATAAGATAATAAAGAGATAAAATCCTGTCATATGCACTTTAAACTCCCAGTGGTCTTATCCGGCTCTGCTCTATTGAGGAACCCTGTTCAGTAATTCGCTCTCATCCCCTCTCCATCAGCGCCGTCACTGTCGTCATTAACCTTGTCCACTTCCCCTTTTCACTGATGTAAATCTTGTGTGTCTGGCCTGTTCCTCTCCAGCTGCGCCTTCGCCAACACGCCCAAGTACAGCCAGGTGAAAGCAGCAGGGGGCATCATCGTGCGCAAAGAGTGGGTTATGGACTGTCACAAGAGGAGGCAAAACATCTCCTTTAAGAGGTGAGACACTGTGGGACCATTAGCGTAATCGCAAAACATATTTATCAAATACTGTACCGCATCTTATTCTCATATCGTGGTGTCCTAATGAGCAGATAAACTAATTCAAGAATCCCATGCATTTTAGAACTTGTGTATAATTACATTTGAAGGACAGTCATGGTTGTTACACAATTCACTGCACAAGTGTTAAAGATAACCAGTAAAAAAAAAAGATAAAATATTTGCCTTATTTAAAATTCCTCTCACCAAACAGAAGGCTGGAAGAACAAATGGAGCTTTGACACAAACCACTGTGTGTTCAGACTGCTTTGAAAAATGCTGCTGATGAGCCTGTGATAAAATGCAAAAACAATGAATAGTTTAGGAAATAAATACAAGTTAAAGCACAAGTAAAGCACAAGTTTGACGTCTTCTTTTTCTCCTAATTCAATGCCATTTTCATTCTAGACACTTAATTAATAACATCTTAATAACATAAACAAATAACTAGTTCAGTTTAAATGGTTTGCAGTGGTCCAAAATTTGTCTCATGCATACATTTTTCATTTAAAACAAAAAAAAAATCTTTATTTAGTTTTGTTTCTTTAAAAAAAAAAACACACACACACACACACAAAAACACAGACTGACAAATAGAAGGATAAACAAGCAACTGACAATAATCCCAAGTATAATAGTCAACAGTCAAGGTCAAATATGTACCCATGATGAGTTTCTAATCACTTTCAAAAACTTTTAGAGAGCGTTACTCTCAACAACTACTGGCATGCTAACAGTGCACTTCTTGATTATTGGACAATAGAATACTTTATAATTAGATGCAGACAATACACAGCTGACATATTTTGACCTCAAGAGCTGTTTATACAATATATCTGTGCTGGGACAAGACAGGCCCTTTAAATGCCAGGTGATCTGATACAGACGCGCTCTGTTGAGTAACCGTGTTTACACTCTCACCAAACAGAAGGTTGGAAGACCAAATGTGTCACTAACCTCATTCTCTTAAGTGTTATTTGTAATTGTCAACAAGACGAAAACACGAATATTAGACTAAAGGTTGAGGGATAAAGGACACATCCAAGTTTCCTTTAATTATAGTAGTATGTACAATGATTGTAATATGCTAGAAAGTGCGTGTTTTCTGAAAATATAGCATTTTCAAAACAGTAAAAGATAACTGGATGATCGAAATATGTTATGTGTTAGCAACTAATACCCCATAGAAGTGTAATACCCCGTCTTTAAAACATTCACCATGTTGAAAATCCTCCAGTTCTTTGCTAGTGTTAAGGGTAACTCATATAAAACCAGACATCCCCAAATAGCTGTTCTTCCATTTTATTATTATTTCCCTTAAGCCACGTCCTGCTTACTACATGAATGCCTCTTATGTTGATTGAAGCGTCCAAAAATACACAGTGTCGCTGTAGCAATGCGCGCTCATACCGAGATCATTGTAACCTTGAACAGCTGATGCCTGTGCGCTCCGGAAGCTCCATAATTATTCGCCTCGTTATAAAGAGGGTCGCAGCAACACTCAAGCTTCCCTGTCATTACATGTGCATTATTTAGCATGGAGTCATAAGTGAGTATTCATCCAGAGAGAAGACTGCTGCTGGCTAATTGGACCTGTGCTTGTGTGACTGAGGAGCTTTGCATCATGGGGCCCATGTCTTCAAACTCACCGCTTTCCCAATAATCGCGTCTGCTTTGAAATCGTCCTTCCCACACTGGCTGCTCAGTCATTCAAGGCTTGAGTACAGTCTCTGGTGATGTAAACTGTAAGATAAATGCAATCCCTTACACAGAAGAGTCTGGCAAACAGGGCTCTTCAGTAATTGACCAAAAGTTTTAAGGTTTGAAAATTAGTTAGTATTAGTTTCAGAATTTTAATTAAAAGTACACATTGAAGAGGAAGAATAACACTTCTTTGTGTTATGTTATATTGAAAATGCTATATTCACAGAAAACAAAGTAAATGTTAAATTTTTTTGCCCCTGTGAGTCCTCCCTCCCTTTGCTCCCCACACTAAGTCACTCCCGCTTCAGAGCACTATCATATTACAGTTGTCATGCATCCCGCTTATAAAACTATTGCACATAACATCAGGTTTATGAAGTTGTAGTATTTCCTGCTTTTGTACACTTAAGGAAAATTAAAGTGATGTAGGCTAGTGGGCTGAGCTTTGAACAGAATCATACTGCTAACAAAAAGTAAGGGTCGTACAGGGACCTGGACAGATCGCATGCATGGATGACTACTAAAATCTTTTCCGGCATGTTTTGATGAAGGAACAAAGTATTAACATGGTAGAAAGCTCCAAATAGCAAAAGCATAATGGCATTTTCAAGAGGAAGCCCAAGAAAGTGTGTGCATCTTTGATTTTCATTCTGAAATTTTGTGCATGTTTAAGAAGTGTATTTGAACCACATTGTTGCCATGTGGCAATGAAATAGAGCATTTGTACAAGTCTGTGTAATTTTGTGTATTCAGACTTTTTCATGTTTGCAGAATCACCCTCTTCCCAAATCAATTTGCTCTGCTGTTTCCAAAACCAGAGTGAAATCTGGTCTGCGAGTAAATCTGTCATTGTGTTGTCAGGATTGCTTCTCCTTTCAGAAAGCATTATAAAACTTGTTAAATCATTCACAGCGGTCTAAGGCTACAACACATCAAGCTCCAAGAATAGCGTTGTCACATAAATTCACACTGGAAGGACAAGTTTACACAGGCCTGCTCTGAAGAGGACTGACCGCTTTCTAGTTTAGGTGAAAGCTCTGAGTCAGGGCCACAGCGCGTCTTTATGTCTCCTCATGTGTCCTCATGTGTCACAAGTTTTGATTTAAATTTGTAAAATTTTACTCAAATTCCAGTGTGTCCTTCCCTCTGCCTCTTTGTGTGCTGTACAATCCGGAGCCCCTCCTTCTCTTATCCTCCTCACCTTTTCTCATCTTTCTCTCCTTTGGTACTTATTGTTTTAATCCAAGTTACAGAACTATTTTCTCACTGTTTCTGAGTAAAACTTAAGACCTAATTTAGTGCACAGACATTGCAAGTGTTTCTGCCTCTAGCACTTGCTCACGCTTTTAGGCTTAAAGGTGCACTATGTAACTTCTAGGGCGGATGGTCTGCTACTTGATTGTCTCCATAGAGATGTTATTTCTTTGTCTGTAATGTTCCACAGTAGTTTATTAAACATATTTCCCTTGCAATGTTCAATTACAAGTGTTTTATAGTTGAAAAATACTTTACAAAACATGAATTTTTAATATGTGCGGGATTGCTTCTTTATAAATCAGACCTTTAACCTGTCTCCGTTTATTTCCATACTGTCTCCATAGCGGTCAAGGCAAACAGTAATATCTCCATGGAGACAAGCAGGTGGCAGGCCCTCCAGCAGGAAAGTTACATAATGCATCTTTAATACATTGTACAAACTACTAGGGATCTAACAATAACCAAAATATCGTGATATCGTATCGTCAAAAGTCTCACAATAATATCGTGGACTGTCACAATATATCGAATCACAAGTTCCTTTGCTTAAATGCATGGTTTTATAGTAGAAACAGATTATGAACATTGGAAACTATCGTGATAATATCGACTCATGAGATTTGGATATCATTATATCCCTACAAGCTACTAAAAATTTTGATATATTTTTTTCCTTCCGTGTATACAGCTCTACTTCAGTATGTTTTATTTGTACAGCAGAGAGCAAATAACAAGTAATTCAGTTCACAGTCTAGGTCTAAAAATCAAATCATCTAAATTACTAGATGCCCCTGATCGCCTCGAAGCCCCCCATTCACACCTACTGGCGGTTTTAGGTTGTAGAATGTGAATGCGAATCATACTCTCTTATTAGGGGCAAGGGACAGTTTTTCCTATTGATTATAATTGTACTTTCCCATGAACTATTCAAAAGACAAAAGCACAAATGTTGAGTCTAATCATTTCTATTCCTGACTAGACTCAAGATTTCACTATATTGCAACAAAAATCCGCGTTTTATCAATATTGATTACCTGCCTCCCATCTGTATTCAAGTGGTCTGACAGGTTTTGGGACAAAGACTTTGAGTGAGTTTTTTTTTTTATTATTACTTTGTGCATGTAAACGTAGTAAGATACTGGAACCAGTGATCTCTCATTCTTATGTCTCCTCTCCACTGTCCTCCCCCGAAACCAATTCCCCTGGCTAGAGGAGCTATTGTGCTGTGCCTGGAGTGTGGGGCTTTGATGATGTGTGCTGTATTTAAAAACTGCATCTGCTATGAGTAATTAAAAGGAGCTCTTGCTTTGATCGTTACAAGTGGTCAACAGAATAGGCACACACAAGCACTCAAACTGTCACTCAATTAGTGCGAAAAAAAAAAAAAAAAAAAATTAACACTGGCAGAGAATGTCCAGGCTGTGTGGTGGTGGTCACTGGCAAGACCTTTGCTGAGACAGAAACAAACTTAATTGATCCACAAGGGAAATTATTTGGACACAGAAACTCATACATCACAATATATTATAATAACAAATAGCAACAATATACATGGCAATAATACATTCAAAGAAGCAAAAATGGCAAAACAGGTGTCAGATAAGGCATACCGGTAATTATATACATGTATGTTCAAGTAAAATAAAAGTATAGAAATATAGTAATACAAAATATGTCTCTGCTATATATATATATGAAGTCATAAGGAGAAACGGTGCAAAGATGAAATGATGATTGACATGATATAGGGTAATGTGTTCCGTAAGGGTGAGTTGTTGTACAGTTGTATAGAGTATGGTATAAATGTAGTCCTGTATCTCTCTCTGTTTGAGTGGAGCTGTAGGACCCTGTTGCAGAATGAGCTCCTCTGTCCTTCTATAGTCTGGTGCAGTGGGTGAGCAGGAGTGTCCATGATGGAGAGCAGTTTGTTTAGTGTCCTTCTGTCCCTCACTGTGACAAATGTCTCCAGATCACAACTGCTCACGTGACCAGCTTTATGAATCAGTCTATCAATCTGTCCAGTGTCCCTTTTGCTGACGCTGATCCCCCAACAGACCACAGCGAAGTACAGGGCGCTGGCCAAAACAGGTCATTACAGTTAATGCATGTTTACCGTAAACATGAGGGCGAATTGGAAGCACTAGGGCTGAACGATCTGGGGAAAAATATTGTATTTCATTTTTGTCTGACAAACATTGCGATGGCGATTAGATGTATGTTTTAATAATAGGATTCTGTTCAAATTTTAACCACTTCCAGAATAACTGACAAAAACTAATAAAAAAATATGAATTGACAACCTAATACAAGATTCACACTTCAGAACATGTTTACAGTATTAAACTCCTGGATGAGCAGAACAAGATGCATATTTGATTGTTTGTGGAGGAAAGTATTGACTGTGTAAAAATTGCAGCCTGTACGATTTGCTAATTGCTGTTTCGATTTGATGGTGATGAAGCTTACAGGCATAGTGATCTGAAGAAAATGACTTGATCTTTCAGCCGATCCAGGGGCAGTAAAAGTGTGTGGTTGGGAGAGGAGTCCAGAATGTGAAGGAATACATTTTATTTTTTGTTTATTCTTTGTTTGTTAATTCAACAAATGTCAATTTTATTTAGATTTTAATTTATTTTATTTTTTTTGCATTGGTGAATTAATCTATTTTCTATATTTCTCATTGATTTAAAGAAACTGTATCTAAGATTTTAATTAAATATCATAAACTTTGCAGTCCTTTTTATATAAGGGATGAACCAATACTAATCCTGTTATCAAATATTGGCGCTGATGTTGAAAAATTTGCTGGATCGGGTATTGGTTCCATGATATCGCTTAAGCCGATATCCTGGTTGGGCTTTTAATTCAATGTAAGAAGATTATTTACAGGCTGATTTTGTCCAGAATGTCTCATAATGTTTAAACTTTTATTTATGCATAGCTTTTCAGACGTGATGTGAAGGAGAAACAAACAACAAAATTGGATTTCTTGTGTATAAGTTAACTGTGTTTTGGGGAAATAAGTACTGTTTTCCATCCCTCCACTGGTATCCGTTAATGTGACATATCGGTAGATACTTGCAGTCATAGTATAGATATTGGTTTCTGAACTGAAAAAGCTGGAATTGTGCATTCCTTTTCCATACTGAAAATGAGAAAAATGTGTACGTATCCTCTATCCACAAGTTAACAAGCACTGGCAACACAGGTTCAGTTGTGATTGTTACTTTTTTTAAACCATAAGAGCTCAGACTACACTTAGTTTAAATTATACAATCAGGGCAGTTGAATAGTGCTGTTAGCTGCTAAATGGCCGGTATGAGAGAAAAAGCTGTTTACATCATGGGCACACCTCAGAGCTTTCACAAATTAAAGTTAAGGTTGAAGTACACTTTATTGTCCCTGGAAATCTCGGTGGAGCCACAAAGAGAAAAAGTCCAATCAATGTCTCTGCCATCATATCTATGGGGGACCTGCCCTCGTGACTGTTGCCCACTGACAAATTGCATTCATAGTTTTTCCACTGCTAGGTCGAAATCAATTTTTTTTTCTAGAACCCTTATGAGGAAAAGTCAGTTTTTAATGTGCAATTTTCTGGACTTAGTAGCGGGCACAGGTCAATAAAATCCCCACTGCTTGCTAAAAAGTGTTTCTACCTAAAAGGGCCCATTTTACACTCTTTTCAGATCTCCTGAACATACCAGGAGTTATGTTTTGCTTCATTTATACACGTTTAAGCGAGTTCCTCTCTCAAACGGATGTCATGTGGTACATGAAAAGCTTCACTGTGTTTTTAAACACCAAACACCTTCACTAAAATCATTTGGATAAGTTCAGCCCAGGAATTGCCAATCTTTACTGAACAAAAGGTAAAAAGCAACCATTAACTTAAACTACCTCTTCATGACATCACAAGGTAGATGTGTGTGAATGAAACAAAACACAACTCCGGGTATGTTTTTGAGGAGGTAACAACATTATAACACAACATACAGCTCACAAGAGACCATTTTGCGTAATGTAGGACCTTTAAGGCTGGTATTTCCACTCCTCAACTCCTCATACAGTCTGATAATCTTTCAATGACTTTCTAATAACTGAAGGAAAAATCCAGGCAAAAATGTCATGTCCTGAACCCGACGGCGCTTGCTTTCAATTCAGTGTTATCAGTTTTAGGTAACCATTTCACATTTTATTGTTACTGGCTGAGAATTCTTTTAGGAATTCACAAGGATTTTTTTTTTATTTCCCAGGTCTCCTCTAATTTAGTTACAAAACATACAGTGGCTGCTCTTCGCCTTTACTCTGCATCATATATCTTTTATTCTTGACTATCTTTACCCATAAAACCTTATTACTGCCACGGGTGCTACTCCTGTGATGGATTTCAGGGCAGGTTAAGGTCAGAAAGAAAATTATTTTTTGTCAAGGATCTGAAACGCAACCTGCATTTATATTGGCATGTCAAGACCATAGACTGTATAAAGAAGTAGACCAAGGGAGTGACATCACCTATAGTGATCGGCACCGGCCAAATGAAGCTCACGATGCTAAGTTGTTGGAGTAAATTTGGAGATGAGTTTCATATTAAGAATAGGAGTTTATTTATGGACAAATAGTGAAATAAAAACACCAGGATCATGTAGACTGGGTTCATTTTTCATTTCATTTTAAGACCAAAATGAATGGTTCTGGCCAGAGGTGGGGACTTGCAAGTCGTGACTTGGACTCGAGTCAGACTTGAGTCACTATTTTTAGGACTTGAGACTTGACTTGATAATGGACTAAGACATGGGACTCGACTTGGACTTGAAGGTCACTGACCTCTGAATTCTTTCTATTCTGACTGTAATGATTCACACTAAGATTTACTTACATTTGTACAACTCTTATATACTCAAAAATCATAGAATATTTATGAGTATTTATAAAGTACAGTTTAGTTTAAAATTCATATAAATTGCAAAAATCTAAGCTATACTTTGGTTTAAAGACTTGAAATGATTTGAAGCTCAAAGCAGACGACTTGGACTTGACTTGGACTTACAGGCCAGTGACTCGAGACTCGACTTGGACTTGCCTGTATTTGGCTTGGGACTTGACTCAGACTTGAGGTCAAAGACTTGAGACTTACTTGAGACTTGCAAAACAACGACTTGGTCCCACCTCTGGTTCTGGCTACTTCTGTTTATCACAATCAGGCAGTGTTGAAACTCCCCTCCACTTGCCTGTGTTTTGATATGTGACTCTTGATGAAAAAAGTTTGGACACCCTTGCAGTACACAAAATACCATATATTTAGTAGAGTAGTATAAAAAGTAATAACAGAACCTAGTCATCACATTAAAAAAAAAATATGTATATGTTAATTTAGAAGGTGTTTGGAGATCCAGCAAGAGCACGACAATGTGGAGAAACCTGCTGCTCTTCCTTGAGTCAGAGCAGACACAATTTACGATCAAGAAAAACTAATCTGAGGCTCTGATTTGTGCAATTTTATAAGAATGTAATTTACTGTCAGTAGTTGGTGAATCAGAAGTTATGCCAAAACGCAGAAAATTTGACTTGGACTGAAACACTTGTGTCAATCAAATATCTGCTCTTTATTCACAATTTTACATATATATATATATATTATTTTTTATCAACTTCTTTAATTTAAACGTGCACTGTGTAACCTGTCTGGTGGAGGGTCCGTCACCTGCTTGCCTCCATGGGGATGTGTCTAAAATGTTCCACAGTATGACCATAAATTTGTAAATCTCCATGGAGACTCGTAAGCTTAATTACAGGTTAGGTTTATGGAGAGGCGACCCCATTCACAGTAAGAATATAAATGAATGCTTTTAAGATATTTTTGAGCACTTAAACACTGAATAAATGCAAGACAGATTCGTTTAATGCCATATTCACAAAAACACTGGACAATTTAAACAAAAGCATTAACATCCATGGAGACATTAGGTTGTTGATCTGATCCAGAAAAGTTACACAGTGTACCTTTATGTTTACTCATCCCTCTTTTTGAGCATATGTAAATGGGCTTCTATACTGCAAACAAACTGAAAATACTTATCATACGGACAATGCATTAAACATCAGGCATTTAAATGTTTTAAGTTGTGCACAATATCTCCTTTATTGTGAACCTGGCTCTCCTGGTACGTGTTCACTGTGTAAAAAGACTAACTGATGGATTCGTAGTTTTAACTTGCACATTGTCCCATTCCCTCGTGCCTTTAATCATCCCCAGACGCATTCTCTGGTGTCTCTCCTGCAGGTATTTGATGGATGGTGCAGAGTCGAGTTCAGAGAGTGAAATGGAGGCGGATGACCAGAGTGACGAGGAGGTTAACACAAAGGTATGTCTCACGTCTGTGTGCAGCCATAAATAATCCAGTGTAAATCTTTATTCACACTTTTTATGTTTTCATTTTAGATGCCGCAAAAGAGACAGGTCACTCCTAAAAAGACACCACAGAAGAAAGATGATGATGATGATGATGAATATGGAGGCTCAACTGACATAGATGAAGCAGGTTTGCATATACGAATGCATAAATACAAAATCTTGTAGTTGGTATCTGGATCACAACTGTCACCTCGCATAAATTGTCATGTTCCACATAATCTAATTTATATACAGCCACAGTTCACATGGCACAGATGGTTAGACTGGGTTGAGTTAAGGTAAGCTTTTTAAACAAGAGGAAATGACAAAATGACAGCAGGGATTTAAAAGGCTCTTAGACCAAAGTGAAGCCAAAACGGGGACTCAAATCATTTCAGTCGTCACTCTCCACCTCTGCACCAGACCAAAACAAACATGATTTTATTTCAGACAAACAGGAATAAAGAAGCATCTATTGTTGGGCTGAGGTCAAAGATAAATCCAATCTTCTCACAGTTATGTAGCTGTCGGTCTCCTCTGTTAATGCAATGCAGGCTACAGTCTGGCACGCTAACCTTGTGTTTCCAAATGGTGGTCAAAGGTTCTATATTACACAAAATTGACTTCTGTGAGCCTTCAGCTATGTTAGAATGTTGTTACCTTCCCCAAGACATACCTGAAGTTGTGTTTTGTTAGTTAGCCTGTCTATATCTTCAAAGCTCAAAATGCTCTGTTCCACCTTGTGATGTCATGAAGGGATAGTTTTTAAGTTAATAGCAACCTTTAGTTCCAAATGATTCTAGCAAAGGTGTGTGGAGTGGAGCACTTCCTGAGTTTTTCTGTTTGAGAGAAGAACTCATCCTAAAAATTAAGAGTTTGTGTGTTTAAAAAGTGAATGAAACAAAACATAACTCCGGGCATGTTTGTGATGAGGAAATAACATTAGAACAGATCAGAAAATAGCATAATATGAGCCCTTTAATAATAAACGTGAAACATAAACAAGTCTGTCATAGTTTTACATTAGTCCATTATTCATCCAGTAATAAACCGCAGTTGTATTGGACTACTGACTGTATGTAGTTTGGTGTTAAAGGGCCCATATTACCCTATTTTCTGATCTATGTTATCATCTCGTCACAAACATACCTAGAGTTGTGTTTTGTTTCATTCACACATAATCCTGCTTATATAGGCTGTGTTCTTCCTCAGACTGAAAATATTTTGTTCCACCTTGTGATGTCATAATAATACAGGAAGCACTTTTAAAACTCCATACACCTTCACTAGACCATTTGAAAATGTACAGTCTTGGAATTTCTACACTTTAAAGCTACAGCTATTGTTTGAGCCTTATTGAGAGTTTTTTTTTTTTTTTTTTTTTTTCTGACCACCAGTAAATGCTGAAGACTTTCTGTGGAAATCTCAAATGAACAAAAGTGAAAACAAAAAGGCAACCACTTGTTATTCTAATGTACTGTAAAGCAGTTCAGCTGGGGCTAAAAATTGCTGATAACCTCTAAAGAACCAATACATGACATCACAAGATGAAACAGAGCATTTTTAGCTTTGGATATGCAGACAGCTCAATAATGCAGGATCGCTCAAGCATGTGTGAATGAAACAAAACACAACTCCGGGTATATTTGTGAGAAGAAAAGAGCATTATAACATGACTAAAAGCTTTTGAGTCAATTTTGCATCCTTTTAAAGTTCACAAAGCTGAAATTACTGATGTTTTATTTATTGTGCCTATTATGTTTGAAATATATTAAAAATGGCTTTAGATCTTCCTTTCATTGACCTTCATTTGTGCCTTAAAATTTGGGACCATCAGACATCCTCTTTTTGGATTCCGTTATATTAATCCATTATATTAATAATAATAATTTGTCATTGATCATCTGCAAGTTTATTAGATTTTCCTCATCAAACAGTTTTATCATAGAGACTGTGGCATTATTAAACCAGAATGGAAAAAATGAATTAACCATTTTTAACCATCAACCAATAGTCATTTATTTATCATTTTTTCTGTCTATAATTTTACTGTTGTCTGATTAAAGGGCCTATATTACAGTATTTTCTGGTCTATGTTATAATGTTGTTTCTGCATCAAAAACATACCGAGTTGTGTTTTGTTTCACTGACACCTGTTTAACTGACACATGTTTAACACACAAACCCTGCATAGGAACAGAAAACACTCTGTTCCACCTTGTGATGTCATGTGGTAATACAGGAAGCGATTCACTGTTTTTAAACTCCCTACACCTTCATCAGAGTCATTTGGATGATTTCAGTCTTGGAATTGCCAATCTCTACTGAACTAAAGGTCAAATGTAGCTGTTAACTTGAAATCTACCACTATATCACATCACAAGGTAGAACAGAGCAGTTTAAGCTTTGGAGATGTAGACAGACTAATAATAAAGCATTGCTCAAACATGTGTGAATGAAACAAAACACAATTTCAGGTCTGTTTTTGAGGAGGTAACAACATTATAACATGGCTTAAAGCTCACAAGAAACATGCATTATATCACCTCTGAATCATGAGGCGTTTATTCACTGCTTGAGGAGGACCATCTTGAATTGGCTTGAATGAATGGAGAGGGCATGGGGGGCGATTCAAGTACTTTAGTTTCGGACGACAAAGATCACATTTATGAAGTGCTAGGAAAAACTGCACGCTTTCCGAAGTTTCATTGACAAGAATGCGGAATAGCCGAATCAAGACGAGATCTGAATGCTGTAATCATCGTGAAAGGACTTGAGCATGTTTCTCATTTCTATGTTAATGCAGGGCCAGACGTGAAGTGGCAGAGCGCATTAGCGAGGAGACACAACAAACATACAGGGGAGGCAGCGTTTTAATTAAGAGCCACTACGCCTTCTCTGTCAACAACCCAAGATACCGAGAAAGGAGCAATTCTCATATACTGTGCGAGGCCTTAAAGTGTGGTTTTCACCGTATACGATTGATCAGATTACCGCAAAGGGCCATGGTCTCATTTTAATTGGATAATAAAAGAACGCTGAAAGACGAGGTTTGTTTTGACAGGAGGTGGTGATGATGACGAATCGGCCGTGGACACCGAAGATGAACTCCAGAGGTAAACAAAGCAATTAGTGGTGATGAAGATGCAGATGATAAACCAAATAATTGTTATCGTTTAATTAAAGGTGCAATGCGCAGCTTTTTTGGTGAAGGGTTCATCACCTACGTTGTCTCCATGGTGATAGTTTGCTTTGTCTAGAATATTCCACGGCAGAGATTAAACCTGTGTATCTTAAGCGAGACAACATTATGTAAAACACATTTAGAATCATTATATTTAAGATTTTGCTGAAAATTTTAGGTTTCAAATTTTACCTCCTAGAAATCATGACATAACGCTAGATGTTCCCATAACTGTTACCTAGCAACCATACCATACACAATGCCTATACCTTTAAAAGCATGCACTCTTATTGTGAATAGGCTCTCCTCCCACAAATTTGACATGTAACTTGAGTTAAAGCAGGGGTCTCAAACTCAAATTACCTGGGGGCCACATTAGATAAAGTCTGAGTGAGGCTGGGCCGCATTGAGTATTAGATAAATAGCGGTTGCACGGGAAATAAAGAGAGAGAAAGAACAACACACACAACACACGCTCTTAATCTTTAATAACAGTTCAGAACATGAAAATGTATTTAGAACGTAAGTTTAAACTAATACGTCTACTCTTCTTCTTTGCCTACTTCTTGCTGGTTGAAATTTGGCTACGCTTCATCTTGCACAGCTGACAGATATTTGGCTTGCAGGAGGAAGCATATGAGATCCTCAGGATAGATTGAAGTCAGTGAGCCTTGACCTGTAGTTTGATGGTGCTTTCACACACTTTCACACTGGTGTGAACGCGAACCCGGGTCCAAACCATAGACAGCAGGTCCAAATGAACTATTCGAAATGCATCATGGGAGAAACGCGTCTCCTTTGCTTGAAATGACGCGCTGTACGATTCCAGCGCAGTAACAGATTGTTGTCCAGATGCAGCCGCGATTCATTATCGAATAATTTTACCAACAATGGCCAATACAGAGAATGTAACACACGAAGATCAGAGCAAGAACCAGTGTGCGAACGTGTGGCTCCAGAGTGAGTCAAAATTGGGGGTGTGTACTTCTGTGCAGGACCTGCATGCACAGAGAGGTCCCGGTGTTCCCCGTGATCATGTAGGAACCAGCATTTGTTATTTTAGGCTTTAATTAACCAAATAATTTCATGGCAATAGGCAATCGCCCATTCAACTGATTCACCTTTAAAAATGTCCTGCTTTTAGCCTAGTGTGAGAAATACAGTCGGACTAGATCCAAACCAGAGTCCCGAACTAGCGGGAGCAGCTCCGGTTCTGTCCGGGCATAGATGACGTGGAGCGGGGAGTGAAAAGCACTTTCCCCGGGAAGAACCAAATGCGCGGAGGACGGACACCAACTAAACTGGATTCATGCTTCTGTCCGGATGCACCTCAGAACCAGCCGCGGTTCTTGAGCGCGGAGGACAGGAGCAGCACAGACCTGTAGTCTACAGCGCATTCTCACTTTCCCCGCACGGAACCAGCGCGCAGACGGCGGAACGTTCCCGCTCAGACCCAGTCATTGACCAAGGACCAGACCCCAGCCCCGTTGTGAGGAGCTGCGCGCTACGGTGAGCGCTGTTGTCTGCTGCTGTTTCCCGAACTCTGGGCTGATGCGGTGAGTTTGTAGAAAGTTCTGCGTTGCTGTTTTATGAGTTCATGATGATAAGATGAGGACGGCCCGCGGTATTAACAGGGAACATCAGTATTGGTTACTGGAGATATCGCTGTTCTACCGGGATACAGAGGCTCCTTAATCGGACCAGTTTTGGTTTGTTTGCCGGTGTGAAAGCGGACCACACTGGAGTGTATCTGCTTCTCGTATGTCAAACATGGATGGAAGACGCTTGTTTTTGCCTCGTACTTTTTGCTAACATGTCGCCAAGCCTCTGGAATAGATCACTGCAGTTTTGTGGTGCTTGCATATTGATGGGACAGCTGTGTTTGCCGCTGTGTGCGCGTGGATTTCGGCAACGCACAGGTGGAGCTTGGTCATCGGGTTGCCAGCAAGTTACGCACCGAGTGTTGAGCAGGTAAACAGACTGTCAATGTCTTTTTATTTCTTATTAGCTCCTCCAATAAAGGTCCCACACTTATGAACAGGGGAATTGTGTCAGCGCCTCCTCTGTGCTCTGATACTGTGGTTGTGGGAGCGTAAAGTGAAGTGCGCACACGTGTACCACCATGTGTGGTTTGTTTTGGTTCTTCGGTGACGCCGTATGTGCACGTGTACTCGTATTAACAGATCCACTTAAACTCGTTGCTTCACAACTGCTGTAAATTGAGTTTTGGGATGTAAACTGTTAATAATCTGTTGTTGTGACTCTGCATGGGCACCGATTGCAGCTTCATCTGTCAGTGCGGCCCGCGGTAGGGGGGTGGGATTGTGCGTACATCTACCGCGGGCCGCACTGACATTATTCTTTGGAATTAAGTGGAGGGCCGCAAAAAATCCTTCCGAGGGCCGCAGTTGGGCCCCGGGCCGCGAGTCTGAGACCCCTGAGTTAAAGCATCTACTTGTCTCCATGGAGAATACGTTTAATGCCATCCTGTAGAACATTCTAATAAAAGCAATACCATCTCTAAAGACTTGAAAAGTAGTAGAAAATGTATACATCAGAAAAGCTACATTGTGCACCTTAAAATATAGTTTTCATATATCAAACCCCTTTTTAGCTGTGCAGTTTTACTTGAGGGTCCCCATAATTTGTTTTAATTGTGTAATGAATTTCTAAAGTTGAAGAAGTCCTTGGTTTAATGGTTTAAAAAGTTTTTTTTTTATGGTTAACTGGAGGAGGTTTTGTCCTTGTCAGAGTGGAGAAGGAGAATAAGCAGAAAAAGGCAGCAGGAGCAGTGAAGGCGGTGAAAGAGGAGGAGGACCCATACGGAGCCTCCACAGATGAGAACACAGACGCAGAGGCTGAACTGGACCAGCCCATCCCCGTGTTACCAGGTAAGGGCACTTTTATCCCTTTTGTCCCACCTGCTGCCTGGGCTTTCACCTGCTCTCCTTGCTGCAAACAAGTCATTGGACTGCCTTTCATGTTTTGTGAGCTTGTCCTTTCCTCTTACTCACTGACCAGCTGTAATTGCACTTTTCTAAAGCCCTGTTCAAATGATGTCTTTCAGATTTCCTATCGGGAAAGCACTTTTTCCTCTACGGTAAATTCCCCAACAATGAACGCCGGCTGCTTTTGCGGTACATCGTTGCTTTCAATGGGTAAGTAATAGAACAGAGCACAGCATGAACATGTAAATAAAGCCCCACTCAAACCTTTTTACATGCATTAGTCCAGTTATAGAAGAAAAGGTGAAAGGAAATGATGCCTGCTGATGTAGTCCCTTTTCTCTTCAGCCTGTACATGGGGAATTTTCAGACTAAGAATAACTACACGTGAATAGTACAAGTGAATAGAAGTGAAAGACTTGCATTATACACTATTTCAAGGCAGTATGTGCAAACTAACAACATCCCTGAATCCTTTAACTGAGTTAAAATGGTGAGTAATGGAAAGGCAGCGTGTTACTGCAGAAGTAATTTGATTAAAACTATCTTAGTCTGTGTTTGCTTGGCTGGTCAAGAAAAATCAAGTGTTAGACAAACATTAAAGAGGAGAATACTTAAAATGGCACAGTGATGGAAGGAATCTACTCTTCAGATTTTCATAGGGATGCACCGATCCAATACTGGTATCGGATATCTGCGCCAACTAGGGCTGGGCGATATGGATAAAAAAATATATCTCGATATATTTTGCTATATCTCGATATACGATATATATGTCGATATATGTTCAAGAAAAAGTAACCCCCTAAAACTGAAAACTGCAAAAACAAATCTGCCAAATTCCACAAGGTCCTTTTTTTTTTTTTTTATTGAAGTGTAAGAGGTCGGCAGTTCATATAGGAACATTTAAGATTACAAAAAAACCTAATTACATAAATAATAATTTAACTGTAAAATAAAAGAAATAATACATATTTCCTTCTTTTCATTCATAAATAAAACAACTCAACACAAGCTCATCTTTGCATTAACTCTGTTATCCAGACCAGAACCAGAACCATGAGCTCATTTAGCAGAAGAAGCTCAAGATGTTCCTTACTTCAATAGATCCATGTAATAACATGGATCTATTGAAGTAAGGAACATCTTACAGCGTCAGGAGCTCTGAGGTTTAATCCCACAATCCACTACAGATCAAACCCAACGTTTCCAAACACTATTGTACAAGTGACACTGCAGCAGATTATTAATTAAAATCTTCTGCATAAATAAACTTTACATTGCTAAACTTTACAATATATAAAGCATAACGACTCTAGAGCCACATCAGCCCGTTTACGATAATAATGTGCTTAATGCAGTTTTGCGCACGCGTGTTTACGTTTTACAGAAACGAAACTTAAGCGCATGGCTCATTTGCATAAACAGCACTTCTCCTGCAGCTCAGCTCGTTTAGCTTCTTTCGGGCTAAAGGACGCGACTCGGTGGAATATGAGGATGTGCTGCTGGTGGTTTTGTCTGTAAATGGTGGAAAAGGTTCCTGGTACTTGAAGCTTTTCACTGGCACCAAATTTCGGCGTTCACGGCGGTACTGAGGAGTGAAGGAGACACGAGCGAACAAAATCAGGGAGGCGGGGGCGACGAGAGAGAAGGTAAACAAGTGAAGCGGCGAAATCAGAATTGAATATAAGCATTATATCAATATATACGATATGTCAGAATTCATGTCGAGTTTAAAAACTATCTCGATATATTTAGAATATCGATATATCGCCCACCCCTAGCACCAACACTGATAAATTTGCTGGAGCGGATTCTGGCTTCCAAATATCGAGTCTACTGATATCCTGATTGGACATTTAAATCAATGTAATAAGACTATTTGCTGGTCGTAGCTGGCCCAGAAGGTCTCATAGTTTTCATTTTTATTCATACCAAGTTGTTCTGTCTCTACTTTAGAAATAAATAGCAGCTACATAACAAATTTGTATCAGTTTTGTATTATTTTATTTTTGTTTGAAGGAAGTAAATGCTGTTTTCAGTCTCTGCACTGGTATTGATTAATATTGGATGTTGGCAGATACTTAAAGCCATAGTATTGTAATCAGTATCAGAACTGAAAAAACCTGGATCAGTGCATCCTTAGATTTTTCCAAGAGGATGGAATCTTCATGAACATAAACACCAAAATTGGCCTAAACTGATATTTTTCATCTAGTATCCCTGGACAAACTTACCCTAAAAACCAATTGCATCACTATTAGAATAAATATACAAGGGCAATATTAAAGTATAACACTAAAACTACACTACCATTTTTCAATCAGGAGAGCAGCATGAAGCCACTATAACAGTACAATTGTTCTTCTCTATGCGGCAATCCATTTGAGAGTGGTGTGATTTTAAAACGATGAAAAGTAATGCTGCATTTTTTAAGTTCTTGTAGCAGACCAGCTGCGTATTTGCCATATACTAAAGTTTTATGTTTCTTTTTACTACCAGTACACATTTACTCATGATGTCGATATAATTATTCTTTTTTTTATTTTATTTCTAGTGCTATTGAGGACTACATGACGGATAAGGTGCAGTTTGTAGTCACCAGTGAAGGTTGGCAAGACTCTTTTGAAGATGTGAGTCTCTGTCTCGCCTCTCCTAATGAATCTCTCCATCTTTTTTCATTATCTCAGTTTTAAAGCCACTTTTCTAAGGTTTTGCCCTGAGATGGTTTAAGTGCCCTTCAAATATAAAAGGAGCAAAACAGCACTGATAACATGGTTTAGAAATATCTGTAAAAAAAAAAAACTATATTTGTAAGTGCAATGGGAGATTTTAGGCAATTTATTTGAGGGAAATTAGTACTTGGATCTGTTATTGGTGGTATAATGAAATGAAAGCAGCATCCAAGTTTGTATTTTCAGCGCATTCAAATGAGCAGTTCTAGTAGTACATTCTGATCTTGTAAACATATGAAGTGCTTTTGCAGTGGTGGAAGAAGTATTCAATATTGTTAAGTAAAAACAAAAAATACTCAACTAAAAGTATCACATGAAAACTGAAAACGTATTAAAGCGTCAGTTTAAAAATGTTCTTAAGAAGTGAAAAGTATTTTGCTTGTATTTTGAGGTCTTGTGAGGCTTCAAATGTAGTGATTTTAAGAAAGATTTGTGTTGAGTTTCGGTCAACTGAAAAAAAATAAAAAATTCTCCCTAGCAGTTGTTATAAATTTTTTTTGTATACAGTATTATGTTTGCTCAGACTTTGAATGTGCTAAAAATAAATTCTTCAGGCTTTTCAGCATCAACTACCGGTATATTAAAAATACTTTTCAGTCCAATTAAAAAATGTAGTGGAGTAGAAAGTACAGATGCCTGCTCTCAAATGGTGTGAAGTAAAAGTTAATAGTATCTACTTTAAAATGTACTTAAGTAAAATGTTTTTACTTTAGGACATTGTACTACTTTTGCTTTGTTACATTTGTGGTGAAAGGTCCGCCACCTGATGTCTCCATGAAAATGTTATTGCTTTGTCTTTATGATTAAACCTATCACAAGGGCGACAAGCAGGTTACAGATACATTACATTTCAGATCTGTGGAGAGTTGCTCCTATTCACAAAAGGAATTATTGTAGTTTTGACCAACAGGAACACAATAAATGCTAAATAGAAATGTTTAAAGTCATACCATGTAGATAAGCAGGTAGCGTGCCCTCCACCAGAAAAGTTACACAGTGCTACTTTTACTTTATGTTCCACCACTGAGTATTTGTTAACATTTCTCTTCACAGGCTTTGATGGAGAACGGCAATCTGAACTTCGTCAAACCAGCCTGGATTTACGCCATCAACGAGCGCCAAAAACTGCTGCCCTACCAGCCGTACACAGTGGTCCCCTAAACACAACTACACACACACACAGACTCTGATGAAACCACAGCGAGTAAAGCCATGCAGTTCTTCCATTTGGCAAAGCAATACCTTTTCAGAGCCAAGAATGTCATCCACTACATTAGATTATCGGCGATTTTTTTTTCTTTTCTAACAAATTACGAAGCACATTTTGGATGATTGGCAGTTCTCTCGTGCGTCTGCTGGCCTCTCGTCACCGCCGTTTCCTCAGGGCAGGTTTGAGATTGAACCGTCTACCTATTCTCAAGACTAAGACTGTTTATTTATGCAAACAGGGACTCCATGACAACAGAAAACCAAAGTCAGATGCTGCTTTTTAAGGATGATATCGATGCTTTGCAGTGACATTACGCTGAGGTTGTTCTACGTGTATCTCTATTTGGTGGAATGCTCAACAGTAACCATGGTGACACAATGCACCAGTTGACAATAACTACCAAAATTTTAAATGTCTCAAAACTCAAAAAAAAAAAAGTACAAAATGGATTTAAATGACATATTTTCAGGAGTCTGTGATCAATGAGTCTAATTTGAACAGAGCCTCTAACACAGTAGTGCTTTGACATCAGCTGCAAAGTATCAATATCAGTTATCAGCATTATCGGTGACATTGGTCTGATATTAAAAACTGAGCTGATATTTGGCACCAGTATTGTTTCTGCACTGCCCTTGTCTTTGTGCCCACTTTGTGTTATTGCCAGTTTGTCCGCATTACATCAGAATTGTCTTTTTGAGCAGACTAAATTAGTTAAAATATGAATTCATACCTTGGATAAATGCATTTTCTTATTTTTACAAAAAACATGAGTTCATTTGTAAACGTAACTATAACTTAACATAAATTTGGTCTGTCCTATAGACTTCAAAATCTTACCAGTATTATCACAACAGCAAGACAAATATCAGACATCAGTATCAGCTAAAAGAATCCATATCGAACCATACCTGTTGTTTTTAAAGCTACTCTGATGAATTCTAAAATATTTTACGAGAATAAGATCCTTCCACAAGGAAAGTAATCAAATAAAACGTGTGCAGCTAAGCTTTCTAAGGGGTGGATTGTAGACATCAACATTTTTCTTTGGTGGGTAAACTTTGATGAACTACTGTTGTCTTCCATGGGTTTACATACATTTCAGTATATCATAAGAATTCACTGGCTTCTACTGTTTTGTCTCTTCTTCGGTTTATTCACATTTTAAGCTTATTTGTAGCTAATGCTAATTGGTCCACTGAAGATCTGTTGCAGTGTTTCTCAAACTGTGGGACATGTACCACTTCTGCAGGTGTTCTCTGGTGGTTATTAGGGCCTTGGGCAGTTTTAGTTATTTTAATGTTTTAATCTAAAAGAATTTTATTTATACCTCAGTTTGCTTTGAAGGTTAAACTTTTCTGGTGGAGGGCCAGTCACCTGCCTGTCTCCAAGGGGCTGTTATTGCTTTGTCTGGAATGTTCCATGGTATGACATTAAACATATCTATTTAGTATTTATTCATTTCAGATGTTTCTGTTGCTCAACAATACAATCATTACCTTTATGAATAGGCTTGCCTTTCCACAGATCTAGCCTATACTTGTCTTCCTTGTCTACAGTGGAACATTCTAGACAAAGCAATAACATCTCCATGAAAACAAGCAGGTGACAGGCTCTCTCTCCACCAGAAAAGTTGTGGGATGCACCTTTTAAAGCTGGGTCTTGTCCTGATTTTGACCTGCTTTATGACCAGTTTAAGCATGATTTAGTTATGTTTAGGCCTTTTTGAGCCCTGTTTTAGATCTGTCCTGTCCAGATCTAGCTATATTGTTAAAATTGTACGAGGTGGAACTTGTAGAAAGTTTGAGAAACGCTGATATTTTGCATTGTGCTTAAAGGTGCATTGTGCTTGTCTCCATGGAGATGTTATTGCTTTGTCGGTTTAACAGTACAGTATTAAACCTTTCTATCATGAAGACCAAACTAGACCAAGTTAGGGTCAGAGCTGAGAAAGGGCAACCCTGCAAGAATGCCTCTTTTTTTTTTTAATTATTTTTAAAGTTAGAAAACCACCTATAATTTAATAAATGTAAGGTAGAGCTGTTTAATGTCATACTGTGGAACATTCCAGGCAGAGCAATGACATATCCACAGAAACAAGCAGGTGACAGACCCCCAGCCTAAAAGTTACATAATGCGCCTTCAACCATATGCATACATGCAAACAGAGCCATGTAGTTTACACATGTATGAGTGGGAACAACGATTTTTGAATGTTTTATTACAGATAGATGTGGTTTTGTAATGTAATTTTGTTTTGTTTTGTTTTTTGTGTTTGTAAAATAATTAGAAGATGAATGAAGTGGCCTTGATTGAAAGGTAAGCCCAAAACAGTCACAAGTCCTGAGCCTGGCCAGTCTAGTCACCACTCAAATCTGTTACCAGTGAAATCCTGCCAGAAGCCAATTTTTCTTGTTTTGTTAGGTCGTTGTGTTCCAGATATGTTAAAGGGCCTATCTCACGCTATTTTCTGTTGTAATGTTGTTTCCTAATCAATGACATACCCAGAGTTGTGTTTTGTTTCATTTACAAATGGTTAACATACTAATCCTGCATATTTAGGCTTTGAAAGAGTTCTTCTTTCAAACAGTAAAACACTCTGTTCAACCTTGTGATGTCATGTGGTAATACAGGAAATGCTCCACCGTGTTTTTAAACTTTATACACCCTCACTAGAATCATTTGGTTAGCCCTGGAATTGTTTGTCTCTACTAAATAAAAGGTAAAAGGTGCATGTTAACTTGAAAACTACCACTTCATGACATCACAAGGTGGAACAGCAATTTGAGCTTTGGAGCTGTAGACAGATTAATAATAAAGGGTTACTCAAGTGTGAATGAAACAAAAACACAGCTCCAGGTAACACAAACATTATAACATGTCTTAAAGCTCACAAGAGTTAATTTCGTATAATATAGGACCTTTAACAAAGCACCAGAATGCCCTAACTCTGATGAGATTATATCCAGTTGTATTAATGAGGTGTTAACATTTGTGTTTTGCTCTTTATTTATTCTGCTTTACAATGAAACCCAGGCTGGCCAGGCTAGTGCCACTTGGGTGATGCCTTCTTTGACTATTGAAATTTCACTTGAGCTGTTCATTCAAGCAGGACAACTTTTGTTCAGGCCTCTTTATAACTTTTTCTTATAGTTGTTACAGTATTATTATTTTGAGACAATAAAATATTTTAACTATTAGTTCCACTCTCTCGTTCTTATTCACATGGCTGACTTTGCTCTTTGCTCCCACATTCTTTTTTGCCACTTGAAGGAACCTGTGACTCCAGCCAGCCTCTCTAATTTGTTTCTCCTCCTGCTTTGTACCCTGAAGCCACTGAGTCTCGCGTACTTCATTCAAGGAGATTATGAAGCTGGAATGTGCATGACGGACAGGCAAGAAGGGCCATGTGTGGAGGCGAGAGGCCACAACCAATGAAAACCTTATTATTAACTTTCATTTAAACAGGGAGACCAGTTGACTGTCTAGCTCTCTTTTACAACAGTGCCCCGTATACACAATAATAATAGCAATAATATAAAATTAAAAAAAACTGCCGCAAGTGGCAACAATTGGCCCTCTCATGCCCCGCAAACTCTGCGCCCTGCAAAAGCTGTGCCCTACACTGACCCTAATAAATGTAAACCATGACTCTAACCCCTAGCCCCAACCCTTATCCTAACCCTAAACGAAGCCCTTACCCTGCCATTTTTGTTGATTTATTTTTAAAAATCCAAGATGGCGGGTTTCAGGTTTGTAAAGGGGCGTTGTCACAATATAATTTTTTGTTCCTATTGCCATGATGCATTTGATTACCGAATTTGGTTTGGCTAAGCCAAAATTTATGTAAGATGTCCCAATGGCAAGGACAGATTTATGGTTAGTTGCCATAGCAACACAATGTGAGATGGGGTGTGGGCGTCACAGTCCTTATTGAAGGTAAGCGCGGATTCACTGTGTGGTTTGGAGTGGATTGTATTCACCGTTTTCCTTGTATGAGAAACATCAGTGCACTGGACAGGGACGGTATAGTGAAACCATGTGTGTGCACATAAATGAGCAACCGTGTTGTGCTTTGGCCCTCCTGCAATTGGGACAAAGTCTCTGCCGTGCCTGGGCACTGTTCAAAAGTCCAAGTGTGAGTCACCCTAAGGCTACATGATTTTGAAAAAAATGTTTCTGAAAAGTATGTATTAAAAGTAGGATTTTTTTTGTTCATATTCTGAACTGTTCATGAACTGTAAAGGTCTAAACTAGAGGTATAACAGCAAAGATTTTCATTTTCATTTTTTGCAGCATTTGCACCAACTCCCATTGCTATTCGATTGCAATATATTGTGCAGCCCTACAAGAGGCTTATAATCAAGTGATTACCTTATAGACCCCAAACTGTGTAGGAGACTTTCAGTTTCTTTTATGTTTCTGTCACTGTGAAGTAAATTGACCTGTGAGAAGGCGGAGGGAAATTACCAAGTACACAGGGTTACTGACAGACTGAACAATGAACAAAGCTATAGAAATAAAGTATATGATCTGCGACATAGAGGCATACACCAGTGTATACGCCATTTCATTCTCATACTTAAACACAGATTTATTGAATAGAGAACACAAAAAAACTTATCTTCTTATCTAACATTGTTTCTTCTACTTCTCATCTAATCATTTTAGCATGACAATAAGTCTGATACAATAAGTATTAGAATTATTAAATGTCATGCTAAAATTGTTTTTAAAGTCCCCCAGAGGGCTGCATCTTGAAACGTATACAAACCTAAGGGCAGTGTTGGGGAGTAACGGATTACATGTACCGCCGTTACGTAATCAGAGTACAAATTATGAGTAACTGTATTCCGTTACAGTTACTGTTTCAATGAGTGGTAATTGGATTACAGATACTTTGCTGAAATAAGTGGATTACAAGGCGGTATTTTCCTGTTTTCACATTTTGTGCTACATCCCATTTATTTATTTTTTTATTTCGGTAATTTCACTCATTGCCGGAAACCCAAACAGAGCGCGCGCAATAAGAGCGATGGAAACGTCACGTTAAAGTTGGCGGTGTCAGTCACACAGTGGAAGCAGCAGTGCATTGGTAAAAACGCATTTGTGTCTTGGAAATTCTTCTCCCGATGTGAGATATATATAAAAAAACAAATATAAAATCGCCTACAACTTAAATGTCACAGGTGAAAACAACCTGCATAGACTCATAATATCTGCACTACTGTCCTACAGTGACCTGCGACATGAGTGGACGTGCACACAAACACACACAGAAACAAACACAAACACACACCTTCATCATCGTCATCAACCTGAGAACCCGCGGACCACGTCTCCTTCCGTAGTTACAGCGCAGACACCGCCGTCTCGTGCGTCGCGTGTGGACCGTGTTTTCTCGCGTAAACCGCGCTTCCTCCTGTGCGCCTCTAAACCAGAACTAACACCAGGACTAAACCAGAACTAATCCAGGACTAAACCAGGACTAAAGCAGGACTGAACCAGGACTAAACCAGGACTAAACCAGGACTAAAGCAGGACTGAACCAGGTTTAAACTAGGACTAAACCACGACTAAACCAGAACTAAAGACCTGGTCTAGACCTGGTCTAGACCTGACCTGGTCTAGACCTGGTCTAGACCTGACCTGGTCTAGACCTGACCTGGTCTAGACCTGGTCTAGACCTGACCTGACCTAGACCTGGTCTAGACCTGGTCTAGACCTGACCTGGTCTAGACCTGACCTGGTCTAGACTAGACCTGACCTGGTCTAGACCTGACCTGGTCTAGACCTGACCTGGTCTAGACCTGACCTGGTCTAGACCTGACCTGGTCTAGACCTGACCTGGTCTAGACCTGACCTGGTCTAGACCGGGTCCCATCATAGCCCCGCCTAAAGCATGTTCAGTAGCTCTGATTAACAAACAAGGGCACAGGACTTTTTATTTGCATGTCTTACCTGCACAAAGAGGACACCTTTAGTCCTTACTATTTAACGCCAAATGAGCACATTCCATGTGCACAGGACACCATGTTCTGTGAATAGACATGTTATGAATAGTTTTATAGCTACACATTGAAACTACACAAATGATGCTCCAGTGTGAATGAGGCACGAATCAGATACACACCAACACGGTGCAAAAACAAAGCTTCTCACTTGGGTGGAGACATCCAGAGCACGTACATGTACTTCGATGTACACTATATCCTGTGAGAAAAGGACATTTCAAACAGATCCTACACAGTGCACGTGAGTGTGAATAGTAAAACGAAGCATGATCAACACGTTATGCAAAAAAACAGCAAAGGCACGCCCAGCTGATACGATATAAAAATTAGTCTGAGGACTGCATTTGCCCTCAGGACCATAGTTTGGAGACCGCTGCTGTAGATCTTTCATAGTGCAGCCTCAGCAGCGCAGGGATCAGCAGTGGATCAGAACTGCTGATCCCTGCTCTACGAGTCATTGTCATAAACTTAATCATGTCCATCATCATAGACTTTGTCCTGGACTCATTTTGACAGGTTTCTCTCTAGACTTTCTCCAGGACCGGGAACTGGTTCTGAAGTTTGTCTCGATGTTTTCCTGAATGTTCTTAATAACAATAATAATGCATTCATTTTATATAGCACTTCTCCAGATGCTCAGAGTTACTTTACACAATATGGTGCATTATTCATTCACTCCATGGTAAACTACTACTGTAGCCACAGCTGCTCTGTAGCAGACTGATGAAAGTGAGGCCAGTCTCTCCAACCACCACTATCACACACACCACTTCCATACTAGGCAATGCGGGTGAAGTGTCTTGCCTAAGAACACAATGACACTGTGGCACTTGACTTTCCCAGGGGTCTCCCATCCATGTACTAACCAGGCCTGGCCCTGCTTAGCTTCTTATATCTGATGAGATCAGACTTTGACAAGAAGGTTTGTGGATACATCCTTCTGGATCTTTTCCTTCTGGTTTGACTTTGGGTCAACAGTGACTGATTATGTGGTGTAGAATTGTTTTAGGAGATAAGTTTTGAGTCTGGAAAATTTGAAGAGCGAAAGAGAGTCTATGTTGCAAAGGTCAGATGGAGAGAGAGGGAGTGGGGCAGGATAAGGAGAATTTTGAAGTAGATTTTTTTGTTTAAGTGGTTGTTGTAGAATTGAAGTGAAGTGATTGTAACCCAGTGTTGAAAATATTATTAAAAACAAATAAATATTAGTTTAGTTTATTTAGTTCACTTTATTTATTTAATGAGACAGGGACAGTGCACAATATACATTAACCTTAACAGGAGAGATGTATTGTACCAGGTTGTAGCATCAGAGATAATTTCCACCTGTCATCCCTGAGCAGGTTCATTGATCGATCGTATTTAACTGACCTTGATTGATCATAGACATCAACTGTTCTTCCTGGAGACCTATGTAGTATGTTTTGGGTTTCAAAAACACTTGAAACTATTGAACTATCCCTCGCTCATGTTGTTGTGAATCGCATTAAGCTTTTGATTTTCTGTGATTGGTAAGCACAAACCAATGCTAAGAACAGCCTAAAGTATCATTATAATTCATGTTAGTGACGTTTACATTCGTAAGATATCTGCAGTGTCTGAGAGCATAGAACTATCTGTGAGCCCACAGAAGCGTGGGAAACCCCGTAGCCTCTGTTAGCACGTGTTGCCCTGCATTGGTGAGTTCCGTACACAATGGTCACGTTTACATGATGTTTTTTAATTCTGAATTAATAGTTCCTGATTAAATACTTCAGAATTAAATTATTCTCCTTCAAGTTTACATGGAAATAATAATTCCGAATTGATGTTTACATGGAAAACACGTTAAATCAGCTTTAATGTCTTGGGGTCGGGAAGGGTTTTGACTGGACAAGGACACGAACGTATGTACGTCTACCGGAAGAAAACACATACGTAATCAGCTGGCTACATGGATCTATTAAAATAACTTGATTGGGTATTTCTAGCTTGTAACTATGTCCAGTTGATGTAGTGACCACTCACTGGAACTTCAGCTGAAAAAATCCCCTGGGCAGAGAGAGCATTTTTCTCATAGAGCGCAATGTAATCACAAACTGCTCGTGTTTGGCTGACAGGGGACCTACAATTTTCAAAAATCTTGGATTTGTTGGCAATTTTTGCCTATTTTTAGATTATAAACGTTCTCAGCTCTAAACCCTTCACTT